GGAGGAATTTTATCATTAAAGAAACAAGAAATTTTTTTATTTTTATTCATACCTTCTATATTAAAAAATGAAGTTTAAATTTAACTTTCGGCTAGTTAAATAAGTTCTTTTGGAATTATAACTTTTCCCTCATTTTCTTTTTTGTCTTATTTAAGTAATTTTTTAATTTTATTAATTTTTTATTATTTTTCTTATATTTTTTTTTAAGTTTATAAAAATATAAACTAAGGATTAATACTAATATTTTTTTAATGTTTTTTTTCTAATATTTCTTTCATTAATTATTCCTAATAAAGTTTATTTTTTAACTTCTAAGCAGGACTAATTGAATATTTACCCTAAACACTTTCTTTTATTTTTTTAGTTTCAATCTAAATATTATGAGAGGAAGAATATAATCCAAAAGTGGGTTTAAAATAGTTTTTCGGGAAATAAATAAGTGTCGGTTCCCTTAATTTTGCCGAAAAGTTTTTTGATTAAAATTCATAATCTTCCCATTTTTTCAAAAGAACAGTAGAATAAGCTGGCATTTTTTTCTTTTATTATTTTTTCTATCCAAACATGAAATTTGCATTCCACAAATATTTCGCATTTGTATTTTAAATTTTCCAATTATAAAAAAAATTATTCCCTAAATTAACTTATTATTTAATATTATTATTATTATTAAAATTATTATTATTATTTATTATTTTTTATTCATCAGAATACTTTCGTTTTAACCTATATTTATCCAAACTAATTTAAGATGGTTTTTCATATTTTATAACTAATTCTTCTTCTGGTTTATTTCTCATCATAATTTATTTCTAAATTGATATTCTCTAATTATTATTTACTTTTTTCATTTCATTTTGAATAATTTTATCTGTTTCGTTTGTTTCTTCTTATTTTTATAACTTTTGGTTTATCTAGTTCAAAGAGTTTATTTATATTGGATTCTATTCAGGTTCTTTTATTTTTTATCTCTAAGTTGATACGATAGAATCAGGTGATTATAAATTTTATTCTAAATTTAACATTTTTGAGCTTCTCCTTGAAAGCTCATTATAGCTTTCATTATATTCTTAATAATTTTGCATTTCGGTTTTTATTTATTTAGATTTTTGCTATTTTTTTAACATGTCTTTATTAAAATACATATATTATTTATTATCTATGTAAATTTCTTTCCTATGGTTTGGTTTTGAAGCATTAGAGACTAAGTTATTGATTGAATTTTTACTGTATAAAGTATTATCTATTAATCTGATTGGAAAGTTTTAATATAAATTATTTATTATTTTTTGATTTGATAGATGAGATTTTACATTATGCTTACTCATTTTTTATATAAATTTATTAATTTTTTATTAAAAATATAATTTTTTTTTTTTTTTAAAGAAAATTAATTAGTTTAAATAGTTATTTTTTTATATATTATTTATATTTTTATTAATTATCAAAATTATATTTTTTCTTAAATGAGTTTTAATTATTTAGTTATTATTTATTTTTTAGAAATTTATTTAAACTTTTTTTATTCAGGGTTATTATTTTCTCCGATTAAATTCTAAATTTTAAACATTTGTTCAGGGCTACTGCTACGTTTTTATAATGCTATTTTATTCTTTAATTTTTAAAAAAATTAAATACCATTATCTTAATATCTATCAAAAATTTCAATGTTTTAAGGTTTTTTTCTAAAAAAACTATGCTTTCCTTTAAAATATTAAGATTTTTAACCATTTATTTTACTTTTGGAAATAGAATTTTATTAATCTTTTGGAGGTTAAATATTCCCTTAAATAATATAATTTATAAATGTTGAATTGTTTGATCTATTTTAGTTTAGTTTTTCACTAAATTTTCTAGTACTAATAGTTTATTTTTATAAGCATTTTAAATTTTATGATGTTTGAATAGATTTATTATTTTATTTTAATGTAAATGGAGAAATTAAATAATCGTAAAATTTTATTCTATTATAAGGAGTATCGTTTTATTCATTAATATCTCGTTGTTCAGTTTTTATATTAACTTTTTAATTTAAACTTTCTTCTATATTTTCTACAATTGAACTTTTTTATTTTGTAAATAATTAAATTTGATTCTGTCTTACTGTTTATAAAATAGAAGTTTAGCTATTTTGATATTCAGAAATACTATATTTCTATTTTTTATTTTATAATTTAATATATCAATATATATTTTACATTACCCTTGTTTTAGAAAATACAAAATTAAATGGCTTTTTATATTATTATCTAATATTACTTTTAATACAAGAACGAATAATTTCAGAATTTAGCATGATATTATGCATTTATTAAGTAGAAAACACTTTTTAAGAATTAATTATTTTTTTATTTTTATTGAATAATTTATTTATACTATTTTAATTATAAATTGTTTATGCTTCTTATTCTTATTTTTTATCTAATGATTTTGTATTATTTTATATCTTTTCTTTTTAATTTTATATATCTTATTCAATTATGAATTACTAAACATAAAGGTAATTTTCAATTTTTAAATTAATTTAATTATATTTAGCATTAGCTTATTATTCAAATAATTTTTTTAAATAATAATTTTAAGAAATCAATTAAATGAAATTCTTTTTTTTTAAAAAAAAAATATTAGAAAAATCTTTTAAAGTATAAAATTAAAATTTACATTAATTTTTAAAATATATATTGAAGCTTATAATGATTTACATATGACTGAAGTTATTCTTAATGGAAAATTTAATAAAGCTTCTATTTCTCCGAAAGTTTAGCCTGAACTTAATTAAATAATTTCATGTTATTTAAAATGATTGGTTTAATTTTATAGATTATTTTCTTATTATTTGTTTAAATTTAATAATTTAAACATCTTTTTTTTTTTTTTTTTTTTTTAAAAAAAAAAAAAGATAAAAATAAAAATTATAAATTATATTATATTACTTCTACTTCACCTTTTTTTATTAAATAAATATTTTCTAGATTATTATTTTCTTGATAAATTATTTATTTTCTTATAAATTTTTATTTTTCAAAATTACTCAAAAACTTAATAATAATCTCTCTTCCACAGCTTTTAAGTAAATTATTTTTGAAAAATTCGACTTTTTAATTAAGTTTTATTTCTTTACTCATTTTTAATATATCATTATAGTGTTTTACTTTTAATACTATAAATTAGGTATTTTCACAAGTAATTGTAGTTTCTTGCCTTGGGTTATTTGTTAATATTCCTAGTTCTCCAAATAGTTATCCTTTATTTAAAGTCAAACCATAATTATATTTAAAATTTCCATTTATATAATAACTAAAAAATAATTATTATTTTTTTATTTATTAATAAAATAAATTAATTATTTTTACTATTATATTTATACTTTTTTATATCCTATATTATAAAAGGGTTTATTTTTCCGAACTGATTATAAATAGTTTAGTCTATTTCGTGACTTTCATTTTTACTTAAAATTTATGGATCATCTTATTATGCTTAAATAATTTCATTTTATTTTTCTTCTATATATTGTATCTTTTATTCTATTAATTAAGTTTTTTCATTTTATTGTAATTCTTAGTTTATATTTTTTATGGGATGTAATACATTAACAGATCCACTTAAAATAATATATATTTAATTGGGATTATCTCCTTTTATATATATATTTAGATTATTATTTTTTTAAAAAAAATATTAAACCTGCATTAAAAACATTTGTTCCTCCATTTAGTACCTCATATTAAATTTTTTAGCAAATATTTTCATGTAATTTTAATTCTATATTTCTTTACTTATAATTTAATTCTTAAAAAAATTAAAATTTATCAGTATATTTTTTTAATATGCTTATTTCTTCATCAATTCTTTAATCAATTTTACTATTTTTCAATATTTATAATGCTATCTAGTTGAATATATATTATGTTTTTTTCTTATAAATTATTACTTCTTCTAAATCTTGATCTTTCGCACTATGATAATATTGTTTGCATAAACGTTTGTAGTTTATTATGTTATTTTTTTTGTATTTTAAAATTCTTCCTCGTCCATTCTATATATAATATTTTTATATATCAAATATTTGAAGGAATGTTTAAAAAAATAAATATAAGATTTTAATAAATTTTAATTTTTGGACGAATTATAATAATTTATGATTTAATACTAATAATTTTTTTACAGATATTTATAATATTTAAAAAAACCAATACTAATTCATTAAATAAAAATTTGAATAAATATTATTTTCTCATATTTATATTTTATATATACTTCTTTTAAAAAAATATTACTGATTATATATATAATAGAAATATATACAATTTTTTTATTCAACATTTTTATAAATATAATAAAATAAGTTTTTTTTATATGTTTAAGTTTTTTGTATTTTATATAATTTTAAAAACTATATTATTTAAGAAAAAATAATTAATATTAGTATTTAATTATTTAGATAAAAATGATTTAAATTGATGATGAAATAGTTGTAAACATACAATCTCCTTATTTTTAAGAAAATGTATAAAAAAGAAGTATCAAAATAAAAAATAAAAGAACAAAATCAAAAGAAAATTAGGAAATATCAAGTTATTCAACATTATTTAAAAAAAAAAGCCCATAAAAAGTGAATAAAAATAACCAATTTTTAACAGATCATGATATAAAAATACTTGCTTTTTTAAATTTTTGTGTTAGCTATGGTTATAATATACAAAAAAACATAAATAAATTTATAAAAAATATATAATATATTATAGGTAATGCTATAGAAATGATTTTTGTTTCTCCATTTTTTTATAAAATTGATTTACCTGATATTTTAGATTCATTCATCTGGTTATTACCTCCTTTAATTTTAAGGTTATGCTATCCAGTTATTCAATATTTATTATAAAGCAAATAAAATATATAAGAAAGGAAGATATTATTTTTATTTTTTGTAATAATCAATATAATTGGGAATTTTTTATTGGGTAATTCCTTATAAATAGCCGAAGATATATCAAGATTAAATGAACACGAAACAAATATAGTAAAGATTTTATCCTTAATAGGTTTTTCATTCTAAGATATTTCAAATTTTACAATTCTCCTCATAATAAATTAATATACTAATGACTCTTTAAAATAAAAATAAGTCTAATAATGTGAATAAATGTTAAGTTTAGCAAACACAACAGGAAAAATTATTGCTTATCTAATATGCAGTTTTTTAGCTTTTAATATTGATGCTTTAAGCATTCATGTAATTAATTTATATATATATAAATTTAGTTTTTTTCAAAAGGATTTTTAGGATAATTTATCTTTTGCTTATTATATAGGAGTTATAATTTCTATAATTTCCTTAATATTATTATTTAATAGTATTTAATTACATGGATATTAAAAAAAAAAAAATGAAAGTCAAATATAATTTAATGTTGATACTTTTTTTCCAGGATTAAGTGAATTTAAAACAATTGACTTGGAACAAAAAAAACTCATAATAGGGTATTTTTTAATGTCTTGTAATTTATTACTTATATTTATTTATGCAACCTTATGGACTGGTGTAAGTATGCTATAATCAAGTATAATATTAGAATATTATGATGAATCAACAAGTTATAGTAAAGAATTTTTATTTAGTATGGGAATAAGTTGGGGATCAATAGTTTTATGTGTAGGCTCTTTTTTATATTATTTTAGTGAATAGTTAATTGATAAAATGACAACTTTTAAATAAATAAAATATTATCTTTTTTTAACTAATTTATTGCTGAATTGTGTTTTAATGGCTACTTATTATACAGGGAATTTTTATTTATTATGTACAAGTTTAGTTATTTCAGGAATTGCATAGTCTTCTTTTGATATAATTCCAAGATTAATAGCTTCAAAAAATAAAAAATAATATAAAATTATTAATTAAGGATTGTAATTAGCTTGGTTTTTTTGTGAAGTTTTTATGCTTTTTATTATGCCTATTTTTTTTCTACTTTTTTAAGATGTGGACGATATTTCCTTTAGTCTTTTATAAGGTAGCTTTTTCGGAATATCGGGATGTTTTTTTATTTTATTTATTAATGTATGATATATAATACTATATTTATTTTTTATTTTTTGTTTTAATATTTTTATATTTTATTAAAACAAAAAACAAATATTCATTTTTTATTATATATTTCATTATATATATATATATATATATATATATATATATATAAACATACTTTATTTCATTTTAAATATAATAATATATTAATGTTAGACTTCATTTTAGAAATTAAATACTAAATATATATAAAAAAACTCGAATAAACTCTTTTATGAATATAGATTTTAATATTTATATTAATAATATTAATATTAAATTAAATTTTTATGAATTAGAAATAAATAATTTAGAAAAATATTATTAAATAAATATTATATTTTAAAATATATATAAATTATTAATATTATTAGTAATTTCTAAACTATATTAATTCAATTATAATGTAAAATTGTATTTTTATTCTAAATATTTTTTTAGTAATTTTATTTTTAATATTATATTATTATTATTTTTGTTTCAATTTTTTATTCTTTTTATTTTTATCTCAAATATTTTTTTTTTCTAATTTTTAACTTAAATCATATTAAAATTTAAATAATAATAATTTCCAACTTTCTCACTTTCTTTTGAGAAAAATATTTTTCTTTAAATTAATTTGTTTAAAGAATTTTTCAATTTAGCTATTTTAAGATTATATGTAAATTTATTTGTAATTTTACTTTATTATAAATTTTTGTCAAAAAGTAGAATGGTTAGGATTGGGAAGTACTTTTTCCTTGCATTATAAAATATGGGTAATCTAAACACATTCGTTAAACATAGTTTTTGATTCACAGTGCCAAAAATTCAAATACAGTCAATAAAATTTTAAAAACATTTGGCTGAAATCTAAACACAGAATCGAATAAAATCTCAAAACAGTTGGCTATGTTCTAAATGTTCTAAAAAAATTTTATGATATTTAAAAATAAAAACAGTTTTAGAGATATAACATTCAAAATATTACTTTTATTATATTATATTATTTTATTAATATTAACTTTATGATTTTCTATAAACTAAAAAAATATATAAATTTAAAACCTTATTATGATAGGTATTTTTCCTAAGTTTTATATTCAGAATTTATGTTAATTTTTAATTAAAAATTCTAAATTGATTAATATAATCAAAAAAGGCTTTTTCTATTATATTACATACTCAAAAATCTATATATTTATTTTTACAATCGAAAATTTTCTGTTTTAATTTTTCATCCAAATAAAAAAACGTTATTTTAAACTTTATTTTTATTAAAAAAATCTTTCACAATTTAATTTTTTCAAGAAAAAAAAACTATAAAATGATCATATTTTTTTGATTAAAGGAATTGTTTTTTAGCTACACTTTTATCAATAAAAGGACCTTAATATTGGTAGATTAATCTTTAAACATTATTAATATAAAAATCATTTTCTAAATCTTAAAAATCCTCAAAAAGTTATTTTTTTAATTATATTAGTATACTTTCACGTTATTTTATTAATTTAAAGCAAGTTTATTAAGATTAATATTAGAATTTATATCTTTAATTTAATCCTACATTTGGGGTACTTCTTTTTAGAATTCAAAAAATTTCTTAAATATTGGATTTTAAAAATGAAACTTTAGGTAAAAAAGGGGAATGAAAAATGATTTTTATCAGAAAATTTTTTATTAAAGTATTTATATTATATTAATATTATCAAGTTTTTTGTATATTATGCTGATTTTATTTTTATATAATGATGGGAATACCATAAATACTTTAATATTTAATGAGTATTAAAAAATATTTTTGAATGATACAATAACTAAGCAATATTTATTTTTGATAAAGAAATAATTATATTTTTTATTTTTAACTTTATTTTTGCTTATTCTTTTATTTTTATATGCCATTTTATTAAAATTAATTTAAATAAATAGTTATTAATTTTTTTTTATATTTTATTTATTTTTGATATTTTTTCAAAATAATATTTATTTTATATATTAAATACAAAAAAAGAAGAAAAAAAAAAAAATGATTTTACCTCATAATAATTTGTATTTACCTAAATAACATTTAGAAAGTCTTCCTTAAACACATTAAGAATGGAAATATTATAATGGTTAAAAATATGAAACTCCAAAAACATTTTTAGGTCGTTTCTATGATAAGTTCTCAATATAGTAAAAATTGGAAAATTTAAGATAATTTTACCCTTATTAAAAAGTTATTAAAGCCACAGTAGCGGAATATCAATATGATTAAAATGCTTACTTGTAAAACTCATTAATCTTCACAGGAGTTACATGGTTTGCTATTTATTCCTTTGCAAGATAAGGAAAGGTTTTACCTGTTTTAAGATAATATGGTATGTTTTTTAAAACACATAGAATTTTTAGATAATATTTATGGACTCTTGTACTTCCTATTCTTTATTAAAAAAATTAGTTAGCAAATAAATATTATACTCATGTTGAAACACTTTAAAATATTCATGTCAACAGACTTAATTAACATCTTTTAGAAGATCCTATATATACTTTTTATCCTGCAGAATTATAAGCTCCGAAAAACAATTTAAGGTTAGATCCTATGTATAAGGAAGATATAAGTAGATTTTAGTGATTTTTATTTTTAACAAAATAAAAAAATAAATAACATATATAAGATTTTATTATCATATATATGTATTATAAATATTTTTAGTTTTATTTATTTTTTTCTAAAATAATTAATAATAAATTATCCCTTTTTTTAAATATTTACTTTATTTATTAATGTTATTTTTAAATATTAATTCTTTCAGTATTTTTTTTTAAATAGAAATCTAAAAGCTACAAAAATAAATTCATGTGTAAAATTAAAAAATTATTTAATATATATTTTTAATAAATATAAAAATATTAATTTCTAATTATAATTAGATTAAATATAATTTGAATAAGAAAAAATTAATTAAATGAATATAACAAAATAAAATTTTATAATAATTATTGATATTTTTTTATTAATTATATAATATTTTTTTTAATATTATATTTATAAATTATATTTTTAAATTCACTTTTTTCTAGAAAAATTCTATTCTTTTAGAATAACTTTATTCTTTACTATAGTATTATCTTTTCTTAGACCTTCTTCATTGTTATTTAACTTTTTGAAAACATTTAAATCAAAAATTTTAGGTTATATATATAATCCATTATTAAGGGGAATTTTTTAGTTCATCTTAAAGTTAAAATTATTTTTTAATAAATCAGGTAGTAACTTAATTGATTATTAATTAAATTTATCATTAATTCCATAATTTTTAAATGCTAATTCTTCAAAATTAGTATTTTTTTCACTTTTTATAATTAATTATTTATATTAAAATAAATTATATTATATTAAATTAATTTTTTTCTTTTTTTATATTTAAATTTTAAATATTACAAATACTATTTTTTTTTTTTTTTTATTTCATACTCTTATTTTAGAAATTTGTTTTCATTAGTTTTTTTTAGATTTTTAAAAGATTTGTAATTATTATTTTTGCAATCTAATTTAAAGTATTAAATTAAAATTTTAAATTAACATATTATAATAAATTACCCAAAGATTCGATTACTATAGGTGTTCCATAAGCTTATTTGTTTATTAAATTATTTGACTATGCAGTTTACTATTATAATTATTGAATTTATATATTAGATTATTATATTAATTAATGACTTATTTATTAAATTTATTGCAAATTAGTTTATTATTATATTGTTTTTTCAGTATTTGCTAACTGAATATATTAATTGCCTTATTAATTATTTTAAAGGTTAAGACAATTATTTGATTAAAATACTGACTATTAATCATCCTCTCCTGTTACCGTCTTTTATTTAAAAAAATAAAATATTTAAAAAAATAAAATTATTATATATATTTTACATTATCATTAAATTTCAGACTATATATTTATTTTTAATATTATTACTATTATTGTTTAATATCAATTACTTTTTTTAATATGGTAACATCACTTTTTATTTCTTTTTTTAAGCTTTTTCTTCTTTAACTAATGGATTTTGTTTACTAAATGAAGTTTACTCTTTCTTTTAGACCCTTCTAATATCTTTTTTAATTTAAAAAATATATAAATAATAATATATATAAAAAAAATAACTTGCTCCAGTATAGTTTTCATATAATTATTAAGCATAACTTTAAAACTTCACATAAATGTCTTCAACGCCTTCCTAAAAGAATATATAATTATATTTAAAAAATAAATTTATTAAAATATATGTTTACATTTAGAGGATATACTTTTTCATAATTACCTAAATGTTTATTTTCATATTCATCTCTTTTTAATTATGCTTTTTTTTATTCCTATATTTTTTCTTCTAAAGTAAGCTTAACTTTCTTACCGGTAATAACTCTTTTTTATAATTATTCTTTTCTTTACTAAATAATCAAGTTTCGAGTTTTCTGACTTATATTCATTAAAATCAAAGCATCCTTTATACAATTTCTTTTTATTAAAGAGTCTAAAGGAGTATCAGTTGTAAAGCTCGGTGTATGGTTAATTTCTAATAAATAAGGTTTTAAATTGGCATCAAGAAAAATATCAAATCCAAGAATTTCAAAACACATATTGTTCATATAATTATCGGGTTAACAAGATTTATAATGATGACTTAAAGTAGGCTAAGCACTAACAATAGTTTTTGTAATAATAACTTTTATTTATTCCCACAATTTAAATATATCATGACCTTATTATTAAAGTAACTTATTTTTAATATAAAATAAAAAATATTTAAAAAATAAATAAATAATACTAACATAACAGATGTCATGGATCTTTTATTTCCTATATCCATATGATTTTCATCTTCGTTAAATTAAAAGTTTGGATTATCTTTGTTTATTGCATAATTAGTTAAATGCATACATAAATTGTCTAAATTTTCCCTATTTGGAGGTTCATATTTTTCTGTTGATAACCTTGCCAAGCCTTCTTTAAATATATATATTCTTAATGGATCTGTGCCTGCAAGTAATACGTAAATTCTAAAATCAAACTTTAAGCCATCTATAAGTAAGGGTTTATGTAAATATCTATATTTGATTTTTTTTATTTAGTATTTTTTTTAAAAAATATACCTTTAAACTACATAATGATCATTGTAATTTAAATCATCTAAAGTTCTTGTTAAAAATATCCCTCTTCCTTAACAACTAGCTTCCTATTTTTAATTATAATTTATAACATATATATATATATATATATATATATATATATTTATATAATACATATTTATATATATAAATAATATAAATATTATTTTATATTTACAGGTTTAACAATAAAAGTTTTACATTTTCCTTTGGAAATTTTTTCAAATTCAATTCTTAGTTCATTATAATCAGCTGGTAATAGCCATGTTTAAGGAAAAAAATCATATTAATCTGGAAATTATTTTTTCATTTTTTTTAAATTTTTAGCCAAATCATTTTTTCTAGCAAGTGTATACATTCCTGGGAAGTGATTAATTTTTTAATGACTGCTCATTTTGCCTAAATATTCAGGTTAAACTGCATTATCTGTCCACACAACATCACAATCCATATTTTCAATATCATAACATAGTTTCCATTTTAATAATTTTTTTGATACAAATCTAACAACAGGGTATTGTGTATCTATATTAGTTATTATTTTGTATATAATAGTTTATTTTTTTACCTACTACATTTATCGTTATTTTTTAGCTTTTTTTTTTTGGTAGTAGCTATTATTTTTCGCTTATTTTTTTTTTTAGTTTTATTTCTGGTTTTGTGACAGTAGTTACACCATCTTCTGATATCACTTATGTATTTTTTTGTGATGCAGGCTCTTAATATGATTCTGATGATTCTCCAGAATCGGAATATGTTCCATTGTATGTAGCAGCATCTTGATCATTCTAAATACCTAAAAATTAACAATTTTATTCAAATAATTCCATTCAAATTTATTATTTTGTTTTTAAATTTTAATATATAATTTATTTATTTATTTTATTTTATATTATATAAAAAATAAAATAAATTATTAATATGTATTTTTATATGCAAACATTATTTAAATTTTATTATTTTTAAAGAAAAAAAAATTAAATGAAAATATATATATTATTTATCAATTGAAAAATATATAATATAAGTTAAAATATATAAAAGTCTTGAAAAATTAGTAATCTTTTCTTTTATATTTTATTTAAATTTAAAAAAAATTAATATAATTTATTTATTTATCATTTTTTTAATAATTTTATTATATATTTTTTATTAAAATAAAAAATAAAAATTAATTAATATTAATTTTAATTATAAGTTTCTTTACAATGTAAGAAATACTAAAAGGTTTTGACTTTATTGGATGGAAAATTGGATTAAATTATAAAAGAGATAATATTTTTAGAACAAAATTCGGAGGTGTGATAACAATACTATCTATATTAAGTATATCTTTACTTTTTTTTAACAATGTAAGTTTTTATTATTATTTAGTAAATAATAAATAATTAAAAGGTTATTGATTTCATAAAAAAAAGTAAATTAATATATTATATTAAATAAATTTAAAAAAAAACAATAAATTATTTAAGAAACTGTTCATGTTAATAGTTTTAAAACTTATAACTTTAAGCCTGATCCAATATATTTAGATAAAAATAATTTCATGTTTGCAATAAGTATAGATTAAGAAAATTTTATAAATAATCCTTATTATTAAATTTAGTTATAAAAAAGGAAATACTATAAAAACGAATAAAATTAATAAATTAAATTAAAAGTTATTTTAAAAAATAAAAAAATATTAAAAAATACATAAGGAATTTATAAAACTGGAACCTTGTACTAAAGAACATTGGTAAGACGTAAATTCTCAGTATTTAAATTATACCGATATATTCATCTAAAATAATATAAATAAATACTTATGTCCCTAGTATTATTTATTAATTATTTATAAAACTTATTTTTTTAAAAAGGAAAATGCAAAATTTTACACTAGAAGGTTCATATTCAGCCGATATTTTTTAATTTTTGAAATTATCAGTAATAAAATGTCAAAATAATACATTATAAGCAACATCAACATGGAATCCAATATGTAAATCATAGGATGAAATAAATCAATTTAATAAATAAAGGGAAATAAAAATGTCTTTACTTTTCCCAAATTTTGTAATAAACCCAACTAAACCAATAGATTATGTCACTAGCTTTTTAAATGATGATATATATTTTTATATTAAACCAGAAATGGTAATATTTAAAAAATTTAAAATTTAAAACAAAAAAGAGGTATAGTAGTATAAATATATACTTAGGAGAACATCAAATAGAAACTGATAATAGCATGCTTCCAATCAAGTCTATAATTAAATAAAAGTTTGTCAAATATAATCCTAATAGTTTAAGAGAATAGCAAATTCCTGGAGACTATGATCAAATTGCAGATATTTATTTACATAGGGATTAGTATACTGATTATACAAAAAGAAATTTTTAAAAGTTAGATGAGCTAGTTTCTTACTTAGGAGGATTCTTTCAAGCAGCAATTATAATTATCGCATTAATAAGTTTTTTTTTATAAAATATATAAATGAATTTATTTATATAAATATTAAGTAAAATAATATAATGAATATGTATATGGTATTGATTTGGCAAATAAATTATATGATATTGATTTAGGTGGTAAATAAAAGAAAAATGAAAAGAAAAGAGAATTTTAAAAAATATCTAATTAAAGTGAAAACGTTAACAAGAATATATTAAAATATATCGAAATAAAAAATATGAAATGTGAATAAGAAAACAATTATCAAGAATAAAAATAATAATAATAAAATTTAGATAATTATAATATGAATAACTTATGTGAAAATAAATATAAATCTAATTTAATTGGAAATATTTAATAAAAATAATAATATCTTTTATAAAATAAAGATAGTCATTAATATTTAAAAATTTAAAAAATAATTGAAAATAATTAAAAAATTGAGAATCAAAAAAATAATATCTTTCCAACAAATTAAAACTTTTAAATGAAATAATAACGCTTTTCATCTCTAATAAACATAGAAATATTTAAAAAAAAAGATTATTTCAACTTAAAATCTAATTATCTTAAGAAATCTAAAAGTCAAGAAAACAAAAATAATTTATTTATCTAAACTAATAATAGACCTCCTACTTTTTAAAAGAAATTATCTTTTTAAAAAAAACTGTTTTCAAATGTATTTTAAAATTCAACTGTTCCAAGGTGTGATTTTGTTTTAAATTAATAATAAGATTCAATAAAATTATAAAATAAATAGCAATTGTAATCTTTATAAACAAAATCTTTATTTTAAAAATCAATGAGTTTTATCTAAAAATAAAAATAATCAATTTAAAAAAAACTTCAATAGAATAATATAATGATATATTTTTATAAACTGATGATTAATTATATTATATATTAAAGAATAAAAAAGAAAAAGGAAATTCTACAACTTTGAATAGTTTTTAGAATAACATAAATTGCTTTGAGTTACCATAAAAAAGTCATAATAATAATTTCTAAACTATAAATAATACAAACAATTAAAACGAATTACTCTTTTAATGCTCTTAATATTAAAATCCAATATTAAAAAATTTATAAGAATAAAATAATCCAAACTATAATCACATAGAAAGTCCTTATAATAATAAATTGTTATTTACATTATAAACTGATAGAGATGCAAACAATTAAAATGAACCTTTAAATACTGTTTAATGTAATAAAATGTATAGTAACTCATATTTTGCAAATTGTTCATAATAATAAGAATATCCTATAAAAAGTACTAACGACAAAATCTAAAATAATTCTTATTATTAATTCGAATAAATAATAAAAGATCCAATTTGTATTAATATTAAAGATAATGCTGATAATAATATTAAAAAAGTAAATAATTAAAAAAATAAATATGCTTCAAATAAATAATATTAAAATATTTCAAACATAAAATAAATGTAAAATTAAAAAATTTAAAATAATTAGATATTTAAAACTTCAAATTAAATTTAAAAATCCGATTAAATTAAAAATTATAAAATTTTAATGGAATAATATTAAAAAAATCCTAAAGATAATAATAATAAAACATTTTAAAATTTATAAACTCAAAGTTATATAAAATAATTTTAAAAAAGTCCAAACAGCATACTTTTTAATTAATTCAAAACAAATAATTAAACAAAATTATAACAAAGTTAACCAATCAACCCAAAAAAAATATAAGTACAAACTTTAAGTATAAATAAATAAATAAAAATTGAAAATAATTAAACCCCGTAAACAAAAAATTAATAATATTTATAAGAATTTGATGAAGAACTTTAATAAATAATAGACAAAGATGAATTACTTTAATTAAATTATGAATATTTGTTTTATAAATTAACTTGTGGAAAGCTCTTTAATACAAAGAGAGTAAAATTAATAGAAAAAGCAATATAGTTTGTCTAAGAAGACCTTGACGTCTTTTTAATTATTGAAAAGCTTAAAGAGGTTGAAAAACTTAAAAAATTGTTATTAAATAAGCAACAATTAATTCTATTTAATTTTTTCCCAAAGCCAATTATTAAAGTTAAATAAGAAGAAATTATTCCTTCTAGAATATCCATGAGTAGAGATCAAGTTCATTTAGCTTCTCCCTAAAGGTCTACTTTAAGACCTAATTAAAAGAAAAAGAAAAAAATCGGAAAGTTTACTAATAAATATAAAAAATATGGTATTGTTTTGAAGGCTGTTTGTAAATTAAAAAAAAAAAAAAATTCTTCCGAATAAAATAATTCATAATATTATAAAAAACTTTATGAAGCTTACGAATAAGTTAGTGAATAGGAAAATTAAGAGTATTATTGTATATTATTAATATTTTTATCTTTTAAAATAGTTTAAATAGAAAGCTTATCAATATGCTAGGAGATGATATTAAAGGTTTATTTTAGAAAAGAAAAGAGTATTATATATTTATTGATTAAAATATTTTTATTTTATTTTTAATAAAAAATAGTATAAAAATGAAGAATTAACAATTATAATTTAATTAGCATACAAATTTAAAATTTCTAGAGTGACAAAAGTATATATTTAAATAAAATAATCAAAAAATTATTTTAACATTTCATATAAATTTATAATATATTATAATTTTAAAATTATTTTAATATTTTTTTATATATTTTATATAAGAAATCAAATATAATAATTTATAAAATAGATATGATAAAATAAAAATATAATTAAAAAAAATTAAACATATATAAAAGAATATATCATTTTCATTATTATACTTGTTCTTTTCATCTAAAACATTCTCATGTTATATATTTTTTCTTAAGTTTAGCTTCCATTTTTTTAAGCAGTTTTTTAATTTTAAGTTTCTTAAGCAACTTTTTATTCTGCTTATAGATTTAATTATTGAATTTCTTTATCATTAATTAATTCTTCTTCTCCAATTTTTTAATTATTTTAATTTTTCATTTCTTCATCAGGAATATAATCAGGTGGGAAATTAAAGAAAGGAATATTACCTCTTTGCCAATCCATAAGAACTATTTTTGAAACAGTCTTAATATCAGGTTCACCTCCCTTTATTATTAAATATATAATTATAATAAAAATAAATAAATTAAAATATACCTTTTTTAGTTTCCCTTTTTTCTAGGCTAATAATTCAAGGAAATGTTCATCATTATCCCATTTATCAATCCCATAAATTCTCTTAATATGAACATGATCTGCCTTTTTTAAAATGGCATGAATATAATAACTTGGATCATCGATTTTTTCAGCTCTAATACATCCTTTCAAGACCACTTCAATGTCATTTCTTCCATCATGATAATAAACTACACCAGGACAATCAATTAAGTAAATTCTCTTTGTCAAAGTAATATATTACCAGACTCTAGTTTCTCCAGGGATAGGGGCACTTTTGCATACTTTTTTTTATTTTATAGAATTAATAACGGATGATTTTCCTACGTTTGGATATCCAATAAATCCTACACTAATATGTTTTTTATCCTTATGTACATTATCGAATTACCTCAAAAGATTAATTAAAGAGCCTTTACCGAAAGGATTATTCAAAGAAGCATGATAAGCTAAAGTCGGAAAAAATTAATTCAAATATTTCAACCATTTAGCAGTTACCCAAGTAGGTACTAAATCACATTTATTTAAAATAAAAACTAAATGTTTGTTATGACAAGTTCTTTTTATATGATCTTCAACATGTTTAGATCGGGTTCCCATTGGGTCTCTTGAATCTAATATTTATACTACAACATCTGAAGCATCCAATACTTTATATAATTCTTCCCAAATTCTTCTAGATTGACCGGCTTCCATTCTTTTGTCTCTACATTCTTTTCTATGATCTAGCATCTATTAATAATTTATTTATATTATATTTAAATGCTTATTTTATTTTTTACATCTTATTTATGTAAATCTTTATCTTTAGAATGGTCATATTTTTATTCTTGTTCTACAACTTTTTCAATCATATCTTCATATGTATAGTTATCAGTTTTAACTCTCTTTCTTCTGGCTTTAGGTCCGAAAGTATCCTTTTTTTTGTTTTTATTTTTTTATTTAAATAATTTTTACTTCATATTTTTCTATATCTAAAATATTCATTTTAGAATCAGTGTTAGCATCTGTTAATAATGAAATTGGCAATTTCTTTTTTCTTACAATTAAATGTCTTGGATCATTTGATCTTTATGCCATTTCTACTCTGAATTTTTCCAAACTTTTTTAATCTATTGTTCGAACTGGTCCAAACCATTTTCTATCAGGTGCAATTCTTGATGGCTAAGTTTTTTATTTATGCATGGCTTCCCTATAAATAAATTTAAACAAAAATTTAAATAATATTTTATATTTTATTACATGTCAGGCTTATCTTTGTACATATTCAATCTTTTTATTTAATTTTTAGAACGTAAGTGACTGAATTTTCCATCTCCTTTTCCAGGTAGTATACGATTTGGATTATCCGAATTCATTGATTTTGAAGGTTTTTTTTTATTTTGTTTCCATTTGTTTTATAATTTTTCAACATGTTTTGCTTTTTTGGAAGTTACTGCCTTTTTAGCCATTTTTTTTTAATATTACTTTTTTTTTATTTTGTATTATATATATTTAACTTTAGTTAAAATACTAATTATTAATTATAAAAAATTAACAAAATAAAATTAATAATATATATATATTAATTTAGTTAAATATATTTTATATTTATTATACTTATTATAAATAATTTTATATAGAATCTATTTATTTGATTAATTATTAAGTTATAATCGTTTGTAATAATACTTACTTATATTATAAAAAAAGATATTTTGAAATATATAATAAATGAATAAAATATATTTATATTAATATTTTAAATTATAATGTTAAATAATTTAAAACTATTTTTTAATAATTTAAATTAACATTAATATTAAATATATATTTTTTTAATAAAAAAAATATATAAATATAATCGTTTTTATATATATTGAAGAACTAAATTAAATTTAAGAATATTTATTCTAAAAAAAATAAAATATATTATAGTTATTATTAAAAATAAAAAATTCTTATTATTATTCGAATTTTATTAATTTTTTAAAATTATAAATATAAAAAAGTATTAATAAAAAAAATGAGTTAAAGAAAATAATGTTATTATAAAATTTTAGGTTTAAGCAAAAATGCAAACGAATAAGAAATTAAAAAAGCTTACAAAAAACAAGCTTTAAAATGGCATCCTGTATATTTTAAAATATTAATTTATTTTTAAAAAATATTATATATATTATATATAATATTTAAAATAAATAAAGGATAAAAATAAAGATAATAAAGAAATTGCAGTAGAAAAGTTCAAAGAAATTGCAGAAGCTTATAGTATTTTATCTAATCCTGAAAAAAAATAACATTATGATTAATATGGACATAATGAACCTCCATAAGCATCATATAAATAATAAAATAAAAATTATGATAGGTAATATGAGGATTAATTTTAATATAGAGGTAATGCTGATGATTATTATAGAAATGACGATGAAGAAGATTTCTATTACGAAAATGGATTTAGTGGATTTAACAATTTAAAAAATAATAGAAATTATTAATAAAATAATTTGAAAAGAGACTTTTCCTTTTAGCCTTTTACTTTTTAAAGAGCCGAATAAATTTTCAGGGAATTCTTCGGTTCAGATTTGTAATAAAAAATAAAATAATAAATTTAAAATAAAATTTATATATAAAATATAACTTATATTTAGAAATTAATAATATATGTTAATATAATATTATAATAACATAAAATTCTTTTAAATATTAATTAATTAATTCAAACAGAAAAAAATTCTGTTTGTGAATAGTTATATTTATTTATTAATTATTTATTTTTTAACAAAAGTGGGTTTGATTTATTTAATGATAATGATGATGATGATTTTTTAATGATCCTTTTTTTAATATTGGAAATTAAAATAAACGCTAGTAAAAATAATTGAAAAATAATTTTAGTAATAATGATGATTTTTTTGGTTCTAATATGTTACTTGGTTTCGGAAATGATTTTCGTTCCAATAATAATTTTTTTTCTAAAATTGGACATACTATGCTAGATTAAAATTTTCCTAGTTAAAAAACTAATGGAACCCATAAAAGTATTTAAACTTCTACAGTTGTAAGGTTTTTTTAAAAGAATTTTTATTTTTATTTTATTTATATTTTTATTTATAAGAAATGGCAAAAAAGTTACTATTACAAAAACTACGATAAGAGATTAAAATGGAAATGAGCATACTGAGGTAAATGAATAATATGGTGATTATTAATAACCTATTAGCTATAATAATAATTTTAACAATAATAACAACAATAATAATATTAGAAAAAGCCTAGCTTCAAATAAAATATAAGAAAATGATAGAATTACTTAAAAAAAAGATATTAAACCTAAAAATTTATAATATTCTAATAATTTAACCAATAACAAAAAAATTTATAAAAAATGAAATTAAATATATTATAATAAAAGTTTATTTATATATAAAAATATTACATATAATTTTATAAATAGAAATTAAAATTTAATTTATATTTTTATTATAAAAATAAAAATTAAAAATACAAAACACAAAAATTTTATAAATGATTTAAGAAAAAATATAAGTAAAACTAAGCATCATTATGCTATATTTTAATTTTTTATTTATATAATCTTAAATTTTCATTTTTAATTTAAAATTAGATTTTAGGTCAATTAATTAATTTAGATAAATAAAATAAACTTCCTGAAAGAATTCAAGAATTTAATTTACTTACATAAGACAATAAGTTCTTTTAATTTTTAAAATAACATAATAAACAATTAATTGAAGATTTTTTTTTAAATTCTTATTTTGTTTCCTATAAACATAACTAAGTTATTTAATAAATAAGTATTAATTTATTTCTTTTATATATATTAATTATAAAAAGATGAGTTTGCTGATAAATTTTATGTTATATTAAACGGAAATGTTTAAGCTTTTACAAAAAAATAAAATGATTAATAAAAATAATATAATGAAAAAATTCTAATCAAAGGTGACTATTTTAACTAAATATCAATTATTAGAAAGAAAAAAAGTTAGGTTTCTTATATAGCAAGTAACATCGAAATAGGTTGCTAAGTAGCAGTTTTGGAAACCAAAAATTTTGATTTAATAAAAGAACTATTAAATATTTAAATTAATGAAAATTTATCATTTTTAAGAAGCCTTCCTATGTTTTGGCACTTAAATGATTTATAGCTCGACTTATTATATTTATTATAAACAGAATCTTTCTATTATGAAAAATAGGCAGTTTATTTTTAAGGAAATAAAAGCTTTAATTTTTATATAATTAAAAATGGAATATTTGATGTTCTTTTTTTTTTTAAAAAAAAAAAAATTAATTTAAATTATAAAATTAAATATAGGTTTACAAATACTATCAAAATCTTTAGTTCAGAAAATATTTTGGTAAAAACGAAGAATTTTATTATGAAAGAAAAAATTAATTTATAACTTTTGATGAAAATAAAAATATTAAAGTAAAAGAATTAAAAACAAATGACTATTTTGGAGAAGAAGAAATTATAAAAAACTAATGCAGATAATTTTCAATAATAAGTGCAAGTAATTAAGGCGAACTAATTTAATTTACTAAATTTGCTTTAAAATAATTATTTTTATAAAACAAAAGAATTAAAGATTATATAATATCAAAAGCTAAGATTAAAAACAATTAAAATATTAAAATTATGGATTCAGTTTCTTAGTATGTTTCTGCGGCTAAAACTGAAGTCCTCCATTAAGATTTCGACAAAGTTTCTTATTGTGAAGATTTAGTTAAAAATAGGTCTTTTAGTTAATATGGAATATAAAAATTTGAAGAGAAAAAATAACAATTAAAACTTCCTGTTTTGAATAATAAAGCATATTTTTTTGACGAATTAAAAACTTTTTATATAGAAAAGAAATATAAAAGCATTGATTTTAAAAAAATTACAGATTTAAAAGTTGAATATAAATAAAAAAATAAAAAAAAAGAATATGGTTATAATTTTGAAAATTTAAATTTACTTTTATAAAAAAAAGGCTAAAAGCTTTTAAAAAATAATTTAACTTAAAAAAATATAAATAATAAAAAATAAAATATTTGTTATATAAATAATAATTATTGTGAAGAAATAAAAGTTCGTATAAATTAATATCAAAAAGAGAATGATAATAAAGAAAAAAATTAAAAATTAATAGTAATTATGAATGATTAAAATAGATAAAAAGAAAATAAAAATTATAAAATAAATATTTATTTTGAGAAAAATAAATGAATGAAAATATTGCAAATAAAAATTATGTTTTTAAAAAAGTAGTATTTTATTAAAAAATTTAATATATTAAATAATGATAATTAATTTATTAATTTAATTTTTATATAAATATAAAAAATAAAGTAAATATATATATTAAATAAATTTAAATATAAATAAAAAAAAATATATATGTATAATAAGATATATAACATTTTAATAGTATAATTTAATTTTAATTAATTTTATTTTTCTATAATTAAAAAATATTTATATAAATATAGATACACATATATAAATAAATATATATAAATATATTATATATATATTTACATATTTTTATATATATACATATAAATTTTTTATGTACTTTTATTAATATTTTTTTATAAATATATTTTTTTATTCCTTTTATTTATATATTTAATTATTTTTATTTATTATTATAAAAGAATATCTATCTTTGACATAATAATATTAATATTATTTTTTTATTTAATAAATTTTTTTATTTATTTAAAACATTTATAATAAATATTATGCAAATATTCTCAATTTTCTTTTTTTTTTTAAATACATATGCCTAAATAAATTATTTTATTTTATTTATAATAAATTAGACTATTTAATATTTGTTTTGTTTTTTTTTAGAATTATATTTTGAATATAATTATTCTTATAATCTTTATTTAAACATTAAATTATATAAAACTTTTTTTATTCGGTATATATAAATTAATAGTCTATTTATAAAAGAGTTTTAATTTATATTGAAAGTGTATTCTAAAATAAATAAAATTATTTTTATTTATAATTTATGATTAGAAATACTTCTAATTTAAGAAAATTTTGATTGAAATTTTACTTAAATATCTTAAAAATAAACTTTATCTATTTATGATATAATAATAGAATTTATAAAAATGAAAATGAATAATTTTATTTTAAATTGCATTTTTTTAATAAATATAATATATCAAATCAAAGAAATAAAAATTTATTTAGCAGGAAGTATTTATAGTAATTAATTAATAGTAATAAAACTGATATTAGCACAATATTGTTTTTTATAAATATAAAATAAATTAAAAAACTTTGATTATCTATTTTGTTTAAATATAATTAATATTTTTTTTTTATTTTTTTTAAATATTTTAAATTTGTTTCTAATGTTTATGATAATAACTTTATATTTTTTTTATTAATCTCAAAAATGTAATTATTAAAATAAATTTATATGAACTCTATTTTTTAAAGTAGTGCTACTTTCTCATTTAACTTCATTTATACCTTTTTATAATTAATATTAATAATATGTTAATTAAAAAAAATTAAATTTTATAATTACCCTTAATAAAAAGGTTATTAGTAATATCCAGATTATTATTAAAGCGGATATTATCCTTATTAAGGAGGGTATTAACCTTATTAGGGAGCTCCTGATTATTTAGGAAATCCTTATTGCGGGGGAAATCCTTACTAAGGAGGAAATCCTTACTAAGGTGGAAATCCTTACTAAGGAGGAAATCCTTATTAAGGAGGAACTCCTTTTTAAGGAGGAAATCCTTTTTAAGGAGGAAATCCTTATTAAGGAGGAAATCCTTATTAAGGAGGAAATCCTTATTAAGGAGGATATCCTTACTAATGATTGGATTAGTTCATTTATTAAGGGTATTGATTATTAGGTTTATAATTATTCCATTATTAAGGATATCCAAATTATTATTATTATTAAAGCTTTATTTCATTATAAAAATAAATTTTAATAAAATTAATAATTAAATTTTTAAAAATTACTTAACAATATGACATAAGGATAGTTTAAAACTCATTTTAAGTAATAGTTCCAGATTTATCTAAGTCAAACTTAGTAAAGGCCATTGAAATTTCTTAATTAGAAAGATTCGGATCCATTCTTCTTAAAAGCATAGAAAATTCATTCATATCTAATTATTAATCTCCGTTTTTAATATACTTAGTAAACAATTCATAAAGATTAATATTATAATAACCAATAGCATATTTTAGTTTTTCTATTGCTTATTCAGCATTTTTGGCTTGCGCTTTTAATTAATTAGGGTCATATTATTACGATTATAAAGCCTAAGAATTTCCTAATAAAGAACAAAATTCATCAAAAGTAATTCCTCCGTTTCTTGCTATATCAAATTTACTAAAAACGATATTTATTTCATCTTGTGTTATTTAGTATTCTATTTTTCTTAATAATTCACCAAATTCTTATTGGTTTAATGTGGCATCTGCTTATTTATCATACATACAAAATAATTATGCTATATCTATTTTGTGATATTAAATTGAATATTTCAATTTATTAATTATATCTTGAGCTCTTTATTCTTAATATTAGTTTAGTTAATAAGGTTATTAAACTATTTTTTATTTTTTTTAATGTAAAAACAATATTTAAAACCTTATGGATATTATCCAGGTAGGCTAGAAAATCCTGGATATTATTATTATTATTAGTTATACTAAGGCGGATATTGACCTTGTTAGGGAAATTGTTATTAATAACCTGGCTAATTATAATTTGATGGATTTTATTAAGGGTATTGTTAGTTAGGTGGATAGTTGTATTGTCCTTGGTAATTTTACTAATTCATTATTTTATATATATATAAATATTATGATATAATAAAAAATATAATTATTATATAAATAATATAATTAAATTTTATTTAATTATAAGAAACAATCAATAGAAATATTTAGTTTTAAATAAATGATTTATATATTAAAAATAATAATTATTTATTTTACGTTAATTATATAATAAAAATATTTTATACATATATATATATATATATATATATTTATATATATATATATATAAATAACATACTTATTATTTTTATTTTATTATTATTATTTTTTTATTTATTAAATATTAATATTTATACTTTTAATTTTTTCTTTTTTTTAAATTTCTATAATATTTATTTTTTTTATTTATTTAAAATACAATTTCATAATTTTTTTTTTTTTATTTAATAAATATTATATTTTTTTTTATTTTTTTTCATTTTTAAAATTCTTTTATCTTTTTTGAATATATTTTTTATTTAATTTATATATATATATTTTTATAAATCATTTTTATTTTTCCTTTTTTTTTCTATTATTTCTATTATATAATTTAGTATAGGTTTAAATAATATTAAAGTTTCTTTTTAAATATATTTTTTAAATTAATTTATTTTTATAAAATTTGTATTATAGATTCTTTTTGTATATTAATATTATTTAAATTATTATTAAAGCTATTATAGTTTTATAAAAATTAGTATTTTAAAATTTATTATTTATAAGTTTAATAGAAATTTATTTAATTTTTATATTTTAATAAAATCTAGAATTAAGTTTAGAATATAAGTTTATTATATGTTTATTATTATTCTGAAATTTAATTTATTTTAATCTTAAACTATGAAAATGTATACTTATTTTATTAATAAATTCTTTTCTGAATCTTCCATTATAAAATAAATTTTGAAATAAACTATAAAATAAGTGTATATATTTTAATTTTTATATTTTTTATTTTCTTTAAAAAAAATAATATTAAAATGTATTTATTTATGTTTATACGAATAAATTTAATTTTTAATTTCTTTATATTTTTATAATTTAAAAAATTTCTTTCATTTAAAATTATAAATTATATTTTTCAAATTTGTTTTGTATTTTTTTTTTCAAATTAAAAATATTTATCTTTATTATTAAAAAAATTATAAAAAAAAGATATATATATAAATAAATATAAAAATGGCGAATATTATAATTACAGGAGATTTATAATATACAATTTAATATTATGAAAACAAACTAGAGTGATTATTAAATATATTTTACTTTTAATTAAAAATAAATATTTATTTTTAAAAATCAAATAATTTAATTTTTTAAAAAATAGCATAATTTATAATTTAATTCCTTAATAAAGTTTACAAGTTAATATTGAAGAAAATGTAAATTATATGAACTTCTAATATAGTATAATTAGTATAATATTATTATAGATAGGAAAATAAGTTAGTGTGTGTTCTTTTAAAGACTATATCATCCAAACTATTCAATATAAAGAAGGAAATTATTAAATTATTTTAAGATATCTTAATTTATAAATACTATTTGAATCTGAACATAAAAAATTTAGTATTACTTCGCCAATAGTTTGCTTTATTTAATATTTTTAGGATACATTGTTACTTTTTACAAAAGATTTTAAAATCTATTCACTTTTAATTAGAGAAAAGAAAATAATATTAACTATTGATTTGTTAAATGAAATAAGAAAAAAAATTGATGAAAAATTTGTAAAATTGGTAAAAATAAATATATTAAAAATGCTTTTTTTAAAAAAAAAAATTAACCAATTTTTATTTTCTTTTTTACTAGAAATATGAATTAAAAGGAAATATTTTAAATTTATATTTATAAACCTCATATAATTAAATAATTAATGTTACTTTTATAGAAGGCTAATATAGTAATACTTAAATTTATTAAATTGATTATTAATTCCAAGATTTTGAAATATAGAATGATGAAATATATTCAATCAAAGTAAAAGATAATTAGTTCTTTTTAGCTTTAGTAAAATAAATAAAAGAATTTTATTTAGACAATTTAAAAGATATATCAGACATAAATATATAAAAATTAGGCAATAATTTGTTAATATCTTATATTTTTAAGGTATTATTTTATTTATTTTTAACAAAAAATATTAAAAACAAATAGAATTGGATAAAACTTATTTAATTTGATGTTTAAAGATAAGTCATTTAATTTAGAAAAGATTTTTCATTAAATGATTAAAGTAAAAATATTCAAAAATTTTAATTAACTAATAAAACTTAATTTTTAAATGAAAATAAATTTATGAGTTAAATATGTATAATAAAAATTGAAAACTAAGATTTAATTATAAACATATAAGATATTGAATATTAAATTGAAAATTATATTTTACCAGAAGATTTAAATCAAATTTATACTAAAATTTATTAAATTAGAACAGATAACATTTAATTACTTCATTATATATAATAATAATAATAAAACTTACCTAAATATATATTAGATTAAAAAAAAGATACACTAAATTTTTTATATTTGCTTATTTAAAATAATTAGTTTTATATATTAGATAAAATTTTGAATTAAAGAACTCCAGTTCAAAGTATTTTTTATTATTTTAATTTTAAATATAAAAAATTATTAAGGAGATGAAAATATATATGAATACTCTATAGTATACATAGAATAATTAGAAAATGAACTAGATTATATTATAGTATTTAGTGATTTAAATTAATAAATCAATAATTCTTTTGAAAGTTAATAAATTGTTAATAATGATTTAATAGATAAATTTTTAAATACTCTGAATTGCGTAATTGAAATATATAGATATATTTTAATGAGAAAAGAAACGGAAGCATTTGAAAATATGAAAGAAAAATAATTAAATAAATTCAGTGAAGATCATAATCAAGCAATAATAAAAACTTAAAAATATATAGAAAAATAAAAATAAAAAAAAGAATTTATACAATTATTGAAATACATTTAGATAAACAATTTAGTCTTTAATAATTAATCATATATAAAAATATTCTAAAGTTTATAAAATTTAAGATTAGAAAATTAATAAACGTATTTATATATTATATAAATATATATATATATATATATATATATATATATATATATTTATTTTTTATATATATTTATTCTATATTTATTTATATTTCTTCAATTAGAGTTAATTAAATTAGAATAAATTTTGAATTATAAATTTCTCATCTTTTTATAGATTATATACTTTTTAATTATAATCTTAAACTATAGAGTCCTATTCACTCATTAAACTTAATTAAATAGTACAAAGATAACTCAAATTTCTTAGTACACTTATCTATATATAAATATTTGGAAGAATTTGATAAATTATATAATGTTTAAGAATTACAAATTTTTTGTAAAGCATTTAATTTAGATTACGACTATTACAACATAATATCATAATTAGATTATTTAAACTAATATAATAGAAAAGAGCTATTTTAATTAATTTTGAATTAAAAAGAAAAATTTTGTTGTGATAAATTAAAAATTTTTATAGTTTGTAGATTCGCAATTTAACATTTTAAATTTGAAACTTTTTAATTAATAAAGTAGTTTAATTTCAAAATAAATACTAAAGAAAATGCATTTATTTTTAATAGAATTTTTATTTTTCTTTAAGATGTATATTTTTTTATTTTTTAAAAATATAAAAAAATATCTTTATATATTAATTATTAATTATAGATAAATTAAATATTATAAACAGTTTTTTATAAATATTTAGTATTTGATAAATCCCATTATTTTGAAATATTATAAGATTTAATTAAATTAATTATTGATAAAGAATTAATAGATAGATTTTTTAGAATTGAATTCAATCCCCAGTAAGAATAATAAATACTAAAAGCATTTAATACATTAGCATAATCTAAGAATTACTATATGTCTTTATTTATCAAATTTTTGATTTATAGAGGAAAAGAAAATGATGCTATGTAAAAATTTGAAATTATATATTAGAATTTTAATGATTAATATTAAATTATGAATATATTTAATTCTTTAATTCAAAAATATTCAGAAATTGAAAAATAAACTATATATAAAAAATTCTCCTTTTTTGAAAAATCTGATTATGAAAATGGATAAAGGGAAAGTATGAGCATTGAAGATAATCCTCTTAATTAAAGTTTAAATATAGAAAGCTTAAAATATAATTATAATGTATTTTTCTAAAATAATTAAGATTTTGAACAAATTAATGAAAATATATGACAATATGAATTTATTTTTATATATATATTTATTAAATAAATTTTATATATATTTTAAATTAATTTTAAATTAAATTAAATTTTTCATTTTCTTTTATTTTTTTTATTTTAATAATTAAAAATATTAAAATAAATATTATATATAATTAATTTATATTAAAAATCTGATTTATTAAAATCCATAAAAAAAATTTAATAATAATAAAAAAAAATAAAAAAATATTTAAAAAATAAATTTGTATTTTTTTATAAAAAATAAAATAAATTAGAACATAAAGAATTAATATTAAAAATTATTTTAATTAAAAAAAAAATATATAAAAATATAAAATATTTAATAAAATTTTATGATTATTAAATAATTTTGGCCAAATATTATAGAATAAATAAAAAAAAGAAACATTATTAAATATATATAAAAAATAAAAGAATTATATATATATATATATATATATATATATATATATATAAATTTATATATATATATATTATTTTTTTGTTTTTATAAAAATATTATATTTAATAATTATTATTCATATAAATTATTATATTAAATAATTATATGGAAAATTTAATCAACTTTTAATAATTTATATACTATTAACTTCCTCCAATAGTTTAATAAGAAAATCCTACTATATTATTCCTAATAGAAAATGAATATGGATTACCTTATTTAATAAGAGATTAATTACAACAAGAAATAAAAAAAGCTAACATAATTTTTACTTCATTTTAGTAAATAATAAATTAAAACTAATATAACAACTCTTAAAAAGAATTATCTTAGTTATGTGAAAAACTAATTTCTACAGAGAGATTTTATGATGAACAAATGCGTAACTTTATAATAGAATAACGAAAAATACACGACCATTAAATAAATATTAATACTATCCATAAATACTAATGGCAGAAATTTATAAAATAAACTATAATTTAATTTTATTTTGATGAAATTACTAAAAAATATAAAAATTAGGATATACATGTAGTACTTTTTATGAGCCCAAATCCTCTTGAAGAATACAAATTTAAAGAATATAAATAATTATTTAAATTAAATAATTCACGTTCAAAAATATATTGGGTTCCTAATAATAAATTCGAAGTTTAATCTTATTTAAATTTTGCTGTAGAAATACAAAATAAACTATGTACAGACAAGCAAGAGCATATTTTATGTTTTTATGAAAATTATCTTTTTGATGAAAAATATGAGCCAACTTATGAATATGCTAATTTTATAACTTCCCAAATAATTCAAGAAATGTATTTTTCATATGAAATAGAATTAGAGAAGTAATTTTATGAATTTCCTTGGTCAGATAAACCTTCTTCTGTAATAAAATAAAGGGATTATGTGATTTCTTATGAGGATTATGGGGAAGAAGTAGCTGCCAAATTTAATAAATAATTAAAAATTTTAAAAATTAATTATTTCGATATATAAGAATAAATTGAAATGTTCGCAAATTGGGTTACTTAAATGAGAATTTAATATATTTTAAAATAAATAAATGAAATCGAAGTGGAATCAGCAATTATTTTCTTCTAAAATTTCCGAGATTACAATAAAGAGCTTTTAAAAACTGATCAATTACCTATAGATGTTCCTATACATAAAATGTCGGTAAGGTAACGTTTTATAGCTTAATAGGCCGAAAATTATTATTTTAAGCTATCTCTTTATATAAAAGGGTTAAAAGATTTGATTTAAAAAGATACAATAGATGATCTAACACCTGAAGAAGCCCTCTATAGAGAAAGAATAGGAACCGAGATAGGCAAATACCATTAAAGAGCTTTAAAAATGAAAGGGATAGGGAAAGATCAATTCCAGTAAATGAAACAAGAATTCATTTCTGTCCTAAATGAAATTTAAGGGGATTTAAAATCAAAAAAATCAGAGTAAAATCCTTCCGTTTTTTCACTTGAAAATTAACTTGATATTTTTTTACAGGAAGACTTAATAAACGCATTAAACGAAATTTAATCTTAATATTAAATAGTTTAAGCTTTTCCTATTATAGGTTTAGGAGTTGAGTTAAAAAGGACTAATGGATCTATGATTAATCCTTATCTTGTAAAAATTGAAAATATTGCAAAAATAAATGCAACAGTAGATACAGTTTCTATATAAATGGCTGATAATAAGACTCTGAGGTTGAACGCAGGATATTATATGGGAATGGGAGTCGGTAATAAATAAGAATAAATATAGTTTTATGGATTTAAGGAATAAAAGTGGACTTAATATTAACCAAGTAAACAAATTCTAAAAGATTATTAATAATAGGAATCTTTTTACTACAAAAATGAATAATTAGTCGAGATTATTAATGCTGTTTTGCCTTTGTTTGGAGAATAAGACTTTTTCATGAAAAAATTGGTAAAAACAAGGCTTTTTAATTTACTTATTAGTTTCAATGTAATGAAAAACGTGGACACTTTTTTTAATGAGGCCTATTTGTCTTTATTGGCGAATGCTTTTGTGTATTTTTTGAATTAAGATTTGGAATAATAGTGGGTTCAAGAGTATATTCAAAAGATTTTTTTCACAACAAAAATAGTATACGAAGATAGACCTTTCTTTTAGAAATTTTGCAGTAGATTGATTGAATAACCAAGAAGTGCTATGGTGACTTATAAAGAAGGACATGATACTTAATGTTAGGATCCTATTAAAGGTATCTTAGTGCTATTTTATTTAGTTAAGAATGGATAAATAGATAATACTTAAGGTAAAATAAGGGAAGTTTTAGAGAGTATTTTATAGGAAATAATCAATAGAGGATTTGATTATGGCAAAAAATTAACTGAATTTTTCGGAATAGTGGGTTATGATAACAATACTTTTAGTTAAATAAAAGATAAAATTTTAGAAAATGAAATCGGAGAAATATTTTAGTTCGAAAATGTGAATTAAATTGAAAAGAAAGTCAAAAATATACTCGAAAACGGTAATTTTTTCGACTTTTTGAAAAACTCAAAAATATTTATTTATAAATAATCTTTTTCATTTATGAATTTCGGAAAATTAAACTTCTACACAACAATGAAAAATGTATGTAAATATTTTGTTCCTGAAGAAAAATTTAGTGAAGCTTTATTGTGGATTTGGCTTTATCATGCGAAAAAATACACTACAAGTTATGAAAGAAACACTGCCCCTATTTAAAATAAAATATAAGTTGTATATAGGGCTATTAAAAATTTAAAAATAAATTCTTTTACATAAGAATAGTAAGATATCATTTTAATTGATTTAATGAAAATTCTTAAAAATAAATATTTGGAATTTATGCGTCCACTTCATTTTTATATTAAACCGGCGACAGTTGAATAATTTGCTAATTTAGAATTTAAGCCTTCTTTTAATAATGTCTCTAATTTAACTTTGAATGCATGTTTGGCAGTAAATTGCCCATTTTATATGAAAAAAATGAAAGGATTGAATAAACATATTTAAGATTGTGGAGCTAGTGTCCCTGCGTTTAACAAATCTATCAAAAATATGAAACATAAAGAACCAGAAGCGATTTTTAATACTGTTTGTAGAGCTAGGTTTTTGGATTATGACGAAGTAGAAAAACAAAGAATATTTTTTAATAATTAAAGAATTTAGTATATCCTTTAGAAATACAAAGACTAATTTATTGATGTTATTAAATAATTATAAATTGATTATATTAAAATTAATTGAAAAAAAAAATAACTATTTTATTTTATTTTATTTTATTTAATTTTATTTTATTTTTTTCTTTCTTTTTTTCTTTAAAATTATTATATATTGAAAATGAATTTATTTTATTTTTTAATTTTAATAAGTTTATAATTTTTATTTTAATAATTTTAATTATTAATTATAAATTTTTAATTAATAATTAATTATTAATTATTTGTTTTCATTTTTTAAAAAAATTTAAAAATAATAATTAATTAATATATAAACTAAAAATATATATTTAATTTATTTTTATAATTTTGGTTCTAGAGATAATTATTTTATTTTTCTTATATTAAGAAAAATTGTAATAATACTATTATCCATAAAAAAAAAAGTTAATAGAAATAAACAATATTATAAAATATAATTTTTATTTACCTTATAAAAACAAAACAAAAAATTACATTAAAAAAAAATGTTATAAAAAAAAAATATATCCTAAATCCTAATATTAATAATACTAGCATAAATAGTATAATCAGTACCTCTATAAACTATAATTGATACAAAAGCTTGCGATTTCGAGTAAACTAAAGTTTTATCCGAACAAATATTAGACTTTGCAAAAAAATGTATTCGTGTAAATTCGAAAGCATTGATAATATCGCTTAAATTAGTTCTAAAGAAAAAATTTAATCTTTACTTTTTCTCGAAAAAAATACAACTTTAAAGTTAAAAAAAACTTTTAAAATGATATTGTTACTTTAGATTTTGGATTTGTAGATATGATTTAATATTATTTATATAAAAAAATAGATGCATGCTAAACTCCAGAAAACAATACTATTCTAGGCAATGATTATGAGAATTGTAAACTTTGCAAAGGAAATTCCTTCTTTATAGCAGATGAAAATTAGAAAGATACTCTTAAGTTAAATGACGAAGACTTTTCTTATGATGTAAAATTTAATTATTTCTTTATATAATTATTAATTATTTTAATAATAAAAAAAGGACGCTACTTAAATATTTACAGCTACAGATGCAAAAAGTTTATAATAATTAATTGTTGAATCATTTTAATTATTATGGAACTGTAATAATCCTACAAAAATAATTTAAGTTAATGGATAACTAGATGTAGAAACTGAAGATGCCTTAAATAAAACTGATACCAATGGTTTCTAATCAAGATGTATGTAGTGTGAAGTTGAAAATTGTGGAAAATGTTCTTTATTAAGTACTGATTAATGTGAAATATGTAAAGAAGGTTATAGCTATAAAGACTCAAAATGTGTTGGCTGTTAAATAGATGGATGTAATGAATGTCCTTTAGGTATTTTTATTTTTTTTAGTACAAAATAAAGATAATTTTATTAAAATATATATAGATAAAAATGGAGAAGAAAAATGTTCTTAATGTATTAAAGGATTATATCTTTATGAAAACTAATGCGTATCAGAATGTCCTTAAGGCTTAACTTAAAGCAAGAAAGCATGTCTTGACTGCAGATTAGGTACCTATGCATCTGATTTCTAATGCCTTTCTTGCTAACCTAATACATGTAAAGTATGTAGTGGCCCTTAAATTAATTAATGTTAAACCTGTTTCGAAGGATTTGTGAGAGAGTATATTTTAAACAAAATATTTTTTTATTTAACTCTTTTTTTTTAAAAAAAAAAAACAAAGTGAAACAAATGGATGTAGACCTTGTGTAGGAAATGAATGCTGTGCATCAGATAAATGTGAAGATGATTAATTTAGATAAAGCGATTATCCATTTTAATGTTAATATTGTAGCGATTTATGTGCTACTTGTACAGGTCCAGATTAAGATAATTGTTTATCTTGCAAAAATGGATATTAATTGGAGGCTGGTTAATGTATTAATCCAGGAAAAAAAGAGTAATTTTTCCTTGATCCATAAACTAATATACTTACCCGTATTATTTAAAAAAAATATATTATTTTTAATTTTATTCAAAGCTTGCCATTTTTCATGTTTGGAATGTATTGATGCTTCTGAATATTGCACTATATGCAAACCTGATATGAATTACTTTATAGAAGTGTATTAAAATTTTTAAAAAAATAAAATAATTAATTTTATTCAAAAATAAATAGTGAAGACAGATTTTAATGTGACAGCAAATGTCCTATCGGTTACGAACCTGAAGCTGAAATATAAAGTGATATATAGATAAAATGTATCATTAAAAGTGAAAAACCTACTGTAGAAATAGTCATAAACGATCCCGATTTACCAGTTGACAATGGAAATGAATCTGATATTCCCTCAATTATAAAAGAAATGGACGAAATAGTAGGAAATTGTGCCTTTTCATAATATTGGTAATATATATAAATAAAAATACTAAAAAAGATTTTTTGTTATAAATAAAAATAATAGGGATGGTGAACAATGCTAATAATGTCCTTTGAACTGTATAGAATGTTTATCAAATAATGAATGCACAGAATGCTAATAAGGTTATTTTTGGACAAAGAAACATCCTAATGTCAAAATTGCCATTAAACATGTGAAACATGTACTGGTCCAAGCCATAAAGAATGTGTAAAATGTTTAAATATCTCAAATCTATTTCCATAAGATGGTATATGTGATACGAACGCATCAAGTGATGATTTAAACGATAAACCTTTAATTCCTAAATCTGAAATATTTTCTGATATAAACACTTGTAGAGCATTTGCTTCTTAAAGTAATAAATATAAAATAGATTTGATGCAAAAATACTCTAAAAACGACGCTAAATATTCCACAATCTCTTTAATTGATCCTAATGTATGTACAAAGGAAATTTTCGCTTAAAAATATGAAACTTTTGAGTAATAAATTCTTAATTAATGTGACTCTTCATAAATTAAAAAGACCACAATAGGCTAAAAAGGCTCCATGTTAACCATATTAGCCACCATTTTAGCAAAACACAGTGTTTAAATAGAATTAAAACCAGTAGACCCTAAAAATTTATCTGAATTTTGTATCAAAAATAGTCTTTTTACACCTTTATATATGAACAAACTATCCGACTCGTAATTTAAATGTTCTGATTTGATTTGTGAAGTTTTACAACAAACATACATTGACAATTTATCAAATAATCAGGGTAAACAAATAACCATAAAGAATGTAAAAGACATAACTTTAAAATCAATAAACAAAGATTAGCTAGACTGCTTCGATTCATCAAATTATGGGGAAGAAATAGATTCTTAAAATGTATAAGAAATTGAAAAAGCATTTGTTTCTGCAAAATAGAGCTAAGGAACCGCATTTTAATAATATATAGTGTTACAGTTGTGTGGAAAGTAAAATAATAACAATTTCTCATAATAAGTTTTAGTTCAATAGTATTTAGGGAATGGATTTGCGGAAGTTTTTTCCAGTGAAAATGGTGAAAATTTCAAAATATATATTTATGGAATAAGTTCTGAATAAAATACTTACATTTAAAATTGTGATGGTAGTTTTAAAAATGATTTCGATGAATACATTGTGAAAAGATTATCGGTATATTAAGTAGAAGAAAGTTAATCTGGTTTAAATAAAGAGGATGAGATGCTTAATTAATTTAAAAATAATGGATGTAAAATTAGTGAGGATAATTAAGAATGGGAATATATTTTAACAAATGAAGATAATTAGGGGGAGTTAATAAGATATATTACAGAAAAAAATACATTTATTACTAATAGTATATCCGCAAATGATATTAATACTATTTTGGAAAAATACGAAATCAATATTGATGATTATAGAGATAATAAAAAGACAATTTCTTAAGAATTGGCTGAAGAAATTTTCAAGCAAGTTATTTAGAATGTAATTAAAATTAGTTAAGAATGCTATGATTTTAATAGTACGCATAATTAGTGTGTGAAAAATGTTTTGGCTGATATTTTGTTCACTAATCATAATAATTGTTTTGAAGAAAAAAATATTAAGGAACATATGTAAAAGAAATAACATAGAGATATTTCTCAAATTATTAAAAATAGTACTTGGTGTTAAATAAATCCAAGTAGATGTGATAGAAATGTTTAGATTATGATTTCTTGCTGAAAAAAAAAAATTATATATTTTTTTTTTCTAATATTAAATTTTATTTTTATTCTTATTTTATTATTTTATAATATTTTTTTTTATATAATAAATAAATAAATTTTTTTAATATAATTTTTTGTTTTTAATAATTGATACTTTTATAACACATTTTAACATTATTTTATAAATTAAGATTTCATATTTATTCTATCTTATTGAACAATTTAATTAAAATTATTATAAATATATTATATATAAATATATATATATATATATATATATATATATATATATTTATTATTATTTTTTAAATGTTTAACATTATTTTATTTTTATTTTTATTCTCTTTTTTTTTATTTTTAATCGAAAACTCTAAGTTTTTTTTTTATTATTATTATTATTCACAATTAAATAACTTTTACAAATATTAAAAAAAATTAGTAGAATGATTAACCTTTTTCTATAGAATTCTCAAGAATTTATCAACATTATTTATACTTATATTTTTATAAATTTTATCCTCCAAAATATCATTTTAAATAATATCTAATTTTAAAAAAAAATCTGGCAAAATATTACAAAAAGAAGTCAAAACATTATGAATTTTAGAATTTTATTTTCAAAAAAGTAAATTTATTTTTAATAATTTTAAATTTCGTCTTTAAGTACTTTTTCTAATTTATCTTTTTTTAACTTATATTTAATTTTTTTAGAACAGTTTTTTAGTTATTTATATATTCTTCATTTTATTCTATATCTTAAATTTCCTTATTCAAATCATAAATAATATTTTATAAATTCAAGCTTTTTTAAACAAATCTTTCAACTTCTATATCTCCATTTTAAAAAATTTCCAAAAAATCAATAATATTATCTGAATTAGCCCTAATTTTTAATTTTTCTATTATTTCTAGATAATCGTTTTCTGTAAAATCGGAATTTTATTATTTTGAAGAAATTTACTTTTCTATTTTCTATGTATAATTATTTGGTTTTTCAATATTATTTGGAACTTCATAATTATTAGTTTCATTTTCTATTTCTTCTAACATTTATATATATTCTTCTTAAAAAACTTTTTATTCTTCTTCATAAAGAAAATATAGAAAACTTTATAATTCTTCAAGTTAAACTAATTGTGAAGTTAATATGTCATTTTCTAATATCATGTATTGTATTGTCTCTTCCTTTTAGTATATACTTTTTGCTTAATTTTTAAAAATATTATCAAATATTAATCTTTCTTTTCTTATTTATTTAATCTTTTATTTACGATTTATAAGTTAAGATACTTATTCGTTATCTTTTTGTAAATTTTTATCATATGTATTAATTAAATTTATATATTGTTTAAATAAATTATTAAAATTTCCATCCTTATTGTTTTTAATAAATTATTAATATTTTATTCTATTATCTTATATATTTTATAAAACATTATGAATTTATTATTTTAAAAATTACTTTATAAATAAACTAAATTATAAAATATTTATGCCTTAAATATTTTTTATTAAGTTTGAGTTTTTAGGTATAATATTAGATAGAAAAGCATTTTTTATAGTAAAATAAAGTTTATATAATAATTAAAATAATAACATATATATATATATATATATATATATATATATATATATATATATATATATATATATATATATTTGATATACATTTAATAAATAATTTAATGTTTTTATTGATTATTCATTTTGCTTTATAATTATAATTTTAATTTTTAGTCTTTATTTTCTTTCGTATTTTTTATATCTAAATATTTTATTTTTATTTTTACTTTATTTTTTCTATTTATAAAACATAAAATAATATAAACATCTACAATTATACAAATTTTCTTGAATTTTATAATATAATTATGATAATGAATAGTTTTTATTGTAATCAACTTTTTTTTTTTTTTTCCCTATTTTCCAGAATTAATTATTTTTATAAAATTATTCCCTTATCTTTTAATAGATTTAAAAATTTAATCATAATTTGGTCTTTAGGGTAATATTAAATTTTAATACAATCTATATTAAATCATTTTTTCTACACTATATTAGCAAAGTATATATATAATATTTTTCTCATTATTTATGAAAATATTAAATTATAAAATCACTCATATTTATTATCTAAAAAGGTTATTTTAAACCACAAATTTCATAAATAATGTATACAATACTGCATATGTTTCTGTTTAAGTTAATAGAGAGTTTTATCTAATCTTATTTTTTTCGAAACATTTAAATATCGGGTTTTGATTTTTAATATTATTTTCTATAAATTTATTAGCACTTTTTTAATCTCTAGTATAATAATTGAAATATCACAAATACACTAAAGCCCTTTTTTAATTATATGAAATAACTCTTCAAAGACTTTTCATTATTACATATAAATTTAAAATCTACTTATAAAAAAGACTTATTTTTATTTTTTATATATTTATTTTAAATTGAGACGATAAAACGGACTTCATTTTAAAGAGTTTACACATTTTTTTTTTAAATGTTAGTTATTTTTTTACATTGTGTAATTTTTTAAAGCCCTACTTTATATCCAGAACTTTATGAACCCCTCTTTCCAAGTTTGCATATTATTTAAAAGTTCTTTAATTCACAATTTTTTTTTTGTATTTTTTTATTTATTACTTGAGAGGATTCTTATAGGATTTTCTTATATTTAATTAAAATATTTTGTTGGCAAATTTTTCGGTTTATTATATTCTGTTTCTTATATTTAATTTATATTTAGTTTTAATGGAAAAAAAAGAGATAAAGTTATTTATGTTTTTTTATTTAGTATATTTTATATAATTTTATGATTTATTAATGTTTTTCTTTTTTTCAAGTTATTTCATTTAATAAACATTCAAAATATATTAACTAATATTTTAATAAATACAATAGATTTATATTTTAAAAAATAATTATTTTAAATAAAAATTTAAATATACCTTTATAAAATAATAAATATTCCAAAAAATTTTAAATGTATTAATAATTTTTATTTATAATCATATAATAAGTTTATTTTTAAATAATATATTTATTTTGACTTTTTATGTTTACATATGTTTAATTCATAATATAAATTTTATAACTTTCTTAAAAAGAAAATAATTAATACTAAAAAATTAACATTATAATATTAAAAAAGTATTAAATTATAATGTTTTTTTTACTATTATTATTAAATTTAGTATTTTATTTAAAATTTATAAATGAATTCAATTAAAAAATCGAAAAATATTTTTTTATGGTATTTATTCTATATATTAAAGTTAATAAAAAATAAGAAAAAATATAAAAATTATTCTATATATTATAATTCTATTATATATTATTAAATTGAATAAAAAAATAAATAAATTTGATAGTAATATTATTAAAAATATCTAATAAATATAAATATTTATGTAAATAAAGGATATTAATATTTAATTATAATATAATTGATAAAAAAACTTATAATTTTTGTTAAATTAATTAAAAACATTTATATTAAAATAAGAATATTTTTTCCACACAAAAACAATCATATTAAAAACTTAAATAAAATAATTTTAATAAAAATAATAGCATATATATATATATAATATAAATCAAATTAGCATTTCATTAAATAAATTAAAAATTAATTAAAAAAATAAATATAAAAACCCTAAAAAAATAAAATATTTCAGATAAATAAAAATATCGATTTATTATATAAAAACAAAATCTATCTTCTTTGTATATTATTAATAAAAATAAAATAAAATAAAAATATACATAAAAATAAAAATAAAAAGCAAACAAACAAAAATTAATCCATAATATGTTACGAAACGATAAAATAAACAATATTCTAAATTCTTCCGAAAATCGAGATGTTTATTTATTAAACTAATTATTAAACCAAGAAGATAATTTAATATAATCATTAAAACGCAAAAATCCGAAACTTGAGGAATACTTCAAAGACAACATTCCCGTAATTCAGCAGTTAATATAATATATATCGTTTGAGCATCTTGACACAAATAACTTAGAAAGATGTTTTAAATTTCCACAAGTATCAAACGAAGTTTTTGAATCAAAATCTACCATAATAATGAACATATTTGAAACAGAATAAAATAAAAATATTTTATTAAATTAACTGACATGTGCTTTAAGATGTTAGATTCCTTTTAACCCTGTTTTAGCCAGTTATTGGTCAAATCTAATGAGATAATTATTAGCTAGTTATCCCTCTTATATTATTTCTTATTTCTTTGAAGACACTTTTTAATTAAAAAGCTTATTTAAGCATTTATATAATGAATCTATAAGTAAAAAATATTCTATATGCATATTATATTTTTTAATTTTTTTAAAAAGCTCTTTTTATATAAAATATGCTGACATTAGAAAGTACAAAATTAAATTAAAAAGCATAAAAATACGGCACTTAAAAAATACAATTGATAAATGATTTTTTAGAAAATTTTGAAAATTACGAACATGAGGAAATATAAAGTTTCAGCTAAATAATAACCGAAATAATAAAAAATTATTTCCTAGTACATGACGGGAGAGAAATAGTCGAAAATCTATGTCAAAAAACTCCATCTGAAGTCCTTTTTATGAACATAAAATCAAAAAAAAGTGACTGTAGAAATGGAGCGTATGAAATAATACTTTAAATATCTTAATATTATGCTTTTAATGGAACCTAGATTTTAAAGAATTACAACGAAGAAAGTGAATACTACAAATCAATGGTATAATAGTATCAAAAAGTTCCTTTTATATAAGAAATAGTTAATTTTATTGAATATTTAAAGGAAATACTGCCTGTAAATAAAAAAACGAGAAAACTTTAGGCAGTGAAAGATTAAAATTGATAGAAATTATCAATTATTTAATCCGAATAGCTTTCCCTTCTATATAAGAAAATATTATAAATCACAAAATAATTTAGATCTTGCTCGATAACTTCGTATATTTTAATTTTAATGGAATAATATCCTGTTGCATAAAGTTTCATCAATTATATTTTACATTATCGAAAATTAAGAAAAACCAAGTTTTCAAATATACATAGAGCATCTGCTTTTAGATTTAAAACTAACTGAATAATTAATGAAAAGTGATAATATATAAAAAAAAGGTTGCTTCCCTTTTCTTGTTAAAATTTCAGATTCTTTAGACAAAATGATTGAAAATTAAATTCAAAAAAATATTAATTTATATATAATAGAAGATGCCTATACAGATGAATGGATTTAATTTATTAACGATACAGTAGATGTATATAAAGAAAAGAATGTAGAGATATTGGAAAATTTTCACTAATTTATTCAAAATCCATTTGCTTAACCACTAATACAAAGGAAAAATGATGCGGATAACGATATGCCTACTTATTCAGTATAAGAAACTTTATAATTAATAGAGAAAATGAAAAAAAGAGACTCTTATATAATGTAAATAGAATAAAGATAATATTATAAGCATAAAATTCAAAAAATTAAAAAAAGCATTAGTTAAGATTCCGTAAGATATACAGATAAAAATAAAAAAAGAGATACTAATTAAAATTATTTACAAAATAATATTGAAAAATAATATTAAAGTGAAGATAAGAAAAATAATGTCTTATATGATTAGCATGATAAGTATTTATCAGAAGAATTCGTTTAGTAGTTCAATATGCTTATGAAGTCTAAAGAAGAAAGAGAAAAAGAAGAAAATGAAGAATAACAATAACAATTAAAAATAAATAAAAGAAAATAATAAAATGAAAATTAATAAGATAATAGAGATAATAATGAAAATTAAATAGAAGAAAATATTAAAAAATAAAATAAAAATAATGTTGATGATGGTAAAAATGAAAATAATAAAGATAATAAGAAAAATGATATTAATAATAACGATGATAATAACATTGATAATAAAATTGATAATAATATTGAAAAAGAAATTGATAATAATATGTATAATAATAATAATAATAATAATAATAATAATAATAATAATAATAATAATAATAATAATAATAATAATAAAAATAATAAAAATATTATTAATGATTATAATAATATGTATGATAATGATTATAATAATATTAAAAATAATAATAATAAATTTGAAATTGAAAATGATAATAATATATATAATAACTATAAATAAGATATTAATAATATTAATAATGATTAAAATAATTAATATGATTTTAAAAATATTAATTAATAAAATTAATTAGAAAATGAATAAAATAATAACAATATCTATAAAGAAAATATTTAAATTAGTGTTAAAAATTAAAATAATTAATTAGTTAAAATTAAAATAATAATACTTAGTATTATTTACCAAATGATGAAAATTAATCAAATATATTTAATGATAACATTAACAATATTATAAATAAATAATATGAAAATAATAGTGAAAATATTAAAAATGATAAAAAATATAAGAATAATCATTAAATAAAGGAATGTAAAAATTATAATAATATTTAATAAGAAAGTAATAATGATAATAATAATAATAATAAAAATAATAATAAAAATAATAATAATAATAATAATAATAATAATAATAATAATAATAATAATAATGATAATAATTATAATTATAATTTATATATAGTTAATAATATTAATAATATCGCATAAGAAGACAATAATTCTATTAATAAAAATTTTTATTTTAAAGAAAATTGTTCTTCTTCTTAAAATATAAATAATAAAAATGATTTAAAATTATATTAAAATAATGATTTATTTAATATTTAATTAAATACTTTTAGCAAATATGATAATATTGAAAGCCCTCTTAATTAAGATTTAAATTATTAATCTTAATATAATTAAAAAACTAATAAATCCTAAGAAATTTATTAAACTATAAATTAAAATTAGGAAGAAAAAGAACTTAATAATCAAAATTATTAAATAAATGAAAACACAAATAAGCATATATTATCTTAAAAAATAAACGAATAAGAAGCAAAACAAGTAATTATATAAAATTTAAACTTAGAATATATAAATAATGATTAATAATAAGAAAATTAGATTTCGCCTTAAAAAATTTTAATATTAAAGAAAGAGGCACATAATGAAAATAATATTAATAATGCAAATAATGATGTAGATGAATATTTAAAATACAATGAAAAAACACCTTCAAGAAAAGAATAATTTTATAAGTTAAAAAACAAAAAAGAATATATAGACTCTGAAAATGGCATATATGATTATAATGCTGGTTCAACTTAAAGTACCAAATCCCCGATTCCTAAAATAATAACTAATTCAGCAAATGTTACTCCTTAAGCTAGATTAAATTAAAATTAAAATAAAAAAAATAGCTATAATATTTATTAATAAGGAATTTAGGATTTTGCAACAACAGCTAAAAAAGATGAAATTGTGGAAGAATTAATTTAGGAAAAAAATATAATAAATTAAATGAAATACGAATATGATAATAAAAAAAAAAAAAAGGAAGAATAGGTAAATAAATAAAAAAATATGATTTAGAATAATAATAATAATAATAATAATAATAATAATAATAATAATAATAATAATAATAATATTACTAAAAAAGATGATATTAAAATGTCTAATTATTAATTAAAAATAGAATAATAAAAATAATAGTTAATTTAAATTTAATAAAAATAATAATAAAAATAATAATAAATTCATATTTCTTAATAATAATAAGATATATAAAAGAAGTTATAATAGTAATTATAAAATTTATAACCTTAAACATAATAGTAAATAAATAAAATTTAATAAAATAATAATACTATTAAATAATAAAAAGAATATAATTAATAATAAATTAATTTAGAATTATAAAATAAAAATTAAGAAATTAAAAAAATATAATAAAGACAATAATAATAATAATAATTATTATTGTTAAATAATTTTTAATCTTAAAATCATTTAAATTTATTCAATTACTAATAATAATAAATAAATGAATAATATATTAAAGAATAATAGAATTTTTAATAATAATAAAATACCTTTTTATATCAAAATAATTAAAATTTATAAAAAAGTTAATTTAATATTTATTAATAATAACTTTAAGAATAAAATTTTAATTAATAATAAATATAAAAATAATAATTTATATAATAGTAAATTTAATAATAATAAAATTAATAATAATAACTTATTGACAATTAACTTAATGAAAAATAGTTTTATTTATAATAAATTAATGATAATTTAATTTAATAAAAATAGATTAATTAATAATTGTAGCAATAAAAGCAATTGATTGAATAATAAACTTAAATTTCACAATAAAATAATTAAAAATAAATACATAATTATTAAAAAATAGAATAATTTTAGCATTAAGATAATAATTAAGTTTAAGAAAAAATTAAGATTTTGAATAAAGATATATTAAGTTAAAATTAATAACAATAATGCTAAATACCAATATATAGTGATAATACAAATTAATTTTAAAACTTATAAAACATAAATTATTATAAAAACTAATAATACTCATAAAATATGTCAGGTTAACGTATAAATTAATAAAATACTAGCAAGTCTTAATAACAAATTAATTTATTAAATTAATAAAACTAATAATAATAATAATTTTGTTTACCAATCTAAAATAAAAACTTATAAACATAAAATTTTAATACTCATTAAAATATTTTAAGTAATTCATATTCTACACCTTGTCAACCTAATTTTCATCCTTATAAAGATATTAATTCTAATTTCGATAATTCTATTTAATAAAATAATATTATCAATAATATAAGCAAAAGTTATAGTGCTGAATATTAAGAATAGTTTACTAACAATGGAATTTTTGAATTTTAAAATAATTTAATATAAAGTTAATATGTTTCTTCAAATAATTATAAATCGGCAAACAATTTAAAATAAGATGAATTAATTTAACTCCAAAATTATAAAAATGAAAAAGTTAATATAATATCAAAAGAATTTTCAAATGGAAATGTAATCGATGATTATGTACCTTTAATTTAATAAAATTAGCATATGTAAAAGTCTTCTCCGTGTTTCAATATAGAAGCGAATAAATAGAATTTTAAATAATTAGATGGAATAAATTTAACAAAATTAAATAATAACATTTTAGAATTCAAACATTGATAAGAAACAGATTTAATAATTATGTATAATAAAAAATAAAGAAAATAACAATAAATAATTTATTTATTTGTTTTATTTTTTATACATAAAAATATGAATTTATATATATATATATTAAAAATAAAATCATTTATTTTTAATATTCTTTAACTTAATTAACAAAAAAAAAAAATTAATACAATAAAGTATTTTAACTTAAAGTTTTAATCATATTAATTTTTTATTATTTAATTACTATAACAATATTACAAATGTTCATTTTAATCTAGTATTTTTCCATTATATTTATTAATAATAAATAAAAATATTTACTAAACTCATTTAAGTTAAGGTTTTTCTTACTCTTGACCTTCAATAAAAAGTCGCAATATTATTTATATCAAATTTATTAATAATATTGTTATATTAATAGCTTCAAAATTTCGAAATATTCTTTTTTAGGGAACTAAATTAACGAGCTGAGCTATCATTAATATTATAAAAATTAGAATCTTTTTTTAATTTTATAATAATTAATTTTCCGAAAATAAATTCGTTTCTTTCATATTCTTATATATATAAATAATATTATATTTTTATTTGATTTATATAAATCTTTAATAGGCCAATATTATTCAAATTATATGAAATCCCCATCTTTTATTTTTTTTAATGATATTATCTAATTGACATTATTTTAATATATTATTTACCAAAACTAATCAAAAGTATTCGGGTCTTTTATAAAATAAAAGTCTCTTATTTAGAATCTTCGTTTTACTATATTAATAGATTTATAAAATTACGTTTATATATTTATTAAATATAAAATAAAATTAGAATGAATAAATTTAATTATTTTTCACATATGATTTTTTTTTTTATCGTAAAAACTAGTGATATTTTTATGTATAAGCCAATTTTATATTAATTTTATATTTTTTTGGTAATATAAAAAAAAATATTATATTAATTATAATTTGTTAATTAATAAAAAAATAATAATAGATAAATTATTATAATTTAATTATATATATTTTTTTTTCAATCTTATTTATTATTATCATCAAAGTTATATTATTTTTCTTTTTGCATTAAATATTCGAAAAGTTTTATCTGAAATTATTTTGAGTCAATTGACTTAGTTTTATTTTTTGTTTTACCTTAAAAAATAAAAATTAAAAAAATTAAATTAAAAATATTTTTACTTATTTTATTATTGCTTCCAATTTAATTTTAAGACTATCTATTATTACTATTATTAATATTTCCTGACTTCCCACTAACTTACGATTAATTATCATTCTATCCTTTTTCTGAAATATTATGTTCACTCTTTTATTAAGAATGAACTGATTAAACTTAACTTTAACTCTGCTTTTTTGCTTAACTTTAAGCTTAACTTTAACTAACTCCATCTTTAATAGTTTCTTTATCTTTTTAATTCTCTTATTTCTTATTAGTAGTTTGTTTTGTCTAAACCATTGTATATTTAGAATTAAAATTAAGAATTCTACTTATTGTTTTATCAATGCCTAAAAGATAAGTATTTGATTTCTTAAACCCTATTTCTAATCTATATAAATCTTAATTTTGCTATCTAAACTCTAAATATTCTCTCATCATATAAGTTCTAAATATACTCGGGCGTGCAACCCAAGCCGCACTTAAAGCATTATACAAGTTTAGTAAAGTTGAAAGTATAACCTTTATTTTGAGAAGAAATAATAACAATAAGATAAATAATGTAATATAAAAAAAAATACTTTTAAGTTATTCCAATCATTAAAAGATGCACTTTTTCTAAAATTAAAAGCAAGCAATATGGCTAACTAAGGCATGTCTTCTAAAAATACTTTTTAAAATTTTGAAATCAAAACTTATGGAACTTTTGTATGTTCTAAACTATTAGGAACCCAAAATCCACTAAGATCACTAGCCGAAGATGTCGAAAACCTATCCAAAACATGTCCTAAGGCACTAAACTCTTAAATAAGAGAAAGTTTTGTATATTCATTAATAAAAGTAGTATTATGTAATGAATGCTTTCCATTTTACTTAATTACACTTTATCTTTTTTGATAAATATCATAAAATTCCCAACATTAGCTTATTAATGATAAAGTCATGTTTACTAACATTACAATCAAACTTATTAAACCTTTTTTTTAAAAAATAAAATAAAAAATATTTTATTTTATATATAATTTACCTAATTCTACAGCACCCAATTCCTCACAAATAAAAGTGTTAAGCGAAAAAATCATATCTGTATACATATCATACCTTGACATAAACGAAGTGTACAAATGGAACCAAATCCCTACACTTTTAAGTGTGAAAATTTTTTGTGTACAAATAATTTCTTACAAATAAAACATAAACCCAGCCTCAATAATAAGCTAAATAACAGAAATCACATAAAATGGTACATCATAAAAATCATCAGAATTTAAACATTAATGTTTTAAATTTAATCTCACAACATTATAAACGATACAAATTCCAATTTAAAAAATTACCATATTTAAGAAAAATACCAAATCTACATAATTTAAAAGATTAAATTTTTATTTTTTATTAGTCTACTATAGTTATTAGAAAATATTATTAAAGTTATACTTTTGAGGATCTTTTAAATATTTACAAATGAGCCTTGCATTTTCTTTCAAATTGCTCTACTCTTAATTTTCCAAGTCTACTCTTCGGCATAAAATAGCATCTAATTAAGCTACGTCCTCATCAAAGTAAAAATCTTCATTTGAAATACCTTCAGGCACATTTTTATTAATTTCTGCAATAAATTAGACTTTATCATTATCAAAAAACTTAAACGAAAACTAATATTAGGCAAGCCAAATAGTAAATCTATTGCTTAAAACCATAAAAATATGGAAAAGAGTAAATGGAAAGACCAAAATACCTAATAAAATTAACGAAAAAAAACTTTTTTGCCATTTCAATTTTACTATGACATTAATAGTTTCATATAAACCTACATTTGCAATATTTTAAAAAATTATTCTTATATCATCATAGTTTTGGGATTCATTTCCTATTTCTTTTTGGGTTTGTAAATAATGAGATTGATATGTTTTAAGTTTTTCGATTTGTTTTTTTGTATCAGGATCTTTTTCGAGTCTCTTGACTATTTTCTAATTTAAATATTTCTATGTTTAAAAAAATAATTTTAAATGTCCTTTTTTTTCAAAAGAATTTTCTTTTAATTCATTATTACTCATTTTATCTACATCATACTATTTGAAAAAGAAAAATAAATATATATAAATATATTATTACTTCATCGTCTTCGTTTTGTTTATTTTATTCTTGATTTTCTTCTTGTATTTTCTCTAATTCTGATTCACTATCTGAAAAAAAAGGAATTTTAACATCAAGTTTTTCCAATCCATCTTCGGCAACTTAAATTTTTTATTAATCCGGCTTAATTTTATTTCCTTTTACTGTATTATTTTTCTCTTTTCCACTATTTTTATTATAGACATTAATAATAAATTTTTCTAAGTCACTTTATTTTTTATTTGTTAGATTAAATGCTTTTTTAACTATAAATCCTTCTAAAATTTCAATCTATAATTTCAAATGTTCAGAATCATTAATAGTAGAGCTAATAATAATCTTAAACCCTTATGGAATTCTATTAACAATACTCGAATATAAATACTTTAACCCAAAAGGAGATAATCTTCTATTATTAGAAAGGTCTAGTTTAGTCAAATGTACTAATTTTTGACTATTAGACAAGACTAAGCTAAATTTTTCCGCAAAATCATCACTCAAATTAAGTCCTTTTAAATCAATAAACCTTAATTCAACCATTTTTTCTTCTATTAAAAAAGATAAATGTTCTATTAATTTATCATCTAATACATGGTCTGGATTAATAACATTATCGACTTAATCTTAATTATTCATTTTTTTTGTGATTTCTTTTTAAATTTTAACGGTCCTTTTTATTCCCTTCTTAATTTCGTTTATATTTTAATTCATTTTTAGCCAAGGAGTTATATGCTCTGCCACATAATAATTTAATCCTTAGTAATTTAAATGATTATTTTCTCCCAAATCTAACTTTTCAATAAAAGTGAATAAATTTTATACTTCCTAAGATTTATACTCATGCTCATATTTATATATCATTTTAATTTCATATCTTATAATATCTAATTAATTGTTTATTTCTTATATTTATTATGCTAATACAATTGTCTTTTCACCTTATTTTATTAAATCTTCTTTTTATTTGTAAAAATGGAGCAATTTTTTGTGCAATTATAATTATGCTTCATTTTTGTAAATTCTATTTGTTTATTATTTAACTTCTTCTTGTTAGATTTATTAAGAAAATGTTAAACTAAACTTATGTTTTAATTTTGCTTTTTTTTGCATTAAAGGCTCTTTTTGTTAATCTACAATTTGGTTTTGGTTAATACTTTCGAGTTTTTCATTTATATCTGGTTCCTTTGCAACTATTTAAGTGTCTTTTTCTTAATTAGCATTAATATTTTAGTCTTCGTCCTCAAAGATATTTTAATCATCTTGTTGCTATTATTATTACTATTCTTCTTATTAATCATTGTTTGCATCAAAATTTTCTCCATCAATATTATTTTAATTATTATTATCTTCTGCTTCTCCGACGAAATCAAATTTATCTTCTTCCTCTTAATTATTATTACTTATCTTATTATTATTAAAATTATTATTATTAATATTATTGCTAATAATATTATTGTTATTAATATCATTATTATTAATAACATTATTATTAATTTCATTTTTATTAATATCGTCTTTATCCCCTCCCATAATACTCGCGAATTGAGATTTTTTACTCTAAAGTTTCTATCCTTAATCTTTTTCATATTTAAAAAAAGAAGTCTGATTTCCTACCGAAGAAGGATCTTTATTATTTTTAAGTTTTCTAGCTTAACCAAGTAAATTTAAGAAATAAATTTTCTATTTATCTCTATTCCTTTCATTTTCATTTTACAACTTAACCTTAATTTATTTGATAGCCTCTTTTTCTTTTTTCAATTTTAATTCTAATAAAAGTAAATTTTTAATCACTTATTAATCTGTTTCACTCAATATTTATTTATTTTTTAGCTTTTCACTTTCTAGTGCTAATTAATAAATTACTGAAAAAGAAGTCGCACTTATACAACTTTGGAAATTCTCATTTAATAAATACATAAATCGAATAGCTGTGGGTATATTTTTCTATTATATTATATGATTTAAACCGTATTTTACACTTGAAAGTGCCTCTGGTTATAAATAAAGCAAATTTCCATAAGTAGAGCATATTTTTTCTATATGATAATCATGAACCATTGATGTTACATACGAAGGAAGTGATTACATAAATATAGTAATATTCCAATTTGCTATTTTCTCCTTTATTACTTCTTCAAATAATTCAATTAATGTAGCACTTTCTTTATCTTTATAAATATTAAATAAAAACTCGAAGTTTATATGAACATAGTTTTATTAGAAAAAAAGCTTTTTTAATAAAATACGGATAAATTTTTAATGTTATTTAAAGTTTTCATTCATACTAATATTATTCAAGTATTTTTAAAGTTAAAATCTATTTTTTATATTTAATTATATATAATTTTTATTTTTTTTACGAAGGAGTTAAGTCGTCCTGAATAAATCTTAAATATTATAAATAATTTTCAACTTTTTTACAATTATGTAATTTAACAAATGATAATTATTTAGAAAAATGAAGTTATTTAATCATTTTAATATAGAATTTATCAATATTAGTATCACTTAGATTGATTTCCCTAATATTTTTGAATTAACAAAGAAATTCATAAAAGAAATTTTCATTCATACATTTATTTTAGAGATTGTTTAATTACTCAGTTAATTCTTTTTCAGTTAATTCTGTTTATTTGTTATCGACTTATTTAGTTTCTTGTACCTTTTATTATTCTTCTTATATATCCTCCTATTAATTTTAATCGTAATTTTCATCATTATTATTATTTTCAGCTTTTTTTAATAACTCATCTTCATCTTCTTCAGCTTCTTATTAGGTTTCTTTTTCCTTAACTTTTTGAGTCTCTCCATTCCTAATTTTGTTAATATTTTCGATTTCATTTTTTAAATCTTCTTCACTCCATAAATATTTATTATTAGAAAAATCTACATAAGACAAATTATCTAAAAGTATAGGCTTTTCTTTCAATTTTCCCTATAAGAATTCCTTCTAACTCTCATTAATTAAAGCATTTAATTTTTATAAATCTTATTTATTTAAAGAAGAGAATACTTTAGTTAAAATTTATTCAGCTAAATCAATATTAGTACATTTTTTAAGTAAAGAGCTTACAGAATTTAAACTAATTTAAAGATTTTTCGCAAAAACAATTTTTTTTAAATTATTACAATTAGAAAGGAAAGTATCCATTTCTTTTTCTTCTTCCTCATTAGAAATATTAGGTAATTGCTATAATTCTAATTTATTAATAAGTAATTCTTTTATTTAATAATTTTTATTGCTTATACTTTCATTTATAGCTTTAAAAATCATAAAAGTCTTTTTTTAATTGTAAATTTTTGGAATTATAAGTTTTATTAAAAAATAATACGCACTTTTATTCTAAGTAATAACTTTATATATGTTTTCGTTTATTTCTTATTAATATTTTTAATCTTATAATAAATTCATATAAAATTTCCAACTTAAACCTTCCCTAACTTCTGAAAAAGCAGCTTCAAATTATTTACTGTTTAATTCTTAAAATTCTATATTTAATTAATTATTAAATTTAATAGTATCTACTTTTTATAATTCAGATAATAAATTTACATCATTAATTGTTTACTTGAAAACAATTTTATTTAAATCAAATATTCTATATATTTGTAATTTCTATATTATATTAAACCCACTACTAATATGATTATTTTAATTACTTTTTTCATTATTATTTTTCTTATCTTTTTCATTTGTATTAATATTTTAAGGACTTGCTTATTTAATTTTCGGAATAATTAATTTTTCAAAATAAATATAATGTTTATATTTTACAAGTGCTTCGAAATAACTATTGTCAACTTCCAAATTTTAAGACAACTATTAAATATCAAAATCTCTTTTGAAAATATTTGAATTGAGCAACGCAATCATATTTTCTAAGCTAATTTTAGTATTAGGACATAGTTTGAACACTTCTATTTCATTAAAATGGGTTGATTTTGCAATATTAGAAATAAAAATATCTTATAATTTACTAATTTTACTAAGTTCTTCATCAGCTAATTTAATTCTTTTGTCTTTTGAAATTTCCAACACAATCTAAACAGCTTCAAATTAAATTTTATGTTAGAAGAAAATATTAATATCTTCCTCAGTAATATTCATAAAATACAATTTTATTTCTTTAACTTTAGTAATGATTTCTTATTTACGAATTAACTAAGATTAAATTTACTAATTAAACTCGAATTTTTCAATAAAACTATTAATATCAATATTTTCCGGGTTTAAATATTTTTATTTGAAAATTTTCTGAATATACTTAGCATCATCATCTTTAATAAGTGCATTTTTATCAACACCCAAAATATCAATATTTTTCAAATTAATAAACTTGAAATGATTTTTGTTAAAAATACTGTCAAATCCTACATCATAAAACCTTATAGTTTAAATACAACTCAAATCAGCAAATTGCCTAAAAATAGAATCAAAAGGCGCAAATCTAGTTAAAACTTAATAAAAAGTTAAGTCTAAAATTCTATGTCTTATATTATACCATTCTCTTGTTTTTATAAAATACGTCTAAAATAAATTATTTAAATCTGGAATGTATTCATATAATATATATTTATTTGCTTAATTATCAATTTATTTTGTAATCAAATTCATTATTTATTCTACTAAATTCGAAAAAAACATCTAAAAATCAAACATTATTCCTACATATTTCTATTTTACTGATTATAGTATACGTTCTACTTAATTTGAGTGTATAGCCGTATTATTCAAAATATCTATTCTTTCTAAACTATTAAAATTATTCTTTTTAAATAAGGCTGTACATTTTCCATTATTTTCTAAATAATTGAGATACTCTTAACTTTTATCACCTAATAACTTCAAATAATCACTTTATTTAGTTATCCTTTATTATTATAGTGTTTGATTTGAAAAATTTATTTTTGTCAAATTAACTACATATTTACTTTCAGCAAACATTTTCCAAGCTTAAGCATTTATATGTGCTATATTTTAATTTATTATTTTTTTTATTTATTTAAAAAATGAAAAAATGTACGTAAATCGCTTAAATCTATTTAATCAGAATTCAAAAGCAAAGGTAATTTAGAAATTTCGATAATAATTTAATCATTAACTAAAGCTTTATTATCTTTAATTAACTAATCAATTTTAAAATTAGGTTTATATTTTTAATTTAATAATATTTTTAAATGCTCTTAACTAAGTACATTTTTCAAACTAAAATTTTCTAAAGAAGGGAATCCTTTCGAATTCTAGAAACTTATCCAAATTTCTTTATATTCAACTTTATCATCATTTAATTTAATAACAAGTTCTTTAAGTGAATATGTGTATTTAGAAAGTTTGAAAAAATCATTAATTTATTCCATGAATTAATTTGCATTATAAAATATTAATGAAGTTAAATTACTCATATATGTACAATTTATCATTGCAGAAATAAAAGGACCATTTTCTATTATAGATTGTTTTTCAGTAAGATTTTTTATTTTTAACCTAATATTTAAATACTAAGCTCTTAGTATATAATGAAATGATTTCTCTACCTTTTCAGCATTTGTTGTTGTTATCTTTTTCAATTAAGGTAAATATTAGCAATTTGCAAGAGTTATAAAGGCACATTCATTTAATTATTTACAATTTAAATTCATTTATTATACATTTATTAATTTAGGAGATTATAATAAATTACAAAACTTAATATAAAAAATATTTTTATTTTTATTTTTTATTTTTTTTTACAGAATAAGTACAAAAAGTCATTTTTTCTAAATCAAGAATTTAAAAATTATTTAAATAACTAGATTCACTTAATTAAATTAAAACTTTATCATCCATTTCAGATTCTAATAAATCTTAATATTATTTGAATAATTCTTAAATCGAAAAGCACATACTAAAAGGAGTTGACTTTAAAATTTAAATCAAGCTATACTAACTAACTTTTGTTTTTTAAATATTTAATTTTATCAAAAAAGGGAATTTTTTCTTCTTTTGTAATTTATGTATTATTTTTTTTTATTAAATTTTTATTTTTTTCTTTTCTTGTTCTAGTTTTATTTTGCTATGAGTTTTTAAATTTATTTTTGATAAAAGATTCTAATCCGAATTTAATTAATAATTTAACTCTTCCACTTCATCAAACATCATAGCCATATATATATATATATATATATATATATATATATATATATATATATATATATATATATATATATGTTTAAAAAAAATACACATTTAAAAATAAAATATTTATACTAAAATTTATTCATCTCTGATAGTTTTTAATCCTTCTAAAGAAATTTCAGTAACAAAATTTGAATTCCCTTTTAAATTATTACAAAATTAAATAAACATTTAACCAGAAAGATCCGAATGAGAAAAATTTATTTTTGTCAAAAATTAACTTTTGACTAATTCTGGAAAACAAATAATTTATTCATGACTTAAACATCTAACAAAATCATTTTTTGTAAATTAAATTCCTCCTTTAAGTTTATTTTCATGTTATCTACTTAATTTAATTATAAGGTCTAAAATAGGCATTTTTTCATATTCGTTTGACATATTCACAATCCTTATTGTATATTTATTAAAAACTTCCATTTTTGCATTTTCGAAAACTTTCATTAAAGCAGGATAATGCTACTAATAAAAACTTATAGTAATATAAGTTAAATTCGGATATTTTTCAGGTTTTTCCAAAAACTATTTATTTAAAAGACTTATCATTAAATTAGGGGGCATACTATTGAATATTTCAAGCTAAATATATGATTTTTTAAAAATTAAAGCATGTAAATTTTCATTTTCTAGATGAACTAAACTCTAACTAATTCTTTTTGATTTAGATTATATCATTTCCATCATATCAAATTTTTAACTATTGAATGTTTTCCAAAAATTAAGTTTACTCAACTAATCATCCTATAATAAATTAGTGTTTTTCAATCCACAAATACTTTAAATTAGGAGGAAAAGTCCCGAATTGTTTCACATCATCTGATCGCATGAATTTATCAAATTATTCAGCTTCAAAACATGTATATCCTAAATTCATACAAAAATAACAACTTTTTTTTTTATTAGATTTTAATATCTATAAAGCTTAATTTCCAATCTAAGATTTTTCCAAATTTATACTTTTTAACTATATATGTATTTTTATTTTTAAAAAATTAAATAAATAAAATATTACTTCCTCTTCATTTAATCTATACATCATTAATTATAAAATTTCATCATTAATAAATCTTATGTAATGTTACACCAATGCTTTATATTTAAATATTTAAAAATCCGTCCTTAAAAGAAACAATAAAGCTTTTTCTTCTCTCATATTAACACAATTATCAAATCTTACTAATTCTAAGTTTTCTCTAAAATAAGGACTTGCACAAACAGCAAGAATACATTTTTCATGTAATAAAGTATTCGATAAATTGATAAACCTGATTTCTCTCATCATTTGAGTACTTAAAAAAAGCCTACAGACAGGATGGTTTATAAGTTGTTTGTTTCCATTTAAATCTAAATATTCAAGTTAATTTTTAAAAGAAGGAAATTAATTATTACTATCTGCATTTGCACCTTAATTCTCGTTATTCATATCTATTTATTAAGTTATATGGTCTGTTTTACCCCCAAAAACATTATTATTAGTAACAAAATCGCCTTAATTTAATTATTAGTTTTATTATTCGATATCTTTAAATAAGGACCATTTTTAATCACACAAAGCTAAAGAGTCCAAAAAATTATTTTTTATATAAAGTCTATATTTATAAATAAAATAATCATATCTTAAATTTTTTAAGGCAGAACTTGAAAGGAAAAAATCCTATACAAAGTCACTTTTGAAAATTTCATTTAATTTATCAGGCCTATCTGCACTTAAAATTTTATGTTAATATCTTAATTTAATTGCCTCACAATCGTTTAAAAAAATATTTAATTTTTCTAATTATTCTTTATTATCCTTTACTAATTCATAAAGTTTATGCTGTTAGACTTAAGGAATGTTAGTTGATGGCTTTTGTGGATTTTCTTAATTTGGCCCTTTTGCTTTTTCATAAATTTTGCCTTGTTTAAAGAGTTCGGATTCTATAATTTTATTTTTTAAAATGATAAGTATTTATTTTATTTTTTTAAAAAAATAAGTCAATCCAATAATAAAAAAAACAAAATATAATATAATATTATATAATGTTCTTTTTTTATTGTCAATTTAAGTTTTTTGTTGTTGAAAAAAAATAAAAATATATAATAATTAATTCTAAATATTTTTTTTAATTTTTACATTAAATTTAATCATTTATTTCGTCATATATTATTTTACTTTGAAATTATTCATATCTCTATTTTTATTTTAAAACAAATATTACGAAATTAATTTAATTAATTTTAAAAAAATATATATATTATTACTTCATTATCAATAATTAAAACTTCCAAATTCGATTTTAATTAGTTTGGATTTTTAAAAACATTCCATTAAACTAAGCTATAAATAAATTATAATCCTTAAACTCCAATTTATGAAGTTTTTCTCAAATCAAGGCATCTAATTTTTATACTTTCAGACTATACTTCTTACATTAAATTATTCAACTCTTTATCTTAAGCCATAGATTCATATAAATTAAGTTCCTAATAAAAAAAAGAAAAACAATAAAAAAAAATATATAATAAATAAATACGGAAATTGTATTTTTCCTATCTGAATATTTCAATGTATCAATGACTCTACCACTAACTAGCCTTGAATATTCTTAAAACAAATGAAAAAGATCAAAATTGACTAAATTTCTAGAATCAACCAAATAAGAAATACCTCTTTCTGTGACTTTTCTGCACTCCTTTAAATAAATTCTTTCTAAACTTGCCATATTCTCAGTTACAGAAAGTGACTACAAAGATTTATCGGAAAACCAAGTTTAACTAACATCAATAATTTTCAAATTAAGCCTTTAAGATTTTCCTTTAAAACAAATAAACTTAAACCCTTTATCAATACTTTTGATTCCGTTTTCTGAAAGGTCCAAATACTCAATATTTTACATATAAATAGACTAGGCCATTTCTTTCATAATTTCTGAATCAATAATTTTTTTAATTCAAAAATACATCCCAAATCAAATTTTCGGTCGAACTTGTCTATTTTACATAATTAAAGTAATCCCCTTTTATTAACATTTACACATCCACCTATTGCTATATATTAAATCGTTGAAAAATTTTCAGGTTTTCTTTTCAAAATGGAACTCATCAATTCAATTTCTCGGTTACTAAACTAGGTATTTCGAAAATTTAGCTTCAAAACTAATTACATCCAACTAGATTGGAGAATTTCAGAAAAGCCTCCACCGTTTATATATTGATTGTTTTCTAAATTTAATTCTTGTATTTTAAATGTGATATATTTTTCTGTTAGGATTTTATATTTTAAAAATATTAAATTTTAATTTTAGATTTTTTAAGATAATTCACTAAATAAATACTCAAATCTAAATTAAGTTGCCTTTTATATTTGCCTAAATCCATCAAAATTCTATATGTATTTATAATAATATTATAAATATTTTTTTTTTATAAAAAAATAAAATATATAAATAATTTATATTTTTTTATTAATATCATCTATCCAATAAAAATAATGTATTTTATATATATTATTATTTTTATTTACAAAAATATCAAAAAACTAAGCATCTAAAAAGAATGCTTTTGAGCATTACATATAAATAAAATTTTACATTTTTTTTGGTTATTGTAAATTTTATTATTTCCAATAAGAAAAGAAGCTTTCAACAAATTTGCTTGAAATCCTCGTATTATTAATATTCAGAATTTCCAAATATAAAAATAGTTAACTATTTTCTTCTCTTTTAAAATTTTATTCACTTAAATTAAGTCTATTAAGTTTCGAAAAGTCAATATAAGATAAATATTTAACTAACCCAGTTAATTCTTCAAACAGTATTTAAATAATTTAATCTGTCACAATTTAATAACAATCACTGAAAATTCTTAAAATATCAAAAGTTTAATTTTGGATAACAAATTCTTTCTTTTTAAAAATAATAAGCTATTCTTAAGCTTTTTTTATTTAGATTAAGACAATTTTTTTTTCTTTATTTTATTTTTATCAGGATGTTCATCTTTTATTTTTAAATTTTTTTTTTTTTAAGTTTCTATTGTTTCTTTATTTTTTTATTCTTCTTCTAACTCTTTTTATTTTTATTCTTCAGCTAACTTTTTTTATTCCTTAAGTTTTCTTTAATCTTCTTTTTATTTTTTCTCAGCCTCACTTAATTATTATACTTTAACAAGTGCATCTTCTTTTTTCATCCCACATAATCCTCCAATAATAACCTCTAAACCCGAAGATGTTAATTATTTACAATCTTTAAGTACCAAAACCTATAAATTCTACAACAGTCCAATATTTTCACAAAAAATATTAAAGGCACAAATATCATCAAAAGATGTACAAGATAAATCGATTTCAATTAAACTGCAATATTATATTTTACTTAAATTTTTTAATGCATTAGATGTCGCTTTACAATATTTTAAAGTTAAAACAAACAAATTAGGTATATTTATTTTTAACATTTTAAATAATATTTCTATTGTTTTATCTAATATATTAGTCTCATTTAAATATAAAAAATTCAATTTAGGAAAACTTACTTCTTCAAATACTTGACTAAATTTATAATCCTTTATATTTTTGCAAGAATTTAGCACTAAACTTTATATATTTAAATGCAAATATCTATCTTATTAATACTCTATATTCTTTTCTATTTCATCTTCTTTGTATTAAACTAATTCATGTTATACAAAATAAGATTTTTCTAGTCTTTATTAATTTTCTTGATTCTTTTTATCTTCATTGTATTCTATATTGGATTCCAAAAATAAATCAATAAATTTATTACATACACCACTATATGATAAATCTAAATATTGTAAATTATTTAAAAAACGATGTCTAAATAAATCCTCAATTAATGAACTTGTTACATTTTCGCATCCATTAAAGTTGATAGAGGTGATTTTAGGGACATGCTTTCGAGCTTTTTTTAGCTAAATTCTATAAAAGTTATTATAAATTTAAACATTATCAAATAATTATTTCATTTAAGAATTTTTTTGTTAGGATTCATCATTTAAAACTTACCCTTCTTCTTATACTTCTATATATTAAGGTTTTTTATTTGAATATTCTTTTATATCGTCATCAGTAATTTTCAAATCTTATTTTTCTAATTTAAAAGTAGTTATATAGTTTTTTTTTTTTAAATATATTTACTTTATTTTGTAAGGATTTCTATCTTTTTTAAATAATCTTCTATATATTTTTATCCTATTATTATAAAAAATACAAATAAATAAATAAAAATAATATATACTTTTTTTATGAATTAAATCAATAATAAATGTTGACAGTTAACAATTAATCTATTTGCATTAAGTGAGATTAATACATCTTAAACTGTCAATAAAAGTAAGATATTTAATCCCTTTTTATGTTATTTTCGACTTTTATTATTTAAAAAAAGACAATAATATATATAATAATATATATATATATATATATATATATATATTTATATATATATTTATATATAATTATATATATATATATGCTTTTTATATATACATTCTAAACATTATTAGAAATATCAATTGCTTCTAAATCAAAAGCAACTGAAGACCTATCTGAAATAATTGAACAGAAATGGTCATCTATCTATGTCCCTTATAAGCTTAAGTACTTTAAATTAGTTAAATTTTAATTTGTGATGAAAGACTTAAAAGCCTTTAAATGAACATTACATTTATTAAAAACTAAAATCTAAATCTTATTGATACATTCCATATACTATAAACTATTAAAAAACTCTTCAGTTAACTCACATCCTTTTAGTTTTAAACACTTTAAGTTTTTTAAAGAATAAGGATACATATTTTCAAATGTTATGCTTGTTTTTTATAGTTCTTTTGTTTATTATTTTTTGATTGTTCCATCAAAGCTAAGACATTAAATATTTGAATAATATTCAAAATTTAAAGGAAGTTCTTCGAATACTTTACAAACAGAACTATCGAATGATATACTTTCTAAATTGCTTATAATATTAGAAAATTTATTATTTTAATTATCGTTAGCATCGTCAATATTATTGTTATTTTAATTATTTTGCATATTTTAAACAGATTCATTATCTTCATCATCACTATCTTCACTATTACTTTCTTCATACTAATCTTTATTATTTTAATTAGCTATATCCATTTTTTTTTATATTTTGCTTTTCACATTACAATTTCTAAAATAAAGTAATTCTTTTAAAATATTTGGAGCTTCACATTATTTAAGTTTTAATTTTTTTAATTATCTTTTTTTATGATTTATTTAATTTTTTTCGATAATATTTTATATTAAATTTAAATAAAAAAATATATAAACTATAAAAAAAAATTAATAATAATTAAAACAAAAAAAACTAACTTAAAAAATGGAGTTGTAACCCAATTAAAAAAAGATTAAGGCTTAAGAAAATTCAAATTATTTAATCCTAAACTATTTCCCTATTATTTAGATTCATTTTACCAATTTTTTAATATTCTTAAAACCCCACTAGTTAATAATTTGCAATTTTTAATGCAAATTTATACGTTTTCGAAATTATAAAGTCCATATATTTAGTTATTTTCATTTTTATTAAATTTTGATAATTATATTTTTTCAATAATTTTTTAAAAATTTTCATTATTTATTGGACAATCTTCAATTTAAATATAGCTTAATTGATTAAATAATATATCATTTTAAATAATAAGTCTTATAGATAAGCAAGAACATTATTTAAAACATATATAATTGCAATTTATTAATAGAGAGTTTTTGTCAATTTCTTAAAATTAACCTGGACTTTTTTATTATTCAAAATAAGCAAATGTTTTCAAGTGAAAAATGTATTTTATAGGTTTTATGTTTTTTTTAATTTCGATTTTGTTTAAATCAACATGTTCATTTATGTTTTAATAAGATTCAACATAAAAATATTTTTTTTAATAAAATTTTTTAAAACTATCAATTCTGAATTCCTAAAATATTTTAAATAATTTAAAAATTAGTTTTTTTTTACATCATCTAATGTTTAATATTTTATTCGTAGCTTAAAACAGGTGAACTATTAGTCTATAAACAATATTTTATTTTATTTTATTTTTAAAAAATTACTAGTGGAAGCTTTGTTATTGTAAATGTTATTTTTTTATTTTATTTTATTTTTGCTTTTATAAATGCTTTTTTACTCATTATTGTGTAAAGTATTTTATAAAATTAATATTTTTAATTTATATATTATAAACAAATTTATTGATATAAATATTTTATATAATATAATTAATTAAAGTATTTTTATTTGTTTCATTTAAATATTTTTATTTTTTTAAAAAGCATTTTTTATTAATAGTTTATATTTAATTTCAAATACAATATTATTATTAAATAAATTATATAATATCTATATAAATAAAATAAATTAAAATATAATATATAGATTTTTATATATTAATTAATATTAATAATATTTTAATAATAAAGATATAATTAATAAAATATAAATTAATATAATTATTTTATATTATTAAAATAAAATTATGACGATATAAAATATATATTTAAAAAAATATATAAATTATATATATTAAATATTTCTGATTATTAAAATTACTTAATTATTTTAAAATAAATTTAATTTATTTTTATAATTATTAAATTAATTTATACATATTTATATTATATTTAAATAAAATATTTATAATAGATTTGACAATAATATTAAATTTAATTTTATTATTTAAATAAAAATTAATAATTCAAGCATTTATTAAAAATTAAAAAATATATATTTTTTAAATTTTCTATTTATTAATTTTTATAACATATTTTTTTATAAAGATAATAAAATAAAAGAAAATAATAATAATAATAAAACAAAAAATTATTTAAATATAAATATTATAAGGTAATCATTATTTTAAATTATCAAAAAACAAAAAAAAAAGCTCTAATATTTTTTTTTTTAATAATTTCAATAAACAAATTAAATATATAAAGCTTAATAACATTATAATAAAAAAACTACATTTATATTTTTAAGTTAATTTTTAATTATTTTCAGTTTATGATATCATATAATTTAATAAAAATAATATGATTATAACTAATAAATCTTATTTAATAATAATATATTTTTTTTTTTTTTAAATGGAATAAAAAACTAAATATAAAAATATTTAATGTAAAAAAACTTATTAAATTATTTTAAAATTTTATTTTATTACGAAAAACAAAAATTAAATATATACATTTTTCAACTTTTTTCAATGTTATTTATCCAATCATTTTCTAAAATCTTAAAATTATATTATGTTAATTTTTAATGTAAACATAAAAAAAAAAAAATTAAAAGTTACCTAATTTATATTAATTCTATCATCAGGGTTTTATTTTAAAATACTTTATATTAATAGTCTAGATTTTAAACTAACATCAGATTCAAAATCTAATTTACATTCATTAATCTTTTTATATAAATCTTAATCATTTTTTCCTTTGAAAGGAAATTTTCCGTTCAAGATTTTAAATAAAAGAATACCCAAAGCCCAAATATCGACACTAAAAGAATAATCTTACTTGTTTACAATCTCTGGGGCCATATAACTTGGGGTTCCACAAAAAATATTCAACATAGTACCTGGAACTATGGCAATAGAAAATCCAAAATCTATTAATTTAACTTTCTAAGCATTAGGGTCATAAAGAATATTTTCTAATTTTATGTCTCTATGAATTATTTATTTGTTATGGCAATATTTTATTGCTTAGATTAATTATATAAATATATTTCTTGATTCTTATTCACTTAATTTATTGGTAATTTATTGTTTTAAATATATATTCAATGGAATAGCTTTTGAGGGATATTCCATTAGTAAATTTAATTACTAATCTGTTTCTATAATACCATATAATTTTATTATATTAGTATGCTGAATTATCGATAATATTTTTATTTCTCTTGCAACATTCTTTTTTTTTAAGGGTCATTTAATTTTTATTTTTCATAAGTTTTTAAGGCATAAAACTCCTAAGTTTCAATATCTTAAACTATTCTAACTACAGCATATGAGCCAAATCCTTTTTTAATTTATTTATATAAAAAAATTAAAATATTATTTATTTATTTATCAAGATAAACCTAATATTTTTCCAAAAATATATTTATTTAAATTTTTATGAGGTTAAATTGGATGATGAACTAAATTATTATTAATATTAGAATGTAAATTATTACTTAAATTCAATTTATTATTATTATTATTATTATTATTATTGTTATTATTATTGATATTATATTAATTCAATTAAAAAGTGTATATATTAATGAAATTATTATTATTATCTTAATTATTATTAATATTATTTTATTTTTCTTTCTTATTTTTATTATTTTAATTAATATTTTAATAAATATTATTAATATTATTTTGATTAATTATAATTTTTGTATTATTTTTTACATTTGTATTATTATTTATTTATTATGTTAAATTTGTAATATCTTTCATATTTTTTATATTTTTATCTAAAGTTTACATATTATTTTTAATAGAATCTTTACCATTGTTTTTGTTAAATGAATATTTTTCTTAAATTAACTTTGCTTTATTTTCTAATTTTATTTACTATTGATTTTACATATTTTATTATATCATTTATTTATTTTCTTATTTAAAATTATTCTTTATTATTTTTTCAAATTTGTCAAATACATTTTTTACACATAATTCAGTTTATTATAAATCATTTTCATAAAAATCGTTTTATTAATTTTTTTCTCTGTTTGTTTTTATAAAAGAATTTACTTTCTATACATTTTAATTTTTTTCTAAGTCCTGTATAATTTATTCGATTTTTTTTATTTTTATTTTTTAATCCTTATCCAAATCTTGAATTATTTATTTACAATTGATTTAATATTCCATTGAATTTTCTATTGATTTTTTTATTGATTTATTATTAAATTTTGGCGATATTTAAAATATCTGCGAGCATTTACTTAAATTTAGAATATTTTCTTAAAAATATTGACTATTTTTGATTTTATTTACACTTAATTTAAAATTAGAATTATTTTACAAAATCTTTATTTAAGGCTTATTTTCTGTTTTAATACGTAATTCTGCATTATTTGGGCTATATTCGTTTATTATATATGCATTTGAAGGTAGTTTTTATAATTATTTCTATTAAATTTTGCTTAAAGGTAATATTGATTTGTTCATACTATTTTCATATTTATAATATTCATAAGTTGGAGTATTCAGTGAATATTCATTAGCTTTTTTTTAATTTTTAATTATGTTTTGGTCTATTTTACTTGTCTAATAAAAATATTAATTACAATACATTTTATTATTTATTTTATATATATTAAATTTAATTTTATAATAATAAAAAATAAACAATTATATTTTTTTTAATAAAATTTATTGCATTTAAAAAAAAAACATTATTAAAAAAAAAAAAAAATTTAGTAAGAAATAAAAAAAATAATAAAATAAATAAATATTCAAAAAATAAAACATAAACTTTAATTTTCATCATTATTTTTAATTTATTATTAATTTTATAAACTATTTTTAAGGTCATCTTAATGATTAATTTTTTATTTTTCCTAAACAAATTTAAGATAATCATATTTATAAATATCATAATTTTAATCTTCAATTTAATTTTGTTGGGCTTTATCACTTTTAAATTATTTCTAATAATCCTCACTTATATAATTACCAATTTTTTTCGGTATAAATAAATTCCTTTTTTTAATCTTCTTAACTACTTCTATTAATTTAATATTAAACTTACGAATTTCTATATTATTAAACATCATTAATATTTTACTTATAAATTCTATTTACAATCTTTGAGTTATAAAAATATTCTTCTTTATCTTATCTTTAATAATATTAACTTTCCCCTTTATTCATATTTCTTACAATACATCTTACTTGCATTAACATAACTTTTAGATTTTTATTAATACTATTATTACTATAATAAATCAACTTAATTTTATTTATTTCTATTGTTTTAAATTTTTTTAATATATTCTTATTCTTCCCTTTCCTTCTCTATTTTTTTTTCATAATTATTTATTACTAAAAATATCCATTAACTCTTCTTGAATATTCAAAACTATTTTCTCTACTTCCTCTTCTAAGTTATCCATTTCTTAACCCATCATATTGCTTTAACCTTTATTAATACTCAAAACTAGATTCATTTGGATTTCTTTCCAATTTGAATTTTCTGTGGTAAAATCCTCCTCCAAACTTGTTATCTTACATTTAGGCATCATATAAAAACTAATACTATTAATATAAATAATTTATATTTAACAAAAGCTCTTCTTCTAATTTTAACTATTGATCGTTTTCTTATTAATTTTCATCTTCTTCTGAATAAATTATATCCCAAAACTTCGTTGCATCTCTAGCTAAACCTCCATATTTTAACTACAAATCATATTAATCGATTTCTTTTATAAGATCATATTTTAAATCATCTTCTTCGACTTCATAACTTATTTTACTTAATGTATTTTTCGGAATCATCTTTTCGATTATACCCCATCTAAAATCGGTCATAACACTATTACATTTTACTATATATAATTTATCTAAATAGCACGGAAAACATTTACTTACTTATTATATTATATAAAAAAGGAACTTTTATTTAAAAAATAAAATAAAATTGTAATTTTTTTTTTTAAAAAAATACTCCATAGTTTATTCCAAAATCTGAATCATAGTTTGCGTCTATGATTATTTTCCAATTATCTATATAACCATCATATAACATATATTCTTTTACGATTAAAAAACATCTCATTAAAACATTAAAAACATCTATTTTTTTAACTACTTAGAAATCTATTTTATATGGACATATTATTATTATAGGACGACCTTTTTTATCTCTTTTTTAGAAATAAATAAGTCCATGTTACTAAATATTTTTTTAAGAAAATAAATAAATATTTAATTATTTATACCAGTAAAAGTAATGTATTCTTATTAAGATTATGTTTTAAATGATTTTCGATTTATTAATCTGAATAAATAATACTCTTATTAAGGATTTTATTTAAATAAAAAAAATAATTAAAATATATATATATATATATATATATATATATATATATATATATTTCTACTTATAATGTATCTTACATATTATAATTATTTACATACATATACCTTAAAATTTTTTCTTATTTATATTAAGCTCTATTTTATTATTTTAATAATTTAATATATTAAAGGATTGTTATCTTGAAAACAATAATATTTTAAATGTAATAAATATAAATTACATCTTATTTTAATTTATTCTTTAGCAGTAATTTTTAAATTAATTTATTTAATTAATTTCATATTATGTATATGTTGAAGGATCTGAAAAAATATATCTTTAATCTGCATTAACTATATCTTTGTCTTTTTTATTTATTTTTTTAAGGGGTTAGTTTGATAAAAAATTACAAATATTTTTTTCAATAATAAAAATTACAAGAAATATTATATTTTTTAACTTCAATCTAATCAATTTTTAAATAATTGTAGTCATTACCAAACATTTTATGAAATTTTTATTTTATAAAATCTAAATATTTAATTATTATTAAAATAAAAATAATATATAATATATAATTTTTTTTAAAAAACGATATAATAAATATATTAAATTCTTTATTTTTGTAATTAATTAAAACATATATAAATTAAATAAAATGTTAATAATAATAAATAAGAATTAAATTATACTAATAGTTTATTAATTTAAATGTATATTTAAAATTTAGAATTTAGTTTTATACAATATATACTTTTTTTTTATGAAAAATATAAAAATATATCCATATTTAATATATTTTATACTTTAAAATATATATAATAATTAATAAATTATTCTAAACAATTTATAAAAATTAATAAATTATTTTATGGGGAAATAATAAAAAGGATTTAATAAATATTCAAAATAAGGTGGAAGTAGTAATTTTGATGAATTAATGAGAGGTTTTGTTTTAATGTGTGATAGAGATAGAGAAAAAAATGCAGTAAAAGATGCTTATAATTTTTTAGTTAATGTAAATATTAAAACAAAACAAAAACTTTAATATATAAAAAATAATATATAAATGTTAAACAAAAAAATAGCTAATAGAATAGCATTATCCCGATATTCAATAAAAAGTATAAAATAAAAAAGTAAAATTAAATGAAAATGAAGAAATTAAAATTAATACAAATGATATATTAGATTAAGAATTAAACGAGTTAAAATAATAAAAGAATAAATTACTTTATAATGTAAATACTGATGTTAAAGTAAGCTTATATACTCAGCTAATATTATATATTATAAAAAATGCAAAAAAAAAATAAAAAAATATTATATATTAATAATGATATTTTCTTAAATTAAAATAAATTAGTGTACTGTTTTTTTGAAAATAAATTCATAATAAATGGATTTAGTAGATGTAAATTAAATAACAGAAATACTAATGAATAAAGTTCATATATAAAAAGAGATAGTCACAAGGTTTTTATTTACTTTAAAAATAATAATATTTACTACTATATTTAATAACTTTAATATAGATTTCGTCATAGAATATATCCTGCTTAATATGCATTTAGAGCTGAATAATCTAGCTTAGATAAATACATATAAAAGTTAAGTTAAGAAAAAATTCCTTTAGATACTCCAAGCTCTGTAAATAAATATATTTTTAAATGAATTATAAATATAACACATAGTGGATGATAGTATGCAAAATTAGAAATAATAATAAGTTTAATAAAAAAAATATTCTTGAAACAGTTTAGAAATATATGCCTCATATTCATTTCGTTGACTATAAAAGTCCTTTTTTTACTATTTTAGTTGATGTTTCACATGTATTTTTAATCTTTATCTAATTTTTTATATTCTATTTATAAAATATAAAAAGAATTTAATGTGTTTGAGTGTATTAAAAAATTATCTCGATTGGAAAAAATATAGTTTAAAAACTAATCCTGATTAAAGTTAAGTCTTAAAATTAAATTAAAAACATGAAGAGTAAGAATAGCAATAAATATATAAATAAGAAGATAAAAGAGAATCATAAGAATAATTAGATTAATAAATAAAAGATAATTAATAAGAATAAAACGTATAATAAATAAATAATAATCAATTAGAAGATGATATTCACTTAATTTGAGGTTATTTTATAAAAAGTTTTTTGAAATAATAAAATGTTTTATTATTAATTTTATTTTAAATAAAAAAAAATATATCTTTTTTTGAAAAAAAAAAAAAAATAGTCAATTTTTTTTGTAAATAACCAAAAAGAATAAAAAATTAATAATAATAAAATATATTTATATAAAATAATATAATTTTATAAAATAATAAATGTAACTATATATCCCAAAAAAAATAAAAATATAAGTTTAAATCATTTCATTGCTTCTTCATATTTTTATTTTTATTTTTTATAAAAATCAATAGCTTCTTCAAGATTTTTCTTTTCATTAAGAAGTTCTTTTTATTATTAAGTACTTTAATCTAGAATTTATTTTTGTTTATTTTTTTCTTCATTTTTTAATTAATTTTCCGCCTTTAATTTCCCAATGATATCATTATCCTAAGCCGACTATTTATTTTTCTATTCGATTTAAACTTTTATTTCTTTTAGTTATTCCTAATTTAAATTCTAAAGCATTTAAATTTATTCATATAATACATCTAACATATATTTTTGTATTTGGGAAATATGATTACCGTAAACCTCAGCATAATTAGTTTATTTTCCTAAGCATATAGTTTTTATTTCATTCAAAATTTTCTCAAATTATTATTTAATAAAAAAGCAATCTTCCTTCGTTTATTAATTATTATTCGTCTTTTCCTTCACTTCTCTAATTTTTTCTTCCATAATCAAATTTACAGCATTTTAAGTTTCTTCATTATTAATTTAATGGAACTTATCTTCCATTTCTTTAATAAATTCATTAATACTTTTATAATACTTATCAAAAAGTGGAACTGCAACATCAATATCATGTGCTTTTAATTTAAAAAATGAAAAAAAGACCTAATCCCTTGCTTTTTTGAGACTCTCATTCATTTATTCCAAAGACATATATTCACAATCCCCAAACTATTATTCCATTTCTTTTTTATAAATTTCAATGCAATTATGGTAAACAGAAATAAATTCATTCTCAAGTAAAATACAAAAAGCCTTTTCTATTTAAAATTTCTCATTACAATTTGCATCTTCAATAAAACTCCTTATATATTCCACAACCATATTTTTCGAAAGTCGAAGTCCTCTAAATTCTTTTACACTAGAAGATTCCAAAATTATTTTTTTTCTCAATGTTTGTATTTCTTATTAAAACTCTTCACAAAAGTCTTAAAAAGAAAGTTAATTTAAATTTTCATTATTTTTATTTTTTATAGGGTTCACCATTGTGAATAAATTTCGATTCTGAAAATATTTTATTATTCTTCTTCGCAATTTTTATTATTCTGCTGTTGCTCTTTGAAATTATAATTCGTCAAATAAAAATTATTCTAAATATTATTAGCCACTAACTGTTGTTCCCTTATGCTTTATTTCATGTGTAAAATCTCTCATTAATATCATTAATTTAGGAAACAAGTACTTTAAGTCTTCTTTATGTTCCAAATTATCAAATTCAAATTATTCTTATAAGTGCATTAAAGACTTTAAAGTGTCAAAATCTTAAGATTTTAAATTATTTGATTTTATGTTCATTAATATTGTACTAGATAGTAAGCATATTAACATAAATAGTTATTGTTGCCTATGAGAATTGCTTTTTAAATCTATTTAGGTGTCTAAAAAGTATATTTCACAATCTTCATGGGAATTATATATTGGCTCACTCCATATTATTAATCCAGGATTTTTTTATGTATTACATAACTAATATTTTTATTTTTTATTTAAACAAAAAACAAAAAATATAAATTTTATTTTGTTAAATATGAATTTATTTTTATTAATTTTATTTTTGTTAATATGAAATTAAATTTGAATTATATTTTATATTTTTTAAATGTAAATATATATATATTTTTTTTAAATAAATATAATTAAATACTCTTTATTTATTAGCTGGTATTTCTAATATTTAATCTAATAAAAAGCTTTTTCCAGATTTTTATTCTCCAATAATTGTTACAAATGAAATTTTAGTATTTTTTTATTCATTTTGATTCCTTTTGAAAAGCTATATTAAAAAATAAATAAAATTATTTTAAAAATCATTACATCAATAGCATATTCATTTAATTCAAATTAATTACTATTTTCATTCCAGCTAATAAATTAAATACCTTCTCCATAATTATTTAAAATAGGAATATTAACTTTTCTTTCATATTAAGCCAAAGACTTAAACTAAGTTTAAAGTTAAGCCTTTTAATCAAGAGTAGAATAAATTTAGTCGATTTTATTTTAAATTTAAGATTTTTTTCCATAAGCTTCATAATTGAGTTTTCTTGTAAATCCAACACTTTATTAAACATGAGTTTTCATATATTTAGAAATATTATCATTCAAAATAAAATCATCGGTAGATTATTCATCTGGTAAATCCATTTCATAATCATTTAATTGATTTGTTTCAACAATTTTTTAATCATTATTTTAATTTATTTATATTAATTAAGGCATTTAATTTTAATATTTAAGATTTTAGGGAAGAACCATATGAGCAACATTTTTTTAATCTATTTAATATGTTCTCTCATTCTATTTATGATTATTATTGTTATGTATCTAATACTCTTTTTAATTATTATCATGATTAACGTATTAATTTTGGTGCATATTATGAATATTGACATTAGAAAATTAAGTTTACTATTATTATTGATTCTAGTATAAATGAGTATAAGAATCTTATTAGTGTTTTTCCGTATTCAAAACTTAAGCAGAACCTAGGTTAGAATCGGGATTTTAACTATCACTATGTAAATTCTAATTCATTTTATCTTTTTTTTTTCAAGTTTTTTTTATTTGATTTTTTATTGTTTTTTGTGTTTATTTATATACAGTTTTATTATTTGTTATTTGATATATATATATATATATATATTTTGCTTTTTATTATATATAAAAATGAATATCATAGTATTTTATTTAAAATATAATTTATATATTAATGTTAATAATTTAAATAAAAATATATATATAAAAAAAATATTTAATATTATTATTAATAAAAATTTATTAATTTATAATGATAATATATTTTAATTTATATTATAAAATATTTTTAATTTATTTATTATAGATAATTTGTAAAATATAAATATTTATTTTTATTTATAAAATTTATTACAATTTTCAATTGATTATTATTAATATGTTTTGTTTCTTTTATAGATTTTGAAATTTTTAACTTTATATTATTTGATTTATAATTTTTTTATGAAAATTGAATTATATATATGATTTTTATAATTTATCAGAAGGTTTATACATTAAATTATTTCTAAAATAATTTAAGAAATAAAAATATATTTACAAATATAATTATAAATAATATATTTTTATTACTTTTAATCAATAAATAACGTTAAAAAAGAAATTATATTTGTTAATTAGATATTTTTTTCTTTATAGAATTAATAAAATTTTGACTTATTAAATTTAGGCTGCTGTAAAAAAAAATACCTATAATTAATTATTTATTAAATTTAAATAATTTATTAATCTAAAAAAAAAATGTGTTTATATTTAAAATAAAAATGTAAATATTAAATATATATATATATATATATATATATATATATATATATATATATATATATATTTATATATATATATATATATTATTAAAAATAGCATCCAACTATTTTTTTTAATTTTAAAAACAAATTTCAAAAATAAAATAAAAAATTTCATAATTATCAAAAATGACTAAAATACTAAAAATAATTTTATAAATTTTTAATATTAAAAATAAAATAATTATTAATTCCAAATTTTTTATAAAATGATAGGTTAATAAATTAATATAATAGACGAGGATGCAAATACTCTTTTTGCTAATTCTAAATTAATATATAATTATCTTTCTATAACTCATAAATACTATTTATATAAATTAGATAAATATGGTAGAGTACCTGACTATTTTACTTATGAATATGCATAAAAATTATTAAGTTTATAAATATATTGCCCTAAAACATTTGATATTCCACCAACTAAATAAAAAACAGCATTAAATGCATACTAATTACTTTAAGTAGTTAATTAATAATCAAAAAAATTGAAAAATATAGAAACTGGTTTAGACGAAACAAAGCTTCCCAAAAAGAAGTTTCTTATATCATTTTTAGCTGCTTTAGACCCATATAATGAAGTATTTACTTAAAAAAGAACAATAAGTATTCCATAAAAGTATATTTATTTAAATAATTAACTAACTAAAAAAAAATGAAATATAATATATATACATATTTATATATATAAATATTTATATAGTTTACCTTTTATAGAACAAAAGAAACTCTCTTTATTAATCCAAAAAAATTACAAAATCGAAATTAAAAAAAAATAAATATTAAAGCGTATCTAGAAAATAGAAAATTAATAAAAAGAAATCTTTGAATATAAAAAACAAAAAGAATAAAATAATACTTAGGTAGAAAATAATTCTGTTCTAACTAGAGGAATAGATGAATATCAAAAAATAGAAACTAACTCTTAATTATTTTTAGTAAATAGTGAGTAAAATCTAGAAAGTAGAACTTCTTAAAATATGGAATTTTTTTAAATATAAAATTTTCAAGTTTAAGATTATCAAAACCATTTAATGTTTGAAATTGATGAATTTATAATATGAAAAAAAAATAAAAAAAACATTTTAAAATTATACATGTTATAAATTTTTTATTTCAATTTTTATTAAAAATAATATTAATTTTTTAGTTTCATTTATTTAATTTATCATTTATATTTTAAAACTTATTAATTATGTATTTATTTATTTATTTTAAAAAATAAACTTGACAAATTATAAAGTATATTTTATTATATTATTTCATAATTTAATTTAAAAATACTTATAAACTAATATTTTTTATTGAAATTTATAAAATATAAAATTTTCAATTTTTTAAATAGAACCTTTATTAAAAAATATTTGTATATTAAAATGATTTTTTTCTAAATTTTTCAATACAAAATTATTTTATTATTACTATAAAAATATTAATTATATAAATTTCATTTATTATACTTTTGAAATACTTTCATAATTAAGTCCTTTATAAAATAAAATATAAAAATAACTTTTATTTATATATATTAAAAATTAATTAGTTTTACTTGAGAAAATTAATAATACTACTCTATAATATTATCAAAATAAATATTAATTCTAAATAGTAATAATGTATTTAATATCTTCAAATTATATAAATAAATAATTATTATAATAGATTTTAAAAAAATAACCTTTAGCAATATATTTATTGATATAAATAATATTTATCCAGCTTTACTTATATAGTTTCTTTCATAATAAATTTAATGTTAAAAGCTTTCCATTTAAGAGATTTAAATAACATATATATAATCTTATATAATCGAGAAACTTATGAATATAATTAAATATCCTATTCGATTTTCTGATAAACTTTTGTTAAGAAGGCCACTTAATATTAATGTCATTATAATTATCTATAATTTTTATGTTTTTTATTTTAGTAAAAATTAGAAAAAAATATACTTTTTTACTTCTAAATAATTGCATTTAAAAAAAGAACAAAACAAAGAAAATATTAAAATTAAAATATTAATTAAAATTGTAGAAATAATTATAAAGTTTTTAGAAATTTTTAAATCAATAATTTAAGGTGTTTAAGTAGTAATTAATTATTTATTAACTTATACATTTTAAATTTTTTCATGTATAATATCTTCTTATTTAATTTCTTCAAAGTAATAGCTAACCCTTTTATTATTATATTTATTTTATAGTATTTCTTCAAAATTAACATGTCCTAAAACAAAGTTGGAGATTTAAAGATTTTACCTTTATTATACATTAATAAAGGTCTATTCCCCAAATTAAAATTAAATTTTTTAATTTGGAATTTCTAAATAACTAAATACTATTACAATAAATTATCCAGGAAACAAACAAAAGTTTATTTAATTATTTTCTAATTTATGAATTATAAAATATTTATATTATATAAAAATATAAATTATATAAATATTTATATATATGTATTATATATTTTTTTATTTTTATTTCTTATAATATATTATTTTTAAAATTTTTAAATAAATTAAAATATACTCTTATATAAAATCTGATTTTTTGTTATCATTTTTTTTTTAATAAAAAATAATGAAAAAACATATTTAATAATTTTATAAATGTATTAATATAAAGAATTGTAAAAATATTTATATTATATATATATAAATATTTATATATATATAATTATATATTTAATTTAAATTATATCTTTTATTTTATTTTACATAACATTTCTTTTTATAATATTTTTGCTCCAATTAAGTTTACATCTTTTATCTATTGTTTTAAAATTACATTTTTATTTGAGTTATGAATGCATAATATTTTATATCCAATCAATTCATAATTAAAGAAAATTGAGTCTTAACAGACTTAAAAAGGTTACACTTTTTCTACTGCATAATTTTTAAATATGTATTTTTATATTTCAGAACACTTAGAATTATCTTATTATGTTATGCTCACGTTATATTTAGTATATGTACCTTTTTATTATATTTATTTTTAAATATAAAAATAAATAATACTTATTGTGAAATTTCTTTAATTCTAATTTTGCCATTTAGCTTATATTAGAATTAAATAATCTCCATTTTAAAAATTTTATTCTATAGAAATATTACGCTCATCACTATATGCCGAATTTAAGTAAACAATTTAATCTTTATTTAAGTATTTTGTAATAATAATGCTAAAAATAGAATACTAATAAGATTAATTATCTTAAAAAATTCGTTTATCATATTAATTCAATTAAATATATCCATGAGTTTAATTTTAAACATTTAAACGAATTAGTGTATAATCTGATATTTATTATTATTTAATATTCAAAGAATTAAATACGTAATTTAAGTGAATTTTATTTATTGATAAATATTAAGCACTTTCATATAGCTCTTTTATTTACATATAAAATACTTTTAGATCATTTTCTTTGAAATTTATTTTTTCTTTTATTTAACTATTAAGTAAACTATTATTTTGTTAAATTTAGCCTTTCCATTAGGTAGTACTATAAAAAAAATACATAAATTTATTATAAAAAAATATAATTTTATTTGTATTTAAAATAAAATAAATACCCAACTAAAGAATTAATTTATAAAACAACTTATTTTTCTAAATTATTTTAATTCTAATATTCATATATATTTTAAATTTAATAAAATTTATTTTTATCTAATCCATTATTATTTTCTTTGCTTTAGAATAAAATAATAAAACTTTAACTTAGTGCTTTACTAATAACTTCTTATAATTAATTTGGATTTATTTCATAATTTCTCATTTCTTAATTACATTTTGAAATTCGGTTTTCTTTTAAATAGCATTCATAAGAACTTCCAGTTAAATCAGTTAAAGCTTAATAAATTAAACCATTTTAAATAATAGAATAATTTCCATAAGTCTTAGCGTAAGATTTTTCTAATAAACATACCCAATATAAATTGTTTTGTGGTACTTAATAAAAAAAGAAGTTTTATTTTTTTTTATCATAAGGAAGAAAATCATCTATAAATTAAAAAAAATAAATATTAATAATAAATATAAATCTTTAATTACCTATTGTTTATAATTACCATCTTCCATTCATATTTATCCAAATACCATATATACAGTTATTATTAACATTTTATTCAATAAAAAGTCTTTTTATTTATACAATATTTTAGCTTAATATATTAATTGCTGCTAATAAATATAAGTTTTTATTTAATGTATTAAGTTATAAATCATATGTATTTTCAGTAAATAAATTCAATGGATGCTCTTTATTTTTATATATGCTAGTAAAATTAATTCTTTTAAAATCAATATCAGAATAATTTTCATAAATTTAACCTAAAGAACTCATTTTATGAGGAAAATATAAATCCTCATAACTTTATTATTGTGATTTAAGTTGCTATAATTGGAGAGTGTATTAATTTGTATTTATCTATTATTCGCTATTTAAATAAGAATACAAACTTACTTGACATCCAAAATCAAGATTTGATTATTTTTATTAAAAATTTGAATTTAAATAACTATTTTAATTCATTTTATTTTAATTAAATAAATAAATTATTATTTATATATAAAAATAATATTTTTTTTATTTTTAAATTTTTATTTATTATTTGAATAAAATAATGTTTTTTTTATTTCTAATTATTTTATTATTTAAAAAAATATATTGATATTAGTATACTTTTACATAAAATATTTTATTTAAAATAAATATATAATTTATATATTATTTAATTATATTTAATTTTAATATTATTTATATATATTATTAATTACAATAAAATTAATTTATTTTTAATTAATTAATATAAAAATTAATTTATTTTAATAAAATAAATATCTAAATTATAATTAATATTTCTTATATTTAAAATATGTTTATTATTATAATATCTTTTTTTTATTTTAACTACTTTTTAATTATTCTAATTAAAATCTATAAAAAAAAATATATTTATTTTATTTTTAATATTTTTGAAAATGAAACAGATTTTAATTAATATAAAAAAATAAATTTTAAATATAAAATAAAAAAAAAATTAAACCTAATTAAAACAAAACAAAAAAAATAGTAAAAATAATATGAATTTTAATTGGCAAACAAGTTTAAATTATTTAAAATAATCACAAAGGTTTGATTAAACAGTAAAAAATTCAATAAAAAATAAATAAAATTAAATAAAAAAGAGAGCAAAATGTAAGTAATAATAGAAGCTTTATAAATAGATGACGAAAAAGAAATTGACGAAGAAAAGCTTTAAGAACTTTATGAAAATTTCTTAAACTATTAAGAACAGCAAGAAGATAAGCTAGAACTATCTAAATTGCAATAAGGAGATTGCTTAATATAGTTTTACTTATTGAAATTAGAAAAAAGACTAATAATACTAAGCAAAACATACGAAGAAACTGCTTGGAATGGAAATGAAAGCATCAAACTTATAGAAAAGTAAGATTTAGGGATAATAAATATTTTAAAATGTTTAATAGCTATTATAGAAAGACTAATTGAAATGTTTAATTAAAATTAAAAAGGAATATAATTAGAAGCTGAGAAAGTAAATTCTTTAATATAATTACTTTTATATTGTGATAATTTAGAAATTAATTATCTTTTAATTAAATTCTTATATTTAGTCTCTTAGTAATATTTTAATAATATGATATGACATATTTTATATATTTTTATTTATTTATATTTAAAAAAAAAAATTAAAAAAGAAACATTTGTATAAAGAATTTTAGTAATTATACATTATTAGAATATTATTATTGCTTTTTTATTAATAACTGGCGTTTAAGATATCCTTATATCGGTGAAATTTTCAAAAATGAAAAGTTCTACAAAGTAAAATTTATATAATATATAAAATAATAATTAAAATAATAGGATACGGGAATGAAGCCAATAGGAAATGATACATTGCAAGATTTTGTATTTTATGAAATATAAGATAAACAAAATATAAAAGTCGATATACATTCAGTAAAAAAAGAATTTACTGATTTCTTTTCTTCCTATAATTAATCTTAGTAAATATTCATAAAAGAAAACATCCATAACCCAAAATGCTTTTCTTAAGATTTTATTAATGTCATGCTTTCATTAAGGGTAGCTAAAAATATTTCTGCAATAAAAAATCGTGTTTTAATATCCCTTATATAAGTAATATATATAAAAATATATATATTTATATATATATATATATATATATATATATATATATATATATATATATATATATTATTAATTTTAGTCATATATTATCGCTTCAAGTAGTTTATTTTAAAGATGTTCAGAATATTTGAATAATGTATAAATAGCTAAAGATTATAGATTAATATATTCTTTTAAAAACTTTCCTTATGTCGAATATTAAATGGACATATTAAATGCTTTATCTAACTATTTACAAAAAGACAGTATATTTTATAATTTTAATGAAGAAATTTAATTAGAATATGAAATTAAATTTTTGGATGATTTTAAAAGTAAGTTTTTGAACGAGGAAGTTTATTTTATTGAAAATGTAAAATTGGAAGACGTTTATAAATATTATATTTAGTTTGGCAAGATATATGGATATATATAGAGTTAAATAATACAAAAAATAGAAGAAAAAACAATAAATAATATTCACAAAATCGAACAAGAAGCTTATGAAATAATTCTAAACATAGATAAATATATATCAATTGGAATAAGAAAAATAATAAATGAGATTTAATAAGAAAATAATTAAAATATAAATTTAATTAAATTGTTTAATTCAATATAAAATTTTGTTTAAAATAATTTTGCCTATATTAATTAATAATAATATGATAATGAAATTATTTATTCACTAAAAGAATTATATGAGCTTTTTTCTCAAAAAAAAGATGATGAAAATAAGTTCTTTTTATATTTAGATTTATCTAATTTCGCACTTTTAGAAAAATTAAATGAGTTTGTTTCAGAAAAAAATTTCTTTGATACACTAATATCTAATTATATAAATAATTAATTCAATTTATAATAAAAAATATTATTTTATCACTCCGAGTAATTAAAAAATACCTATATTGAAGATTAAGAAAGATTCTATTCACTTGTAAAAGCTATTGTGGATTTTTTAGAAACAAATAATTCATAATTATAAGAATAATATTCCTTTTAGAATAATATTTTAGGTTAATTTTTAGAAAAATACAGAAATTAATCTTAATATGATGAGTTTTTTGACAAAATCAATTATGTAAGATTCACTTTTGGTACTTACAAAAACGAAGCAATAGATAATGAAACATTAAGTATTTTTTCAGGACGAATAATCGAATTTTTTAGCTAATATTTAGAAAACAAATAATAAATAATAGAATAAGATAGAAATTTAGAATAAGAAATATTTGGAAAAATATTAATTAATTATAAAAAAAATCCATATGTAAAATCTTATAATGAGTCTTTATTAGCTATAAATGCTTTTCGTAGTTCTTAATTTTTAGCTTCTTTTTATTAAAATTTAATCTATATTTTATCTCATGTATTTATTTATAAATATATTTATATATAAAAATATATATTATAAAATTTAGGCTTCTAGTTTACAAGATGAAACTGAAATTAAAAATTTAGTAAAAAAAAGTTTAGAATTTGTACATCCTTGTTCTGGTGATTTTACTCATTTATTTTTACATTAATTACAATTATAAGATTAATAATCTTAATTATTTGTTGATTCTAAGGGTTAAAAAATTCCTATAATGAATGTTTTTTTAGATTTATATGTCGATTTACTGTCTGAAAATATAGAAAAGATAACATATTTACATCATTAGGGCCTTTAGAAAAATCATTAAATATATTTAAGGGAAAAAGTTATTGGAATTGCTGAAAGTTCATCCTTATTAATTAATAATTTTGATAATAATACCTATTAAAGTTTTCTAATAATAAAATAATTAGATATTCTTTATGCTTTATTAAAACAAACAAGTAGAATTTTTATAAACATCCCAACAACTTAAAATATAGAAAATTTTACGTAAAAAAGCCGAATTTTGATTCCTAATATACTAAATTAATTTTTGAATGAAAAAATATAATTTTTTAGTTAAAAAATAGACTTTTTTTACCAAAACTACTTAATAAAGATATAACATAGTTTATTTTTGAAAAATAAAATAGGATTTTTTATGGAAAATATTTTTAAAAAAAACTAACTTTTTTCAATTTCTAAAGCTTTTTTGGCTGATTTCGGTATTTTTTAATATACGAAAAAAGACTTTCTTAAATAAATACTTGGCTTACCTTAATAAATATTAAAATTAAATAAAAATAATAAATAAAATAGATTGTTAATAGATGAATTATATACTGAAATAAATGTAGTTTTATTAAAAAATAGTAAAGGAGAAATAAGAAATAATAATATTCAAAACGCTCTATAGGATTTAATTTTGGAAGTTATTTTAGAATAAGAATTAAGAAAAAGTATGAGATTTTCTAATATATAAGCTTAATTTAATTAAGAAGAATATTATAAGAAAACTTTTAATATTTTAAATGGAATTCTTTAGAATTTAAGAAAATTTAAAATAAGAAATGACATTATTAAATAAAATTAAAATGAAGATTTTTAAAATAAAGATAATTGGTTAAAGCTTTAATTTTACATGTTAAGTAAAGAATTCTTAAAATAATGGTTTAATAGTTTCTTAAATATAGAAGAAAAAGGAGTATAATTATTAAAAGTCTTAATTTAAGATCAAAGAAATAAAATCTAAAGTTGTAATGCTACAGAAATTTTACTTAATTTACTTATTTTAGCTATTAATGTAAGAAAAGAATTTTTTAACGATTCTATAGAATATTTTGAAATGAATTCTAAAATAGTTCAAAATATTGACAATTCTTAAGTTAAGGTTTTTACAGCTAAATTTTTATTAAAATTATTTTAAGAAATAAATAAGTAAATTTTAATATATATATATAATAAATAAATATTTAAATATATATATATATATATATATATATATATATATTTATATTCAATTTTAATATATATATATAGAAATGGAATTACTTTGTTATAATAAGAATGTCTTGAAATTTCTAATTTAATTTAAATTTAGATTAAAATTAAGTAAACATGGAATATTTAATAAATGTATTTTAATTAATAACTATTAATTTATTTAAATCTAATAAATCAATATCATTTAATGAAGAAATATTTCCGTTCTTAGGAAATAATAAATCAATTGAATAACCGAAATAACTATCGGAAGGTTTATGAATCATAAGTTAATAATTAATAAAAGATATTGTTAATGTATCTTAGAGAAACAGAGTTTCCCTAATAAATAATTTTATTTATATCATTAATTATTTATAGTTAAATGTTTTGAAAAAAAACGAATGTTTTAATTTAGAATTCTATTTCATTATATTTGATTATTGTAATGAATATTTAAATATATAACCTTCTAATGTTTAAATTGCTATAGTAAATTCTTGCTAATAACTTTAATTGTTCAGCTTTTGGTTTGAAAAACTTAAACTTTATTTAAAAAATCAAAATAATAACTTTATTTCAAGTATTTTTTTTTTCATATATTTTTATTTTTATTTTTTTAAAAGATGATTAAATAAATTTACTTTTGAAAAAAAATATTCAATGTTTTTCAAAATTACAAAATTATTTGAATTCTAATATATTAAAGGAATACATTTAATTAGAAAAAAATAATATTATACACTAGGTTTTGAGATAAGTACTTGTTTTTATTTGCTTTTCTTTGAATTTTTTAAAAGAAAGGAATATATAAGTGCTTGATTCTATAATAGATGAATTAATTATTTTAATTTTTAATTTTTTTAATATTTCATATGAAGATAATTTATTAAATTAGTAAAAAAATAAAATAAAAAAATAAACAAATATAAATTTATATATAGAACTAGTAAATAAATAAAATCAAATAATTTATGGACACCAATAATGAGATGTTTAGAGCTTTATTTTTAATTTAAAAAGATAATTTCATCAAAAGTTGTCTAGAATTAAAAATAAAGAATAATTTATATATAAAAGAAGAAAATAGATTCCATTAATATATTACATTAGATGATTTTTCTACCAAATATATGCAAAAAGACATGTTAGAAAATGGAAAAAGCCTAACTGAAGTAATACAAGTACTTTTTGAAGGAATTGAATATTTCCAAGAAGAAGAACCTGTCGACGAATATGAAAGAGAAGCTGAAATATTACCTGAATTAATAAAAGATGAGGAAGAAAATAAAGAAGGGGAGAATAAAGAAGGAGAAAACAAAGATGGAGAAGATGAAAATTAATAATAATAATAATAGCCTCCTGAAGATGAAGAATAATAATAAAATTAACCAACTCAAAATGAAGAAGAATAAGTTATTCCAGAAAAAAAAGAAGGAGAAGAAGAAGAAGAATAGGAAGAAGAAAATCATTAAGAAAATTCTGGTGAATAATAATAATCTTAAGGAAATCAAACAAATGAAAATTAAGAAGGACAGGAAGAAGATTAATTAAATGAAGAAGAATAAGATTAATAATAAGAAATAATATAATAAGAATTATTAAATTAAGAATAATAATAATAATAAAAAGAAGAATAAGAATAAGAAAAAGAGGAAATAATAATAATAAGAGAAAAACATAAAAAATTAAAATTAAAAAACCATGAAAATATAAATATATAATCTTCCAAAATTATTAAACTGACAAAATCTTAAAAGGAAATAATCGATAAAATCTTCGAAAATATCCAAAAAAGGCTCATAAATAACTATACTTAAGCTAAATTAAAAACCGAAAAAAAACTTTAAATTGATGAAAAATATACATTTTACTTTTTAGAATCTACATTATTAATTTAATTATTAGCCACTTTTATGTAAAAATATCCTCTAGTAATTCCTTATTTATTAGAAAAAAAGACTTAAATGCCTGAATTTGGTCATTTTTTTAAAAAAGGCTTTACTTAAGTGTCTTTTTTAGATTTCCTTATATTAACTTCAAATTTCTCAAATGGATTTTCTTTACAAATTTTGGATAAAATATTAAACATAAACTACACTTACAAAGAAAAAAGTAACCGAAATTAAGAAGGAGAAGGCGAAGGAGAAGAGGTTATAGAGGAAAATAACGAAGAAGTTTAAATAAATGAAAATGAAGAAAATAATTAAGAATAATAACAAGAATTGGAATAATAATAAAAAAAAGTGAAAAAAAATAAACCAAAAAAAATTACTGGATCTTCAAAATATTACTTCTAAATTTCCTTTGAAAGAATTCTTTCTTGGATAAAAAGAATTTCGGAAAGTAAAAATTTTCTATAATGTGATTCCTCTTGTAGTTTATTAAAGGGACTACTCGATGTTTTAATTTATTTGTAATAGGAAAATACTAGAATAACTTTTCAGTAGAAAGCTTAAAAAAAGTAATTTCTTTAGCCTCTTGTTTAATAAAAAAGTGCCAAAACCAAAGCGAAATTATAAAAATTTTAAATTTCGGTGTTTTTTAGGTTTTCGAAAATGCCTTGAGAATTTTACCATTAATTTTTTTAAATGAAAGAAATATTCATATTGAAAATTCTGAGAAAATGTTAGATTTTATTAAATTTTTCATAAATAAGAATATATTGAAATTCTTTGAAAAAGAAAAAGGAATTGAATTGGAAAAAAACTCATTTATAAATATTTAAGAAATATATACTTAATAAATTAATTAAAATACAAATTTAAACACTGGTGATATACTTTAAGTAAAAACAGAAGAAAATCAATAAATAAATAATATTTTAGAAATAGAAAATATTAATTAAGTATAAAATATTTTCCTCCAAAATGAAATTTTAGGTAATTTAAACGATATTTAATATTTCCATTTTTCCTGTTTCTTTAATTCTTTACAAATTCTATCTAATTTTTATGAAAATATTGAAAATCTTTTCCCTAAAAAAGAACATTCTCCAGCCTTTATTTATTGTTTATAAAAACTAAACGATGATTTATAAAATTATAAATAAAATAATTTTAAATAAGATGAGCTTGATTTGTTTAAAAAAGCTTCTTCTATTAATAATGAAAATGATAATTAATAATTAAATTTAAATAATATTCTCTCATAAATCATATTTAAATAATAAAATAATGAATAATAAGCAACATTTTAAGAAAAACATATTAGTAATAACTATCAATTTAATTTATAATAAACTAAATCTTGCTAATCTTAAACAAATTATACATATGTAGATAAAAATACTTAATTTTTTGACTTTTAATCATTTGGATATCCTAAAAACTCACTATAAATATACCATATAGACGAAAACGTATTCAATTAATTATCTTAATATGAAAAGCTTAATTTATTAAGAAATGAGAAACAAAAATACATAAATGAAACTTCTAAAAAAATAAACGAAAATTTTTAATTCGAAGAAAATTTTGTCGATTTTTTTAATTCTTTAGATTCTAAATAACAAAAAGTTTTTTCCAAAATTTTAACTGAAGATTTTTCCTTCTAAAAAAAACTTCCTTAACAAATCTAAAATTAAATATAAAATAATTCCTAAAAAAAAACACAAGAAAAATAAGAGGAAGAAGAAGATGAATAAAATAACTCAAATTAATCACTTGAAAGAATATGCAATCACCTCAATTTACTCTTAGAAATGATCCCAACATTCGAAGATGATATTTTATTAAAAATATTTGAATCTATTCATATTTTTGACGACAAAAATATCAATAAAATGCATCCATAAATCAAAAACTTGCTAAATATTTTACTTATAAATCCTTATAATGCTTTTAGATATGCTGATTTGTTATAGTTTTTAATCTTTGCACATCCCAGAAGGCAAAAACTTGCCAATGATTAATTATAGATGAATAATTTGATAAATTTAGTAGATATTCCTGTACTTTAAATAGACAAAGAGTACTTCTTTAAAGCTGAAACAGAAAGCAAATACTGGAAAGTTGGAAATTATGTAAATTTATTAGGACAAATGTTACATAATAATACTTCTCATGTACTTTTTACACTTTTTGATTATCCAATATAAGTAAATGAAGAAATTAAAATTTCTATTGGAAAAGATTTGTTATCTAAACCTAGTAAAGAATTTTCATTATAAGTATAATTTAGATAATTTGAATAATTAAAAGACGTTAAATTACCTACAATTATGAAAGGATAAAAAGATGGGTATTTATATATATATATATATATAAATAATTGTATTATATTTATTTTTTTCTTTTTTTTTAATTTTTTTTGCAGAGTTTCAATTATTAGTTTGGTTAATTTTGCTTAAAAATGGATTTTAAATGAATAATTATTATATAATGAAAATTTAGTTTATTAAAGAGGAGAAAGCTCTCATAAATATTTAAATAAAGAATTTATTAATTTTAATTAGGAATATTTAAAAAAAGTTCATTTTATAGGATAAGTAGGTACTCTTAAAAGTTTTATAGACAAATTTTATCCTGCCGTTATTAGACCTGCCAAAGAAATGGTTTATGATGATTTTAATGAATTTATTATTTCTGAAGTTAATTTTTATTTTGATAATAATAAAAGATTATATGTAATAAAATAAATATATATATATATATATATATGTATATAAATATATATATATAACTATATTATATCCATATTTTCTATTTATACATATTTATATTTTATTTTATTTTAATTTTTTTAAAAAAAGCATTCCAGGATTTATTCAATATTTTAAGAAAAATGTAAAAATTTCAATATATTCCTAGATTTTTCGAAAATTAATTTAAGAATTTTAGTTAAAAAACTTAATTTAGAACTTAAAAAAATGCAAGCTTCAATATTTTTGAAAAAAGCATTTTATAGAAATTAATGTATTAATAAAAATAAATATTTTTAATTATATAAAATATATATGTAAATAGATAATTTAGAAGATTTAAGTAATAATGAATAGGTATAAGAAAACTTCAATACTTTTTTTTTGAATTTCTCGAACTTTTTAGAAATATAAATGATGAACTTTAATAAAACAATAAAAGACATTTAATAATTATATGAAATTTCTTTAAATGAAGAAACGAAATCTTTACACTAACAATATATCTTAATTTAATAAGAATAGGGAGAAGAAGAAGCATTTAATTGGTTTGAAGAATAAAAGCAAAAAGTAAAATAAAAAATAAAAAAAACAAGTAAAAATTAAATAAAAATGAAAAATAGATACACTAAAAATTAATCTAAAATGTCCGTTAAGTTTTAATATAGGAAGATTAAAGTGTTATTTCTTTTATGTATGACTTAATAAAATTAATCATAAATACATTATAGTTTACTTTTTCTCCTAATATGACTAATTATAGTCTTTTTAAATACAGTATGAAATCCATTTTGCGTTTATATAAATTCTTACATGAAGAAGACTACAACCAAAAACTTAATATACCCGAAACTGAAAATAATGAAGAAGAAAATTATCAAAATAATCAATTAAAAACTTAGTTTTCACACGAATAAATAGAATTGGAAAATAATAATATTACAGTTCATAAATTAACTTATAATTTATTAAATATAAAAGGATAAAAACTAAAAATTGAATTAAATACTATTTTTGATATTCTTATTTAAAATACTAGAAGTCTTATTTAAATTTTCTTAGATTAAAATGAATCTAATTCTAAAAAAAGCTGGTTGGATTTATTAAATATTCTATAATTAAATATTAATTAATCGTATTAAGTATATGCTTAAAATAAATTTAATTAAATAATGTAAAAAACAAACAAAAAATAAAATTAATTTTAAATTTGAAAAAAAATAAAAAAAAAATAGAAAACATATAAAAAGATAAACAAAAGAAGATTAATAAAATTAATATAATGATTTAGTATTGAAATTCAATACAAATAATTAAGAGTTATGGTTAATATTTTTACAAGAAATAATAGAAATAAATCCAAAATAAATCTCGATTTAAAAACTAATTATTTTCTAAGAAAACAAACTCCAAAATACATAACTTTTTATTTAAAAAATTCTCAAAGAAATAACAGATCCATAAAAAGGATTATTTAAAAAAAGTTCTAATGGAATTTCGATTTATATTAATCCTGAATCAAATTAAAAATTAGGTTATTAGACTCTTTTTTATTATATAGGAGCCTTATTCGCAAAACTTCTAGTTGATAAGGTTCCATCTTCAATTTCTCTTTCAAAAATTTTAATCAAACAAATCCTTGAAAAGCCACTAGATTTATCTGACTATGAAGATGTACATCCGGAAGAGGCAAATTATTTATTCTGGATTTTAAATAATCCTATAGACGATTTAGGCATTACTTTTTCTGTAGATAAAATAGAAAAAAACGGAAAATCATTACTCATGATTTAATTGAGAATGGAAAAGAAGTTAGAGTTAATGAAGATTATAAAAAAGATTTTGTTTAATTATATACTAAGTATAAAATGGTTGAAGAAACAATAATATAAACACAATGCTTTGTATAAGGATTTTATGATGTTATTCCTTTATAATATATTAAATCTGAAAACCTGAATGAAGAAGAATTCGGATTGATATTAAATGGAAATTAAATTTTAGAAGGTATAAATATATAAAAAAAATATGTATATACATATAAAAAATATTATATATATATATATATATTTTTATATATATATATATATATATATTTAAATATATATATAAAAAATAATATATATTTTAATTATTATTTTTTTTATTTATAATAATTAGTTTAATAAATTTAAAATATTGTGAGTTATTATAAATATAATGAAGATAATTCTATTATTAGATGGCTTTTTGAAATATTAGAAGAATTTGAATAAGATAAAAGAAAACTATTTTTATATTTTGTTACTGGTAATTTCATAAATAAAAAAAATTATATAATATTATATATATATAAATATAGGTGCATTTTCAATATGTCAAAATACTAAAATTTATATTTGTTAAGATGATAATACAAATAATTTACCTGTTTCTCATATATGCTCATTTTCATTAGATTTACCTTAATATGATAATAAAGAAATACTAAGAGAAAAACTAAACTAGTCACTCGAATAATAAAAAGCTATTCTCAGTATTTCTTGAAATGAAAGTATATATATTTTATTAGGGTATTTATAAAATTAATCTATTTGAAAAAATTATTTTTTATAATATAAAATAAATAAAAAAAATATTAATAATTATATATTTTTTTATTAACAAAAATTATTATAAAAAGCAAATCATTATATATTAAGTAAAATTATTGAAAAAAATATTAATATTTATTTTAAAATATTATTTTTTTATATTTTTTTAATTTAATACAAATTCAATATTATTAATTAAATTAATTATTATCAATTAAATTTATATCTTGCTTAACTTTTCTTAATTTATATCTAGAAAATCTTTTTCTATTATTATTATTTTAATTAATTATATTTATATTTTTTTTTTTAATATTTATTTTATTTTTAATATTATATATAATTTTGTTATTTTTTTACATAATATTAGATTTTTAATCATAATTTTCTTTATTTTTATTATAATTAATATTTAATTATTATTATTCTATTTTGTTTTTATTAATTTAATTATTTTAGAACTAATTAAAAAAATTTTATATATATATTTTATTATTTGTTTATATATATTACTTTTAATAAATCTATTTAAAATTTTTTTCCAATATTTTTTCTCTGGTTTTAAGATATATTGATTTCACTATTATTTGTAGATTTAGTATTTTATTTTTATTATATTTCGTTGACATGTACTGAATGTGAATTAATTCTAAATTTTTTATTGTCTTTTAATTAAAATATATGTTTTTTTTTAAATAGAAATAAAAATTTGCATGTTTATTTTACTTACTTTCAATCGATATATTATTTTTATTTTAAACCAAAAAAGAAAAGTATAATTAATAATTATTAACTTAATTTATTAATGGACAAATAATTTTATTAATTCGAATTTTATTTTTTTTGGTAATCAATTAATCTTTATTTAAAATATTTACACTTTTTTTAATAATATATATAAATAAAATAATTATTAATCAAAAAAATAGATTACTATAAATTATTTTATTAATTTTAATTATTAAATAATTAATAATCATCAATGGAATTATTATTTCTATCATACATTTAGATTTCTAGTATAAAAATTAATTTTAAATCATAAAAAATATAAATAAAATATAAATATATATATATATATATATATATATATATATATATATATATATATATATATATTATAAATATATTAATAATTACTATTTATATGTTATTCTAAAGAAAAGTTTAATTTTTTTTAGTTATTATGTAAATATTTATTTTCTTTTAATATAATAATATTTTTTATAAATTAAAAATATTTTATATTAAAATTATAACTTTAATTATTTTCTTTATGTTATTGATAATTTTTTTTTTTAATTGAATTATGTTTTTTGATATCAGCATTATTTTTAATATTTATCATTTCTTTATCAAAATTTAAAATTTTATTTTACTCATTGTCGTGATAATCCTTTTATTCATAAACTTTTGTAAAATAAATAAAATATAACTAAAAAATAATATCAACTAGATTTCTAAATAGGAATCCTACATTTTTGTAATGGAATTTTTTTATTAAAATTACTAAGGCATTTATTTCCTTCTCTTTAAAATTTTTAAAATTATAAATAATAAGTAGAAGTGACATTATTATGCTTATTTTTTTTAATCATATCCTATGCGTTTTCTGAATTAATCCCATATTATTCTATCGATTTCAAAATACTATTATCTACTGGAATTTCATCTATCCCAATAATAAATCCCTGAAAAATAGGCACTTTTTCTTCACAAAACTAATGTTATCTTATTTATTATATAGTGATTCTTTATTCTGGATCTTAAAAAAAAAACTTAAAAATAAAATAAAAATATACCTTTAGTTAAAATATGATTTAATATGCTTTTAGCATTAGAAGATAAAAAAGACGGTAATTACAATTCCGAATACATAATTTTTTTATATAATTAACAAGTATTAGAATCTTCAAAAGGTAAATATCCACACAACATTGTAAATAAAATAATTCCACAACTCCAAATATCTGTTTATAGCCCATCATAAGCTTATCCAGCTACCATTTCAGGCGCTGCATAACATGGAGATCCACAAGCTGTTTTCAACTTTTCGTTTTCTTTATATAAATTACTTAAGCCAAAATCTATTATCTTTATATTATAATTTTGGTCCAATAGGAGATTTTCAGGTTTCAAATCTCTATGTACTACTCCTATTTTAGCTATATATTCTATTCCGTTTATTATTTATTGGAGTAATTTGCTGGCTTTTTTTCTTGTAATCTTTTTTTTTTATTAAATTTCTTTTTGTTTAATAAATAAATAAATAAATACTTTATGTTTTTAACTATAAAATCAAATAATTCACCATTTGGAGCATATTCCATAAATAAAAACATTTGTTTTTATGATTCTATTATCTTTTTATTTTTTAAAAAAATATTATTAATTATATGTTTTTCATATTTTTAAAATAATCAATAGACTTCATAAAGTTAAATTATATTTGGATGTCTGATTTTTCTTAAAATTTATATTTCTCTCTGTAAACGTTTTTTATCTGTATTATCAATTATTTTATTTTTATCTAATATTTTAACTGCTACCTTATTATTAATTTATTATTCTCAAAACTTATATATATTTAAAATAACTTTTTCATTAGTAATTTTATGTATTCCTAATTTAACTTTACCAAAAGTTCCTTTTCCAATTGTTTTCCCTTTTATTTTTTTAATAATTATTAATTTTTTATTTCTTATTAAAGAAAAATTTAAATTACCAATAATAAAATTTCCTACTTATTATTGATTTTTGTTTTATTATCCACTATTCAATGTTTCGGAATTCATGCTAATTTAAGGAGGAACACTATATTGTTTTCTTTATTGAATTTATTATTACATATATTTTTAACTAATAAAAAATTTAAATTATTTTTTTAAATTACAATTTTACAAATTTGTAAAGAATTATATAACAAACAAACAATTTAATTTTTTAAAAAAATTTAAATAAATTATTATTATGTTGCATGTAGTTTTATTAAAAATTTTTAATAACTTATCATTTATTAATTTTTAAAATTAAACGTATTTATTATTAATTATTAAATTTTTAATATTTAAATGTTTTTTATTTTAATTTAAATTTATAATTAAAATGAATTTTTAAAAAGTTATTATTTCTATAGATTTTATTATCTCTTAAGTTAATAATAAATAAAAGTTCTTTATTTTTTTTTAATAATCATTCTTTTTAGCAAAATCAATTAATTACATTTCACTTAATTTTCAATATATGAAATTAGTATTTAATAATTATTTTATAAGTAAATTAATTATTATAAAATATTTACAATAATTTATTATTTTATTTATAAGCTTTAAATTATATAAATAAAAAAATTAAGTAAATTTTATAAATTTGTTTATTTTTTAATTATTTATTTAATTTTTTTTAAAAAAAAACATTAAAAACAGTTAAAAACTAATAATAATAAAAAAATAAATATAAGATTAATAATAATTTGAAAATAATAAAAATTAGACCATTTAAAATGAAATAAAAAATAAATATAGATGAAATATCTGATAAAGTTTATAATTACAGAAATGAACATAACATCAATTTATACGAATAATTAAACAAAGATTTTATTTTTTAAATGCTAGATAGAGAAAAAATTGAAGAACTTGAAAATCAATTTTCTTCAAAAAGCATTGACATAATAGATTTTGTTAAATTCTTTTCTACAAAACAAAAATATAAAGAAGATGAAATACTATATATAATAATGGCTTCTATTGATTTATTTAAAAGTATTACAGAAAAACTTTAATTTACCTAAAAGATAAATTTATAAGATATAACTTCATATATTTGTGATGTAGAAAAATAATAAAAAAAAATAATGTATATAAAAAACTTAAATTTTTTTTTTTTGTCAAAAAAAATAAAATAAAAAAAAAATTACATAGCAATAATAAGATAAAAACTATTCTTAATATAAAATATAAACTTTTAATTTTCCCGAGCAACAAAAATACAATATAAATCCAACAAAAATACGTTATGTAGATATAAATATGCCTCAAATATACGGAAAATGTGAAGAAGCTTTACACCGATTAGTAAAATAATAAATACAAACAGATTCCGTTCCACATAAAAATCATTACATATAAAAGTAAAAAATATTAATAATTTATTTTATTAATAAAGAATTAGTGGAATTTATGCCGAAGAAATAAACAGTATAATAACTCTAGATAGTTTATCTGATTAAATAAGTATATATGATATAAATTGTAAATTTAAATAAAACGTAAAACCATAAAGTATAGGTGAAACAAAAGAAAGTTCTTAAAAAAGTATCTAAACTTAAAACCGAAACATCATCTTTAATTTTGCTTGGAGTAATAAACAATAAAGATTAGGAGCAACATTAAAGGACTTTAAATTATGTTTTTGGGACTATAACGATAATTTTAAATATGAAAAATAAGTATAAATCCAGAACCATTCAAATTATTACCAAAAAAATATTTGGTTTATAGAATTTTTAAATTATTGGGTGACTACAGATGATTCGAATTAATTATTTGTATGGGATTTGGATAGAGACACCATTTTGAAAAAAATTAGTAGTCCTTTGATATAAAATAATATTATTTAATTAGTTGAAATTTAATAAATTAAATTAGTCGCAGTGGCTTCTGCAGATAAACTTTTAACTCTTTGGGATTTCTCGTCTTAAAAAATCATTTAAAAATTAGAATTTTAAAAATCTGGTATACATTCTTTCCTATATTTCTAATCTTTTCAAACTCTAGTCTGTTCTGCATATTCAAATGTAATCAGTATATTTTCTTTAGAACCAAAAGATGTCGATATTATTTAAAAAGGAGAACTTGTAGGTCATATAAGTATGGTCACTTCTATTGATTGTGTAGAAAAAACTCCAATGATTATTAGTGGAGACGATTAAGGAAATATTAAAATTTGGGATATTAGGACCCTAAAGTGCATTTAGAGTATAGAATGTGGATAAAGGACTAGTATTACTAAACTTATTAATATTTTTTAAAAAGGAAAATTATGTTTTATTGGTACGAGGATTAATGTTATTGATTTTACAGAAAAAAATCTAATTGTTAAAAAAAATACGAAAAAAAGTGACCTTTATCCTATTAAAATTGATATTTTATAAAATGAAATTATTATTGCTACAAGAAAAGATATACGGTATACATTTATCTATTTAATTATATATTTTATTTATTATTATTATTATTTTAAAAATTAATATATTAGATTTATAAATTTAGAAACAGGGAAAACAAATTAAATATTTGTAGGCTTAATTGAAAAAGACGAAAACATATCAGTTTTTAAATAATTTGAAAAAGGAAATAAATTTATTATAGGTTTTTTTATTTATATTTTAATAAAAATTTACATATATACATTATTTTTGTTTCTTAAAAAAATAAAATAGCTAATAATAATGGTGATATAAATATACATAGCATGCATAATGGTGAATTATTATACAAATTAAATTCTCATCATAATGAAATAACTAGCTTAAAAATAGATTATTAAAATTAAATGATAGTTTCAAGTTCTTGGGATTCAACATTAAAAATATAAAAACTAACAAATAAAAATTTTGAAGTATAAAAATAATTAGAAAACTGTTTTTTTAATAAAGAAATATCTTTAATAGAATTATCAGTATATCATAATATAATATTAATGGCATCTAATTAAGAAAAAATTTATGTTTATGATTATGAATATATGAAATATATTGGATGCATAGAATTAGATAATAATGTATTTTTATTTTTTAAATTAAAATAATATATTTTTTATCTTAAAAATAGATAGAACCAACATGTATTTTAGTAACAAATTATTTCCCTTTGTTATTTATTTCCGCGAATGATGGATATATATATATAATTAATTTTATTAAAAAAGAATTTAAATTTAATATAAATTTAATTGGAATATTAAGCATAGATCAATTATTAACTAAAAAAGAATTAATATATAGCTAATAAATAGACAAAGTAAGAAATGATGAATAAAATGAAGCATCACCTATGAAAATGAAAAGTTTAATAAATAATTATGAACTAGTTAATAAATCTCCAATAAATAAGAAATATTTAAATTTAAACTAAAGCATAAGAACATAAGGCAGTATATTTTAAAAATAAAAAGCAATATAGTTAAGTATTATTGAAAATAATACTAATTCAAAAAGAAATACCATACTATCTAATGAAAATAGTTTAAGACATATATAAATAAACTCAAACTTACAAAAGCATTAATAACTAAATGAAAATTAATAAAAAAATGATAATTTATAAAAAATAAATAATCAAAGATATTCATTTAAACAAAAATAAAGTATAAAATTTACTAATATATAAGAAGACAGAAAAATTAATTAAAATAAATAATAAAAAAACTAAAACTAATTTTTCGCTACAAAAATGACTTTTGATTTAGAAATATAATAAGACAATAAGATTACTCATTAATAAAAGTTTATTTCTTGTCTAAATTTATTTCTTGGATTAAACAATAAACATATTATTGCTCTAAATATTTTACCTATAATAAATTCATATAATAATATTTAATACTTAGAGCATTCAAATAAAAGACTTAATTATAATTCTAATAGAGTTTATTATGAAAATTTTATAAAAGTAATTTATTTATTTTTTTTAAAAAAAAAAATCATAAAAAAAAGAACATAAATTAAAGTAGTATTGAAAATATTAAAATAAATAGTGATATTCCTTTAAGTTCAAATTTTAAAAAATAATCTAATGATGAAAAGAATTCTAATTTAATAATTTATGAAATCGAAAAAACACATAAAGATCTTTTAATCTAACTTAAGATTATAAATTTAAAGGAAAAGCATCTAATAACTTCTTCTATTGATAGTTATATAAAATTCTGGGATTCTAAAACAGGAATATTAAAAGCAAGTTTAAATATAAACCATCCTCTTCCTATAATATGGGAAATAAAAACTGACGAAAGATAAGCTTGCAAAAAAAAATTAATTTATGCATTAAAAGTATTAGATGTTATATATTAAAAATATGATTCTTAATTAAATTTCAGTGAAAAATAATAATTAAAAATAAACAATTTTATAGAAAAAATATAAAAAGAGTAAAATAAAGATTCCCTTACCAAAAATAAAAATAAAGATAAAATACTATTAATGAAAGATGAATATTAATCAAGAGATTTAAATTATTAAAAATTAAAAGAAGCATACAAAAGTGAATTAATAGGACTTAGTTTAAAAAGTATGGAAGCAAATAAAAGAATATCCTTAGCTGCAAATAGTTGGAAGAAAAATTAACAAAATGATGAATTTGATAAAGAATGTAAATTAAAATTCTACAAAATGAAAAACTTTGATGGAGAAGAATTAGTTAATTTTTTTGATAGTAATTATAAGAAAAAATTATTATAATAAGATTAAAAAACAATGTCTTTTAAAGACTATACATATTAAACTCAAGACTTAAGTAAAAAATTAGATTTAGTTATTTATTAAAAAAAGTAATTATTATAAATTATATTTATTTTATTCAAAAAAAAAAAAAATAAAAAAAAAAATAGATTTTTAAACATAAATAATAATAAATCAAATTCATTAAATAATAGAAAAAAATCAATTAAAATAATAGAAAGTTAGCCATTTCTTTTAGATATTATTAATAAAAATACTTATAATAATAATTTATTTAAATTAACATAAGCTTCTAGCGATATAAAAAGCCAGCAATATTACAAAAAATCAATTGACTTTTATAATTATGCCTAAAAGAAAGATTATTTACCTTCAAAAATTAAAGAAACCTAATTATAATCTTAATCATAAAATTTGTAATATAAAGAAGATGATATTTTAATTTAGAAAAAAGCGGACTTAAATAAAACTAATAGCTCGAATTATAATTAAAATCAATTAAATATGATTTTGTAAAAAATCAATCAAAAAGTCAAAAAAGCTCAATGTAATTTCATTGATGAAAATTCGAAAATTTTTAAGAATATACTTTCTAAAAAAAATACTGAATAAGATGAAATTTCAATTGAATATAAAAATAGTTTTCAAAATAATTTAAGTAATAATTAGATATATTTTTAATAAAAATATTAATAATAATAGTAATAATAATAATCTAAAAATACACTAAATGCTCTAAAAAAAATCATCTAAGTTTCTAAATAACAATTTAATTTTACTTTACTTAATACTGATTAGAGTATGAGACTTTTTAGTGATAATTCTTAGAATCAAATATTTAATTAGAAATAATTTAGTAATATTAATAAAACTGATACTTCTAATAGTTAGTTTCAGTAATCTCCTAAAAATTAAATAATAAAGAATTAAAAAAAAAAGTTTACATAGATATAAACTAAAATAAGATTACTGAATAAAAATAAAACTTAAGCCAAAAATTAAAAAAATATGATTAATTATATAAATAATAATAAATAATTTATATTTAAAAAAATATTAAAAATATAAATATAGTATATATATTTTTTTTAATAATAAAGATTATAATTATTTATATCTAATATAATTTTAAAATAATTAATTTTTATTTTATTTTTATAAACTTTTTTTTAAAAAAAAAAATTAATTAAAAATAAAATAAAATTGCTTAATAAAAAAAAAAAAAAAAAAAAAATTATTCCATAAATATTATTTTTTTTCTAAAAAAAATAAAAATATTTAATATTGTGTATTATCATTTAATATAATAACTTTTCAGATTTATATTTTGTTATATATATTTATTTTTAAGATATCCTTGATATATAATTCCAAATATTTAATATGTATCAATTAAAAATATTATCATCATCTTCATCATCTTTTTTATTTTAGTTATTTTAATTTTAATTATTAGAATTTTAATTTTAATTTGTACTCTAATTTTAATTTTAATTTTAATTTTATAATGATTATTATTAAGCCGATTCATATTCTTCTTTTTCAATATGACTAGCTAAAAATATAAATAAATAAAAATTAAAAAACAAAACGATATTTTTAATAAATACATAATAAAGTTCCACTATCTTTTGCATCAAATAAATAATTTATTGCCAATTCTTTGTTTTTGTCACATGAAATATATGCTTCCAAAGCATCATTTTTATCAAAACCTAAAGAAACAATTTCATCAATATCTGCTTTTTCTTCTGGTGTAACTTAAATTGCATTCCTTGATACTTCTACAAAAAAAAAAAAAATTAAAATAACATTATCAAAAAAAATACATTATTCTCCTCCTGTTGCTTACATTAGTAATTATAAGAAAGCTTAAGGATTTTATTACAAAAGTGTAGCTAATTAAGGATTAGATTAAGCTAATTATAACATAATAGGTTATAAAAGTGCTGGATTTTATCTTATAGCCATTGCAATTTGTTAAAATTAAGGATTTTGTGCCAATTATTAAAGTTCTTCTAAACCTCCTAAATTACCTACCCCTTCTTCTCCTAAAACTCCTCCTTATTAAGGTTATTAAGGTTATTAAGGGGGTTATTCAAAAGCAGGTCTAGAGGGAATATGCCCACTTAAAAGATACTCTACAGCTCTTTCAGGATTATTATAGGCAGCTTTCAAAGCTTAAATAACTTTAGATCTTTCAAATCCCATAGATTCAATATCAGCTATTTTTGCCTCTAATTCAGCTCCCATAACCATATCCGAAGCCTATGTAGGAGGCTACGTTTAAGGTTATTGTTATTAAGGAGGCTTTTAAGGAGGTACTTCTGGTTTTTATTAAGCTTATTGTGGTTATTATTAATTTTATTCTTGTTGAGGTTATTATCCTTCAGGTTTCTTTTTTTTTTTTAGTCTTTTTGCTTTTTTGTTTTTTTTTTTTTTACTTTAACAAATATCATTAATATGATAAAATCGTTGTCGTTTATTCCGAGTTCGCCACATGTTTTAGATTCTTCTAATAATTATTTTCCTTTATGGACTAATTTTAAAGTGTCTCTTTCTTTTTGCTTTTATTAAGCTATCATATCTTTAATTATCCTACCTTTATTTATTTTTAATTAAATTTTGGTTTTTTATTTTTATTATTTTATATATATTTAATTTATATTATTAGCATGTTTTTTTGTTACTGTTGTTTGATTTTCGAATTACAAATCGAAAAATTCGTTCCCTTTTAAAGTTTTTATACTAACTTTCATTTTAAAAGTTTTATAATATTTAATTTATAATTAATTTGCTTTAATTGTTTTAATTTTGAAATCTATTATTTGTTTATTTTTTTATTTAATTAAATTAAATATATAAGTTAAAATAATAAATCAGATCAGAAAATAAAAAGATATTTTTAATTTTATTATTTAAAATAATAATTTTTTTTTTTTCTATTTTTAGTTAATTCACAATAATTTAATAAAATTATCAAATTTATGATTTTGCTTTTATTATTTTCTTTTGATTTTTTATATTATAATATATTTCAAAAAAAAATTAGTTATTTTATATATATTGTTTTGTATTATTAATATTAAGATGTAAAAAATAATATCAAAACTTTGTTATAAATATTTTAAACTTCAATAAAAAAAAATTAATTATTTTTATTCTTAATTTTTTTAAATTAATTAATTGTTTAAAATTTAAATTTATGTAAATAAATTTAAAAATTAAAACTCTAATTAAATTTATAAATAAAATAAATATAGACTTTTAATAAACAATTCCTATCTTTTACCTATCAAAGCCATATATAAATATAATATTTAATAATTTATTTATATTCTTAAAAAAAATAACCAAAATATATATAGGTAAGCATCAAAATATTTGCAAAACTGATATTTTATTTAAAATAAATTATAAATTGTGGATAGTATTAATTTTCACACTGATTTTTTATAATATGAAGTTAATATTATTCAATTAAAAAATATTATTTGATTTTGGTTTTGCAAATATTAAGAATCAACCTACACATTTTTTGAAAGTTTATTTTTAATTTAAATAAATGAAATCTAAATATTTTAACACTTTTAAAATATAGTAGAAAAAACATAATAAAAAAATCACATAATACTTCCCGTAATAAAATCAAGAGGTGGAGATTCCGGCAGTCTTTTAGTTAAAATATCACATCCTCCTTCTGTAATAACCAAAGTATGTTCAAACTAGCTACTTCTTTATCCATCTGCAGTTACCTATAGATATATAAATAATAATAAGAAAAAAAATATACAGCAGTCCAATCATCTGGCCATAAAATATCTTTATAAGTTCCTTAATTAATCATAGGTTCAATAGTAAAAACATGCCCCACTTTCATAAAACCTGGTGCTTTATTTTTCGGATAATGAGGTACAGTAGGCATTATATGAAAAAGATTACCAATACCGTGTCCACAGTAAGACCTAGTAATTTCTAATCCTTTTTCATGAATATACTTTCCAATAACATTTCCTATATCCCTATACATAGTTCCCGGTTTACAAATTTTAATGGCTTCTTCTAAACATCTATAAGAATGTTCTACCTATATAAATTAAATAAATAAATATATTTATTTATTCTTTACTAAAAATGCTGAAGATTCACTAACTTTTCCTACATGATATGTTTCATTTAAATCTGAATGATAGCCATATTTATATACTGTAATATCTAAATTTACTATATCTCCTTCTTCTAAAGGTCTATCATCAGGAATTCCGTGACAAATAACCTCGTTGACACTCGTGCAAAGACTTTTGGGGAATTTATGATAATTTAAAGGAGATGGATATGCATCATTCTCTATTATAAATTTATGCACAGCCTTATCTATTTCATCTGTAGTTATTCCTGGGCGGACTAAGCTATGGCCCAAATCTAGTGCTTAACGAGCCAAATGAGAAACTTGTCGCAATTTATCAATATCTTCGGCACTTTTTACTTCTATAACTTTATCTCTAAATTTAGAATTTATTTCTTCTTTTGGAATACCTATCAATGCATAATCAGGTTTTTTTATATGATCTGGAACATATAGTCTAGGGGATACTTTACCAGGTCTTAATGGTCCCTTTTTTTAATTATATTTTTTATTTTTATTTTTTTGATGATTTATACACTATATGAAAATTAAGATTTTGCTTATTCAACTTCTTCTTATTTTTTATGATATAATTTATGAATAGGCCAAAAACTTTTGAAACAGTCTTAATCGCAAAAATAAGAGACTGGAAGTCCTAATTTTGTACATGTAGGACATGTCATTTTTGCTGCTTTTCCACAACTAATAGTAGAACATATTGATTATAATGTATTGTCTTTATTTTATTATTATTATATTGTTTTTTTTTCTTATTCTTAACTTTCCATTTTTTTATTTTTGTAATTTATAAATAATAATTATTTTAGTAATTTTTATATTATTATTATTTATTTAATTTTATATATTAAAAATTAAAAATTTAATATATTTATTTAAAATTTATTATATATTAAAATTAAAATCTTTTTTTTTATATTTAATTAAATTTAAATAATTATATTTTTTTTATTATTTAATTAAAGGATTTTTTAATATTATTATTTTTATTTAAAAATTATAATTGTAATTTAATTAAGAAATTATTAAATATTACTTTCTTTTATTTTTTAACGTTTATTATTAATTATTATTTGTATATTTGAAGTCTTTTTTAACCCTTCAATTTTTATATATCAATCATTTTTATTATTATTTTATAAAAAGTTTTAATTGTTATTGACTATATTTTATATTTATTTAATTCTATTTTAAAATTATTAATTTTTATATTCTTATTTTAAAATAAAAAAATATTAAATTAAATATTAATTAATATAAGAAAATACTTTTTTCATAAGCTTTTATTACAAATTTTATATAATAATGCTATATTTTTATATAAGCTAGAGTTCTTTATTATTATAACTATTATCAATATTATTATTTCTTATGTTTATTTATAAATATTAAAGATTTTTTTTATATATTTACCTTATAAAAAACATTTTTACTAATTATTAGTCTCTGATGTATCAGTATTACTATTTATATTTGTATTAAAACTATACTTTCTTGGTGTTTTTGAAATTTAATAATCATTTTCAATTTATTATTTTTATTAAATTTATATTTAATATTTTAAAAATTCAACTTCTTCTCTGAGTTATTTGATTTCATCATCTATATATAAAATATATATAAATAAATATATAAAATATATAAAAATATATTTTTAAAATATATATAAATATATTTGATTAGATATAGATATATTATTTGTTTTTTTTTAAATATAATATTTACTTTTAGGCGTTTAATTAAGAAAAGTATTAAAACTATTTTAAGCATTTTCATTTATTTATTTTTTCCCACTTTTTATTTTATCAACTGGTGATAAACTTGAAATTTTACCATTATCTTTAACAATTTTATAATATACATCTTCATTTTTCATTGCATCTACAGAAATTAGCATAGCCCTACTTGCAAAAAGCAGAGTTGAAAAAGTTTCCTCATAATGAAATTAGACGGATTTACACATGCTAGGAATTAGTTTTGGTATTTCCACATAGACTCTCACTTAAATTCTTGTTAATTTTGAATCTCTAAATGGGATATGTTAATTTTAACCAATAAAATTATTATTTTTTAAATTATTTTTATTTAAATTAGCTAATGCGGCTATACAATTTCCTAAAGAACATATTGATTTGTTTATTATTTTTGCTTCTTCTAATCTTATTCCTTAAGAAGTTGTTTTAGTTAATCTTTCACTTCCTGCTAAGTCTATTATTGTAAGAAGTCCTTTTTAATAATGTTTTTATTTTTTGTTTTAGTTCTTATTAAAACTAATCCATCTTTATTCTATAAAAATTTATAATAAATCATGACTTCTACTTGATGTTGAATTCTATAATTTTTAATATATTATTTAAATATTCAATTTATTTTAAATTTAAAAATACCATAATAGTTTTCCCTGTAATCCTACCTTTAACAGCTTCTCTTATTAAATTAAAAGCTTCTTCATATGTCTTTGCAGTTTATTAAATAAGCCCATTAACGAAAATTCCTGAATTAGGATCCTCTCTAATTTAAAGAGAATCTCTTTTTTTATTTTAATCAAGTAAATCGTAAATATTTTCCATATAAATTTCCATAAAAGATAAAGTGACCATGAATTATCTCTAATTCATTTTCGTGTTTATATTTTCAAAAACGCTTTTTAAACTCCTGAATACAATTCCACTTTATTAACAAAATATTTCACTGTTTTTATCACATTCTAATATTTTTCTCGTGCCAAAAATCGAATATGTTTTTCCTGATCCAGTCTATAAAATTAAGCAACAAAAAAAAAAATATATATATATTTTTAACTTGTCCATATGAAATTAAGGCACCATTATATCCTTCAAAAACTTCATTTATTAATTTTTCACCAACTTAATTATGCACAGTTTCTTAATTACATTAAGGGTCGAATATGTGATCAAATTAAAATAATCTGTTCTCCTGATTTTATTTGAATAATAATAATTTTTTCTTTGATTGCTTAAAATATATTTTATTAATAATAATTTTTTTGAATATTCCCTTTTTTTTATTCTAACTTTATCTGTTTATATACAATTTTGTAAATCTTCGACATCTGTAGAAACTTCATAATCTTCATCTATAAAAGGTCTAATTCTTACAAATACTTTTATTTTTAACAAAAAACTTATATTAAGGGTTTTTTTACCATTAAAACGAACTTTCTCTTACCTATTAGTATTATTATTATTTTTAAAATTCATTTTTATTTTTTTAATGATTAAAAAATGCTATTTAGATTATGTGTGCTTTATATTATTTAAATATTAAAATTTTTATTTTAAATTTTAATGTATATAAATATTAAATATTATAATTTGAACAATATTCTTTTTTAAAATTATAATATTTATATTGTATTACTATTTAAAATAGATTATAAAAAATATTCATAAATAACAAATAAAATTAAATGAAATTATATAAATAGAAAGAATTTAATTATATTTATTATTTCAGTTTATAGAGAACAGCATAATTTCAAAAATAATATTTTATAAATTTAAAATATTTTCTTAATTAAAAAAAATTATTTTAATAAAATATATATTAAAGCTTTTATATATATTAAAAAATTTAATAATAATTAATAAAAAAATATAATTAATTTTTTTTTATATTATTCTTTTATTATAAAATAAATTCCAAAAATTTTATTAAATTCATATTTTTTTAATTTTTTAATTTTATAATTTTAAATTTTTTTTTTTTTTTCTATTTTTTATAATCCATATTATCATTATATATGTTATTAATACATATATAATATGAGTATAAAAATATTACTTTTTAAATTAAATAAAAATTTTAAAACATATCAATAAAATTATAATTATTTTTTTTTAAAAAAAAAATACACAAGATATAAAAAATAAAAAAATGAGTAAAGAAAATTTAGATTTTTAAATCGAAGTTGAAGAAAACAATCAATAACAAGACCAATACAGATAAGAAGAATAATAAAATATGTATTAATAAAACGAAATGTAACATTAAGACTAAAGCCAACCTTAAAATGATAATTAATAATATAAATAAGATTAAAATATGAATGAATTAGAATCCTAAAAAGCAAACCAATAATATACATAGGAATAATAAAGGACTTTAAGTTAAGAAGAATAGTAAAACATTTATAACGAATTTAAAATTGCCATTAGAAATAATAATATTGAAAAGGTTTAGGATGTGATAAGTAATAGAAAATACAAAATTTTTATATACTTATATATATATATATACAATTTTTTTTTTCCCCCTTTTTAAAATTTCTCTTTAATAAATTTAAAAAAAAAAATAAAAAAAAAAATAATAATAAAGATATCTTATTATTTTGTTTTTTTTGCTTATTTCAATAAATAAAAACTTAACAAAACAAATAATAAAAATAGGAAAATATTAAAAAGACTACGATATAATAAATAAAATAGACTCATAAACTCGTTAAATATGCACTTATTTAGCCGCTTGCCTACCAACAGACGAATAATGCTTTAATATGTTAAAATTATTAGTAGAATCAGGTATTTATTAATCTAAATATATTAAAAATTTAGAATTTAAATAAAGGTGCAAATCCAACATTCAGAGATTAAATAAACTAATCCATAATATTTTACTTAGCCCGAGATGGGAAATTAAATTCCCTTAAATTTATAAATTAATTAGGTTGTGATGCTAATGAGATTGATATAAATGGCTAAACACCTTTATTTTTTGCTTCGAGAGACAATAGATTAGAAATAGTTAAAGAATTATTAGCTAAAGGTGCAAATACATATCATGTGGATAAAGTTTGCTAATAAACTGCTTTATTTTATGCAGCTAGAGAAGGTAATAACGAAATTTGTAATATTTTAATTGAACACGGGTGCAAAGTAAACCATTAAGATGCTTAGAAGAAAAACGCGATTTTCTTTGCCAAAAAATTCAATAAAAAGGAAACTGTGGATTTATTATAAGCCCATATAAATAAATTAAAAATTAAATAAGAAAAACCATAATAATAATTAATGTAATAATAATAATTATAATAATAATAACAATAATAGTAATAATAACAATAATAGTAATAATAACTATAATAATAAATAAATACTGCTACAAGTAGTAATACAGGACATAATTTGGCTGTTTTGAGTGAAAAGAAAATTTAAGAAAACAATTCTTAGAATAATTAAAATATTAATTTAGCAAGTAATAATAGTAATAGTAATATTCAAGATGATAAAAAAAAATCTGATAATAATTAAAAATCTCTTAAAAGAAAAGCTCCAAAAGATGCAGCTAAAATGTCTTATAAATTAGGTATTTTTTTTATTTATTTATAAATATATGTATATTTTAAAAATAAAATTAATTTATATTTTATTATTTTTATTAAAAAAATAAAATAATTAATATATATATTATAAAACTTTTTGATATTTATTTTCTTAAAAAAAAAAAAAAATATTATAGTTTATACTAATGAAAACGGATAATAAACAGAATTAACTAAATCTGAATATAACGAGTTTAAAATAAAATATCCAGAAATAACTAAAATCATTGAAAATGCAGATGAAATGATTAATGAGGATATACTAGGAAAAGAAAAAGATGCATGGGAAAAAATCGCTAAAAATATTCTTTAAATTATTTCAAAAGCAAAAGGATGTTATTTATTTTAATAACCTGTTGACGTTGTTAAATATTAAATACATGATTATTACGATATTGTTAAAAGACCAATGGATTTAGGAACTATTAAAGTAAATAAATTATACTTATTTTTTTGTTTTATTAATTTTTTGTTTTGTTTTTATTTTATTAAGAATAAATTAAATTGCAATGTATATGAAAGTTGTAAAGAATTTATAGAAGATGTAGAATTGTAAAAAAAATTTAAAAAAAACTTGAAGATTTATTTTTTATATTAATTAGAGTTTTTTATAACTGTATTTTATATAATGGATCAGATTCTGAAGTTGGAAAATTTGTTTAAATATTAAATAAGAATTTAGAAAAGTATGTATTGAAAAAGATATTTATTAATTCTTAACACCTAATCAAAGTATAGCAAAAATAAAAAAATTAATATATTTATTTATTTAATGATAAAAGTGAATAATTATTTAGCTGAAATAAATGCTGGATAAGATGCAGCTTAAAAAAATATATAATAGTAATAGTTATAAGTTTAATAATAATAATAATAATAATAACAATAATAATAACAATAATAATAATAACAATAATAATAATAATAATAATAATAATAATAGTAATAATAATATTAATAGATTTAATAATAACCTTAATATACATAATAATAAACCATTTAATAATTTAGTTAATAAAATTAACCATAAGTCATACAATAAGTATAATAATAACCAGTTTAAAGTTATTCTTATTAACCAAATTAATATGGAAATTATGATGCATATAAATAATAAGGAGGAAATCCTTACTAAAATTATTAAACTAATTAAAATTATTAAATGTATTAAGAAGAAATATTAATTATTAAAACGGACAAAATATTCTAGAATAATAAGATGAAAATCATGAAGGCATAAATCATTGAAAGAAAATAAAATATTATTATTATTATTAATAAAGATTTTATAAATAAAATTAATTTTGAAAAAAAAATTATTTTACAAAAAAACTTAATTTTTTTTTATTATTAATTTATGTATTTTTATTATTTTTATAAATATACAACTTTTTGTTATTATTATTTTTTTTTTTTTTCTTAATTTCTTTTAAATTTTTAAATTTTTTTTAATTTTGAAAGAAAATAATTTAAATCTTTAATAATTTTTTTTTTTTATTAATAAACTAAAAATAAAAAAATACACATTATTTTCAATAATCTATAAAAATAAAACTATAAATAGCTTCTGCTTTTAAAACAATTTAATTAATTAAAAAGAAATTAAAACTTCAATCACTTTATTCATTATCTTAGTAATAATCTTCATCATTATAATTTTCATACTCTCTATTTTAATGTGCCTTATAATATTTTCTAGTAAAACTATCTTCGAAATCTTCCTCACTTTCTTTTTCAAAATAATCATCATTTTCTTAACCAAAAAACTCATCTTCATTTTCTGAATTATAATCTTCTTCCGGATAATCATTTTATTCAGCACTTTCTTTATTCGAATCTTCACCTTTTTTTATTTTATTTTTAAAAAAAGTTTATTACAAAAAATAAATTAAAATATTAAAAAAAATACTTTAAATGTCTTTATTATCCTATTCATCGAAATCTGAATAAAAATAACCTTAAACCAATTCTCCTTAATTGTTTTAAATCATATATACTACTTCTTAATTAATCTTCATAATTTTTTAATTTTCTTAGAAATCTTCGTCATCGCTTAATTCTTCTTTTATTTAATAATAATCATATTATTCAACTTTTTAATCTTTTTCCTTATTTCTTTATTCCAAAATTACCTCATTATTATTAATTTCTATATTTAAAATATTCCCTTTCATTCTATTTTTGTTTAATTGTTTTTGTCTTGATTCGTTTCGGTTATTTTCCATTACTACTAAATTTCTTTAATTTATTTTTTATATTAATTCATCATTATTTTTGTCAATTAATTTTAGAACAAATCGTTTATTTTATTTCTCAATTTCTTAAGGAAATAATGAATTTTACACTTCTTTTTCTACTTTTTTTAATCTAATTCAAGGTTTTAGACCATTTTTTATAATTCGGAAATTTATTCATTTAATTTTATCTTTTTTTATAAATTCTCACTTTTGTATTCTTCTAATACTATAAATATATATATATATATATATATTTTAATATTTTTTGGTTTTTTTTGCTTAATTATTCTATGGGTTCTTGATTTGGTTTTCTTTTTAACTTAAAAACAATAGGATTTTTTTCAATTTAGTTTTAACATTGTTAGAGAAGATCAAGACTAGACATATTTTTATATATAATTTTTTAATAAGATTTTTAAAAAATATAAAATTATATAAAATATATAAAAATAATAAAATATACATATTTCCTTTAATTAGAATATACTTCTATTTATTTTACATTCATTTTTATAAAAAAAGAATAATATTTATATTAATTTTTATTTTTATTTATAAAGATTTGTTCAATTTTATTTTTTTAATTGAAAAATATTATTTAATCTATAAATTATAATTTTTTTCAAATAAATATCATATTTATTTTTATATTCATATATTATATATTTGTATATGAATTAATATTTAATATTAACATATTATATTATATTATATTATATATTATATATTATATTATATAATAATATTTTTTTTAGTAAAAGAGTAAATATTTTTAAAATATATTATAAAAAAAAAAGATTATAATAAATTTAAAGAAAATTGAAAATGAATAAAAAACTTTGAAAAAATACTTAATTAAAAAATATATATATATCATTTTAATATTAAATATTACAATTTTTAAATTTTGATTAATAAAAACTATTTTTAGTATGATTTTATTTAATAAATATATGAGAAAATTAATATGGATAATATTTTTTATTTATTATTATAAATAAAATCTTAATAAATATTTAATTAAAAAATATTATTATTAATTTATATTTATATTTTTTTGTTTTAATTTATGTTTTAAATAATATTAATAATTTGTTTTCTCATAAAATATTTTAATTGCTGTTAACTAAGTGGATATGAAAGTGGTTAATGTGTTGAATCATTAAATTATATAAATGAAATAAAGTTTTGCTAATAATATTTATTTTAATATATTTGCATACCTAAATAAAGAGTATTATTAATATATAATTATATAAATAATCAAACTTTATATATTAATATTTATAAATAAAATTCTAAAAGGAAGTTTGGCCAGATTATACCGTTTCTTCAAAAGACTAATTAATTGAAGATATATTTATATAAAACATCGAATAATAATTTGTGAAAGAACTAAGTTCAAAGTAAATAATATAAATTTTAGCATTTTTTTTTTTTTAAAAAAAATATTAATTAAAATAAATTTTATTTTTATCTATTTATAGTTACAATGGATCTATAATACTATTAAATTATCAAAGTTGTTTTTATTCATATAAAGAATTTTTATGTAAATGGAATTTTCCCAATTGTATATATAATGGTAATAATAAGTATTATTTTATTTATTTATTTTTTAAAAATATAAAGAAAATTAAACTTAGCCGATTTGTTAATCTTATTGTGAATCATATTTTGATAATTGCAAAGTTATTTTTTATATTAAATATATTTGTTTATATTTAACTAATATTGTTAGTTTGATTCAACTTCTTGTGCACTTAGTTACTAAAATAAAACTCCTGGATTAAATGAAGATTGTTGATAGAAATAATTTATATATAAAAAAATAATAATAATTAATATTTTAGTTAATGATATTATTTTAACAAACACTAAATTTACTAAAAATACATATAATATATTATTATAAATATTTAATTATCAAGTTTAATTATTATAACCTTTAATATTATTATTATATTAACTTGATTAATTTTCTATAGTATTTAATGGCATATTTATGTTAAAATTATGAATATATCCTTTTTTTAATACCTTATTGTTTTTTTGTTTTGAAAGTAAATATTTATTAAAGTCATATTTTTAATTAAGGACATTTTTTTATTAAAAAATATTTTAATTTAATTATTTTATATTATTTTCAATTTAGTTATTTCTTAATTAAGATGAACTTCTATTTCTATAAATAACTTTTTCTTTTTATAAAGACTCAGCTTATTTTTGGGTAAATGTACCATTTTTTTGTTTTATTTTAAAATTCTAAATTTTCAAAAAATCAATTTTTTTCGATAAATTTAAACAGTCAGTTATTTTTTTATAATTTTTTCTAGAATTTTTTTCTTAAAAATTATTATCTTTCATTCCTTTATTTATAGATAAAATTAATCCATTTTAACTTAATGATGTACTTCTTTTTTTTAAAATAACTTATAATTATTATTAGGGCTAAATAGTTGAATTATAATCATAATTAGAATATTATCTATCTTTAAAAAATGAGTTTAAATTATTATTTCTGTTAATTATGTTAACTTTTAGATCTTCTTTTCTTCTTTCTGTAGCTATTCTTTAATTTAATTCTACTAATTTTGGTTTATCTTACTGATTTAAAATACTAATTTTTAATTATAATTTTTAATTTTATCTGCGTTTAATTTTGTTTATTTCTTCTTAAGATTATCCAAAATCATATCCTTAAAAAATATTACTTTTACTATTAATTTATTTTAGATTAATGTTATCTTTTTTATATTTATTTATAGAAAATAAATTTTCTTTTCTTCTAAAAAAATTAGGGGTAAAAGAAATATTTTATTAATTATCAATTAAAAAATTTTAATTTTTTTTTTCTTAAATATTTAATTTATATTTTTTATAGAAAATATAATTTTCAACTTTTTTTTATAAATTTTCATATTTTTTTTTTTCTTGAAAATTTTATATTTCTTCTTTTTTTAACAAAATTAACTTTTCTTTATTTTAAAATTATTCTTTTTTTTTTTTTTTTCTTAATATGACTTACAAATCAAATTAACTTCGTTAATTTAATTTTTTAATCCTTAAAACTAATTTAATTTTTTCCAAATTTTCTTTTCAGTCTATATTTAATTCCTCAAAGAAATTTTTTATAGGCATTAATTTTTTAAATCTTCTAAAATACAAAAAGGTAAGTATTTTTAAAGAAAACATCCCGCAAAACAATAAACTTCTAAATAAACACTCTAAACCTTTAAAAAATATTCAGAATATTCGTAATTTTCATCTTAAAAAAGAAACTTTTCTTCCCCAAAAATGGCATATTCATTAAGACTTGCTATATTAAGAATAACTCCTTTTTCCGTCTTTATTTATATAATACATTTCCCATTAATAATAATCCATATTTTTTCATTGTTTACATCAAATTCATTAATTATTTAATCTTTTGTAAAATAATGAATTTAAATTTCTCTAATTAAATTATTTATTATGTGACTGTTTTATTTTAATTACTAAAGCTATTATATTGATTTTGTTAAGTTTGTATATATTATTTTTCTTTTTTATTAATAATTTTATAATATTTGCAAATATTCCTCTTTTTGTAAAATCATAGTTAATTCTAGTTCTTATTTTTCCTTTTTTATTTGTCCTTAATTTTCTTTATGTATTAATTTTATAGGTTATATACTATTGGAATGATTTTAATTTATCAAATATGTAAAATCTGAAATGTATGATTATTTTATGTTACTTAAATATATATATATGTAGTTTTGTGTATCATATTAATTTATGTCTTGTTTTATTTTTAGGGCTTAAATAAACTTTAGATTAATACAAAGTTTTTTTTTTTAAATAAAAATATCGTTTTTTTTTATATTTACTTCAGATATTAAATCAAAGCATTAGTATTTTGTTTCTAAAAATGAAAAAAAATTGTTTATATAATCAAATTGATTTAATATATGTTATATTTCCTTTTGTAAATAAATAAATATAATTTAAAAAAAAAAAATTATATATTTTTTTATAATCAAACTTTCAAATTACATATAGTTTATTCTTAATTTTATAATAAAATATTTAGTTATTTTATAGACTTTTTTATTTTTATAAAATAATTTTAAAAATTAAAAAAAATTACAGATTTCAACCCCATATCTATTTTTTTTAGTTATAAGTTTTTATTATTTTATTATTATATTTTTTGTAATTATTTATTTTATAGAAATCATATAGTCATATAGTTAATAATTTAATTTATTTTTTAAAATAAATATAATGAATTTTGAAATAAAAGTCCAAAAAGAAAAAAAATAAAATCCCGTAAACAAATTAATAAATTAAAATTATTAAAACGAATAAGGATATAAATGCTATCCCACAAGCCAATTAATATAATTAAATTACGATTTTCAAAATATCTTACCAGGATACTATAATAGGATATTTGAATACATTTAAGGTTAAAATAAAGCCGTATTAGAAAATTAAAACCTAAACTCTTGTAAAAAAAATATAAAAAATATAAATTAAAAATTATTTTAGAATCAGAATATGATGATTCAATGTTTTTAAATTTATATAATTTACCTGATTTTTTTGTAGAAAGAATATAAAAAGTAAAAGAATAAAAATATTTATATAAAATAAAAAAATAAAAAAAGGAATTAAATCCTAAAGAAATGGATTTAAATAATCAATAAAAATATTGGTTCAAAATAGCAAAAAATGATTTAAAATTAGAATTTAATTAAAAAAATTTACAATAATTAGTTTGTGATATATTTAATTTAAAAAAACAAGAAAATAGCTATTTAGAAATTCATGAAATGTCTGAAATATTAGATGAGGATTAATATGATTAAAATATTATATATTATAATAAAAATATAAAAAAAACAAAATATTTATAAGAAAGCAGTGGGTATGATATAGAAAGATAATTTGAAGATAATTAAATAAATAAAGAAGAAAAAGAAAAAAATATAAATATAAATAAGTATTAAAAATTAAAAGATTCCATCGATTCAATTGAAATATTAGAAGAAGAAGCTTAAAAATATGTTGAGGAAAATAATAATCCATAAGATATAATGAATAAAAGTAAAGATTTTAATTTTTAAAAAATTAAAGAAATTAAGAATATAGGAAAAGTAATTGATAAATAAAAAGAAAAAAAAGAAACAAGTAAATAAAAAAACAAAAATCATTATAAATATATATATATAAATAAATAAATAAATACATAAATAAATATATATATATATATTTATATATTTATATTAATAAATATATTAAAATAAAATATTTTTATATATATCTTTATTTATTTACAAATGATTAAGATTCCTTAAATATTTTAAATAAGATTATAATATAGTCTAAATATAAAATTATAATCAAATATGTTTATAAATATATAAAATATTAATTTAAAAAAAATTCTTAAAAAAATTAAAAAAATAACAATAAAAATAATAATAATAATTTTAATAATAATAATAATAACAATAATAATAATAATTATAATAATTATGATTATAATTATAATTATAATAAACATAATTTATTTTTAAACTATAAGATGTTTCTTAAATATATTTTATAATAGACTTTTTTATTTTCATTCAAAAATTTCATTATATTTTAAATATATTATTACAAGAATAATATTAATTATTTTTATTAGCTTTATAAGATTTTACTTAAATTAAATTTAAAAAAAATATTAATAGAATTAAACAATTTTATATGATCTTTAAATAAAATAGAATAAATATTTCTTATTTTATTTTAATTAATTCAATTCTAAAATTATAAATTTATATAAAATAATTTTTTTATATTTTTATTAATTTCTTATATGGTTTTTTAGTATTTTTTCTTATCTAAATGAAAAAAATTAAATTCCTACTTTAATATTTATTTTTTAGATTAAATATCTTAATTTTTAATAAAAATAAATCAAAATTTATATAATGTGAAAGGTTTCTTTTTCTTTAGTTTTTTATTAAAATTTAAGAAATAATCTTATTTCAAATTAATGAAAATTATAAATTATTTTTATTTGAAAATAAACATTGTCTTTAATGAAATTAAAATAAATAATATAATATAATATATTAATTATATTTTATTTTTTATTAGCAATTAGATTAATTAAGTAATAAAATATAAATACTCAAAATAACTTTTAATTAATTTATAAATTTTTAAAGAGGATATAGAAGAAAATAATTAAAATTGAAATAATTATTCTACTAATTCTAATCAATAAAAAAATTATCTGAATCTCCACTTTTGTTAAAAAAATAATTTTTAATATATAATTGAGAATAGAATTTTTTTATTTTTTACTTTCATTCAAACTAATTATATTATGTTTATATTTTTAAAAAAATAAAATATTCTAATTACATATTTAAATATATAAATTTACAAAAATATAGTATAGTTAAAATATTAATTTTTATATTATAAAATTTATATATATATTGTATTTTTATTATATTTACTTTAATTTAAATCATTTGAAGACTAAAAAATATGATTTTTACATAAAATTATTTATTACATAAATTTTAATTAATTTTAATTAATTAAAGTATTTTAATTTATAACAACTAAATATTTAATATGAATAAAATTAAAAAAAATATCAATATAATTAAACTAATTTACTATATATTAATTTTTATATTTTGAAAATATATTTTTACGTTTAAAAAAAAAAAAAAAATGAGTAGAACTCAAAAAGTAAATGTCAGAAACTTATCAAAAAGTCAATACGTAAAATACAAAAATATTCCCAATTAAGATTTTCCTAAAAAATGTGAACCTGACTCTTTAACTATATTTACATAATTAAAATAAAAAGACTCCATATGTATATAACAATATTTAAATTAATCAAATTGTAGCATAAAAATTCCTTTACCAAAATAATCTACATAAAATTAAATAATAAATACAAGTACTAGCTTTTAAAGTTTACAAAACTAACTTCGTATAATGTAAATTAAATGACTTCTGGGTCAAATCGTGCTCTAAGTTTAAATTCAAGCAATAATAATAATAATAATAATAATAATAATAATAATAATAATAATAATAATAATAATTGTAAATTAAAAAATGATTTATAGCAAAAATAATAGCAATCGAATATAAATCCCTAAAAGAATATATTGAAAAACTCGTCTACTATGATATTAAATAACTAAAATAATATTTTAGAAAATTATAAAAATAATCAGTTCAGAAAAAAGGAAGAGAAAGAAAATGAAAAAGATATCACTATTTTAGAACATAAAAATAATATAGAAAGAATAAATATTTTAACTAGTGAAATAGAAAGACTAAATGACAACTTGTAATCAAAAATTAAAGAGAATCTACTCTTAGAGGAAAAAAATATGTTAATTTGTTAATAAATGTAAAATATGTAAATTGAATTTTCCAAAAAACAATCATAATAGTAATTTTAAAGTATAAAAAAATGTAAATGTGAGGAAAAAATTACTTATTTTAATCAAGAAATCGAAAGATTGAATTAAATGATGTCTTTTAAAGAAAAATAATACGACGAAAATTCACAGAAATTAATTTAATAAATCGAGGAAAATAATCACATAAAAATTAAAAGGATTTAGAAAATTAAAATTTGTAATATATACTTACTAAAATTTAGGTATTAGCCACATTATAAATTACAGTGCTTTATTATAAAAAATCCTATATATGTCTTTAAACATTAAAATTTACTTACTAAAATTTAGGAAGAAAAAATATTAATTAATTGAATAGAATAAAAAAGTGAACGAAATCATTAATAAATATGAGGAAAAAATTAGCGTTTTTTCAATGGAAATTGAAAGTTTGAATAAAATTTTAAAATAAAAAGAAGATTTCTTAGATGAAAATGTTAATAAATAAATATAATTTTATAAAGAATAACTAGATAATGCTTAAAAAAGTTATTAATAGTAAATTTAAATTATTAATAAATAAAAATTAGATGGAGAATAAATGAAAGACAAAGAAATTTTGAAATTTTAAAATATAAAAAATTAATTGGAAAATGAAAAAAATTAATTAGAAAGATTATTTTAACAACTAAAAATAGAAAAGGAAGAAAATTTAAAAAAACAAGAAGAAAAAATAATAATATATGAAAAAAATATGAAATAACAAATATAAAATATATAAATATATGAAGAATAGATATAAAAAAACGAAGAAAAAATTTAAAATTAAGTCTAAGAAATTAAAAAATAAGAAATAAAAATAAAAATAAGTGAATAAGAAACATAGAATATAAGTGAAGAATATGAAAATATAATAAATAAAAAATAAAAAGAAATAGAATTATTATAAGAAAAAAACGATTTTTTAGAAAAAAATTGTGAAGAGAAAATAAATATTAAACAAATATATTTTAGTAATGAAAAAAATACATTAGAAACCAAAAATTAAATCTAATAATAATAAATATAGGAATTTAAAAATAATAATCAGATTCTTAATTATGAAGTTGAAAAATTGAAAATAAGTATTGAAAAAAAATAAGAAAATATAGAAAATTTTAAATAAAAGGAAATATAAATGAATCATATTATAGATTCTTTATAGAAAATATAAATCAATATTAATTGGAAATTACCGATTTATAAAATTAAAGTAAAATTGATATTTAAAACTTAATTAAATAACAAGAAATTATAAAAAATTTCGAAATTGAAAATTTAGAAAAATCCTATAAAAAAGACATTTAGGAATTAAAAAATATATTAAATAACTAAAAAAATATTTTAAAAGAAAAAATTTCTGATTTTCTTATCAACTTAGTACTTCTTTATACTGAAATAGAAAATCTAAAAGATTAAAATTCTAAACTATGGAAAGATAATGAAGTTTTGAAAAAATCTTGCTAAGATATAGAACTTTCCTATCAAGAAAAATTTGTTTAATATGAATAGTAAATGAAAAGAATAACAGTTAAAAATTGTAAAACGAATTACTTTAAATTAATTAGAAAATAGAATGCTAATAAAATAAGTATTAATAAGAAATTTATTAAAATTAATTATAAATTGATACTCTGAATTAGTAAAGTAATTAGTTTTTGAAAGAAAATTAAAATCTTTAATTTTAAATAGAAAATTATATACTAGATGTATTATTTAAAAATTTATAAATTTATATTATTTTAATAGATCAATAATAAAAAAAAGAAGTTTAAAAATTAAATAAAATTTTATAATAAAAAGAAAATAGTTTAATAGATACTAATAATTAAATTATCAAATAAAAAGAAATAAATAAAAATATCCAAAATAAAGTAATATTATAAAAATATAATAATTATATATATATTAATATATATATAAATATAAATATAAATATAAATATTATAATATTATAATATTTTTTTTTATTTTTTAATTAGCTTTTATAATCAATTTAAGAAAATGATGAATTATTAAAAAAATTAAGCTTTTATGAAAATACTATTTATGAAAGAGATTAGGTTATTATATAAATAAATAATTGTCTTTAACAATATTTGATAAAAGTATTTTTTTTTCTTATTTTAATTATTTTTTTGTTTAAAAGATTGTTTTATTACTATCTGAAAATGAAAGATTAATTGTATAATTTACAGAAAAAATGGAGCTAGTAATAAATGGAAATAATAAATAAATTTAAATTCTTAGAGATGATTTTGAATAATATAAAACAACAATCCTACTAAATGTATTTATTAATATTAAAATATAATATATAGTCTTTTTTTTCTAGTATTTTTTAAATTGCATTGAATTAGAAAGAACCAATAATTATAACAAAGAATTAATTGAGAATAAATTTTCTTTAAATGAGCAACTCTAATATATAAGGAGTTAATTTAATTAATTTAATTCTGTATTATAAGAAAAAAGAGTGAACAATTAAAGCAATTAATAGTCAAAAAATAAAAAAGTATTTATTTTATATTTAATCTTATTAATAATTTTTTATTTAAAATAATTTAGCTTTTAATTAAAAGTATTTTAATAAATAAAAATGAAAACTCATTCTAATAATGAATATTAATTAATTTTTTTTTTAAATAAAATAATCTTTATTAATTATAATGAAAATTCAAAAAATTATTTTATATATATATATATATACATATATATTTGTTTTAATATTTATTAATTAAAATATAATTTGCAAATTAATTAAAAACGCGCGTAAATAAAATATTATATTATATATTTTATAAATATTAAAAAAAGATATTTTATTTATTTTATTTTATATTGTTTTTTTTAATTTAAAAATATAAATAAAAATAACATTTTAAAAAAATTAAAAAAGAAGAAAATATTTTTTTAATATTTTAGTTCATATACTAGTTTATATGTAACTAAATTTAATTATTATTTATTATTTTTACAAAAAAAAAAAAAATAATTACATTATAATCAGAAATTATCAATAAAGGTATTTAATATTACTAAAAAATTAAATTATTTATTATTATAGATTATATAAAATTTATTAATTTTAAAATTATTAATAGTATTTTTTGAAAAAAATATTTTTTATTTATATATTTCTATATTTTGGGCTACAAAAATAATAGATAATTAATTTTTTTTTAAGAATTTAAAATTTTTAATACAATTTTTCTTAATAAATAAATAAAATTTTTAAATAAATCAAAAAAATTGTACATAAAAAAAAATGAATTTTTAAGAATTATTAAATAAAGTTTTTGTTGAATTAAGTGATTTTTAAATTTCTAAAAAATCATGTTCTAACATATAATAATTTATTAACACACCACCAATTTAAAATTATAAACATTAAAATTTTAAAGAAATAAATACACTCTAAACTAAATAAGAAACATAATTAATGTAAAGCTAAAATCAAAATACATAAGAATTTAATTTCACGCCAGAAAAAAAGTATGTATTTATCTAAAGTACGAATGAAAGTAATAAATTAACTACTTAAAGTTTTTTTTTTACGGAAATAATTTCGAAAAAAGTAACAAGACAGTTAAAAAGTAAAAAAATATAATATGAATAAATTTTTTATAATAATATTTTAAAAAATATAGTATAGTAAGTGAATTTTAAATTTGAAAAAGGATGAAAATACGATTAAAATATATAAAAATTTCTAAAAAAAATAAAAATAAGAAAAAAAAGAAAATTTTCTAAAGAAAAGTTTTAAATAATTTTTAAATTTAAAAATAATCTTTAAGTTATATTAGAATTTATAAAAAAAATTATATTAAAAATAATAAATATTATATTTTTATAATATTTGATTTATATATATTTTGTAATTAAACTTTTATATATTTAATTATTAAAAAATAATACAAAATAATGAATTATTAAAAAATTTAAATATTATAACAAAGATAAACATATATATAAATATATATATATATTTATATATATATATATATATATTTATTTTTATAAAATTAAATCATATTTTAAACTAAATGGGAAACGTTGATAATAAATAAAACGATTTTTAAATATACAACGATATAATTGATAAAAATACTATCTATAATGGTATAATTTTTTTTATATTACATAGTAAAAAAAAAAAATATTAATAATTTAGACTTAAAATTAATCAAATAACTTAATGATGATATTTATGGAAAAATAAAAGTTTTTTAAAGCACAAATTATTAATATGAAATAGCAATTATAAATGTTTTTACTTAAAATGAAAATTTAGTAAATGATATAAATTAAAATTAATTAAAATTAATACAGCTAAATAATGATAAAGTTGTATTATTATTATATTATAATAGTAGTTATATATCAACATTATGCTAAAATATTTGGAAACTATAATTTTATTATGAGTATTTTATATATATATATTCATTTATTTTGTATTAAAAAATATACTTATATATTTATATATAAATTTTAATTTATTAGGTATTTATCTTATAATTTATAATTTCATTTGACAAAAAGAAAATAAGAAGTTAACTTTTATTAAGAAAGTGAAATTTGGCATATTATATTTTCGGTTATATAAGGTCTTTATTCATTAAAAATAAATAATATACTTCATGGATCTATACGACCTGAAAACATATTAATAAATAAATAAGGAAAAATAAAAATATTACCATAAAGCGTTTTTAATTAAGCTAAGTATTTATTTTAGTATTTTATATATTTATTTTTTTAAAGAAACAAACTAAGTAATTATATGTAATCATTAATGGGATTATAAAAAGCTAATTATTTATCACCAATTTTATTAAAATAACTTGAAATGTAATAACATAACCCAATACATGATGTTATGAAAAGTGATATATTCTCATTAGGTTTGATAATATTAGAAACTTCTATTTTACATGATTAAGATATATTATATGATTATGAAAATTTCGATTTTGATAAGAAAGTTATTGAGGCAGATTTATAAATGGTAAAATATAAGTATATATATAAATATATATATATATATATATATATATATATATATTTTTAGTTATATATATATATATATTTCATTTTTTTTTATTTTATATTTATATATATTTCAGATTAAATTTAGATATAGTTAATAACTATATATTTTTTTATAATATGCTCTTATTTTAGAAGAGTAAAATAGGCCTAACATTGATTTTTTTATTGAATATTTATAAAATATTAATGTATAAGTTGCTGATAATTTATTCTAATTTAATTTACATTATAATTTTTATGATTAAAATACAAATAATTAAATTGATATTAATTCTTTAGATTAAAGTGATTAAAATAGTTCTTTTGAAAATGATGATACTTAATAATCTTTTTATGAAGGTTTTTTATATATTTTTATATTTTTATGATTTTATTTTTATTATTTTAGATTTTGAAGGACATATTTAAAGAAGTTAATGGACTATTTCTAAATGAAATAATTAATGATATTAAATTATAATATAATCATTATTTTTTAAAAATATTTATATTTATTCTTAAACTTAATATTTTTTTATTACTTTTTATAAATAAATTAATATTATATTAACATATAGAAAAACATTTAATTTTTTTTTTTACTGAAAATGAATTTTAATATAAATTTTTTTTATAATAAATATATAATTATGAAAAATAATTTAAATACTAGTAATTTTATTTATATATTAAAATAATAAAAAATATTAAATATATATTTTTTTATAAAATATTTATAAATAATTATTTTTATAATTTTTTCAAAAAATATCTTTATTAAATTACTTTATTTAATATATATTTTTATTCCTTATTAATAATTATGTAATTTAGATTTACTTAAATTCTTTTTTACTAAAATAATATTTTAATTAATATATTTTTATAAATATATAAAGATATATAAAGAATAATTAAGAAATTTCTAATTTATAATTTAAATCTTATTTTTTCTTCATAAATTCTTTATTAAGTAATAATTAATATAAATAAAGTATATTATATATAAATTTTAACCCACTAAAAATACAAACAAAAATAAACAAAAATAATAAAAATTATAAAAAATAAAAGCTAAAAAATTAACAAAATGTACTACATTAGAGCAATCCAATTTATCTTAAAAGGTCAAAGAGAATTTACAATAAAAGGTTACGATAAAACAGCTAAAAATTCAACCAATAAGACACTTAAGTAGACTTATCTAGTCAACATATAATTATAACTGGCGCAAACAGCGGTATAGGCTATTCTGCTGCCTATGAATTAATAAAAAAAGGTGCTTATGTCCATTTAGTTTGTCGAAATAAAGAAAGAGGCGAAGAAGCATTAGAAAATTTAAAAAAAGAGACAAATAAAGACTTAATTTCTTTACATTTATGTGATATGAGTGATTTTGATTCTATTAAAAATTTCGTAGAAGAATATTAAAAATTAAATGTTCCTTTAAATGCTTTAGTGCATAATGCTGGCACTATGAATAAGGATAAATAACTAACAAAATAAAATATAGAATATAATTTTGCCACTAATGTTGCCGGTGTGGCCCTTATGACTGAAAAGTTTATTCCTTTAATGGAAAAAACATCTTAGACTGCTGAAGATAAAGCAAAAGTTGTCCTAGTAAGTAGTGGAGGTATGTACACTTAAAAATTAGAATTTTAAGATTTTAATATGAATAAATAAAATTTCGATGGATAAGTATAATATGCCAAAAATAAAAGACTAACAAGTTGTTTTGTGTGAAAAATGGACATAATTATATACTTAAAAAACAGGTATTTAATTCTATTCAATGCATCCAGGATGGGTTAGATACACCTGTATTACCTGTAGCTATGCCAGAGTTTTATAAAAGATATAAAAATGTACTTAGGTAATGTTATTAAGGTTCGGATACTATTGTATGGCTTTTATGTATTAATTATAAAAAAATTAAAAGCGGAGAATTTTATTTTGATAGAGAATCTTAGAAAAAACATTTGTGTATTTCTTTAACTGGACATAATTAAAATGAGGTAGACGAATTTTATTAAAATATTTAGAAAATTATTAATTGATTTTTATTTTTATTTTTTTGTAATTAAATTTATATTTTTTATTTTTTTTTGTAAATTTATAATAGTTTTTATTGGTTACTATATGAATTAAAGTCAAAAATTTTCATATTATTATTATTTATTTATTATTTTCACAAAAAAAAAATATATAAATAAGTTTAAATATATATTTAAAATTGATTATTAAAACTGAACTTGAAAACGTAAAAATAAAAATGTATATTTTAATATAGGAGAAGTAAATGGGATTATAAAATGAAGTTAATTCAAATGATTAATTTAAAAAAGAATTAATATATTAAAATCGATAAATATTTTATATTGAACAATAAAACAATAATAATTTGCTTTTTGAAAATAAAAAAAAAATACTTATTAAATATTATAAAAAATTTATATTAAAAATATTAAATCTTTATATTATTTTAAATAATATATAAAATAATTATATAATAAATATATTAATAAAAAGAATATTACTAAAATAAACATCTTTTTATTTATAAAAATATATTTTAAAAAAGTTTTTTGGAAATTAAAATAAAAATATCATAAAATGAAGTTTAGGTTAATATAAATTAATTTAGTTACATAGATAATGTTATTTAGAATAAATTTAAAATATTTTTTTTTTTTTTTCAATATAAAAAAAAAGAATCTTATTTTTAAATATTTTTTGTTTATTTATAAAAAAAAATATTTTTATTAATTGGTATTTGATTTTCTTACATAAATTTATTTAAGGAAAATAATTAGGCAATAGTTTTTAAAATATTTGTCATTTAAAATAAAAATAAAATATATTATTCTTATTTATTATAATATACATTAAAATATAGAAATAAACCTTATGTTCTATGAAATATTAATTAAATATAATTTTCTTATGTAAAGTAATGTTAAATTATAAGTATTAATATTCCCCCCCTCATTATAATTAAAATAAAAACCCCCATTATAATTAAAATAAAAACTTTAGAATTAATTTTTAAAATTCATTAAGTTTTTGTATATATATTTTGATTTTTGTTTAAAAAAAATAAAAAAATTTAATTATTTTCAGTTGGTGGACAAAAAAAACTAATAAAATGTATATTTAATTTGAAATTAATTATTTTTTTATAAAAATGAATAATTTAAATAATATAAAGTCTATTTTTTAAAAATTTAAATATTTTTATTGTTTTATAAATTATATAAATACATTTTTTTTTAAAAAAAAAATGAGTAGTTTTTTCTAAAATAATAATTACCAAAAAAGATCAAAGTAGTTTTTTAAAAAGAAAATTATAATAATATATAAATTAAAAAGTGAAAAATATAAAGTGATTTTGACCACTAATATATTTAATATTTATTTAAAAAAAAAAAAGTGATTAAAAAGACGAATTATTGATTAGATGTAAAAATACAATCGATGAATTACAAGATGAACTATAAAAAGTAGAAAAAAAAAAGCAATAACTTTAATAATAAATCGAATAAAAATAAAGTTCATATATAAAATTGATTGAAGAAACAAATTAATATAAATCTTAATTAAGTATTTTCATTTTTTTTTATTTTGAAAAAAACAAAAACAAAAAAGATGAATTATATGAATTATTAAGACAAAAAGATAAAAAAATAAAAGATCAAGAGAATTATATAAATATATTATGTGAAAAATAGCTCATTAAGAATAAATAATATTCGATTATAATAATTAATTAAAAACAGTGACTGTATATCTTTAAAAACCCAACATATATAAATAGAAAAAACTCCATAAATAAATAATGAAAACTAATAATAATAATACAGTTTTCATTAAATGGAAAATAAAATGTAATAATCATATGAAATTAAACTAACTGAAGTAAATTAAAATATAAAAAGACTTTAATAAAAATTTGATTAAATAATTGCTTAAGATTAATTATAAAAAACTCAACCTAAATCCGATGAAGAAGAATAATATTAATTTGTTATTAGTAAATAAGAAAAATAAAGATATAACAATAGCTTATAGAGATAATAAGATTCAATTAACTCTACTAGAATTATAAAATAATAAAGCTTTTAACAATAAAATTATAATTAGTTAAACAATGTTTGTTCAAATAAACCTTTAAGATGTTAAACTTAAAAAAGTCTAAATTAAATTCCTAATCCTAAAATCAAAATAAATAATTAAAGAAATAGTTTAGCTAAAAAAGAGCCTAAAAAAAAAAGCTTAATCAAAAAAACAAGATCTTTTACATAAAGATTTTGAAAAATAAAATATATATATATATATATATATATATATAATTTTATCATATATAAATAGAAAATGAAAAAACTTTTCACATATACTATTCATCTTCATCTGTATTTAATTATTAATTTTCATTATAATTTTTTTTAAATTAACCAATAAAATCATTATTATTATCTTAAAAAAGCGAAAATTCATTATTTTATTATTTAATAATTTATAAGTTTTATTATTTTGAATATTCAAGTAAAGCATCTTTACCTTAATAAAAAAGTTTTTTATTTTTAAAGCCTTAATTTTTATTTATTTCTTTTATTTTTCTAATATCTTCTAAATCATCAACTTAAATTTTCACTTTCATTTCTTTTAATTCTTTTTCGAATTAAATTCTTCTCTTTTCTTAAATATAAATGGGATCATTTTTTACATTTCTACTCAAAATTACATTTTATCTTTAAATTTCAGCACTTTTTTATAGTTTTAATTCATTTAATTTTTAGTTTATTTCTATTTCGGTTAAATTTTCAGCATTTTTAAAATAAAAATAATCATTAATTTAATCAATAAAAACATATAAAACGCCTCCTAAAATAAATACTATAAGAATAAAATTCTTATTAGGCGAAGAATATTTATTTTAATTATATTTTTATCTATATTCATTTTAAAACTACATATATTCATCATTTAATTTCTATTTATTTTAATTTTAATAAACATTTTTATACATATATTCTCCCTAGTCATTATATTATGAATAATTATATTAAGAATTCATATACTATTGATTGGTTTACTAGTTAAATTAATTTTTTTAAAAACCAGGATTTCCTTAAAAACCGTAATTACCTTAATAACTAGAATTAGTAGTATTTTAATATATAGAATTATCATATTTTTTTCTTTATTCAGGATCTTTTAATTCATTATAAGCTTATGTTATTAATTTAAATTCTTCAATAGACATTTAGTTTTGTGGTTTTTCTTAAGAATTTTCTTTATCTGGATGAAGATATTTTGCTTTTTCAAAATAAGCTTTTTTAATTTATTCTTAGGTGTCATCTTTGTTTACTCCAAGTATTTAATAATATGTTTTTTGTTAAGAAGAAGTTGAAAATTTTAATTATATTTTAATAAAGTTTTTTATATATTTATATTGATGTTTTATTTTCATTTTATTTCAAGTATTTTTTTTATTTATTTTTTTAAAAAAAAGGATTTTTTTCCTTTATTGTTTCTTTTTTTATAATTAAGAAAAATATATTATTATTAAATTTAAACTTTTTATTTATTTAATTTCATGAAAACTACAAACAAAAATTTAATAAAAATAAGTAAAAATAATTCAACTTAGAACTAAAAAGTATTATTTTATTTACAGTAAAATAATCTAAAATATATACTTACGAAAAAAATAATAAAAAAAAGAATAATTCAAAGAATTAAATACATTAAATAATATAAAAAATTCAAACTAAAAAATATATATTAAAAAATCTAGAGTAATAGATAATAATTAATTAATTATTTAATGGAATTTATATTTTTAAAAAATAGATTTTAATTAAAAGATTAAATTTAAATAAGAAAGAATATTGAATTTTACGAATAAAATCAATTATAGAATGATTTAGTTTATATTAACTTTGGTTTATGGTAGAATTACATTTTCTTTAATTATTTTTTTTTTAAAAAAAAATGAAGGGATAATCAAGCAAATTATGAAGATATTTAAGAATTATTTTAAAACTTGAATAAATATACATAATTACAGAAACTTATTTTAATATTAAAGTTTTTAACATTTGTTTATTATTGAATATATAATATTTAAAAGCAAAAACTAGTTAAAAAATATTGATTTAGAAGATTGTTTATAAAAATTAATAAAAATAGAATAATTAAAATACTTAGATATTGCTTTATCGTAAAATATATATAAATATTTATTTAAAGAAATCAAAAAATTTTTTGTTTTATTTTTATTTACTTTTAGAAATAATTAAATTGATAATTAAATTTGCTAAATTTTATTAAATAATCTACCTTTATTTATAAATTTAGAAGAATTTTCATTATATTTAATGTAATTTGTTTTTAAAAAAATAAAAAAAAAATTATATAAATAAAAAAATTGTTCTTAATTTAAGGAATTCAAATTTAAAAGATATTCATTTAATAATTTAAGGATTTAAAAATAAAGAAAATTTAAAGAAATTAAAATTAAACTTATAATAAAATAAAATCGGATAATAAGAATTCGAATTATTTATGAAATAACTACCTTAATTTAAATAATTATTAGAATTTAAATTAGATTTTTAGTAAATTTATAATAAAATATTAAAAAAAAAATATCTAAACTAATTAGATAAAATAGTATAACCAATATATTATCTTTATTTTCAGTTATTTCTAATCTAGAAAGTCTTATTTACTTTTAAATTAATTTTTAGTAATACATATATAAATAAAATGTATTTTTATCGAATAAATATATAAAGAAATAATAAAATAGAAAAAATTGAAAATATAATTTAAACTTATAAATAAAATCCTTTTTTATTTTATAATATGATTAATTTTGAAATAGCATTACCAGATAGTTTACATTTAAATCAATCTCAAAATATTATTAAATAGAAAAAAAATTATTATGTTTTTTAGTTAGTTTTAATAAATTTATTGCAAATGAAATGAAATTTAATCCCTAATACTTACTTTTAGATTTTTATGTATGAAAAACTAATATATATGAATTTTATAAATTATAAATAATTAAAATTAAATAAATAAAATATTATTATTTATAATTAAATAAATAAAACATTATTTTTAATTTTAAATTTAAATTAAAAAAATATGTTGTTAAAAGTTTGAATTTAAAAAATTTCAATTATTAGTTTATAATATATAATAATATTAAATTTTATTTATATTTATTTTTAATTAGTTTATTATTTTTTCAAATAAAATAAATACAAATATAAATGAAATTTTTAAACATTTAATTTTACTCATTATAAAACAAATATGATAAATATTAAAAAATGAATACATATAATACTATATTATTTTTAAAAATTAATAATCAATTATTGAATATGAAAATTTTTTAAATTAAAGTATATATTTCCTATTTAAAAATATGTTTAAAATAATAAATTAAATTAAATAGCTAATGCATATTTTTTAACTTTTCAATAAATTTAAAATTTATTTAAAGAATATTTGAAAATAAAATAAAATATTTATTTATAATAAATATTAATATAAAAAAGAATTTTTACTATTATTTTATAACAATATAATAAAAAATAAATTAAGTATTTCAATAATATTGATAATAATAAATATTGACTAATAAATATATTATAATATATTTTTTTTTTAGATAATTAGTTAAATATATAAGTTATAATACAAAATCAGGATAGTTATTGGTTATTTTATATTAATATTTGCAATTTTTAAAAAGATAGGATAAAAAGAATTCTAATTTACTTAGCAAGATATTAAAAAAAAATTGAATAATTAAAAAATAAAAATCAATTGAGCCAAAAATATAAAAGAAATATAATAAAATGTAATATTCTTTTAGAAATATAACAAAATATATTAATATTATTTAATTTAATATTTTTTACTAAAATAAAAAATTGATGTGTTTCAAATATATAATTTAGTTAAAAAATATATATTATGTTATTTATATAAAGAATTTTTTAATTAATTACGAAAAAGATAATATTTCTTAAAAATTACATGCTGTTTTTAATTAAAATTTAATTTTAAATTAAATACTGAAAGAAACATATATGAAGAAAATATTAAATTATTATTAAAAGTTAGAATGAAAAATAATATGCGAATAAATATATATATAAATAAATATATATATATATATATATATATATATATATATATATTTATATTTATATTTTTTTTATACATATATATAAATAAATAAATAATTATATTTAATACTTTAACAATTCTTTTAACTTAATGGTTAACAAAATATATACCAATATTAATTATACTTTTTAAAACAAACAAAATAAATTTAAAAAACATTAACATAAAAAAAACATCATTTTTCAAGCATCATTTATAATTCTTATTAATCAATTTATTTAGCATCATTATTTTCTTCTTCAATTTTATTATTTTCTCCTTCAATAAAATTTTAAGGATTGTCAAAATTCATTATAATTATTTAATTTTTTTATTTAATAAGCTCCACATTATATTAAGCACATTTACTAGTAATTTCTCTAACAAATCCCGTCATTTTTTTAATTTTATTTAAACAAACTTGAATAATTCTAAAAATATAAAATATATATATATAAAAAATTTAATTATAATTATATTGCTTATCAATAACATCTAGTTTTAAAGGTGCTCCACCGGGTTTATGAATATTACAAATATCATTATAAATATTAACTGAAATAGTAATTCTTCCTTCCATTAATTATTCTTCTTAAGCAAGAGGATCAGCTACTAAAAGAGTCGCATTTTTAAATAGCGCAAAAGTAAAAGGAATAGGCATATGATGAATAGATAATGGTTATGGATTTTTATCTGGATGAATTTTTATCTTCGATTATTATTCAATTGAAATATATGGTTTTCTAAAATGCAATAAGCTTATCATTACACATAAATATATATTATCAATAAGATTTCCTCCATTTGAAATTACTGATGTTTCCACTGTTATATTCCATACTTTTTTTCCTGTAATTATACATAAACTTGCTACATCTATTGCTCTTTTATATATTTTTTATTTTGTTTTGAATTAAAAAAATTACTTTGATCCTTTTATAATTTTCTCTAATAATTTTTATATTTCGTTTGAATATTCTTTGAAATTTTACAAGTTTTATTATTATTCGTCTTATGTGGATGATAAATCTACTTTAAAAAACAAAAAACCTTCGTTTGGCTTTTCTTTTTTTGGATCTGTTATACTTGAATGCGTTTTAGTTGCTATATGTGTGTCTCCACTTATTAATTCAATTTCGCCTGGATTTAATCCAAAATGAACTTCGATTTTACGACTATTTAATAATGTTCTTCCATCTAATCTTAATTCTTATTCTAATGATTTTAAGCAAAATTCTTTATCATTTTAATTTAATGTCTTCATTGTATTATATTTTATTAATTTTTATATAAAAAAATCTTAATATTATTTTTATATTTAATTTTATACTTTTATATTATTCTTAAAAATTTATGTTATTTTTTATTAATTCTTTTATTTATTTCGTTAAAAAAAATAAAAATATTAAATTTATTTTAATCAAAACAAATTCTATTAAACACATGAATTCGGTAAATGGATCTCCGAAAACTTAAAATGATAAATTAAAAAGAACATTTTTAAAATAATATTAAATTTCAAAAGCATAAATACAAAAAGTATAAAATTTAAAATATATATTTATCATATGTATTTTATTTTTAATTTAAAAAAAGAAATAATACAAAAAAGCATTTTTCAATCTTAAAACAATAGTTGAAAATGATATATATAATATAATATCTCCATATTATAAATTGCAATCATATTATAGATAGTTTTACATTATTTAAAAAATAATAGAAAAATAATTAATAAATCATTTTCTTAAAAAAAAAGAAAATTAAAACAATTTAATATAATTAAATAATAATTAAATTGATATTTTTTATGAGTATTTAGACATTTATTTATAAAATTAAGATAAAGATTTTAATAATGAAAATTAAAATAGCTATTAAGTATCATTTGAGGAACTTAAATTAATATTTAATATATTCTACATGAATACTTAAATATTATTAAATAATTATTATATAGCAAAAACATAAGAAAAATAATTTTTAGCTTTAAAATATTTATTATAAGCTTAAAATTTAGTTAAATAAACACTATACGTTTAAGTAAAATATTTTAATAAATAATTAAAATTAAAATTAAAATTAAAAAAGTGTTAAAATTTGTTATATTTATATATAAAAATTGTAATTTTAATTAGTAACTTTTATATTGATAATAAATTGTATAATTATAGCATTTCTTTATTATTATAATAATTGGAAAACATTCATATATTAATAAATATTAGTTATATAGAATTATCATAAAATCAGCAATTTGTTATTTATAAAAGAAAAAAAAAGAATTTAGATTTTTGAAAGTGATTAAATTAATAATTCATTTTCTATATAATTTAGTTTATTTATTTGAATTATAATTTGAAATTAGAAAGGCTTTTGAGAGTTTTTAATTAGCGGCTTATTTTGGAAAATGCCTCCAAACAGATACTAATGACGAATTTAGAAATAATTTAAATATCTTATGTATTGATATTAATAAAAAAGTAGAATTTTTTTATATATATACTTATTTTTAGTTTTTTCTATATAGTATTCCTAATTTTTGTTAGAACTTAATGATATAAACATGTTAGCATAGAAAATTTTATATAAAAATGTAAATTAATTACATATAGAAGAAAAATAATATAAAATAGAAGAAAAATAAGAAAATTATATAGATAATTATTTTTATCAAAAAAATAATATTAAGCAATTGAACTATTAATAATTACTAATAGTATCATAAAAAAAAACATATAAAATGTTTCGCAAAATAATGATAAATAATATTAAAATACTAAAGAAGATGATTATTAGTATAAATGTATAAAAAATTGTAATTTATAATAAAATAATAATGTTAAATAAAAATAAAGTATTAATGAAAAAACTTTTGATAATTAAACATAAACTTAACAATATATTAATTAAGAAACTTAAGAAACTTAAATAACTAATATAAGTTTTTAAGCTAATGAAATAAAATAAAAAAAAAAAAAATAGAAAAATAATAATGAGTAGAAAAATAATTAAATTAATATAATTTATAATATTATATTATATAAAAAAATTAAAAAAGTAGTATAAAAAGTTAGAAGAAAATTTAAAGGATAAATATAATGAAAACTAATAATACAAAAAATTAAAGCTTATTGTAAAAGATATTTTAATAAAAAAATAAAGTTAGATATAATATAAAATAAAGAAAAAAAAGCATATCATAAAATAAATTTAAAAATGATATAAGTTAAATAAATTAAAAAATTGAAAAAAATTAATAATAAACATAATAATAACAATAATAATAATAATAAAATAATAATAATAATAATAATAATTATAATAATAATAATAATATTAAAATATTAAAAATAAATAATTCTAATTAAGTATTTATTATTTTAAATAATTATATAATATTATATATTTTTATTTATTTATTAATTTTTTTTTAATATTTATTTGCTTTTAAAGATAGTTTTTCCATAAATAAAACATATAAATTTGTTGAAACAAATAATTTAATTAATCAAAATTATCAATTTATTCCTTTTAATTAGTATTTTTTTAAAAAAACATAAATTTTTATATTTTTTGCTTACATATAATAGAATTATTAGTGAGACTAATGATTGTATAAAAAGTATTTCATATGATTAAAAAAATATAGATTTTTGTAGGTAAATGATAAATTAAAAAAAAGCTGAAGATTTAGGATTATTTTTTTAAAATAAAGATTTTTATAAATAAAAAAATTATTCTAAATATATTCCAATAACTAATGTAAATTTATTTTATTTTAAATTTTTATATTTTTATTAAAATAAAAAGTATTAAAAATAAATAATGCAATCATAATATTTGGTTTAAAATTATATAGCTTAAAAAAAAATTTTTAATAAAAAATTAATGAATAACAAAATAATTAATATAAAGAAAATGAAAATTTAATTGAATATGAAAATGATAAGACTAAAACTAAATTGAAAAGTATTATATTAAAGCATAAAAAAGTGTTTCCAATGCCAAAAATAAGATAATTCTTTATTGATTAAATAAAATATTAATTTTATGAATAATCTAAAGAATAATAAAAATAAATAGTGTTTAAAAATAAAAGCGAATAAGATTTAAAAATAACAGAAAATTAATTATAAAATGAAAAATTAAATTAATTAAAGAAAAACTTTTTAAATTAATAATTCATTTAAAATAAAATTTTCACTTATAATAGAGTATTATTGAATAAAGTAATATTAGAGTAGAAATAATAAATAAATTAATAAAAATAAAAAGTTAGATGTAATTCTTTATATATTAACTAAAATAAAAATATTGAAAAATCCAAGAAAAAAAGGTATATGAATAATATATATATATATTAAAATCTATAATTTATTTTTATAATTGTAATTTTTTTTAAAGGTTTAAATATATTTATGAAAATTATTAATTGTTTTAAAGCTTTTAAAAATATATAAAAATATCGAAAATATAAAAGTATTAATAAGAAATATTTAATGGTAATTTTAACAATTAATTTAATTGATTAAAATAAAAATAAATAAATATAAAATACATTATTAATATGATAATAGTTTGAAGAATTAATTTTCTATTTTATATTATATATATAAATAATATTTAATACTAATAAATTGATAATTATAAATATAAAATATAATATATTATAATATAATATACTATATTTTTTTTGTTAATAAATCTTATTTAATTTATTATTTATTTTTATTTAAATTATTTTCATTTTTTTTACTTTATTTTTTATTTACCAAATAACTTATATCCATTTTTTTTCTTTTAATTTTTTAAATACTAAAAAACTTAAAATAAATAAAATATTTATTAAAGATTTAATAAATACTTTATATTATATATTTAACAAAGAATAATTATAAAATTATTATTTATTAAATTCAAAATAAATATATATGTATATAAAAAAAAAAATTCAATATTTTTTCTTAACTTAAACAAATTCTTAAACAACTTCTATTGTTTCAGAAACTTAATTAGGATTATATTAAGGAATATAATCAGCAACAGTAGTATTGGTTGTTTATTAAGATTTTCTAATAATTTCATCAATATTATCAGTGAAACTTTATCTAACAACATTTTTACTTCTTTTAATAATTTCAGATTCATCTTATTATTTTTATTAATTCTATTTTCCAATTTACATTTATAATTCTAAAATAAAATTATTTAGCCTTTATATTTCTTAATTTTTTTCATTTATAATTCTTTCTAATCTAATTTTGTTTAAAAATAAAATAAAATAAAATAAAATAAAAACAAAATACTAATTGATTTTATTTTATAAAAAGTCAATTTATTATACAAGCAATGTAATTTTTTCTTCAAATTCTGAATTATTAGTTTAAATTTTTATATTTGAATAATTTTTTATTTATAATTCTAGACTAGAAATCTAGTTTTTATATACAGTAATCTAAGTATTTTAATATTCTAATTCTGTAATCTATTTTCTTAATTAAATAATCAAATTTTCATATTCTAATATTTTCTTTTGACAAGATTCCAAAGATTAAGTCAAATATACCTATTTAACTTCCCATTAACTATCTTTTTCTTATACATTACCTTATATTTATGTGATTTTAATAGTTAGATTATTAATTTATAAATTTAATTTTTAGATATCTTAGTCACTTTGTAATAATTATTATTAATAATATTTTGAAGTTTCTTCTAATTATAGATTTTTTTACTATAAAATTTGATAATCTTATAATTTTAATTCTAATTGATTTCTAGATTAATTTTAATTACCCAATTCTTTCTCATAATATTATATTTTTTATTCATAAAATTAAACTGACTATGTTAATTAGGCTATTTTAATTTCCAAATCATTACTTTTGCTTAACCCACCTTCTAATTCTTTTTCTCTTTTAGACCTTTTTATCAATTCATTTCTAAGTTGTTCTTTTTCTTAACTTGAATTATTAATTTGTATATTCAACTAGTTTATTGTTTGTTAGAATTCTTCCAATTTTAAACCCTATGTATTTCTCTAAAATTATAATTATGTTAATTCTTTTTACTAACGAACATTTTCCTCAGATTATCTTTTTAATAAAATTTAAAGGTTTTCGTTTTCGCTTTTTAAAAGCATATAATTTTGTTCTAATTTACCCATTTCAAGCTTTAAAGAATTAACTTAAGTTATAAAATTAATGTCTTATTAATTATTAGATGTAGTGTTTTATATTTAGATTAATAATTATTAATTTTATTATTCTAATCTAATTATATTTTTAAGTATTTTTTTTTATTGTTTTATTATATAATATATTTATTAAAAAAATTATATTTTAAATTAAAATTACTATGTAATTTACTATCTTAATTCGGCAACTAAAGAACTATCTTCTTCTGTGTTTTTTTCAATATAAATTGGTTTTTAAATGATTCTTTCTTAAACAAAAGCAGGTTAAGTAGTTAAAGTGTAAATAGGTACTTATTAAACTTATTAACTTATTTATACTTATTGTTTTTATTGTACTTATTAAACGTATTATATTTATTATGGTTACTATAATTATTAAATTTTATAAGTAGTAATAGGTTAAGTATTATAAATTATACTTTAAGCTATAGGTAAAATTTGCTAAGAAGGATTTTAAGATATTAACTATTATTAAGATTTTTATTATAGTAAAACTGGATTTCGTTAAGGATATTGGGTTTATTAAATTGCTTATCCTTATTAAAAATCATCAGCTTAAACAGTTTTATATTTAGGAAATTATTAAATATATGTTTAAGAATTTTATTATTATTAAAATTATTATTATTAATATTATTATTATTATTATTATTATTATTATTATTATTATTATTATTATTATTATTAGATTAAAAATGCTCTTGAGTTTGTAAGTATTTCTCCTGTATTTTTAACTTGCATCTATTAGTTAGACTATTAATTTATCAATTATTATATGCGAGGTGGACTTTAGGTTACTTATGATTGATATTTTTATAATTTTTGATCGACTTATTAATATCTTTAATTCATTTTTTTTTATTAAATTATTTATAATTTTTTATTAATAATATATTAAAGTTTTATTTTTAATTAAATAAAAATATATTATTATTATTATTTTTTCTATTATTTATAATTATATAAATATTATAATATATCTTATTATTTTAAATAGAAAAAATAATTTTTTTAATATATATAATATTAAATTTTAATTATTTATTAAATAATTATATATATTTTTTAATTAGTTATTTAATATTTTTATATATAATATTTTTTATTTTTAAAACTATTATATTTAATTATTTATATTCTAATGAATTTTTTTTAATGCTTATGCTTATGTTTATCTTTTTTTTAATTTTTTAAAATATAAAGAATAAAAAAATTAATTTATATTTATCTTTTTTTTTTAATAATTTTTTTTAAATATTTTTTTTATTTTAATCTAAAATTTTATTTTTATATCTAAAAATTCATTTTTAATTTTTTAATGTTTACATAATATAATTTATTTATTTTTAATTTTAAAAAAACTTGGTTAACTAAATATTTAATTTATTAAAATTTTAAAAGTATATATAATGTGTATATAAATTTTATATAAAATAAATATTTTTATTTAATAAAAAGCAAAACATGATTTTTTAAATTTATTTTATTATTTTAAATGTTTAGTATCTATTTTTTTTAAATTATGAACAGAATTAATAAGATTATTTTATTCATTTTATTAATGTTTAAATATATATTTTTTTTTTTATTATTAAAAATAAAATTATTAATTATTTTTATTTTCTTATAAATTATATTTAATCAGTATTTTTTTATAATATTAGAGCTAAAATAAATTTACAAAATATATAAATAAATGGAATTATAAAATTAAAGTTTACTACCAAATAAACAATATTAATAATATCTAACAAAAGCCCATACTACTAAAGGTATAAATATAATAAACTATAACTAAAATTATTTTCATTTATTTTAGGAGAATTAATATTTATAATTAGCTCATTTGTATTAAATTATTAATAATTTTAAAATCAAGGATAATTAGGATAAATATTAGTATATGTTAGCTAATCTAAGACATAAATTAAATAATATAAAGGATAATGTAATAATAATAATAAAATAATATTATAAAAATAAAATAAAAAAATAGTAATAAAATCTGAATGTTTAAATTAAGAAATATAAATTTCAGATTAATATTATAATTAAATTTTAAACTTTTTTAATGAAAAAATCGAAAACGTAATAATAAAATTAGATGATAATGAAGAATCAAATTAAAAATAAGTAGATTTTATTTAAATTATTTTTTAATTATTTATGATATAAAAAAAATAAAATAAAATAGATGAAAATATAATAAAAGGCTAATATTAATACTCATGTATAATTTAAATATATATTTAAATACATATATATATATATATATATATATATATATATATACTTTTTTTTATAAATTAGTATAATATACTAGAAATTACACTAAATTAATGTTTAGGTGATGTTTCATTAGAATAAATACTTGATTAAATATAAAAAGTATATAAAAAAAAAGAGGAGACTATAAAAGATTTAAAGTTTTCATTAGAATAAAAAATTCAAGAAATAAATAAATTAACATAATAATTGGCTATATAAGAAGAAACACATTCAAAAAACATGAAAAATATAATTAATAAATTCTCTTTATTACTAAACGAGAAAAAAAAATTAATATTAGAAAAAATAAACGGAAAAAATAAACAATTATATGAAAAAATAATAGATAACTAATTATATTAGCCTTCTATTAATATAATTTAATTATGTAAAAAAAAAATTAGATTATTTTTATATTTTTTTAATAAAAAAAAAGAACAAAAGCATAATGATTTATCAATAACTGAAAAAAGTTTGCTTAAAAACGATAATCTTTTGACATAAAAAATTTTAGAAAATTAAGCAAAACCGAACTTTACTTAAGATAAAATTCCAAGTAAATAAATACTTAAAAGAAGGTTTTAAAGATTAAATGAATAAGATAATGATGAAGATATTTAATTGAATTCATAAGAAATAGATGAATTTGATATTTAAACTGAATGAAAAAAAAATATTATAAAATATAATATAAGTATATATTCTATATTTTAAATTTAATATAATACTAGATTTTATTATTGATAATTTCTTATTATTTTTATTATGTAAAATAGTAAAAATAATAAATTAATATTTAAATGCTTTTTTTTCTATAATTATTTATTTATAATTTTTTTTATATGAAAATTATTATTATTTTTATATAAAATAAAAAATAATCATTTTAAAGATTATCTTGCTTTTTCAAGCACTTCTTTTTCAATTTTTGGATAATTTGGGAAAATCTCAAGAATTTTCTTACAAATATTTATACAATCAACAAATCTCTTAGCTTTTAAATAATTGAAACTCAATCTAAAAGCAATAGAAGCTGATTTTTCATTAGTTAATTTATTTGCTTTTTCATAATGAGTAGCTGCGTCTACATAAGAACTTTCTTTTTCTTTAATAAGTCCCATATATTCTTCAGCTTTTCCTTTTTTTTAAATATCTAAATAAAATAAAGATATATTTATATATTATTACCACAAGACTAATTATATTTAAGACATTTTTTAAGGATTTCTTCAGCATTATCATATTTCTATATAGAAACATAAGAATCAGCATATAATAGCCATGCTCTTTCCAAATCATCACCGTATTCAGTCAAGTAATTCTTTTTCCATAAAATCTTTAATAAATTTTTAGCCTCAGTACTTTTTTTTAAATGAATTTCCCAATAGCTAAGGCTAACATAGCAGGTATATATTCATTATTAGCTTTTAAAATATCAGTTAAATTTTTAATTCCTTATTCTAATCCTCCTTTATATTTATTTCCACCTAAAAAATAAACATAACTTTCCATAACTAAATATCTCAAATAAGATGATCTCGCCTACATTTCCCTTAGTAAACTCTCACAAGCTCTTAAATTTATTTCATCAACTATTTTAGCACTTTCATCTACATTACTATAGTATAAATCTTAATCAGGATTTAAATATATATCAATCATATTTACTAAAGATTCTTCAGCATACTAAATTGATTTTTTAGCTTTAGAAAATTCATTTAGAGCATCTTTCGGGCATCTATAAAAATATAAAATAAAAATATAAATATAAATATAAATAGATAAAATAAATGTTTATAAATAATAAAAAATAAACTATATATACTTTAATATATATATAAATATATATATATATATAATATATATATATATATATATATAAATACTTATTTAATATATTTTTTAATTATTGTTTGTTCATTTTTATTTTTTTTTATTAAATATTTAAAATAAATAATATTTTTTTTTTTTATTTATTTTAAATTTACTTATATATTATTTATATATTTACCTGTTATATTTATAAAATAAAGCTTTACAATAACACAATCCTGGATCGTTTTTATTAGTTGCCTTTTTTTCTGCTCTTTCTATGTATGCATTAGCCTATTATATTTAGAAAGTTCTTCTAAAAAAGTCTATTAATTTGGACAAAATACCATAATTATTTGGTCTATCTTATAATATTTTCTTAAATTATTCTATAGCTTATGAATAATCATTTTTTTATAAGAGAAGTTCTGCTAAAGTTAAAGACGCGAAATCATTATTTGCATTTAATTTTAATAAAATATTACATTTGTTTTCACAATCTGCTTTTTGTCCACCATTTAAATATATTTCAGCTTCCAATTCTAATACATTTTCCTAATCTTGTACATATTTATTACATTCTTATAAAATAGCCAATGCAGCTTATTCATTTCTTTCATATTTTATAGTATATTTCGCTAATTCTAAAAACAACTATCCTATATATTTTCTTTCATTTTCTACATCTTCGCTTTCCTGTTTTGCTTTTTCTTTATTTTTATATATACATATATATATTTTTATATAAATATTTATTTATTGCCTTATATTAAATACCTATAACTTCTGTTTATAATTAGATAGCTTTTTTAATAGCTTTTCTATACATTTCAATAGGCTTAATTTCATTTGGTGTTTATTTTTTTAAATGTAATTTAGCAATTAAATAGAAACCTTACATATTTTTTTTTAATACACTAAAACTTTTCTCCTAATACTCATCTAAGGTAAATACTTCAGGTCTTAAAACCTATTCTGCTCTTTTAAAATTTTTAATCTGGATGCATAACTATCCTAAACCTAAAATAAGATCTATTCTTTTGGGATTCTACCCTAAAGCATTTTCATAATAATCTAAAGCTCTCTAAAAGTCATGGGTTTAGCATAAAGAGGAACCTAAAAGCCTTATAATTTCCTAATCTTCGGGTTTTAAAATTGCGGCTTTTTCATAAGCCTTGGCTGCGTCTTCCATTTCTCTAATTTTTACTAAAGCATCTCCTAAAAGCTTATAGTTTTCAAAACTTTAATCTAAATCAACCATATCAGTGTAGCATTTTGCATAATTTCTCTTATCTCGTAATTATTCTAAATAAACATCAGCCAATATCTATTTAGCTCTTAAAAAATAAGGTGAATCTTGTTAAACTCCTTTCAAAATAGAAATTGCTTTTTTCACATCGCCTGAATTTATGGCAATTTCAGAATTCGCAATAAATACATTTACCTCTTCGGGAGTATTCGCAAACTAACCGATGGCTAAATTCATTATTTTTTTAGCATCTTTTGCTTTGTTATTCTTAGATAAAGCTTTTGCATATAAAAGGAATATTTAACATCTATCTTTTTCACCAAACTAAAGTATTTATTGTTGATTATTTGAATTTTTTTGTATATTTTAATCCTTAACTTCCGGTATTTCATAAGCTGCTTCCATTGTTTATTCGCAGTTAAGGAAATTTCCCATTGCATATTCTACTTCACCTTTCACAAGCATGAAAAGAGGATTTTCTCTTATCATAAAATTATTAGAAATAGCCTATTGTAAATTATTTTAAGCTAAACTGTAGTTTTTACTCTAAGAAGCTATCAAAGCAGATAAAACATAAGCTTCTTCATTTTTAGAATCGAATTCTATTACTTTATTTATACTTTTTAAAGCATCACTTTATTATCCTAAAGACATTTTACCCTTTGCTAATAATAAATAAGCTGACACTAAGCCAGGAATTTATTTAGTAATTGTATCAAGCAATTTAGTACCTGTATTATATATATATGAATATATATATATATATATATAAATATATATATATATATTATATATATTTTATATATTTATAAATCTTTTTTTATTTTATTTTTTAAATTTTATTTACCTTTCGCAACTGAACCATTTGATGGTTGATTTCCAGAAAGCATTTCTTTCATACCGATCTAACTGAGATAGGCTTGAGAAAGTTATAAAAGGAAATTTGGATTTAATTAAATGTAATATTCGAAGTTTGGAGATAATAATTTAGTACTTTATATATGAAGTTTCAAAGCCTTTTTTTTATATATATATATTTATATAAAAAAATATTATATATATATATATATATATATATATATATATATATATATATTTTTAAATATATATTTATTTTATTACTTCATCAACAAATCTTATAGTTCCTTTAGGATCATTTTATGTTTTTTTAGAAGCTAATAAATATTCTAAATATGCTATTTCCGGAGTTCTTTCTTCTTACGAATTTATTTAATTTAAAAACTCAATTTATTACTCAGCATCTTCAATAACTCCTTAATATAATCTACATTAAATCATTCCTATTAAGCAATCTATTTTTGTTTCATCTAAAGCAGCTGCTTCTTAAAATAAACCATAAGCTTTTTCATAATCATTTAACTATTATAAAATATTTATAAATTTATATATATATATATATATATGTATATATTTATATATATATATATATATATATATATATATATATATATTTATATATATATATATATATTATTTTTTTATATATAATACCATTAAATATTAAACAGCTAATTCTGAAGCATAATTGGCATTTAAAGGATTGCTTTTTTTACACTAAAGGCATAAGTTTAAAGTTGTATTTAAAATTTGTTTATTTTTTCCTGATATTCTTGAAAATAATTAAGCTACTTTATGCATTAATTAAGTATTTTTCTATTCCTATTTTTATATTACTTTTATTAAAATATCAAGCTTTTCACATCCTAATTCAATATCTCCTTCTCTTATAAAAGTAATAAAAGCCTACAATTATAAGGCTATTATATTATTAGGTTCATCATATAAAATTTAAGATACAGATTCTTATAATTATTCCCAATTTCCTAACTATTATAGTATTTTTTAATTAGTTTTAAAAATTAAATAAAAAAAATATATTTTTACAATCATCAGAAATTTAGCTTTTTCAATTTAAACAGATTTAAAATCAGTATAAAGAACAATTATTTCATTTAAAGTATTTAAAGTGACTTCGAATTTTCTTTTTAATTCATTAGCTTTTGCCCTTCCCATTAAAGATTCAATATTTTTATTTTAATCATTTTATTCATTATATAAAGCTTCGAAAAGTTCAATTGCCTTATCTACATTTTTAGTTGATCCTTCCAATAAAAAAGACCAAGCTTAAGCTATTCTAGAATTAATCCCTTAAGATTATATATCGTCTAAAAGTTCTTTAGATTTCCTATGTTCTCCACTATAAGAATAGAATAAAGAAGCTAAACATAATGCTTTATCATTTGTTAATCTTCTTTCTGCTTATTCTTCAAATTTTAGATTTTATAAAGCTTCCTTTTATTTAATTTTATATATATTTTATTTTTTTCAAATAAATTTAAAATATTTACTCTATCAACTGATTAACAACTTTAATGATAATAAATTAATGCAATAATTGAAGCATATTATATTTCTTTTTTATGATATATTTAAGTTAACTCATTTATAGCTTCATTTGGAGATCCTTCTTAAAAAAGTCCAAATGCTTTCCAAAACACAAAACTGGGATCACCTATGGCTTTATATTACTATATATATATTAATAAAAATATTTAGTTTTAAAAAATCTTATATATTTATTTAATTTACTTCATTGCAATATTTTTATAATGTCTACCATAAATTTTCACGGATATAATATTAAACATTACTTTAAGCTATTTATATTTATTAATATTTTTATTAATTTGACATAGATTTATTTTTATTATTGTTTTATTTATTTGATTTTTTTTATTTTATTTTTATTTAAAAAAAAAAAAAAATATTATTTATTTAATTTTTGAATTTTTTCTTAAAAAATTATAATATAAATATTAATTTATATAAGTGTTTTAATTCTTTATTTTTTATAATTGAGATTTTGTTTTATTCAAAAATTATGACTATTTATTTAAATTAAAAAAAAAAAATATTATAGATACATAAGATAATTAAATTTTTTTAAAAAAAACTATAAAATATTGATAAACAATAAATAGTTATAAAAATGAAATTTATAACAAAAATTAAAAAATAATTTAAAAATAATTAAATTTATATTTATTAATTAATATGTATATATATAAATATATGTATATAAATATAAATATATATATATAAATATAAATATATATATAATATCAATTTTCTACAAATTCAATATCTGCTTCTCTTGGTTTCTTTAAATTAAGTTTATTAAATTATTTTCTTCTTTCAGATTCTTAAATTAAAATTTAATCAGGTTTAGGATAAGAAATTACAAGTGTATTATTTTTATAATAGAAAGTTTATTTACCATTTTATAATTTAATATTAGCTCTTTACATATCACCGATTTGAATTTATTTATAATATTTTTTATTACTTGTACTAACTACTAAGATTTACTTTTATTCATCAACAGAAACTTAATATACCTAAAATTATAATTATATTAAAGAATATAAATATATATATATATATATATATTTATATATGTATATTTATATATATATTTTTTTTTTTTATTTATTTTTATTTTTATATATATTTATCATAAATAATTTTTTTTCTTATATTAAATATGTTATTTTTAAGTTATTTATATGTATTATTTTTAATATTAATAATTTTTAATATTTACATATTATTAAATTAATTTTATTTTTTTAAAAATTATATAATTACATTTTCATTATATGTTAAATTTCTTATTCTTATTTAGAAATCTTTTTCCGTGTCTTTTCTTACCATAATTGGCTATTTTATTTTATTTTATTTACATAATCATTTAATTTGATTTTATTTAATTTATAATTATACATTAGTACTACTTTATTTTATTAAAAGTTCACCTTAATTTTATAATTAAGGAGCTTCTCCTATTTCATATTCCCATTTAGCATCTTTAAAATTTGATATTTTTTTTACTTTTCTTGATAATAATTCATGGCTTTTAATATCATATTCTTCATGCTATTTTTTTAGATTTTTTTTTTTTTTATTTTTATTATTTTAATAATTTTTAAATTAAATTTATTTTACCATTTCAAATTTATTAGGATATGTGTATTAAAGTGTTCTTCTTCCGCCTATAAATTTATTTTACAATTTCTTTTTTTTTAAAATTTATATTTACCTAATATAATGCATGTTATTGTTGGTTTTCCTCCTTAATCTTATGATGATTACTATTACATTTTATTTTTTAAATTATTAATGTTATTTTTTTTTTTTATTATATATATATTTTTTTTTTTACCATTTTTATTGAAGCTTTTTGAATTTTAATTTAAATTTTTTATTATTTTTTTAAAATAGATATTTTTGTAAAATAATGATATATAAAAAAATTAAATTACATTAAAAAAAAAAAAATTAATTACTTATTAGCATAATTTTTATAATATTTATAGTAATTTTTTTAATTATTAAAGTCATATTTAATAATAAATAAAATAAATATAGATTAGATTAGATATTGAAGTATTTTTATAACAAATTTTTAAAAAAATTATAGAAAAAAAAAAACATATCGAAAATAGTATTAAAGAGATTAATTATTAATTGAAAAAAATTATATTAAAATTAATTTTTATAAAAATATATCTAAAATTAATAAAAATTTTTTTAATATTTAATGTATTAAAAAAATTATATTAATAAAATTTTATAAATATAAAAGTAAATATTTGTCTAGAATTATAAATGTTTTCTTATAGTTGTAATAAAATAAAAACTAATTATTTTTTTATTTATAAATTAAATTTAATTAAAAAAAATTAATAAATAATATAAAAATATATATATATATATTTATATATATATATATTTTTTTAAATATATTATTTACTATATTTTTAATATTATATCCTATAAAAATATTTTTAATAAAGGACATATCTTACTTTAATAATATCTTTTATATATTTATAAATATTTTTTTTTTATTATTCTTTTTATATTTTTTTAATAAATAATTATTAAAAATATTTCTTTTTCTTTATATATTTAATTCATATTTCTCGATAATTAACACATATTACTTATCTAATTTTTATTTTTTTACTTTATATTTTTTACAAATTTCATTATTTATTAACTTTTTAAATTTTTTTTTCTTATTATTTTTATTTTTGTAAAAAAATATATTTTAAATAAAATAAAAAAATAAAAAATTTTAATTTTTTATTATAATATATTTATTTTTTTGCCAATTTTTATTATGCCTCTTAATTTTTTACTTATTTTTTTTTTTTATTTATTAATATTTTTGTATAATCAATTTAAAATTACATTTTCTTAAAAAAATTCTCATATGACATATATTAAAGATTATTTTGGTCGATAGAAAAAGTTTATGTTTTTAAATAAATAAATAGAATTTTATAAATTTAATCAAATTCATGAGTTTAACCTTTATGATAATTTTTAAAAGTGAGATATATTATTCAATTATGAATTTCTGTAACAACAAAAAACTATAAAGTGCTAAAAATAATTTTATAATTTATTATAATAAATAAAAAATATTTATTTAATATTTAAATAAATAAAAATTTAATAAAAGTAAAAAAAAATTAATAAATATAAAAAATATATTTTATATATTATTTGATTATATATATCTATATTTTTCTATCAGCATTAATACTAAGTTACATACAAATGATTATAAGCTATTTTATATCCTGCATTTTCTATAATAATCTCATATATTTAATTTTATAACTTATAATTATTATTAACTTAGTAATTTTATATTTATTAAATAGCCGGTATACATCCATCAATATAAAAACTTTTAATAAATTAATTAATATCATCAAAATCAAATCGTAAAAATTAATTTTAAATTTTAATTTCTATAAAATATTTCTTTTGAGACAATTCTTAAGCTTTTTTAATAATTTAATAAATTATAGAATTATTTATTTCAACAATTTCTTTCAAAATATTTTTAGATAAATTTAATTTAAATAAATGATGAAAATCTAATTATTTTAAAGAATTTCTTACACAAATAATTTCTTCCTAAACAAAGAAAAATTAAAAATAAATTTTTAATAATATAGATTTACATAAGAATGCTACAATAAAACTTAATTAGCTTATTATTATATTTCTTATAAACTAAAATCATTACTTTTAGATTCTAAATCTTAAAATTATTAAATCAATATTTATACATTAGAAAAAAGTTATTAATCTAATACTTATATAATTGATTTAGTGTCTTACATTATTTAATAAATATTTTAATATTATATTTTTGAATAATCTTCTGATTTATTGATTGTTTAGTTCTCAATAATTTCAATAGAGTTTTTTATTTATAAAATAAATTCATCATTCTAATTTTTAATAGAACTTAACTATGATTATTAATAGAGCTTCAAATAATCCAAATATATGGAATTATAATAATTATCAATAATAGTATTTAAATTATATTATTTTAATTCAGAAAAAAATTAATTGTTTTCATTAAAACCATCAGAATAATTTAAAAATCCTTAAATATTTTTTATAAAGTTAATTTAAGTCCTATATAATAATTAACAGAATTCCTAAATTTTATAAATAAATTTATTATTTACAGAATTTTTCAAAGTCTATTAATTAAATTCCATTAAAAATTATTCTTATTAAACTACTATACTTTCTAAAAATTCAATACTATTATTATTGCAGTTTTATAAATAATTAAATTATTATTTTGAATTATTTTCTTTTAGAAATTATAAAATTTCTTTTTTAAAATTTAAAAAGACTATTCTTTATTTTTATTTCGTTTATTTATAGCCTATATTATATTATCATTTTTTTGTTTGCTTAAAATTATTTACGAAATTTCGACAATAAAAAATTGAAAATCTTTTGTATATTTCTTTAAGTATAAATTGAAAAATTCTAACTTTTAGTATATAATTGATAATTTTTCAATTAATGTTGTGTTGCATTATTAAAATATTGTTTATTCTTCGATTATTTCATATATCATTTAATTAATTTTTTATTCTATTTTTTATATTTTTTAGTTTAGTTGATCTTAGTTTAAATTTTAATTTAAACTTTCGTATTTTAAAGTATTGTAGGACTATATATTAATCTTATCATCTTGTTTTTATTTATTTACACACGTTTGTATTTCATTATTAATTTTTATTGTTGGTTATTTTAAATTTTGATTAACTGAAAATTCTTCTTCCTTTATTTATTTTTTGTTTGTTTGAAAAAATTTAAACTTTTTTTTGATTTTATTTTTTACTCTTTGATTAGATTCAGATACTAAATTTTATTATTTTAGGATTTGTATTTTGTTTTTTTTTTATGAATTTTATTTTTAAAATTTTATTCATTTTACTATAACTATTATATTTATTATAATTATTCTTTTTAAATATTATTTAATTCTTAATTTTAATTCATTAGTTTTTTCAATTTATTTTCTTATTCATTTTAATTTAATTAAACTAAATCATTTTATTCTTAAAAAATAAAAAATAACAAAAAATATTATTAATTAAAATTACATTTTTGGTTAATTAATTATTTAATTTGTTCATTTAAATTTTCATTAGTATCTGTATAGTATAAATTTTAATTATCTTTAATCTCTTAATCTTATATTTTTTTTTTTAAATATAATCTAAATAATTTCATCTTCCTTTGATTAAAAATCAATTTAATAAATACTACATATTTCTTATTTAAAATTATCAAAAAATATATTTTATTCTATTATTTATTTTTCTAATAATTTAATATTCTCATTTAATTATTCGTTTTCATTTTTCTAATTTAAAATTTCTTTTTAATATTAATTCAATTTTTTGTTTTAGATTTTAAATATTTCATTTATTTTCAAATTAATATCATATATATATTCAATTTAATCACAATTTTATTTCATATCAATTTCTTAAATATAAATTTTAAACTCATTCTAAATTAAATTATATAATTTTTTAATTTCTAAAAATATTTATTCATCCATTAGTTTAGCCTAATTAATTGAATTCACATATTATTAAATTTATTAATTTTATTATTAAATAACTGTATTATTCATACAAATTTATTAAAAATTAGAATCACAAATAAATTTCAATTTATTTGCTAATTAATCTATTTAATAATTGTTTATACAATCTACAGGTATATTATTTTTATCTATAATACAGCCCAATAAAGCTTAAGTTTTATTAATAACCTATATTTTTTCATTTAACTATAACTCAATTTAAATAAAATTATTTTCTAAAATTTCATATTATTTCTTCTCCTATTATAAAACTTATTATAAATTTTCTATTTGTAATTATGATTTAGTAGTTAAATCATTCTATTCATTAATTTATAATGCCGATTTTAAATTTTCATTTTTTTTTTATATTTAACTTTCTTATTTATTTATTAAATTTTTTAAATTCAATATTTCTTATTCATATTTATTTTACAAGTTGTTTGTTTATGATAAATGTTATTGTTTTATTTCATTTATTTGTTCTTATAATTATTTTTCTTTTTACATACTTTTTTATTAGTCAATTTATATTTATTAAAGAATTTAATTTTTTTCGTTTTAATATTAATTTTATAAATTTGTTATTTGATTTTCATATTTCTTTAATTAATTTTAATATTCTTACAATTCTTATGACTCTTATAAATTTTATTATTACTTATTATTATAGTTTTCATGTTAATTTATAAGTCTTTCTTCTTATGATATAATTCTTTATTTTATTAATTATTTTTTATTTATACTACTGTATTTATTCTTTATATTCATTTAATTATACATTTATTAATTGTTCTAATTATATTATTGTTTCTTGCTCTTTGTTTTAACTTCATTTGTATATTATTCATTTAACTTTTAATATTATTTATTTATTTATATATAAAATAATATAAAATACTTTGTTAAGATTAAATATAAGATTTCTATTGTAAATATATCTATTTTTTTATTTATTAATATATAATTATTTTTTAAAATATATTGAATATTTTTTATTATATTTTTATATATTAATTTTACTAAATTAATTTATTCTTTTAAAATTTTGTTTTCGTTTTTATATTCTTCAATTTATATACTCATTTTTTCATTATTGTTAATATATTAATTAATAATTTATTCATATTCTTCAATAACTTAAGTAATATTTATCTTTCATCTTAACATATTATTTTGGAATTAAAATTTTATTTATTATAGTTTAAAATTAATTAATTACTACTGCAATTTTCAAAATTAGCTGTTTTATAGTTTAATTCTTCCTATTTTAATTTTGATATAAGTATATTATAATCATTATTTTCTAGGTTGAGTAATTTATTTTATTATTTTAACTCCTATCTATTATTATCTAATTTTTATAATTCTTTAGTTGCTGTTTCTAACTATGTTATTTTTACTTATTAAAAATTTAAAAATATAAAAATACATCTTTGCTTAATATATCTATTATTTATGCAGCTTTTTATATTGATAAATCTTTTTAATTATTCTCATTTTGTAATTATTAAATTAAATCTAACAACTTTTACTTAATATTTAATTTTAGATTAAAATATTTTATTTTAAAATTAATATACTTATTCATTTTAACAGATGGATGACTATTGAGTTTCTCTTGTATTCATCATATCCAATAGGGAATTATTATTATTATTATTAATAATAGAAATAGATTTTTTTTATTTATTAAAGTAGCATTTCTTTTATGCATATTCTTCATTATATTATTTTTTTATTATTAAATAAATTATATATTTATAATAAAAAGTATAAAAAATATATGATTTTATTTAAATAACTAATATATTTATATATAAAAATAAATGTTATAATAAGATTAAGTTTACAAAATAATATATAAAATATTTATTTATTTATATATATATTTATTTATCATTTAAATATATATTTATTTTTTATTAAAATTAATTTAATTTGATATTTTTAAAAGTTAACGAGTTAATTTATATTAAATAAAATAATCATAAAAAAATATAATATATTAATAATAAAATAAATAATTTATTTTTAATAACTTAATAATATTTTTATATAAAATAATTTTTACTAAAGATATTTTAATGTCTGAATATTTTAGAAAATACATAAAAAAAGATCACTTTCCAATTTAGCCGTACATAAAAATATGAATATAAATAATGCAAGCGAATTTTATATAAATAAAAAACATTAATTAGAATCAAAATTTTAAATTAAAAATTCATTTTTATTTATTTTATTAAGAATTCAATTTTATAAATAATTTAATTTTATATCAAGCATTTTTTTATATAATAAGTTCATAGATTAAGTTTAAAACAAGTTTCAAAAACTGTATTTTAGAAGCTATGAAAAAAAGATAATGGAAAGAAGGAGATAATGATGAATGGGATATTAATTGGACAGAAAAAGAATTTATAGTAGAAGTACTAGAACATTTAAATTTATTAAATTAATAAAAAGTTAATCATTTTAGAAATCATTATGAAGTTAATATACTTCTTTATAATTAATTTTATTAATTTAATTTAATTAAAAAGTTAACAAGAAAAGATTTAATGACAAAAAATATAAAAAAATATAAAAAAGTTTTAGAAAAAGAAGGTAAAATTGAAGAATCATTAACGTAAATTTTATTAAAAAAAATAATAATAAATAAAAAAAAAATGAAGATATAATTTTACACCTCTGACATATTAACTTCCATGCGAATATTCTATTTTTTGTGAAGAATTTAAAAAAGTAAATTAAATAAGTGAATCTAAATAATTATGGATAATGAAACCAGTATAAAAAATATAAAAAGAATATATAATAAAAAATATAAAAAAATATAAAAAAATATATAAATATATATATATATTTTATATATTTATATATATGTTATTTTATAATCTTTATAGATTGGAAAATCTTAAGGTAAAGGTATTTTTATTTTTAGAAATATTAAAGATATTTCATCTTGGAAAAATTAATATAAATACAATCCTGATAATCCCTCAGTAAAATATATAAAAAGCAATATATAAATTATTTATAGGCTGATCCTTATGTAGTTTAAAAATATATAAGTGATCCATTATTAATTGGTGGTAAGAAATTCGATATGCGAATTTACGCATTATGTACCTCTTATTAACCTTTAACAATATATTTATATAGAACTGGTTTTGCTAGATTTACACATCATAGATATGATTTAGATGATATTAACAATGTTTGTAAAATAAAAATTTATATGATTTTTTATAATATATTATTGAGGTTTATTTATAACATAATTTTTTTTTATATATATATGTTTAATAAATATAATAGATGTTCATTTAACAAATGTAGCAATTTAGAAAAATTCAGATAATTATGATAAAAAACTGGGAGGAAAATGGCTTTTATAAAAACTTAAACTTTTTTTAATATCTAAGTATTTTTTTCTTTTTATAATTATAAAATTTTATTTTCTAATCATATATTTATAAAAATAAGATATGGATAAGAAAAAGTAGATTATGCGTTTTTTTAAGTTTAAAATATTATAATTAAATCAATGCTTGCTGTTTAAAAAGTTATTGTTAATGATAAAAGATGCTTTGAATTATATGGATTCGATATTATTTTAGATTCAAGTTTAAAACCTTGGCTTTTAGAAATTAATTCAAGGTAATATTATTGTATTTTTAAATAAAAAAATTAAAGTCCTTCTATGACTGCTAATACTTAATAAGATTCAGAATTAAAATAAGGAATTTTAGATGATACTTTTACAATAATAGATTTAGAAAAAGTGTAATTAAAAAATTAAAAGTTTTTGATTTTAAATAAAATAATAATAAAATAAGGTTAACAGGATAGGAAGAATAAATAGGTGGTTTTGATTTAATTTATAAAGGGGATATTATAAAATTACCATCTAATAGTACTTATAATACTTTATTAGGATCATATAATAATAGAATCTAATAACTTAAAAAATTAGCAAAAAATACAGCATTAAGATTAGCAATATAGCATTATGAAAAATAATAAAACTAAATAAATTAATCACAAAGAATAATTTAAAGTAATAAAGTGAGCAAAAATTAAAACCAGAAAGTATAAATGCTATTAAATAATAGGGTAAAGTAAAACATAATTATAAATAAAAGTGGTACAAAATCTGGATATGCGAAGTATAATGTATCAAAATAAAATAATAATAATATTTCTTAAAAAGGAAAAAAACAAATAAATAATTAATAAATAAATTCTTAAAATAAAATAGGGAATTCATAAAATGAAAAAAAGTAACAATAATTATTAATTAATTAATAAAAATTAATTAAATAATAATAATTATAAAATTAATAATAATATTAATTCATATAAACTAAATTAAATAATAGTCAGATTAATAAAAACAATATACTGCTTGAACCTTTAAATTCATAAAACAATATTGAGAAGTTTGAAAGATATAAAAATGCGGATGATTAATACAATAAACTAATTAATTTAAATTAGAAATAAATTAATTTAAATAATGATGAATGAATTATTTTTTAATATAATTTCTTATAAAAATATATTTACCTTTTTTATAAAATATTAAATAAAAAAAATATGTATTTTTAATTATAATATTAAAAATAATTATAATATATTTTTTATTTCGAATAAAAATATTAATTCTATGTTTTTTTTTTTGTTACTAAATTAATTAAATTTTTAGTATTATTTCTAAATAATATAAATATATAAAAAAAATTTATATTTTACTTTCTCCAAATTTTAATTTAAATATATATTTTAAATAATTTTAATGAATATCTATTTATCAAATAAACTGGCAAAAATTAAACATTATATAATTTAAAAAGAAAATAAAAAATTATATTAAAAAAATAATTAATTTTTTTTATATTTTTAAATTATAAATACACCGAATAAATATCAAATATTTCAATAATTCATGTTTTATATAATTACGTAATTAAATAGAAACAATAAAATTTTAAATACTCAATATAATTAATATGTATTATTAAATAATAATTATAAATATTATTTTTTATCCACTTCATCTATCCCATTCTTAAAATATTTTTATATCTTTTATAATTTTTAAATTCATATTTATAATATTATATTATTAATTTTATTTTGTAATTTTCATTCAATTAAAAAAATAAATGTCTTAAATAAAACTTAATATTAAATATTATGTATTCGACTCTGAAATAAATCAAAATTTAATAAAATCTTTATATCCTTCAGTTATATAATAAATTGTTAAAAACCCAATTGAACGTTACAATCATTTTATAGAAGTTTACAACTAAGAATTTAATTAAGTGAAAAACATTACTTTATAGAAATTACCTACTTTGAAATTGGATGAAGAGATAAGTTTTCAATAACTTGAAGAAATTATAACTACATTCTAGTTGAATCATTAGAAATTATCATATAATAGATGTTATGAAAAAATGAAACAAATCGATAGTTTTTCTAATATTAATGATAATTAATAATAATTTTACATCTTTAGCTAATTCTAAAAAAAAATGATCTCTAACAAAAAAAATGATAATTACTTAGTTAATAATTTAATTACTTTATATAGCTTAGACTGGGCTCAATAAAATGACGAAGCTTATAATTAATTATGTAACATTACTTAATATTACTAAAATTTATAATAAAAAAGCTGATAAAACTAAAACTAAAAATAATTTGAAACACAATATTTTTTAATAATTAGAATATAAATGAAATAAAATATATAATGAAATTAATATTACTAATATATAAAAATTATATTAATAAATAAAGTTATATAAAATATAACAAAATTTAATTATTTTTATTTTATGAAATATATTTATTGCATACACATTTATTTTTTTATATGACTATAAAATAAAAATTATTAAATTATTTTTATTTTTTATTTTGATTTTTATTTTTTTAGTCTTTATAAATTTAAATTTATTTTTATTTTTTTCTTTATTTATAGGATATATCTATAAATTTATTTATTATTATTAATATATTTTTAAATAACCAATTATATAAAATCTAAATAAAAATAAATATAAATATAAATTATTATATTTATAATTTTCAAATATATAAAATCTTATTATTTCAAATTTAAACAATTGTTTTAAAAATAAAATAATAATTTATTGTATATTGTAAAATAATTTTTTATTTATAAAATAAAAATTAACTTATATTATATTTATTTGTTTAATTAATTATATATTCATTCTATTTATAGTACCATTTATAATGTTTATATAATAAATTCTAATATTCCTTAAAATAAATCATTTATTATTTAATCTAATAAAACTATAGAAATAATACATTATTAATTTGGATAAAAATATATTTTCATTAAAAATGTTATATCTTTTAAAATAAATTAACCCCCAAGTTTAATTTAATTAAGACCAAATGCATATTAACTTTATTATTCTTAATTTATTTATATTAAACCTTAAAATAAATTAATAAAATCATTTGCGCTTTTGGCTATTTGTTCATCTATATATATTTGTTCGCTTCTAATAATATTATTTTTATTTAATTTCCATAAATATTTAAATTATTTTTATTAAATTTTAATGCTTTAGAAATATTTATTTATAGTATTTGGTATACAGAATTAACTTTAATTAACTTCTTATTAAAATCTATAAAAATAAAATTAAAAATATTGCTTTTAATATTTATAAAAAGAAATACTTGTATAAGATATTAGCCTTTAAAATTTAATAAGGTATTTGTGTAAACTTAATTGTAATATTTAATTTAATTTATGTATTAGGATTTAAAACTTATTCGAAATTTTCAGGTTCTTTTAAAGTTATAGCAACATTGTTTGATTCTTAGATATTAATAGATAGATTATATATAGGAGTTATAGATTTATTAAAAAAATATATAGAAACATGCAATAAAAATGTATTCTCATATTATTTATTAACAACATTTGTTGCAATTCCAATTTAAATCTATTCGTTTTCATATAGTGGGTAATTATTTTTCACACAAGATTTTCTAAATTTCAAAGGAATACTATTTTAATTTAAGTATAAATTTTCAAATAAATATTCATTAAATTTAATTATTTTTCCTTTGGGTTCTCTAAAGGTTTTCTTTTCTAAATATTCTAATGGATTTTAAAAGGGAAATATTAAAGCAACACTTTCATTATTATAAAGATTTTTTTATTTTTTTAATGGAATTGTTTTATAATCTATAAATAATAAAAACAATATTTAAAAAATATATATATATATATATATATATATTATATATTTATATATATACTTATATTTTATTTATTTTATATTGATTAGTTTGTTCTTTCTAAATTTTTATTATTTCTCATTCTTTATAATGACTAGTCATTATAATTATCTTATATTGTTCTATTTAAGTATTTACTTTATATTTATGCTAATTCAGATAATTTTATGCCATTTTTTTTTGATTGTCTTTTTTATTCTTTACTTTTTTGTTTTAAATTACTTTCTCCCATTATAGAATCATCTTTTAAATATTTAAATATTTTTTTTTATTTTTTTTATACCTTTTTTATTATTTAAATTTCTATAATTTGAAGGAGAAAATTGATTTTCATCATTTTCTATATCGTTTAAATTTTTAATAAAATTTCTTTTTGATCTTGGAGTATTTTTTTCTAATAAATTATCTTATTTTTTAAATGTAAAATAATTATTAATTTAAATATAAAATTTAATTTACAAAAAGAGACTAAGGAATTTTCTTCTCCAAACATTTAATTTATTCTTTATATTAATTATTAATTTATTTTTTATAAATTTTCATTTTCTTTTTTTATTTAATTAATATCTTTTATATTATTCTCTTGTTATTATTTTTTATAATCATCTTTAAATTATATGATTTATTCTTCATATTATTTTATAAGATTTTAAAGTCTTGTTTCACTATTTTCTTATTCTTATTTATTCTTTTAGTTTTTTCTAATTCAATATTAAGTTTTTAAATTTATTAATTTAATTTTTAAATTTCAGAATTTTAAGAATTTTAAGCCTTCGTTTTAAAAATTTCTTCTTAATATTATTAATTTTCTTACTATATTTTTATAATGGTTTATTGATTTTATTTATTTAACTAAGTAATTTTTTGAATTTATTAAATTTATTCTTATATTTTTGAATTTAAATTTTATAGTTAATTTTCATTTTCCTAATTTAAATTATTTATTTTTTCTTGCAAATTCTTAATTTCTTTTTTTAATAATTATTCGTTTTATTAAAACTGTTAAATTTTTAATTTAAAAATTCTTTTTCATATTCAAAATTTTTATGTAATTCTTCAGTTTTTAATTCGATTTCTTTCTAATTTCCATTATTATTTTTAACTAATTTTTTTTCTTTTTCTAAACTATTTATTTTATTTTTTAGAAATTCAACTTCTTTTTCTAATTAAGACTTTTAAGTGTTCGTAAATTAAATTTCCTAATCCTAAAATTTAATGTCTTAATCTAATTTTAACTTAAATATATATATATTAATAATTATTATAAAATATTTTATATACTTTTTCAGTTTTAATTTTATTAAATTCTGTATTATTTAATTATATTATTAATTCTAATTCCTTTATTTATTTTAAATTTTAGTTTTCTTTTTCTTAATACTCTTATATTTTTATTTCAAAATGTTTTATTTATTACAGAAACTCCTTATTTTATTTTTGAATCAAATTTTATTCTTCTGTATTTAATTAATTAGTATTTTAAAAATTAACTTTTTAAATGTGTTATTAATTTTAAATTTCAGTATTTTAGACTTACATTTTAATAATTTCTTCTTAATATTATTAATTTTCCTACTATATTTTTGTAATGGTTTATTAATTTTATTTAATTTACTAAGTAATTTTTTGATTTTATTAATTTAATTCTTATATTTTTGAATTTAAATTTTATAGTTAATGTTCATGTTCTTAATTTAAATTATTTATTTTTTCATGCAAATTTTTAATTTCTTTTTTAAATAATTATTCATTTTATTAAAACTAAAGATTTTTTTAATTTAAAAATTCTTTTTCATTTTCGAAATTTTTTTTTAATTCTTCAGTTTTTTATTCAATTTCTTTCTAATTTCCACTATTATTTTTAACTATTTTTTTTCTTTTTCTAAACTATTTATTTTATTATTTAGAAATGCAACTTCTTTTTCTAATTAAGATTTTTAAGTATTCAAAAATTAAATTTCTTAAACTTAATATTTAATATCTGATTCTAATTTTTACTTAAATATTTATATATATATTAATAATTTTTATAAAAATAATTTTATATACTTTTTCAGTTTTAATTTTATTTAATTCAGTATTATTTAATTCTTTATTTTATTCTATTTGTATTATATTTTAGTTTTCTTTTTCTTAATACTCTTATATTTTTTTCTCAAAATACTTTATTTATTATAGAAATTCTTTATTTTATTTTTGAATAAAATTTTATTCTTCTGTATTTTATTAATTAGTGTTTTATTTTTATTATTTTTCACTTATTAAATTTTATATATTTTATTATTATTTTTACAATTCCTTTTCTAAATGTTAAATTGTTTTATTATTTTCTTATATTTATTTATTTTATTAGCTAAGTGCTTATTTTAGCATATTAATTTCCTAATCTTTCATTTGCAAATCAAGATTCTTTTTTTAAATTTCTTCTTATTGACTTTCTATTCCAGATTACTTAAAAATTTTAATATTTTATTTTGTTAAATATAAATAAGTAATAACATATTTACTTTTTAAACTCCTTTATAAATACTAGCCTTGCATTTTAAATTATCTAAACGAGATAAAGAAGACGCCCTTTCAATATCACTAGAAGATCTAACCGAATTGCGTTTATCAACTTTAATTTTTTCTTATTCAACCATTTAATCTATTGCTTTTAAAAATTTATTTCCTTTAGCTCCTGAGTTTCCATTATCTTTAGATATAGTTGATTCTTCACTGTTATTTTTAAAAATACTTTACTTTTCACTCAGTAAAGAAATGCTATCTTTCCTTTTATTTTCAAAAGGGGTAATATTATTGCTACTATTTTTATTTTCTTTATAATTACTATTTTAAGACACATTAGAATTATTAAAAGCTTTTTAAAAAAGACTCTTTTTTCTATTTGTATTAGAATTTTAAAGCATTTGTATTTGTTAAAGTTATTATTAAATATTTTATTTAAATTTAGTTATGTATTCATTTTATATAAAATACATTTTTTCTAAAGGAAGATAACATTTATGTTATTTTAATTAGTCGAATATCAAGGAGTATTCTGATTTTTCTTTATTTTATTTAAATATATATGTTTGAGATAATATATATAAAGTCTCTATTAATATTTTAATGAAAATATTTCCGAATTTCATTTAATCGAAATCTAGTATTATTTATTAATTTTTATTTAATTTTTATTTTTATTTTTACTTGGATTTTAACTAAAAAATAACTATCCAACTCTATCTTCTGTTTTATTTTTAGAATTTTATATTGCCCATTAAGATAAAATTTATATTAAAAAATGGTCTTAAAAATATTCTAAAAATTTTATACGTCCTTATAATAAGCATTAACTTAAGAACTAATTTATATTTTAAATAAGAAAAATATTAATTTTTGTTGGTTTATAATTAATAAAAATTGAAAAAAATAAAAATATTCTTACATAAATTGTATTTAATTTTAAAATCATTGAAGATTACTCATTTGTTAAAATGTCAGTTATAATTTCACAATATTAATTGTAAACATCGCTATATTTAAAAATATAAATATTTTATTTAAAAATTATAATATATTTATATTTATTATTTTTCTTATTAATAAAATAATTTAATACTCATTATCTTCATTTATTTTATTTATGTATTAATCTAGTTTATTTAATCTGAATTTGTCAGTCTATATATCATATATATCATCCTTATTTAAATCTTGTTTGAGTTAGTCAAAAATCATTTATTTGTATAATTATTAATTTATTTATTAATAAATTTTGATTATTTTAAAAATTTTGTAAAAAAAAATTTTTAAATATTTATATATATTTTTTTAAAAAAATATAAAATTAATTTCATTTCATTTTATATATGTATATATATATTAATAATATTTTTATTATAAATTTATTTATTACTAATTAAATTTATAAAGTTTAAATTTAGTATTATTTCTTCCTATATATATTTGAAAAAAATTATATTTAAAATATAAAAATTATAATGCTTATATAATTTTCTTTTAAATATATTTTTTTAACAAGTTAATTTAATTTTAAGCGATAAATACTATTTATTTTCTTATAAAAATAAAAAAAATTGGCAGCTGTGGGATTTGAACCCACGCGGACTAGGTCCAGACGATCTTAAGTCGCCCTCCTTAACCACTCGGACAAACTGCCTTTAATGATAATAAAGTAGTTATTATTATTTATAATTATCTTATCATCTTAATATTAAATAAATACATTTAAAAAGAAAATAAAAATTCTTAATTAAGTAAGAGGATTATTGATTAAATGGATTTCTTTTATATTTTTTTTAAATAAAATTTATATAACCTTAAAATTGATTTTTTATTTTATTTTAATTTAAATAAAAAACATAAATACAAATCTAAAATACATATAAAATTGTAATTTAATAAATATATATAAAAATTAATTTTTTTTAAAAAATAAAAATAAATTTTTTAATTAAAAAAAGAAATAAAATAATATTTATATATATAAAAAAAATATATTTTATATAAAAAATATATATTATTTTAATAAAAGTTTTTAAATAAAAATATTTAAAAATATATATTAATATAAATTTAATTAAAATAAAATTGTCATATAAAAAAAAATTTAATTAAAAAAATTTAATATAATTATAAATATTTAAATATAATTATATTTATATATATATATAATATTTAAATTTGTATATAATATTTTATTTTTATAATGAAATATTAATTATATACTTCTAAAAAATAGCAAATAAATTTTTTAAAAATGTTATATTTTTTTTATTTAATAAAATGAACTAATTAATATTTATTTAAACTTTAAATATAAAAAAAAAATATAAAAGTTTTAAATTATTAGAAATATTCTTCATCTAGCAGAAAATACCTTATTTTATTATCTAATAAATAAAAATATTAATATTAATAATAAATTACCAAATCATCAATTTTAAGAATCATTCTGACACATTCAGTAGCTAAAGTAAGAGCTGATATAGTTACCAAAGCAGGTTATAGTACATTTTCAGTAACAATGTCATCATTAATATGTCCTTTCTTAATTGAAATACCTGCATATTTGTAACCTAAAGCGTGTTTATTTCTCAATTCAGTAACAACATTAATTGGATTTAAACCTGCATTTTCAGCCAAAGTATAGGGAATAACCTCTAAAGCATCAGCAAAAGCTTTAACAATTCTCTAGTTTACACCTTTCATTTATCTAGAAGCAACAGCTAACTATTAAGAAATTTCAACTTCAGGTGCGCCTCCTCCAGGAATTAATCCTCTGTTTTTAACTAATGCTCTAACTACGCAAAGAGCATCATGTAAACTTCTTTCAGCTTCGTCAATAACCTAATAAAAATAAATAAATAAAAAAAAATATTAAATAAATTAAAAAATGTATATTTTAAAAAAATTATAAATAATTATATGTATAATATAAATAAAATATATATATGTATATAAGTATATATGTATATATGTATATATGTATATATGTATATATGTATATATGTATATATTTATATATTTATATATTTATATATGTATATTTATATATGTTTATATTTTATATATTTTTTTATATAATTATACTAATGTATTTGATCCACGAACTAAAATAGTTACAGTATTAGCTTTAGCTTAAACTCCCGTAATTTTTAATAATCTAGAATCATCTTCTAATTTAACATCTTCACAAAGATTTGCTCTTCCCAATTTATTATCTGTAAGATGATCTATATGGGCAACTGGTATGCATCCAATAGTCTATATTTTTTTTTTAATTTTATTTTATAAATTATTTTATATTTTTTAATTACTTTTGTTATAAATTCAACATCTTCTCTTTCAATATCTTTAACAACCATAATTCCTTTTTTTGCTAAGAAATGTAAAGAAAGGTCATTTGTAGAATCTCTTAATATACTTTTTTAGATTAAAAGTACATTAGCACCTGATTTTACGATTTTGGATACTAGATTCGCTATATATTTTCTTTCTTCTTTAAGAATTCTATCCATTGCAGTATAATCTTTTACTACAATAGAATTTTCTACGTCTGTTTTTGGAGCACTTAAGCAGAATTATAATAGTGCTATTTTAGCATCTTTTATTCTAGTGGGGCCTCCTGCTGATTATGACGGTTTTTAGTTTGTAAAAACTAAACCTTCAATAAGTTCGGTATCTTCTATTGTTCCTCCTAGTTTTTTTACTAATTTTATATCTCTAAGGTCAGCATTTGTATCTTTTGATGGGTCAATTATTTTAAGAACTGCATCAACTGCAATAGGACTTAATTAAGCGGAATTACCAGAAATAATTTTAGAAGATAAAGCTGTGTTAACACATGTTATTAATGATTCACGGTCCTTTAAGTCGACTGTTTTTTACATTCCCTTGATTACCTGTAAGGCTTGGTCTAAAGCAATTTAGAAACCTTCAGATATAGTAGTTGGGTGTATTCCCTTTTCTAATAAACCCTCACAAGCATTCAATAAAGCTCCAGCAATTACAACTACAGAAGTTGTGCCATCTCCAGCTTCTATATCTTGAGCTTTGGAAATTTCGACAAGCTTTTTTTTTTTTAATTTGTTTTTAATTATTTGTTATTTACCATTTTAGCAGTAGGATGAATAACGTCCATTTGTTTGAGAATTGTTGCACCGTCATTTGTGATTAAGACTCTTCCCTTAATTTTTTATTAATTTATTCAATTTTATATATAAATATATTTTTTGTTTTTATTATTTACTTTTGCGTCTTATATCATCTTGTCCATACCTTTGGGACCTAAGCTTGTTCTGATTACATTTGCTACAGCTATTTATTTTATTTTTAAATTAAGTAAAAAAATTAATTTTATTTTTGTATTTCTTTTTTTTATTGTAAATATTATTTTACCTTTAGCTGCTTATATATTAGTTTGACGAATATCGTTTGTCTTTTCTGAACGATTTTACATATCTCCATTTCTTGAAGAAGATTAATTCTTTGAAGCGGTTTCGGCCATTTTTTATTTTGAGTATTTTTTTTTTAATTTTGTTTTATTTTTATATTTGTATATTTTAAAAATAAATCGTATTTTTTTTTATTTTAATAATTATAAATTATTTTATTTTTTAAGTATATTTTTTAAATATTTTTGAAAAAAATTAAAATATTAATAAAATATCTATTATTTTATATATATAATAAATATATAAAAGGAAAATTAATTTTTTTTTTATTTATACATATAATTTTTAATATATAAATTTTAATTAATATTTTTATAAAATTAATAGATATATTGAAAATTTTAAAAATAAAAATACTTAAATTAATTATAAAAAATATTATTATTAAATATAATATATATGCATGTAAATAAAAAGACATAATAAATATAATTTTAAAAAAATTATATATATTAAATTTTATATTGCTATTAGTATTTAATTATTATCTCATATTTTAAATAAAAAATAGTTAAATATATTTAATATTTTATTTTTATTCTTATTATTTATATTTGTTTTTTCACCAAAAACTATTTAGATATAATAAATTTTCAATCTAAACCTATTTTTATTATTTATATTTCCTAATAAATTATTTTTTATTCTTAAAATTTATTAAATGACATTCATTTTAAAAAATATCATTATAATAACTTAACTTTTTTTACTTTACACATTTGTATAATTAAGTTTATAAAATATTTACTTAATATAATGAAATTAAAGAAATTCATAAAATAAATAATTACTTAATTATTATTTAAACTGCTTATAAATAAATTCTTAAAATTTTTATTATAACCATAAAAAATAATACATTAAAAATATTATATTATATTCTATTATAAATTGATAAAATATACTTTTGTTAATTCATTAAACATTTAAAAATTAAAGAATATAAAAAAAAATAAAAAAAATATAAATAAAATTATAAATATAAATTATGTAATTAAATAAATAAAAATTTGAATAAAAATAAAAATATAAGAATATGTATTTCCCTTATTATTGTATAAACTTAAAATTTTTTTAAAGTTAATAAAAAATATTATATAAATTATATATAGCTAAATAAATTAGGCAATAAAAAGTATATATATAATATTTAAAATATATATATAAAATATAAAAAAAACAAAATTAGTGTAAAATATATAATAAAGTTAATATAGTGTACAGTTGAATTAATAAATGATTGTTAATGGTTTAATAAAAATATAATAACAAAATTTTAATAAATATTTATAAAAAAAATTTAAAAATTAATATTTTAAATAAATTTAAAAAAGATAAAATTTTTAAGTATATAATATATATAAAATATAATATATATATATATATATATTTTATTTAATATTTTATTTAAATATTTATTTTATATTTTCCATAAAAACATATTTTAATTATTTTTTATATATATTTATGCTATTATAAATTCTTATTAATTAATATATAAATATTTTATTTTATAAAATATATTTTATATTATTTAATTAAATATAATATTTTTTATTTTTTTTATAATCATATATGTAAATTTTTAAAAGTATAATAAAAACATAAATATATATAAAAATGGAATAAATTTAAATTCCTAAAATAAATTTTTAAAACAATAGAGGTTCAATCCCTTAAGTAGGATTTGGTACATATTAATTACAAGGAAATAACTGTAAATAAGCCATATTTGAAGCGCTAAAATTAGGTTATAATCATATAGATACCGCAAGTATATACAAAAACGAATAAGAAATAAATTTAATAATAAATGATAAACAATTAAATATCTAAAGAGAAAATTTATTTATAACGTCTAAAATATCACCGGCAGAATAAGGTACACAAAATTCTTTAAATGCAGTTGAATAGATATTAAAAAGGCTAAATGTTTCTTATTTAGATTTAGTTTTGATTCATTGGCCTGGAGTAAGTAAATATAAATTAGATGATCCTAAAATAGCTTAAATAAGATTAGAATCATGGAAAAGTTTGATAGATTTAAAAAATAAAGGTATTTAAAATAAAAAAAAATTTAAAAATAAATTAATAATTATATAAAAATAAATATATAATTTTAAATATATAAATATATATATATTTATATATATATATAAATATAAATATAAATATAAATATAAATATAAATATAAATATAAATTTAAATATTTTTTATATTAATTAAGGTGTAGCAAAGCATATAGGAGTTAGTAATTTTAATATTAATCATTTATAGCATTTGTTTGAAAATAGTGATGTTAAACCTGAAGTTAATTAATTTGAAATACATCCTTTATGTTATGATAAATAACTTATTAAATTTTGTGAAGATAATAATATAATAATTGAAGCATATAGTTCTTTAGCAAGATAGGATGAAAAAGTGATTAAAAATCAATTTATTGTAAATTTGAGTTTAAAATATAAAAAAACTGTTCCTTAAATTTTACTTAGATGGGCAATTTAGCATAATTTTGTAATTATTCCAAAATCAAAAACTCCTAAATATATATAAGAAAATTTAAATATTTTTGATTTCGAAATTAGTTAAGAAGATATGTAAAAATTAGATGATATGAATTAGAATTATCATACTTGCTGGGACCCTTCTGCTGTATTATATTGAAAAAATTTCTTTTAAAAAATTCTATATTATTTATCTATTAAAGTTTTAAGATATTTGTATTTTTATTAAAATAATTTTCTTTGATTAAAAGATTATTTATTTTTAATGTTAATTTTTTTTGGTTTTTTTTAATTTTATATTTATAAATAAAAATTTGCTTTAATTTTTTATTAAAAATAATATAATAAATCATTTATTTAATATACAATTTAACAAAATAATTTCTTTAGAAATTTTATTTTTTTAAATCAAATGAAATTTATTGTCTAAATAGAATTTCTAGAAAACTATAAAAAAATAGAAAATAATTAAAAAATGAATATAATTAAAATATATATATATATAAATATATATTTATATAATAAGATATTATTATTATTTACACTCTATCATCTAGTATTTTTTTAATTACCATTTTAATTATTTGTTTAATTAAAACATATTTTTTTTTGGAAGGTACAGGTTAATAAGTTTTAATTCCTGACAATATTTAACCATTTATATCAACTATCGTTTGATTTTCATAATTTTAAACATTTCTTTATATTTATTTGCTTTCAATATTTATATAAAAAGCATCAATTAATAAATCTTTTTAATAAAAAAATTATATATATAAATATATAATTTATAAATAAATATACTATTTTAAAGATTATATGCCATAACATAATTATTATGTAAAGTCGAATCCTATTAAGTAGCAATTTCTTTAAATATTTTTCTATTTTTAGATTAATCTAATTCAATTACATATAAATCCGCATTAGAAAAACCTTAATCAGAATAACCTCCAAATATTATTATTTTTGACTGAACTAAACAAGAACCAAAAGCACATTTTTGTATATTTTTTAAGCCATTAATCTCTACTTTTATCCAATTCAGATTTTCTATATTAAGAATATTCAAATCAGAAATGATTCCACTTTAAATTGAAATTTGATTCCTATAAAGTCTATTACTATTATCATTTTTACCTCCATAAATAACTAAAATATTTAATTCTTCATAATAATGTTAACAATGTGAATATCTGGGTAAAGGTGCGACTCCTTTTGTATCCGGAAAAAGCCATTTTAAAGGTTTTTATCCTAATTTTATGATTCTTAATTGGTTTGTACATTCCCCATTTTATTAAAGTCCTCCAAAAATATAAATTCCTTCTTCCTTTATTCTCCTTAATCTCTTATCTTTTATTTTCTTAATATCTAATTAATAATAAGGGTTATCTAATTTAACTTCTCCCTTAAAAATAACAGACATTTAATGAAAGGCTAAACCTTTTTATTCGTTTCCTTCGATTTGTAAACTATTAGATTTGAAACTTTCCAAATTAACAGTAACAATATCAGATAAATGCTTATTATAACTATTAATACCTCCATATATAAAAAAAAATTTCCCAATAATACATGCCGAATGGTTTCGACGATTTTCTATTGCATCTCCATATGTTTTCAATTATGTCCAATTTTATGATAATAAATCTAAAATTTAAATATCATTAAAACACATTCTTTATTTCATATGTATATTAAATGTTTTTTCTCCTCCAAATATAATTATGCTTTTCTTATATCTTAATATTTATATTTTTGTTTAAATAATTAATATAAATTATATATACGTATTCGCTGTATGTCCATATCTACCTTCTGATAATTAAGGTATATTTTATATATTTGTCCATTACCAAGTTTAAAAATCTAAAACACATAGCTAATTAAATATTTCATTTCCTCTCCCACCATATAGATATAAATACTATAAATAATAATAGTTTTTTATGGTTTTACAAAAAAATAAAAAATAAAATTAATTTCCTTACAGTATTAACTAAAGTAAGACTTGGAAATTCTCTTGTTTAAGGTCTCCATTATTCATCTAAAACTTTATAGTAAAATAATTTAATATTAAAAAGTTAATTTTCAGTAGATTCTTTATTTTCATCTTCTTCATCTTTTTTATTAAATTAAGAATTTTGTAATTAAGTTTCTTAATAAAGGTTATTTTTTTAACCTTCCTTTTGTATAATGGATATTATATCATGCATTTTTATTCTTATTTAAGGAAGATTAATCTTTTTTTAGTTAGAATTATAACTTGTGAGCATTCTATCATAAGATTTTGATTATAAAGTAGATATATTATTATTAAGCTAAGATTATTAGGATTTATTAAATAAAAGTTATTACCATAGTAAATCTTTCTAATTTTGTTCATATTTATTTACTTTTGTAAATTTTTACCAGATAGAATGGTTCTTTAATATAGATTAAAATGGATAAAAACTTTAGTTTTCTTAACTTATTGAATTATTGTCTTCAGGAGCTGCAATTACAACAAAGTTAGGTTAATTTAATAATGAATCTAATTTACTATTTTTATTTTATGTAGAATCAGTTATTTATTTTTTATATTTTTATTCTAAATTAATTATTTGTTTTTTTTATTTGGGCTTTATATTTTTTTATTTATGCTTTTTGTTTCATTATGGGTTTATGTTTTTAAGTTTGGAAGAGTAGATTTAAAATTTTATTTTTTCATATTTTTATTTTTTATTAATATTAAATTTTTATTAACTATTTATTAATCTTTATTTTATGTATGTTATATTTTTTATTTTTAAATATCGAAAATATTTTTAAATTAATGTATTTTATTTTACTTTTTGGTTTGTTTTAAAGCTTATTAATCTATTGCTATTAAAAATGAAATAAGGCACTCTAATTAAAAAGTTAGATTATTTTTAATTTGAAATAATTTAAAAAATTAATTTAAAAATTATTTTTTATAAATAAGTAAAAAATAACAATTTATTAACAATTTTTTATTTTTTTTAAATTATAAAATTAATAATAATACTATATTTATAAAATAATGAATTAAATGCTTTATTATTAAAACTAAAAGATAAATAAATATTATTATTTTTTCATAATAAAATCAATACAATTTTATAAAGCTTATATTTTTTCCAATAAACTATAAAAGTATATTTATTTCATACTCAAGATTAATTGATTATACTTAAATTAAAATTTAAACTTTTTTAAAGCTAATTTTTACGTTCAATACTTTTTCTTAACTCATATTCAGTATTTAGAATCTATTAATTATACATTTCAGTTTTCTAATTAACATATAAAATTATATTATTTATAAAAAAATATATATATTTACTAATTGTTATATTTCTTAATTTTATAATTATTTTTTAAAGTTTTTTATGTCTTCATAATCCTATTTTCTATCAAAAATATATTATTTTTCTTATAAACTTTTTTTCTTTTCTAAAACTTGTTTATGCTTATTTTCTATGTACTTTTTTTTTTTGTATAAATAAAAACAATTATATGGTTAATAAATATTATATATATTTTTTTATAATTTTTAATTTTACAAAAGTAAACTAACTATTTGTTTATTCTTTTAATTATTAAAGGTTTTATTTTTATTTATATTCTCTAATCATTTAGTGTCTTTCTAAAGATTATTCTTTAATTAATTTTTTTTCTTCATATTATTTATTATTTATATAGTTTTTAAGTATACTATCTTATGTCTTTTGAAATTAAATTTCGCTAATTAATTCATTAAATTATTTTATTTATCCTAAAATTTTATCTCTTTTAGTTAATTAATGTTCAATTTTTTTATTAACAAATTATAAAGTATTGATTTATTTATTTGTTTATAATAGGTTTTAAGTTAAAGCTCTCTTTTTTTCAATTACATCTATTTATTTAAACTATTAAATATTTAAAGAATTTTCTTTTAAATTTCCAATACTTTTAGTTATTTTCTTAGTGTTTTATTTTTAATCAATAATTTTTTTCACAAAAAAAGAATTATTATTTTTGTTTTAAGAACTGTTTTAACTAAAGCAATTTTTCTCAGAGTTTAATTTATATGGATTTTAAGATTATATAGAAATTTAATTTTCATTATTATCTTCTAGTTTTTTAATTAAATTCATTTGATTTAAAGATTAAAAAGAAACTTGATTGAATGGTATATTACATGAAGAGGCTTGATAAAAATAATTACAAACCTATTAAAGATAATCAGCAAAAATTAAAACATTAGAAATATATGATTAACTTTATTAAAAAACTAATTTATTAGTTTCAAGTTCAAATTAATTCTAAAAAGATTAAGATAATAAAAAATCATAAGCTTTTTAAAGTAAATTATGAATGTAATTAATGTTTGCTTAGTTAATCTTTCCTTGTTTAATTAAAATTTTTGTTTTACCAAATAATTATATTAATATTTAAGGATTTCTAAAAAACTAAAGAATAAAAGGCCAATCATATTCCTTTTAAAATAAATTTTAAATATAAATTAAATAAAAATATAAATATAAATAATATATATATATATATATATATATATATATATATATATTAATACTATTTTTGTTAAAAAAAATTAATCACAATTTAATTCGTTTGTTTTACAAAAAAGCCCAATTATTGATGTGCAAATATAATACACAAATAAAGGAGGTTTTTTCTTCTCATCTATCAATTTTATTCTCTTTTTATATCTTTTTTATAAAATTATAAATTTTTTGTTTTACAGTAACATTTTTTAATTTTATTTTTAAAATTATTTAATCTATCAACACTTCTTATGATAATTTTTTTGATAATTTTTTGGTTTATGTGTTTTTTTTTATTTTAAAAACACTATTAAATATGCTTTAGAAGTTTTTATTAGTATTTATATTTTATTATTTGCTTTAAAAATTAAATTAACTGTCAATATGATTTTTCGTTACTTCGAAATCAATATTTTAATTTTTATTTTAATCTTCATTTGTTTATTCAGTTATTGGTTTTTTATTAAAAAATATTTTAATAGTATTTTAAGGCTATATATTATTTAATGATTTTTATTTTGTTCTTATATTATTTTAACTATTTTTACTTGAATAGCTTTTTTATCTGTTATTATTAAAGCTTTATTCTAATTATTATTAATTTAATTTACTTTAATTAACTTTATTATTTTAAAAAGATTTTCTTAAAATACTATTAAGATTTTAACTATTTCGATTTTTTACAATATTTATATTTTTTATTTTATTTTAGTTTTTTTTTAAATCAAATTCACCAAAGGAAAAGTTGCATTCATTTTACTATAAAATTTTTTAATCTTTCTTTTAATGATAAAAATATATTTAAATAAAATATATGAAAATTAATTTTAATTATTTAGATTTAATATATATTCTTACTTTATTTATAGAATATTATGATATTTATTGTTTATTTTCTAAAAGAGATTTATTATTTTTACTATTTTTGTTTGCTTGTTAATTATTTTCTATTTATTATATTATATTTTACCTAAAAGTTTCAAAAACATTTTCGTTTTGAGATTTCTTTATTTTTTAACGTAAGCCTTTACAATATAATATATATTGGTTTTTAAAAATTTTATTTAAATATTATTTTTATGAAACTAAAAGTTGAGTTGATTTTAAATTTTTATATGTTCATTATAGTAATATATTTTTTTTGTTTAATTTATAAGTAGGCTAAATAATTAAAATAATATTAATTGTTATAAAAATAAAAATTAATAAATTATTAAAATAAAAATTAATAAATTTTTATATTTTATAGTTGATTTTTATTTTTATATTTATATTTATTTTTCTTTTAATCAAAATATTTATATATTATTCAATTTTATTTAATTAAATTAATTATTAGTTTTTTTAATAATTTAATTATTTTTAAAAATATTAAATATTAAATTAATTGGTTTTTTAACTTTTTTAATATAAATTAAAATTTTTAAGATATTAAATATTATTTTAAAATTAGATTTATATTTATGAAAATTAATTTAAAAATATATATAATATTTAAAATTATTAAATAATTTCAAATAATATAAATATAATAAAAAAATATTAATTAATTAATATGATTTCTTGTAAATAATTTAAAAATTTTATTTTTATTAAATTACAATTTTTAAATAAATACATAATTTCATTTGAAAAAAAGTAAAAAATAATAAATATATATTATTTAATAAAAAAAATATTAAAAAATAATTTAATAATGAATTTTAATTTTATTGTATAACCTTTAAAAGCTATTTTATATTAAACTCCTGAAAATATTAATGCTAATCCTTACATTGTTTGCGTTGCACGTTTAGGATAAAATTAAATAAAAAGAACATAAGTATGGGCCGGTAATAAATATGAAGCAAATTGGACTGATTAACTTAAATTATACAGAAATAATGAAGAAAACCTAGAAATAAGAATAAGTGCTATGGAAAGTCCATAGAGTTCTTAAGCTTAACTTTTAGGAGTCGCTGTAATACCAATAACATAAGCTTTATAAATGTAAAATTAAGAACTATGTTATACTTTAAATATAAAAGAAAAAGAAGCAGGACAGGTAATAATTAAATTATAATATTTAGGAGAAAATATATAAGTTAATTGTATTTAAAACCAATATGATTAATAAGTATAATAATTTCAACAATAATAAATAGTATAATAAAATCCTTAATAATAATAATAAATATAGTATGATTAATAAAATTAATTATTATAATCTCAATATATTTAAAAACCCTTGTAATAATATAATAAAAACATAATAGTAAAAAAAGTTATGACTGATAATAATAACGCACTTATTAGTAATGGATTTGAATAAACATAATAATAATAATAATAATTATTATATATTCCTTAAGTATAAGTTAAAAATCTTTAACCTTATGAGATGGTTAATTATCCTTTGAATAAATAAAATTATTATGAATATAATATTTAAAATTAAGAAAATTTAGTCTATACACCATAACTATAATAATAATAATAATAATAATAATAATAATAATAATAATAATAATAATAATAATTATCTAATTCACTACTAACAATAAATCCTTAAACTATTTATTAAACAACAGGAATTTAATAAATTAAAAACATTCCTTATTAATAAAAGTAATAACAACTTAATAAATAATAAGAAATTTTTTTTCCCTAATAATAGGATATTAATCTTATTTAGTAATAATAATCTTGTTAGTTATAATAAATATAAAACTAATAATAAAAATTAAGTAATTCTTAAATTAGATTACTTGGATACTAATAAACATTATAATAATAATAATAACATTAATAAACACAACAAACATAATAATATGTTAAATAATAATTAGCTTATCCTAATAATACAAATTAATTATATTATGATTCTGCTTAACCTTAAACATAATGTTTGACTAATTCTTAAATAAAATTAGTTTCATTACCTTAGTGATTATAATAATAACAAACATAATAAAAAGTATTATAAATAGCATCATAAATTGTTTATTAATAATAATAATAATAATAATAATAATAATAATCTTAATAACCTATGTAATAATTACCAAGTATTTCTCAATTATCTAATTAATAATTTGTTTAAAACTATTAATATGAATAATAATAGTAACCTTCTGTAATTTAATAAAATGAAAGTCGAATTATTTAATAATATAATTTGGGTGATTAGGTTTAAAATGTAATATAATGGATAACCAAGTAAATATTAGAGATTTGTAGGTACTTATTTACCTCCTAATTATAAAATTATTTCTGATTAAAATTTTGATTAAGTTAGTAGAAATAATTACGATTATCAAAGAATCAATTAATATAATGTAAAAATATATAACTATAATATAATTATATAAATAATTAATATATATATCATAATAATATTTTAATTTTTAATAGTAAATTATTTGATTGATATTAATGATTATTAAGAAAAATTAAATTTATATTAATAATATATTTCCATTATTTATATAAACAGTAAAATTTTTATATATATATATATACATATATATTATCAATTATTCATAAAATATCTATTATGAATATATTTTATTATATTTTTGTTAAAATATTAATATAAAAAATGTAAAAATTTTTATTGTAAACATTAAAAAAAAATTTAATATAAAGAAAATAAGAATATTAAAAAGATATAAAATTTAGTAAATTTTTTGAGAATAAATAATTTAAATATATGAAAATATAAAAATTATATATATAGATAAATAATTTTATTTATAAAAAAATTAATAATAATAAAAAAAAATCATTTAATATTTTATGTAGAAGGATACCTTGAATTTCTAACCTTTGAATAAGTTTCATAAGTACTTTTATTATTCATAATATCGTTTCCAATTTCCCTACATTAATTTTAATAATCTTTAGCTTTTTCTGCATTAAATTTATATTCTATCATAGCCCCTTCAATTTTTTCATATTTATTGATTAGTTCATTAATTTCAGCATTTTTTAACGCACACATATTTTTCAGGTCTTCAATTTCCCCATTCATAATATTAATTTAATTTTAATGAGAAATCTTAATTTATTCAATAGTATAATTATTAATTTTTTCTAATTTAATTCTCTAATCCTCCAATTCTTAAGCTTTTAATCTTTCTAACTTCAAAACATGATTAGCTTAACTAGAATTTTCATTATTTATTTTCTTAATTTCTCTTTCTAAATTATCCCTTTATTTATGTAAATTATATACTTCTTTTTCTTTCAACTCAATAATTTCTTTAATAATAATAATTTTTTTATATATATATAAACATTTATATAAATAAACCTTTTAATTTTTAAATATCCGATTCTAAATATTTAATTGCAGTTTCTAATTTTTTTTTCTATTCATTAGAATTAGTATTTAAAACTTATATTTTAAGCTTTAAATCTTCTACAGTAATATCCCTTTCATTTTTAAGATTTGTCAGATTTTTCTACAAACTATCAACTTCTTAATTTCTATTATCTAAATCTTACTATAAATCAAGTACATTTTACATATTTTGAGCTCTAATGGAATCTATTTCTTAATTTTTAATATTTGAAAGTTTTTAGAGATTTTCTACTTCTTATTCTAAATATTTAATTTAATTTTATTATTAACTTGTGAATTCATTCTTGTTTAAATTCAACAAATTATATTTTTATTAACATTCTTCCGATTATTTTTATTTCTCTTTTTATAAATTATCGAATTTGTTTTTCCAGTTTTCAATATCTTCACATAGTCTAGATAATTCAAGATTATAATTATCTCTCTATAGCATTTTTTCCCTAATTTAATTTTCTATCTCGCTTTATTTATCTTAAATTATCTTCTTTAAACTCTCAATTTGATTGTTTAAAGCTTCAATTTAATTCTCATGGTGATATTTTAGTCCTTAAATGTCTTAAGAATTCTAGTTTGATAATTATTCTTTTATTTCCTATATTTGCATATTCGCAAAATCATTATTATCTACAATTCTATCTTTAAAAGCCTAAATTTCCTCCCTTAAAAGTTAGTTTTCCTCCTCAAAGTTTGCCTTTTGTCCTCTATTTTAATTTATCAAGGCCTCTATTTCTCTAGTCTTTACACCTAATAAATTCCTCAATTTATTAACTTCCCCACCCATCACTTCTAGTTCATTATCATGTAATTTTTTCAACAAATCGAGCTATTGACCTGTTTAATTATCGAGTTTCGACCTTAAATTTTCCAATTCTTACTAAGATTAAACTTCTAATTCTGATATTTTCATTTTAAGTCTTTCTCGGTCTTCACATATGCGATTTTATTAAGAATTTCCATCATATTTAACTTTAGAAACTTAAGATTATAATAAAGAAATTTCCTTTTCCCTATCTTCAACTATATTTCTTAATTTTTTTAACTATTCTTCATAAAGCTCTATATTTTAAGCATGCTATTTTTTTTAAGTTTCATTTTTTTCATGAAATTCAGTATATAATCGAAATTTCTTCTCCTCAATAAGTCTTACTTTGTCAATTTCAGCCTATTTAAGTTCATCTTTTACTCTAGTATTTTCTTATAATAGTCTTTTGAGTTCTAATTCGTAATTTTATTTCAAAGAAACAACATTATTCATTTATGATTCATATTTTTGTTTCCACAAATCAATCTCAGCTTTTTTCTAGTCTAATTATTTCTATAAAATCTCTTTTTCAGAGCATATTACAGCGTTCTATTTTAATATATTTTCTACTTTTGATTCCAATTCAAAAGATTTTCTAGCTCGAAAATTTGCAAGTTCTAAATCAGAATTAGCCTAACATAAACATGATTCTAATTCATTACATCTACTTTTCCATAAATCAGCTTAGTTTAAATTATTATTATTAATGGTGTGTTTTGATTCATTTATTGATTAATTGTAGGATAGAAGATTGTTTAAACGCTAAGTATCAGGAGATTAGACTTAATTTTAAGGGTTATTGAAAGTACCAGATAATATTATATTTTTATTTGATGATAAAACATCATTAGGATTATAGCTTTGACGGCTGTTAAACATTTGATTTAATTATGATTATATATATTTATTGCCGTTATTTATAATTTTTATTAATTTTTATTTAATTGTATATGTAATTATATATATATATAAATATAAATATATATATATATTTATATATATTTATATATATTTATATATATATTTTATTCATTTGATTTTTTAATTATTACTTTTGTAATATTTTTTTCATATTTTAATATTTTTTTTTATTACATTTTATATTTTTAATTTTTTTTTTTATTAATTTAAAAATATTAATATAAAGTTTACTACTAAATGATTTATTTTTATATTTAAATTATATATTTATATATATTGTTTATATATTTTATTTTATTTTTTCTTTATACAATATATATTTTAATTTCATAATTAAAGTTATATTTTAAGTTATTTCATTTTAATAAACATAATTTTTATAAAATATAATATATATTATATATTTTTATAAATATATATTAATTTTTGTTTTTTATTTTATCATAAACTAAATATATTTTTAAAATATTTCTAATAAATTTTTTTTATAGTTTTCATATAAACTATTAAATTAACATTTTATATTGTTATTTTCTATATATTTTTATTATAAAAAAATCATTAATAATGTTTAATTTTTATATAATTATTAATATTATAATTTTTTTTTTTTTTCTTTATAAATTACTGATTATGTTCTTTTATTTAATTTATTTTAGATTAAATTTTTAGATATATATATATATAAAAATATATCTTTATTATTTTTTTAAATTTTTTTAATAAAAATAAAATAAAAACTTAAACCTAATTGAAAAAATAATATTAGCATTCATTTAAAATAATTATTTTAACTTAAATATATTTTTTTTTAAATATTTATTCTATAATTTCTAAAAACTTTTAAATTTTTTAATAACAACTTAAAAGGAATTATCATAATTTTAAATTTAAATAATTAATTTTATTTTTTTATAAATAAAATAGGAAAAAAATAAAAAAAAATCTTTATAGACTTTAAAATATTGATATTAATTTCAATACAATTTATTATATTATAAACTGAGTAGTTTATATTATTTTTTAATTTTTTTTAAAAAATGATTTAAATTTAAATAAATGTATTATATAGTATAATCATATTATTATTTTTTTAATATATTTATTAGAAATCTTAGTATAAAAAAATTACTTATAAAAAATATAATCATAATTATTATATATTAAATCTTAATTATCAAAATAATAAAAAAAATTAAAAATATATATAAATTTATATAAAAAATATAAATATTTATATATTTATATATTTATATATTTATATATATATATTATAATTATTATTATTATTATTATATTTTGGCTTTCTTAATTAATTTTAAATTTATATATTTTATTTTAATTCTATATTATATTTTATTATATCTTTTTAAATATTTTTAATCAATTATTTCTTTTATTTGTTTATAATATTTAATTTATATTTCAAATAAATAAAAATTTAAAAAGTTTTATATATTATATAAATATTTTTAATCTATATTATAATTTTTTTTTTTTTTTTTTTTAATTATTAGAATTTTTTTTTTTCTTTATTTATATAATTTAGTTAAATAATTTTTATTCAAGTTAATAATAATTATTAAAAAATAAGTATAAAAATATTAATAAAAAAAAACAAAATTTATTATAATTAACAAATATAAAATTTGAATTAAAATTTTTAAAAAATTGAATTTATAATATATTTAAAACAAAAATATATCTTATATTTATATAAACATATATATATTTTTTTATGATATAAAAAATAAACAAATTAAAAAATATAAATTAGAATCAATTTAAAAGAATGAAATGAAATATAAATATAAATAAATAATAGAATCAATAATTATTAAAAAATAAATATAATAAAATTTATCAATTTTCTTCAGATTTAAAAATAATACCTTCTTAACTACAAATTAATCCTTCTGGATTATAAGTAAGCCCATCTTATGGATTATAAGTGAATCCTTCAAATCCTGGCATTTATTTTTAATCCAGAGTTTCGAAAATAGGCTTTTGTCTAGTAAGCTTATCATCTTATTTTTTTTTAATAATGAACTACTTCAAAGGACTTTCATATTCTTTTTTATATAATTTCTTCCAATCAATATTTTCAAAAAATTTATGTTATTTTATAACACTCCAACTTAGTCTTTTTTCCGGATCTGAATTTAAGCAACTTTTAATCAAATCAACTGCTTCTTCATTAAATCCAGTTATAAAATTAGGATTATTTGCTAATATTTGTTTCATAATGGAATACCAATTTCTTTATTTATCCCTAAAAGGAGGCATTCCGAATATAATTTCATATAAAAAAACACCAAAAGCCCATATATCAATTGAAGCATTATATCCTAATCTATTATTTGATTATTTACTCTTAATAACTTCTGGTGCTATATATTCAGGAGTTCCTATAAAAGTAAAGGACAGTTCATCTTCGTTTACCATTTATTTACTAAGTCCAAAATCTGTAATTTTTAAATGCCCATCCTCTGTAACTAAAATATTTTCAGGTTTTAGATCTCTATATATAATTTTCATATTATTATTTAAATATTCCATTCCTTTTATTTGATTTTATGAAAAAAAACAAAACAATTTTTTTTTAAAAAAAAATACCCAAAACTACTTCAGCAGCTATAAATTTAGATAATTCAATAGAAAATCTTTTATTTCTAGCCAAATAAGTATACAATTCACCTCCAGGACAATATTCCATAACTAAGTAAAGCTTATTATTAGTTTGAAAACTGTATCTTAGTCTTACCAAAAAAGGGCTTTTATTTTTCAATAAAACGTTTTTTTCAACTATCATTTTCCTTTTTAAATTCATTTCGAGTATTTTATCTTTTTTTACTATTTTCATTGCAAATATTTTACCATTAGATTTTTTTTTTACTAATAATACTTACCCGTAAGCCCCTTCGCCTAAAAAGTCGATTTTCTCGAAATCATTATAGCTTAATTATTTGTTATGGTCTTAGTCTTATAAGGATATTGGAGATGTAAATTCTTAAGGAAAGTTTGAGGCTGAGGTTTGGGCTTATTCTAATAATTGATTTTATGATTTTTATTCAGTTTGATTTTTGGCATTTTATTAGGTTTAATTAGCTTCATGAGAGTTATTATGACTACACATCTTTACACATATTTATCCCTATTTTCTATATTTTTTTTTTTATTATTAGATTTTTTTTTATTTAGTTAGTTTTTCAAGTTTATTTTTATTTATTTTTAATAAAAAATATTTGACTAATATATATTTATAGATATATATATAATGCAGAATATTATTCGATTGAATTATAACATTTATATGCGCATTTTACTAAATTTGAGATTTTAGTATACAATAAATATTTTTAAATTGGTATTTTTATATATTGCTTAACATATTGCTTAACATATTTATGGATTAATTTTTTTATATTTTTCATTTTGTCTTCGAAATAAATAATAAATACATTAATTATTATAAATTTAAATATAAAATTAATTCTACAAAAAAAAAAAGATATATATTTATTTTATTTAAATTTATTAAAGGACATGAAACATATTTATTTTCATATAATATAAAAAAAAATTAGTAAATAGATATTTATTTTAATATAATCAATTTAATAAATTTTACTTTTTTTATAAATAAAATAGAATATTATATTAATATTAAATTACGAGTAACTTTGATATTTTTAATTTATAATTTTTAAATAATTTTTTTTATTAATTAGGTTTATATTTTTTTTTATTAATATACTTGCCAATTTTTATAAAAAAATAAAAGTTTTAAATTTATGTTTAATTAAAATATACGCCTAATTTATATTTTTTATTTTCTAATAAATTTCTAATTAATTTTACCAGTTTTATAAATTTTTTAAATAAAAGTAAGTAATATATAGTATAAATTAATTAAAATTAAAAAATAAAGATTTTTTTTTCTTATTTTTTAATAATGAAATTATTCTATTAAAATAATCTTATTTTTTATTAAAGTTAAATTTTAATATTTCTATTATATAACAAATAAAACATTATATTTAAAAATTCATAGCCTAAGCTTTTAATATTGTCAAATAATTGAATTTTAAATTAAGTTTTTATTATTTTTTTGTTTTATTTTTCTTTATTTTTTTATTTATTTAAGTATTTGCTTTTTATAAATGATTTTAAAAATTTTCTATTTTTAAATATTAAAACATTTCTTGGTATTAAAAATCAAAAGTTTTGCATTATTAATTAATATTTTTTTTATAAAAATACCTATTTTATTTTAATAATAATTTAAAAACATTAATATTATTAAAAAACAATTTTGTAATTAATTTTCTAAAGAATATAAATACCTTAAGGTTCTCTACTCTATTTAAAAAAACAAAAAAATAAAATATATATATATATATATAATAAAAATATTTATTTATAAAAAATTAGATGAATAATGAATAAGATGTAGAATCAGTAGGCTTACTGAATTAAAAATCAAATTAAATAAGCTCATTAAATAGTTCTTAAAAAAGTATGTTAAATCTCTGTTTTGAATTTTTATTTATAATATTAAAACATGATGAGTTAAGCTTATCTATAAATACCATACTAGCAATAATTTAGTATTTCTAAATTATTTATTTTGCATTTCATCCAATTGTAATTAACTTTTTATATTTTTTTTTTTTTTTTAAATATAATAAAAAGGTAAGTAAACTTTGGGATAGTAATTTAGCTAATAATGCAGCCTAAGTATTCGGATATGTAGGTATTTTCCATATATATAGATCTTAAACATGGAATATATGTTTAATTGTATTTTATATTGGTTTTATAATAAAATTAATATATTCACTTTGCTTTTTATATTGTTGTGTTACTTTAAATAGATAAAAGATTTTTCCAAATTTAGTTACCAATTTTATAGTTATTACTACTAATTTATTAATAAATATACTCTATATGCCTTTCTTGGATGTCTTTTTAATTATAGTAAATTGCTCTGGAGAAAGTAATTAAACTAGTTTTAAATATGTTAGTTTGTATAAGGATATATAATGCTTTAGTGTATTTTTTATTTATTTTTATAATAAAAGTTATTTAAATATCTCTTAAATAATTTAAATATTAATAGGGAATGCATATATTTTATTTTTCAGTATCAATATTTTGTATTATAATGCTTTTGTTATTCATTTTTATTTTCGGATATTTATATTTTGATGGAATATATAACGAATTCAAAGGTAATTCTAAAAAAAATAACCGAGGAAATATTACTTTAATTATCTACGAAACAGTTCTTATATTTAGCCTAAATTTCCTTAACGGAGCTAACTAAACTAATTTTATAGTAGTTATCTATTTAATTGGAAGTGCTTTTGTATTCTATATGATACATATAAATTCACCTTTTAATAATATTATTATTTAGAAAGTATGGTCCTATTTATAATCAGTAAATACTTGGACAGCTATAATGTTAGCTATAGCTTGTGTAAAATAATCCATATATATATAGATATATATTATATTTTATAAATATATAAATATATTTAATAAAAAAGGTAACTGAAAAAAGAATATTTCATGGAATAATTTATGCCTGGTTAACAGGTTTACCTTTATTATTTTTTATAATTTTTTGGAATCCGACTGATAAAATAAAAGTATTAAAAATAATATGAAAAATAAATAAAATAAAAAGGGTGAAGCAGCAATAAATATAAACGTAAATAAATTCGAAGATCCACAAGAAGTAATTGATCATGTTATATATGTTCAAAAACTTGTCTATAATGATATAAAAAAAACTAAATCGGGTCAACTTCTAAACGGATATATAGAATTTCATAACAAAACTTGTTTAAATGCAGTTTGTCCATTAAAAAAGGTAAAATTTTCAGTGATATTAAAAAAAAATGAACATGAATAAGCAAAAAAAAACAATAAATAAAATAATAATAATAATAATTAAAATAACAATAATAATAATAATTATTAAAGATAAGATAAGAGATATTAATTTTGTTAAGAAACGTTATGTAAATTATTTGAATAAAACATCCTTAAATTCCCTACAAACATAAACCTTAGAATAAACTATGCTGTATATTTAATGAAAGTAATCAAAAGCAAATAACATGCCTTAAATTAAATTATAGAAGCTGAAAGTTTCAAGCAATCTTTTGATGAAAAGTTTATTTTGTATTATATAAAGAAGGTTATAGAGAATGAAATTTGCGAATTAAGCAATAATGATGATGATTATGGAAATTAAAAGACCTAAGAGAGTGAAATTAATAATTTTAAACTTGCTATGGAATAAACTGTGGCTTTATTAATGGAATTTTGGAGTTAGTTTTCAGATGAAAAACCTGATTTGATAAAATTATATGATATTGGCAGTAAATTATTCCCTTTAAAATAGTTAGTTGATACTATGTAGAAAAAAATCACAAGAGGAAAAGGTGAACAAATTCCGAAAGTTTTGAGAGTTTATTCGAAGTATTTAATTGATATTTTTAATGATAAAAAAAACGGTGTACTATTGTTAGAAAAAGCAAATAAAATAGAGTAAAATATTCTCAATAAAAAAGAGTTTCATATAGGCTATACTTCTGAAATTAATTTAGATGGAAAAGAAGATGGAATCGCATTTATGACAATGGAAGATGAAAAATTAGGAGAACTTTTGACTTGTAATTTGACTTTAGCAAGTCTTTTTGGATACAATAAATAGGATTTGATTAATAAAAATGTCACAATGCTATAGCCTATTATATATATGTAACATCATTAGGATATTTTAAAATATTATATTGAAAAAGAAACTAAAAATGGCACATAACAACCATAAGATATTAGTGTTAGAGAGAAAATTTTACATATTTAAGGCAAAAATAAATAGTAATATATTTTTCCAATTACATTAAAGATATAACCTGTCTATCATGCAATTAAAGATGGAAATGAGTATTTGGGAATTTTTAAAAAAGAAAAAGCTATTAAAAATATTGCCTATATTTAAAGTGATGAAAAAGGTATAATAAAAGATATTTCATCATGTAAAATTAAAAATATATGTAGACATAAATTTTATTATTCTAAAATTTTTTATAAAAAAGCTTGTATAAATATATTAGGAATAGATATAAAAATTATTACATTATAATAAATTTCCATTTAAAAAATAGTGATATAAATATATATATATATATATAATAATATATATATATATATATATAAATTTATATATTTTATAATTTGATATATATAGTTTGAAGATATTGACGATTATAGATAGGAATGTTTGAGTAAATAAGGGAAAATAATAAATTATACATTTCCGAAATTTCATGACGATTCAGTTATTTTCGGTAAAAGTGACAAAATGACAAAATTACTTGTTTAAATGTAAGATATAAAATTTAAATATAAAGGTGATGATAAACTCGGAAATATATTTAAAATAGAATAAATCCAAGACAAACCTTTAAAATCATAAAAATCTAAAATAACTTAAACGACTTTAGTTTTAAGTGAAAAAAAATAAATATTAGGTGCTTTTTAGTTTAAACTACATATATAGGAAGATGAAGATATATTATATAATGGGTAATTTATCGAAAGTGAAAATTATTCAGATTAAAATAATAATATTGAAACTACTTAATTTGATTAGAGTTAGATATAGTAAGGAAATGATAGTAAATTTGAAAATGCGAATAATCTTTCCTAATATTTAAATAATAATATCGTTTTTTTAAAATCAAATTAAATTAATGAGGAAAAATAAAATAATTAAGCTAGTTAATAATAACTTGAATTTTAAATAAAAAAAAATTATTGTGAAGGCATTAAGACTTATAGATTGGTTAATAATTAATTATAGGATATAGAAAAATATAAAGATGATGAATAGGATGAAGATGAAGAAAATATGGAAGATGATAAATTAGAAGAATAACAATAACACTAAAATTATAAAAATAAATAAAATTAGTTAAATTTAACGGAATCAAAGGGTAATATTAATGCTTTTGATTACTCTAGAGCTTTAAATGATGAACTAGATAAATAATCAGAATCAATTATTGTTTAATAATTAAAATATTTCTCTATTTTTGTTATTATAATTATGATAATGATGTATAAATAATAAAATATAAATTATTTAAATATAATAATAATACTTATATATATATAAATATATTATAGATCATGTATAGAATTTGGTATAAATAATAATTATATTCTAACCTAAAAAGATGGATATTAGAAAGTTTAATTAGAGTCTTAAAGACTTGCTTGTATAAACGAAATGATTTCCTATATAAGAGAAATTAATTTATTAGCTTTAGATATTCGAATTCCTTAATATAAAATACAAAGTGTTGCAAATCCTGATAAATAATCAGATTTTACAGCTTTAAAAGAAAGAATATTAAACACAATAAACGAACTGAAAGATTTAAATTAGAATTTGATAAATTTATAGAGTTCTTCAGATAAAATTGTAGATATTTAATATTTAGAGAATTAATAAAAAACATCCTTAAATATAAACTCTGTAACTGAATAAATAATATCAAGAGCACATGCTATTATATAATAGAATTTAGATTTTATAAAGAATTAATAGACAGATAATTTTTATATATAATTTAATGGATTAAATGATTATTCGGTTAAAATTTTAACTATAATGGATGAAAAAAATGCCTCATTAATTGATAATATATATCATATGCAAAATTATTAGATAATTTTTCTCATTGTATCGATTTGTATTATGCTTATATTTTCGGTTATTTTAACTTTTTTATTAGGAAAAACTATCTTCGCGAAGTAAATTATACTTTCAGTTTTCTTAGATATATCAGAAAAAACATCAAAATATTTGTATACAAGTTGTGAGAATTTTATAGCTTAAATTAATACAGGAGAAGAAGGTATACATATATATATATATATATATATATATATATATATATATATATATATATATATTAAATATAGATGATATATATAGTGAAGGTTATGCTTTTATTGATGATAAAGATGATTTTGATGATTAAAAAGGTTCAATTTTTGGTAAAAAAAGAAAAAAATTCAAAAACGCTGATAGAGGTACTTTCGGATTCTTTTTCAAAATGCTTTTAATTTCCATATTTTTTGAAGTTTATTTCTTTGTTAATTATTTTTTAGAAAGAAATTAATTATCAATAATGTCATAATTATTACTTGAATTTAACTGTACAAATTTTTCAGAAGGATTTTATTCTTTAGCTTTAAATGGATAAAAGTAATTATTCATTAATAAAGGTTAAGCTTTTCTTAACGGACAAGCAGAAAATTAAGTTGCTTAAATGATTGAAAATTTTTTTAATGTAGATGCTACTATTCATTAAGTATATTTTTTTATTTTTTTATATTTTTATAATTTTTTTAGTAACATGCATTAAATAGTCCTGTTTTTGATACTTCTATTGGATATTAAGATTCATTTGAAAATATTATGTTCAAAGATCCATGTAATATTATGGTTGAAAGAAAGTCTGTGAGTTAAAACGAATGTGATAATTTTCAATATTAGATTGTTAAATAGGTAAAAATTCATTTTTATATAATTTTCATTTTTTTTTTAGGGTATTATTACAGTTACTGTAAGATTTTTTTAATTAATTAGATATTTTAAAGATAGGTATGATTGGATTATTAAAAATCCTACTACTTAATTTAATTTTACTTAATTTAAAGGCTATGTAAAAATATAAAATCGTGACATAAGTATATAATAAAATAATTTATTAAATCTTTTAAGATTAAATGATTCCTATGAATTAAGTAATATTTTTTGTAAAATTAAAAACCCTGTATTTTTATTTTTAATAAAAAGATAGTATTTAAGTTATTTATTTGAAATCGGCTTATAGGTATTTATAAGAATAGTTTATGAAATAAAACGAATATTCAATTAATAATTTCAAAGTTTAAAGAGTAATGTTACTTGTTATATTTATTGTTTGTCTTTTAGTAGGATTATTAATATATTGGTTACCTTTTTTACAACATTTAAATAAAGAAGTATTTTTAAAAATAATTTTTTAAATTTCTTTTTTAAAAAAAAAATATTAAATATAGATATGGTCAACTAAGTGTTTACTTTCTTTCATACCTGTCGACGAAATGACAAAAGTATAAAATATAGCTATTTTTATTAAAGATATTATTCTGGAAAAAAAAATATGAGATAAAATATTAATTTTATTCTATGTATTTTTATAATTAAAATATAAATATAAATTCCATATCATGACTATAATAAAAATTAAATTTTAAATTTTGTTTTTTTATAAAAGAATATTTAATCATTATTATTTTATGTAAAAATTAGCATTATATCAAAATAATTTTTGTTAATAAAATAAAAAATAAAATAAAGTAAAAATAAAATAAAACTAGATATTAATTTTTTTAAAAAAAATAATACATATTAAAATATTTATATATTTAAATATATATATATATATAAAAAAAAATATTATAATTATATATAAATAAATTTGTATTTATTTTTATATATATTTTATTTTAATTTTTTTTTTTATTTAAATTAAAATAAAATATATATATATATATATTTATTTTAAATATTAAATTATCATTTTCAAACAGGTAAAGGTTAAGTATTTTTCTTAAGCCAATCTAAAGCTATTTAATCATTTTATTATTTTAGTACTGGTGATAATTTATTCCATACCTATAAATAAACATCATTTAATGTAATTTTTTTTTTTACTTATTAATGATATTAATCAACAAATTAAGCATCATTTTTTGTTAATAAAGTATAATCAATCAAATTTCTATCGTAAGGACACAAAGTTAAATTTTCGAAACCTAAAAATTCATTTCCTTTATTAATAACTACTAAATCATCCTCAATTCTAATACCAAATTCTCCATCTTTATAATATCCAGGTTCTTTAAAAATTTATTACAATATATTATAAAAAATATAGTTAAATATACCATCAGAAACAATCATTCCTTCTAAAAGTGGTTCATTTCTATATTTACTGATTCCATGAGGTCCTTCATGTACATTTAAAAAATGCCCAATACCATGTCCTGTGCCATGACCGTAGTCCATATAATTAGCCCATAAATGTCTTCTGGCTAAAACGTCAATATCGCTTCCTGCAATTAGAGATTTTGAAGGCCATTAAACTCTCTAAACATCTATGTTTCCTAACAAAACTCTTGTATAAGCATCTTTTTCTTCATTACTAGCATTTCCGAAATGTAAAGTTCTGGTTACATCAGTAGTTCCATCTCTATATATATATTACATATTTTATAAAATTAATTTTTTTAAAAAAATATACAAATATTAAGCTCCAGAATCTAACAAATAAATTAAGTTAGGCTTTAATAAAGCAGCTGTTTTTTCACATGGTTTATAATGCACAATTGCTGCATTAGGCCCTACAGAAGATATAGTTTCAAAGGAAAGCCCTTTATTTTTATCATTTTTGAGTCTTTTTTCTTCCAAAACAAGTGCTGCTGTATATTCGTTTAAATTTTAATTTTTCTTAATGACTAATTCATGTTCAAGCCAGGCCAAATAACTTACTAAAGAAACCCCGTCTCGAATATTACAATCTCTAAATCCTTAAACCTAAGTAGGTGTTTTTATGCCTTTTAATTTATTTATAATTCCTGTTCCAGACATTTTAATAATTTCCTACTAGTTCAAATTAGTAGTAATTTTGTAATTTATTTCGCCTTCATGGATTGCTATTTTTTAAAAATTCGGTAAATCTTCAAATATCTTTTAGTAACTGGACATATTAATGTGATTTTCTTTTAAATAGTATTCTACTTCTTTATTTATTTTTCTCTAATCTACATAAAGTGTACCACAATATGAGTTTTAATTAAAATTAAAATTTATTATCAAAAAAGATTTAAAAACTGGATTAAATTATATATCTTATCCTCTTAAATTTAAAATCCCTTTTTATTTACAATAAAAAAGTTTTTTTTTTTTAAAAAAAATATTTTATTTTACAAGCTATTTCGTCTAATTTACCAGTTAAAATCATTTATGCGTTTATCTCTTTTACTTTTTGAGAAATCAAATTTATTTTTTCCCCTGTAGATTATCCTACATACTATAATTCATGTATTATAATCTATATTTTTTTTTAATAATAAATTTGTATATATGTAAATAGATTTTTTTTTTTTCTAGTCTTAACTTATTCGATATTATCTTCTTATTTATTTTCCCATATTTCATCTACAAGATTTTATTCAATAGCCTCTAGTTATATATTGTGTTTTTCAAAAAATTTCTATCTATTTACAATAAGATCTAACAAATATTTAAATTAAAGATTATTTTTTTAAAAATATATTTATTTAACCTGTACTAACTAATAATGGGTCATATCCAATTTTCGAACCCTTATTAAGTAAAACGCTTACATCTTAAGTCCATGGTACTTATCCTTTTTTATTTAGTTTAAAATAATAAAATAAATACCTATTCCTAATTTTTTCATTTCCCAACCTTAATCAAGATTTTTTTCAGCCTTTAAATATTTTATGAATTAATAAAAGAAATCAAATTTTTATTTTACATCGAGCCAATATCTTGAATCGACCCATAAAAAAGCTTTTTCCTAAGTTATTAGAGCAAAGCCAGCAGAACCTTTAAAGTTAGAAATATAAGCAAGTCTTTCGTCAGAAGCAGCTATATATTCGCTCTTATTTATATTAGTATTTTTTTATATATATTTTTAATTTTACATTATGAGCATCATCGTGAGGGACTAAATAAGCATCGATATTTTTTTTTTTAAGAAGTTCTCGTATTTTAATTAATTTTTAGTCTACGTTTTACATTTTAATTAAATGTTTTAATATCTCTTTTTTTATAAAATATATAATTTATGAATTTATAATAACAAATCTATTGTAAAAAATTTTTATGAATTAAATCAAGATTAGGTTTTATAATAAATATATTAATAAAAAAAATTAATATAAAAAACAAATAAAATAATTAAATCTAAAACATTAATTAAATAGAGAATTTAGTATAAGAAAATATATATTTATTTTTAAATATTGAATAAATATATTAATATTATATATTTCATAATAAATATGTAATACATAGCTTATATATAAAATTAATATATATAAAAATTGTTAACGATCAATTAAAAAATATAATTTTTATTTTATATTCAATTTAATTAAGAAAAAAGTATTTAGTTAAATAGAAATGATTTATAAAAATAAATAAATTATTTATCTAATATTTGTATTTTTTTTAATAATAATTCTAATATAATTAATAAATTATGACTACGATTAACCTAATAATAATTTATTTAATTTCAGAAAAAAATAGCCCTCTATCACCAACTAAAATTAGATAACAATAAAATACTTCGAAGAAGGCGAAAAAATACACATAATACATAAAAATTAAATATATACATTAAATTAAAGAATCCAATAATTATAAAAAATAAAACCAAATTTAATAAAATTCTAAAAACTAAAAAATTAAAACATTAAAAACAAAATACAAAAACCCATAAATATACTTCAATTTACCTACGGAAATTGGTGCGGTCCTGAATACGGTGGATTAAATAATGAATGTAAAGATAAATGTATGCAAAACATATAAGAAATTTCAAACGAATGTAAATAATGTAATCAACCAATAGATTATGTAGACTCGATATGTATGTAACATGATTTCTGTATTACAAGATTTTAACTATAAAATACCTTTAAAGATACCTGCAAATATAAAATACTCTAAGTAGGAAGTATTTTTTTAACAAGTTGTGAATGTACATATTTAATTATGAATAATTTATCATATGAAATGCTTTCTGAAAAATGTTAAAACACGGATTGTATTATAAACGGAATTATAATAAAAGAGGTTTTTGATAATATTTTATTTGACTGTGTTTGTTGTTATAAAGAATTCCATAGATCTTTAGAAGATAATAAAATGTATTTTATTAACACTGCTAAGTGTGTTTTGCCGGATGAATGTAAAAGTTTTAATGGATAATGATAAAATAAAAAAATATATTTATACAATTTCTTTTGAAAAATAGCTTTATTTATTTAATTTAATAAAATAAATAACAAATTTTTATATACTATATTGAATTTTTTATTAAAAAAATAAATAAATCGATCATTCTTCCTCATAAGAAGATTCACCATTACTATGTCTATTATATTAAGCTTCTGGATCTAAATTAATAGGGTCTTCTGCATTCATAGAATCACAATCTGTATTAATAGCAATTAATAACTAGCTTTTTAACGAAGCTTTATTAGTATAAGCTGGTAGTTCTAAATTAAAAAAGCATGTATCTGCTTTTGGTAGTAATTTATCAGAATTCGAGCTTGAATAAGTAGCCGGTTTAATCATAAATCTAGTTTAATTTCTTTCGAATTCCTCATCATTAGGTGGCAATCTTTCCTATCCCCAGCAAAACTTGACAAACCTAAGAGATTCCGTATGATTTAATTCATGCAAAACCTCCCAAAGCATTTTCACATGGGGTGTGTTTTCGTTTAAATTTCCACTATAAATTGTATGTCTTTTAAGTAAATCGAAATCCACATTTTTCTTTCCACAAACCCACATTTCTAAATCCGAAGCATCCACCAAGTTTAACAATGGTAAAGGCACGATTTAATTTAAACCATTTTTAATAGCATGAATTTGTAATTAACTTTCACCTATTTTGGCTTCGACTAATTTAGCTATATAATCAAGTCTGTCTTCATACCCAACCTATATTTTAGAACCATCTCTAATTAATTCTATAGTCGACATATCGCTTAGTGTAGTAGTGTAGGTTTCGAAAAAGGACTACTCAAAGACTTCTTTTTCACAATTTTCAATAAATTTAATTAAATCAAATACAGGTTTATCGATTTCTTCCAAATCTTCCAATGTAACTTGTTAACTGACAAGCTATTTCCATAAAATTCGAGGTAAATCTAATGTTAAATGGGTCCCTGTGCGTATACATTCACCCATTAAAATTCCGAGAAACTCAAAAAGTTATAATTAATAAGAGCTTTTAGCAGATGGATTAATTACGTATTTTTCACGAGAATCACCCATTTTAGATAAATTATTGGTTGATGGACATAATAAATTTAATTGACGTTTATGAGAAGATAATACATTAGGTTATAATTCGGAAGATATATCTGCAAAAAATTACCTATAAGGACCTGATTCGCCCATAACTAATTCTCCTTTGAAAATTATTTCAAAAGCAATAAAAGGATCTGTTCCAGTAGGTTTAACAGGTCTATAAAAATTATATAAAATAATATAATATGTAAAATATTTTTATATTTATATATTATTATATTTTAAATATATATGTTATCTTTTTGTACATATAATTATATTTTACCTTAATTATGTAATTGGAATATCTTTTATTTATTCATAGGCTTTAGTAAAAATAAAATCTTCTTTTTATAATTAAGTAGCAATATTTTTATGAGTTTATGCTTTTTAATCTTAATATTAATTATTATTTGTATTATTATAATTTAAATTCTAGCCTTAGTTTTTTTAAAAATCTATCTAATCTTACAATTTTAATCTTTCAACTTAAACTTTAGGCACCTAATCTCTCCTAAGGGCAGTTTTATTCAATACTTTCTAAGCGAGATCATTTTTAATAGGGTTCATACATAAAACTCTATAATTAGAAAATTATGTAGACATTGACAAAGTTATAAAAGCGTTATTATTTTAATTCTAAAAATTGAAAATTTAATAATCCAATGGTTCACATTTTGAGTCCATATTAATAAAAAAGATACTTTTTTATAATAGCTTATTTAAAAGCTTTATTAAAGCCCAAGAATATCTTATATCCCTTAAAGAACATACAGAAATAAGTCTATTATACTACATAGTACTCGATTCATGTAAATAACCAATTGGTTGTAATATGTTTTCATGTAAAGGTATTATATTATTAGAGGATTGAATAAAGCGAATGTTTGTTGGATTATAATGAAGTACTTATTTCGTCTCTTTACATATTTCTATTTGGATTAATTTTATTAATTAGTTAAGCAGATTTTGTTATAATAAAATTGGATTTTCTCCTTATATCCAGCCTATTAAATCTAAATGCAAATCAAAGCCTAATTTGAATATTATTTCCCATGCGTTTTATGGGTTTTCGAAGGCTAGAATTGCTATTTTTTCTTATAATTATTTATAGTTTCTAAAGTCAACTAGATCTAATTCTTAGAATAATTGTTTTAATAAACTAGTAGGTATTTAAGAACATCTTTATTCGATTTTATTTAATACTTAAGTACGTAATATATTCTATTCTTCATTTATCAATCTGAATTATAAAAATTCGTTTAGATTTTCATTCTAGGATATATTCTATGTTTCGATTTCTAATGGTTTAATTGAATTAAATTCTACTTTTTATTTTTCCAGAAATTAAATTTGAGTATTTAATTGAAATATTTTATCATTGAATTATTCTAGATATTTTTTATAATTATTTTCCATGTCTTCTAAAGTAAGTATTTTTTCTTAGTTTTCTTATATTTATATAATTTATTATTATTATTTATAGTTTTTTTTTAAGGTTTTTTTTATTCTTTTTATTTCCTTTATTTTTTTTCTTCTTTTTCTATTTTTTTTTTTATTTCAGATTCAAATTTACATTTTCTTCTTAAAAAACTTTCTCCTCATCTTAAATCTAAGTTTAAATTTTTTAAATCTATTATTAGATTTCTTCTTTTTTCAATTAATAAAAATCACCAACTTATTATTAAATTATTTAAATTAATTTAGTTTATTTATTCTTTTCCTATTAAATCTCCTCATCTAAAATTTCTTCAATCCTAAGTTGTTTCTCCTTATTTTCTTTTTAATTTTTATCTGTTTTTCCTCTTCTTCATTATCTTCATCCTCTTCCCCTTTTCCCTCAATTACTTAAGGTTTATGAGTTTCACAAATCTCACAAATTGTTGACTCCCAAGGATTTTCTAAAGTACAAGAAGGGCAATTCCAAAACTCCGGATCCTTAGCTTCCACTATCTATTCTTATTATTCTTCTGCAACCTTCTATTCTTCCTCCTATTACTATTTCTAAACATCATCCTAAAGCCCTGCTACATCTTCCAAATCCAAAAAGGCGGACCCATCAACCAAAACGAAACATTATTGACTAGAAGTAATATTTTTTTTGACAATAAAAATATCTAAAACCGGATTCAAGATCCTCAACTTAGCTTTTTGTACACTCTAGGCAATATTTTTACGGATATCATCTTCATTCCAAAAATAAGGTAAATTTTTTAGCACAAGTATATTTTAAAAAGGCTCTTATTATTGGTAATTATTTTTTAACAAAAGTTACTTCAAGACAAGATTATTGTAAATTTCCTATGTCAAAATTCCCTAACAATCCACAAAATTAAACACTACATTTAAATTGATAATATGTTCCATCCAAACAGGTATTTTCTATGCGTTAGAATTCTCTAAAAGATCCTTATAATTACTTTGGTAATAAAAATCCCCTTTATTAAATAAAACAGGGGTAAGAATAGTCGAAAGCATTTCAATTTAATCTTAAATGTATGAACAATATAAAGAGTTTTCATCTAATTTGTTCTTTTTTAAATATTCTTAAACTTTCATTATATTGGAAATTACAAAATCTTGCTTTATATTATATATTTCCCAGTGTTTTTTCTTGAAGTTTTATTTATTTATTTCCATTATGTTACTATTTATTTAATATTTTATTAAAAATCTTAACTTCCTAACTGTGTTTATTATTAATTTGGCCAAAAGGTTCTTTATAATTGCCGGACCGTATAAATAATTAAACATATCGCATAACATTCCTACTATTTTACCAAGCATTTCTACTGAACTTTTCTCTTTTTTTGCGTTCATTAAACTCGTAGATAGACTATCTATTATCCAACAATTTAAATTCCAATCAGAGGGTACACCATGTAGTAAACAAGGTAAACTGCTCGTTTTTTAATCAATTTCGAAAGGCGATAGTTAATGTTTGTTAAAATAATAAGTACAATATATATCACTTCCTTTAAATATTATTGGTTCGAGATTTTTAGTTGATTTTTTTCCTGCATTTATTTAATATAAGCAATTGATTCCTAAAGAATCAGTAAAGAATTTACAACCTATATATATAATAAATATTATATTTATGCATATATATTATTTTGTAATTTATATAAATTTACCTGAATAAATTCCTAATTAAGTATCTTTATGGAAACTTAAAATAACTGAACCTATTTTATAAGAATCGGCACCATCAAATTAACAAAGATTAAAAGGTTTAGCAATTGAAGAGTTTTGAATTTCCCCATCATGACAAGAATTTTAGGCCATTTAAACAAGATCGATTTCTTAAACAAACTTCGAAATTAAGGAAACACAAGAAGGGAAAGCATTCAAAACATACTCAAATATTAAGTTTGTATTTTATTTTTTTTTCGCAGCACTCCAATTAATAAAATTTTAAATTTATCTTAATTTTCTGAAAGGATTTTATTATTAAAATAAAGAACCATCACTAATTTCTATTCCCCCTAATGATTATTATGAGTTTAAGTTTTATTTTTTTAATCTACTTCTTAATAAATTTAACTAATCATCATCTTATTTTTACATAAACTGTAATTATTAAAACTATAAATTTTTCACAAAATCCCCATCAATATAAGCACTTGATCCATTCATTTTAAACCATCCATAAACTGGGTCATCTGCTAATTCTTCAGATACACAAGCCTTTATAATTTCGATAAAATCCAGTTTTATTTATTTCAAAAGTTCATTTTATTTTTCAAATTACTATTCTTCTTCTTCTTGTTAATAATTCAAAGAGAAAAACTACAATAGTGTTTATTTAAAAAGTAACCCAATACTATAAACCGTAGTTTCCTAAAATTAATCCACTATGTACTTTTCCGGATAATTAGAAGAAGGTGGTCTTACTGGAACTTCTGTCAATCTTAAAGAAGTAACGGGAAGCCACAAAGTAATTAAATGAGCCTAATCATGGTCATGATAAAGACATAAAACAGACGAGTTTCTGACATCGATTCCTATTGCTTCTACACAAACAGTTGTATTTTCCACATTTCGTTCCCTAATAAAAAACGGAGATAACACCTAATTATTTTTCGTATTATAAATAGTCGCTAAAAGCCATTACCCTACCTTTACTTCTTCGATAGATATTGTATCCCAATCATGGTTAGCGTCTGGAAGCACAACACCTTATGGAAGGTTTTTCTCACAAATAATATAGGCGACACTAGCTGCTCTTGTTTAGTCCCCTTTCCTTAACGGTTATCTTATTTATTCGAAAAAGTCTTCTAATTCATATTATTTTAAAGTTGTTTTTACAAAATCGTATATTTTTGGAATAACAAATTTCTCCCAATACTTTAAAAGTTTATTTTCACTAATTTCAGGTTAATACATAGGAAGAGATTATACATAAGAGCTTTAATTTAGTATATATTCTGATACCGAGTCTTTTTTTTCATTTACTTGTTAAGAAGTTAATTTTTTGATACAAGGAGATGGTTAAGTGTTTTTTTTAACAAATGTAAATCATTAATATTTGAAAACTTTTTCGGAAATTAAAATTTCTATAATTCATATTAATATTTATCAATATAGTATTCCCACTAACTTATGAATTTTTTCTCATAGGAATATGAATTTTTATCTGGAAGAATATCTGCGGTGAACTTTTATGCTATTTATAATAAATTTAAAGCTTCTTATTATGATATTTTATTTTTTTATATTGCTTTATTTAACTCTAGTTTATTTACTATACGTAACAAAAATCTCATAAAAAGACTTATTTATATCTTCTTTTCAATTTAATTATTTTCTTTTTAATTTTCGAGAAGTTGAGAACTTCCTATTTATATTGCTTAAAGTAATTCCGAAAAATATTCGAATTTATCTATTGGCCATTATTAAATATATATCGGTTGTAAGTTTTATTAATAAACATTTTATATTGTTAAATTCGAACTAACAGTAGATAATATATTGCATCTTTTTTGGCCACTTTAACTGCCTATATATAGATTTAAAAATTAATAACAAATAAAAACAAATAAATACATATATAAATATATAAGTTATGTTAAATATAATTATATATTAAATATAATGTTGTATTTATTTTAAATATACATTTTAATATATATTTTAAATAATTTATATACCTCCAGATAAAATACATTCTACTTCTTATTTATAATCTATTTTATTTAAAATTGCATTCGTTGATTATCTTACTGATTTAGGCCAATCGCCTATAATATTAAGAATTCCTGCAATTTTACTTTTATCGGTTTAGGAAATTCCATCTACCCAATTATTGTTTTTATTTAAACATTCTAAACATAATTTTAATTAATTTTTATGTTCATTAAAATAATTTTCATTTTTAAGTAATAAATATCTTTAAAATTCTATTAATTCAATAATAATATTATTAGTAGAAATTCCACCTCTACAATGTGCTTAAATGATACTATAAGCATTAGCGTCTGGATAAAAAGAGTCCTATATATATATATATATAAATATTTATAAATATAAATAAAAATTAACTTTAGATGGCAAAGAAGTAATATAATCAATTCCTTATTCAAAAATAGGAAATATAGAAATATCGCATATTTAAACTGACATTTATGATCCTTTATCAGCTTCACAATCTTTCCATAAAACTGAAGCAATTTATTTTTTTTCTTACTTAGGTAATATATTTTCATTTGGATCTACTTATTTTCTATATTATTCTTAAATATGATCAAGCGGTATATTATTTAATTTATTCTAAATAGCTAAATTGATAATAGCAGCTAATTATTCAGCTTTATCTTTTGGTAAATAATCAAACATTGGCGCATAGCCGAAAATATTAAATAAAGAAGCAATAGTCTAAATATCTTTTAAATGATTTTATATTCTCTTTATGAAGTTTTTAACTTTTATGATTTCTATTTTAACATCTTCAGGATCTGTTTCTTAAAAATCTTTAATTTCTTTATCTGCTAATTCCATTTTTTTACTCAAATTCGTCAAAGCTAAATTTTACCAAACAATTTTAACTTTCTTTTTTATTTTTCCTCTTTTTTATTCGGACTAAAACACTTTTAAATCATTAAAAAGTCCTATATAATTAAAATACCACCCTATTGGTAAATTTTATTCATTTTCCGAAACTCCATTAATATCAGGTAAGGCAATAAATAATTTTTCCATCAATTTTTATAATTTTGTACTATCAGTTTATTAAGCCTCTGCTTTTTCAGGTTAACCATTTGTCTATTTTTTGTTTATATATAAATAATATTTATATAATAAGTAAGTAAAAATACTTTCTATTAATCTTTTTTTTATTCCAAAGTTTTTTTGCTTTCTAAATATTCTTCTACAGTTTTTGGATAATTTAAAGAAGAAGATGGATATAGTTCTTCCCAATAATAAAAGGCTTTAAGTAGAAAAGTAAAATCTTCCTCGGAAGTAAGTTGCCCTAAGACAATATATTATTACTCGTTTTTTTTTAATTCATTTTACTATTACTATTACTAATCTTTTTTTTTGAATAATCTTATGAAAAAGTAAGATATAATGAACTATATCTTTTCTTAAATTATTACAGTGTACTAAATAATTTAAAGTAATTATTCATCTAGCTTTTTAATGAGTTATTGTTTTAAACATTAAAAATTAAGTCGCCGATTTTCTGGTTGATTAAATTCATATTATTAATTTTAAAAATATCACTTTTAGGCATTTCAAATTCTAAAAACTTTCTTTTCAAAGAAGGCTATGGTAAGTTCTAAGTAATTCCCAAATAATTCTAACCTAAATCTTTTGAATATCCTTTAGTAATAATATCATTTATATTTTCGATTTCTACCAAATAATATTTGTATTAAAATGGATTTTTCTTTTCATTATTAATCAATTATATACAATCTGGTAATAAAATCGTTCAAACATCTCAAAATCAGTCTTATTTAGACCGGATTTTCACTATGGAAGACCAAAAAAGTCAACACATCAGCCAATTAAACATAAACATCAATATTAAAACTTTTATTTTTTTTATCTTAGGCAACATATCTTTTAGTAAGGATATCCTCGAAAATTTTAAATAAAAATTTTAGTCTATAACTCCCAACATAATCAAAAATTCTCAAAAAAATCCTTAAATTAATCTCAAATTCTTCCGAAAAACCTACTTCTTTTTTTAAAACCTAAATTAGAATTCCACAGAGCATTTCTATATATTTATAAGGAGCCGTAGTGATGATTTTAAACAAAATGTTTTAAACTGAATGACTTATTAAATTCACCAAAAGTACTATATCTTCGAATTTTTGACTCATATGTGTAAAAGAAATAGACAAAAGTCCCAATTCGCATATATTTTCAAAAAATTTCTCAAAAAACCCACTATTGCTATTATTATTTTAATCTAATCGATTCCACATTAAATTATTATTTCCACTCATAATAGTTAAGATATCCGCAAGAACCAAATTAATATTTTTCAATTATTCCTAAAGTAACCCATTTAATGATATATTGATTTATTCTCATATTAAACTTTATTTACTTATAAACAATATCCTTAAGTTTATTTCTTTAATTTTCTCCACTTTACAATTAACCACCTAAACGCATTAATATAAAATACTCCTCAAAATATCCTCGTAAACATTCTTTAAATCCTTCGAACTGCACCCAATATCCTATTACTAGTCTTAACCCAGTAAATCATTTAATACACCCAAAACATATCTTTCGAAGCAGGTATTAACGGTCATATTTTGTATTTAAAAAGGAACCGAAAGTCCACATATCCTTCTCGAAATTCTAGTGTCTTATCTTTTTAAAGCCTCTTAAATTTCCTCTGCTTTAAAATTCGAGCATAATAATTAAGCTATAGATTTCAAAGGGTTATAGCTAATAGAAGAGAGCAAATCTTCCTATTAGCTTTATTATACTTCATCTAAATTCATATTTCTATATTATTTCCATTTTTAATAAGACTTCACCCAATTTCTAAAACTATCAACCTTTTACTAATCTACTTTTTTAGCATTTATAGGCAAACTAATTGATCTATTAGTTATTCCTACAGGCTTTATATCAGATTCTTATGAAAGAACAGATTCATTTAAATTATTATATTATTATTATAAATTCTTTTATTATGAATTATTACTTTAATCATTTATTTCAATTTTATATTGTTAATTGTACATTTATTTATTACATAATGATAATATTAATAATACTTTTTATAAAGTCCTTAATCCTACTAGCTTATAAGCTGATTGCTACTATTATTGTTCTTTATTTTCATTTATGTATTATTTGCAAGCTTCGAAAACTTACTTAGAAGTTTATTGAAGTTAGTCTTCATTATAAAATATGTTTCGAGAATTACAAAGAGCTTTTAAGGCTTCGCTTTTACCTCCGCCAAATCTTTAAAGGAAATTTTCTAGTAAAAATTTATTTAATTCTTCTTCTTTGTAATCTATATTTTACTCTATTTGTTTTTCTACTTCCTCATCATCTTCTTCTTCTTTTTTGTTTTTTTCTTCTATTTATTTTTATGTTTTATACTGTTATTAGTGCTTTTAAGTAGATTTTTCTTGTACAAATCTAATTTTTTTCCATTTTTTTATAATTTTATCTTGTTTTTTATTTAATTGATTTTCTATTAAATTTTAATCATTTTTTTTTTCTGGTAATTCTTCGTTTATTTTAACTTTCGCTTTTTAAATCTCGTTTTCTTAAATAAATTAAAGTTTGGCCTCTTTTAAATTTTCGATTGTGTGTTAAAATTCTCTCTCTTCCTATACTAAGCTTAACATTTTAATAATAATTTCATTTCTAGTACTTTCTATGCATTAAACATTTTCCATAATATATTATTTATTTTATTTAATGTTTATATGTAATAATCCACAATGATAAATAATACATAAAAAAATTAACATTTCGCATTACATCCATATTTATAAATATTCTTAAGTAAATGTAGGTCTTTTATTTATATTATAAAAAAAAGAATATAATTATATAAAAAAATATATTTATTAGTATTTATTAAAAATAATCAAATTAACCTTATTTTTTCATGAGCATATTACATAGCTTCTTTCATATGAGATCTTATTTCTTTATAAAAATCATAAAACTCGCCATCTAATTTTTAAATTTATAAAATATATTCTTCTAAAACAGTATTTTTCAACAAATTATGTTTCCAAACATCCTATTCATCTAAATATTAAACATTTTTAATAAAAATTTTATTATTATTATTATTATTATTATTATTATTATTATTATTATTATTATTATTATTATTATTATTTCATCGTTTTTAAACTAATTTATTCCCTTATAAATTTTCTAAAAAAGTTCCATTTTAATATCCTAATAAGGAGAATCACTTTATTAACAGCTACTTCCATTAATCATATCTTTAATAAAACTATTTTTATATTCTTCAAATTTTATATTATTACATAACTACCAAACTTATATTTCTCCATTATTATTAATTTTTTAAATATTATTAAAAGTTTATATATTTAATCCATTTTTAATCAACCCCCATTTTAAAAATCCTGAATTTTTTTTTTCCTCTTGACTAACTTTACAACTTTAGCTTAAATTTTTTACACTTTCAATAATTGAAATTGCACACAACTTCATTGTATTTAACCAATCATTTATTTTTTCTTCATTACCAAATCTTATTTTTAATTTTATGAAATCTTCTTCATTTTATATTTCCTCTTACCACATTTTCTTATTCATTCCATATATCGGTCTCACATTAATTTTATAACCCCATCTACTTAAAGATTTTTCATCTTTAGCATGTCCAGAAGATTAAAAGTCCACTTAAATAGAATTTCCTAATAAAATAAGTAATTTCTTAGGTACATTCTTGCCAGAAATTTTAAAATATTTACCCAATCCTTCTTTCTATTAATAAGAAAAGCTCCCCATTTAATTATTTGTAGATTTTTAATTATCATACCAAGCCTAAATAGATAAAAAATCATTAGCCGTATCTGACTAGCACCTTTTATCGAAATGAACTGCAATAGCAATTGCTCCTGGGAAAATATTCTATTCAAACTAGATGACTTTTCCCCTTTCATAAGGATGATTAGTTTCGAAGACTTTTTCAATAACTTAATCAATTCCCTCAGAGTAATTTCCAAATATTTTCTATGTAAAATAATTCTAATTTTCTTCCTAAATATCTTATGTTTACAATAATTTATTCATAAGATTGAATATTTACATAAAATAATGACTATTTTTGACATTTAAAGGAAAAAAACAAACTGAACTTGCAAAATTTAACTAAAAAAACATCGCAATAACTCCATTTATATTTTCAAGCAATTCACTTAAATATTAAACTTCTAAAAATTTCATATTCAAATTTAAATTTTATAAACTCTTTAAAATTAACTCACAAAATCTCTAACTTAAGTTTTCCCTTATTTCTTATTCTTTTTTTCCTTCTAATTTTTTATATTAAATTATACCAAAGCATTATTATTGTAAATTCTATAAAATTTTCCATAATAAAATCCCTTATTATTATTAAATAGAGCAACTTTTAATACATAAATCTTAAATAATATTCCATAAAAATTAACAATTTTATTTATGTTATTCTTTCTCTTTTTATTATTATTCTTTACCTTATTCATTGTCTTTGACTTCTTCATCTTCTTCTATATATTCACTTTTTAAATTTTTTAAATAATCGATTTCTTCAATCAATAGTAAACAAAAAGGTTAACAAAACATTTATTAATTAACCCTAATTTACTTATTTTTTGCAAAAATTTAAGCAAAATTAGTTTACATATCAACCTATTCTAATAAATCTGATTTATTTTATATATATTCAATTAACTAGATATCTTTAAATTACATATCTAATTATATTGTTTTGCAAGAAAAGCCTTAATTTTTATAAAGAAGTTCAAAAAAGTTGAACTCTTTGTTTTTAATTTCAAGTAATTTTTTAAAAACAGTAATTTACTAAGAATTGCTTTTATTAAATAAATTCCATCCTTAACTAAAAATATGAGAAATTAATTCCAAAACAATTTTATTTTTTTCTTAAAAAAACTAAATAAAAGTCACCAAAACTTCAAAAATCTTCCCAAATTTATCGCAAATTTCTTTTTTTTAAATAGACAAAACATCACAATGTAAAACCCAATAAAGTAACTAAATTAGACTTAAAAAAATTTTTTTTTCATCTATAAGAAATTAATTATTTTAATATAAATTATTTATTTTCTCAAAAATAACTAAAAATTACTAAATAGAACCATTTATACAAAATGCGTATTCTTTAGTTATTTCTATTAGAATTTTTTCATTTTTTTGGCAATTTTTTTAATTCAATTTATTTTATTCTAAATATTTATTCATTTTTTATATTATTTTCTGTTTTTATTTCAATAAAATGTTCTTGGTTTCTTCAATATTTTGTTTTTTATTTCCCTAACTTTAATTTATTTATTATAAAACTTGAATATCTTATAAGGCATATCCATATGTATATTCCCATTTATTTAATTTCCAAACAATTTATTGTCTAAATTTTTATAATGAAAGTATTTTTGACATAAATTTAATTTCAAATTCATTCTCATAATTTTCTTGTTATTATTATTAATTATTAGTATCATTTTTTTCTATTAAATTTTCTACATATTTATGATATTAAAGATTAATGTAAGATTTTTATTCAGATACCATACTTATTAATGAAGGAAATTCACAATTTTGATTATTTATGGACCAATTAAGGATATAATATATATTATTTTAGATATCATAACAACCATGAAAAGCTGGATTTAATGGATAAGCTTTTTTATTAACATTAATTTTTGTAATTAAAGTAGTTTTTAGTAATTTTTAAGGTTTATCTTTATTATTAATATCTTTATTAGCATTATCCTTATTAAAAATATCTTTATTAGCAATGTCCTTATTATTTACTTCTTTGTTAATTATATCTTATTATTATTATTATTATTGATCAGGACTTTATAATGATTATTCTTCTAAAAGTTATTATTTTTTTAATTCTTAATACTATTATATTTAAGTAATATTTTAAAAAATTTTATTATTATTAAATTTGTTTAATATATCAAACTATTATTTATCTTGTTGCTTCTATAAATCTTATTCTTCTTATTAACCACTATTTTCAATATTATTTTCTTCTAAAGACTTAAAATAACTATAAGGATTAATCTCATATACATCTTCAGGTTTTTTCGAAAAAATCTTAATTCCTTATTCACTATAAAGACTAATTTAATCTTTATTCATAGTCCAAAATGAAGAAGCTACATTTGCTGGTAAAATCAAAGAATTGTCTTTTACGGATATATCTGCGGTATTTTTTATTGCTTTCGATATGTCGGTTGTAATTTCAGCTTGTCCTAGTATTGTTTTCGATTTATATGTATATTATTATGTTATAGTTTACTATTATCCTATAGATGGCTATTATTAAGATATAGCAAGTTATTAAATTATTGATGGAATTTATTATAGTATTTTATCGTTTTATTTGTTTTCTTATGATTATTACAAACAATCTTATTGTTATAAATTATTTAATTATGGTTTTTATTATTATTATTGTAAATCATTTTCTTATTATTATTGTTGTTAAATTTAGTTATTTTCTTATTATGATTGCATAATATTTTCTTATTGATTTTCTTATTATTTTTATTATTATTTTTATTATTATTATTATTATTATTATTATTATTATTATTATTATTATTATTATTATTATTACTCTTAAATTTAATTTTTTATTTATTAATATTGCATGTTATTTTCTATCAATTAATTATTTTCTTTTTATTAGTCATTTTCTTATTAATTATTATTTTCTTATTATAAATTATTATTTTCTTATTATAAATTAATTTTTTCTTAAATTTAATTATTTTTTACTTTTGTTTTATTATTGTCTTATTTTTTTTAATTATTTTCTAATAATTTGTTTTCTTATTATTAAATTTCTTATTATTATTTTTATTATATTTCAGTATCTTATTTACTAACAATATGCTCATCTTATTATTCAATATTATATACATACAAACAATATTCAATAATTCTATTATAATTTGAATCAATATCTTTATTTTAAATATCAGTTTCTTCTTAAATATTTTTTTATCCAACTTCTTAATTTTTTTAATAGCTACAATTTTTTATTAAAGCTATTAATCTTTCAATAATAATTATTAATCTTTAATTTATTATTATTCTTTTTCTTTTTAAATTTTTTCCCTTACTTTGATTTCTTTTAGTAATAAATCTTTTAATTAATCTTCTTTTTCATCTAATTTTTATTTCTATTATTCATTATTTTTAATTTCTTTTTCTTCATTTTTATTTTCTTCAACTTCTTATTATTTTTTCTCCTCTATTTGCTTTTTTTCATTATTGTCTTCCATTTTTTTTTCTAATATTTCTTTCTCACTACTAATTAACATAACTTACTATTAAATAAGTTAAAGAATTTCTTATTTTTATTAAATCTATTATAATTAATGCATTTTAAATAATTATTATTATTAAAGTAATTCTTCTTCACTAATTTCTTCGAATTTTTCTTCTTGTCCATCTTCTCGTCTTTATCCTGCGATTTCTTCTAATTATTTTTTCTATTCTTATTATATTTATAACAATAATTATTATTAATATAAGATATCCATTTTTAATTATTATTATTGTTATAATTTAGTACATTCTTTTGGCATATAAGCCTTTTCTTCGATTAATTTCTACACTTTTTTTTCTTTTACGCCTTAATTAATTATTTTTTTCCCAATAATATATAAAAATTCACCGTCACTTAACAAAGGAAAATTTTTATTTATACTAATTTATTATATTCCCTCAAACATTTCTTCATTTTTAATTTAAATACTTTTTATAAACTCAAGTTTTTCACTACAAATGACATCAATAATTCCAAGCTTTTAATTTATTTTTTTATTTAAAATAAAAAATAAATAAAATTACCTCTTTTCCACTTAATCTCAAATATAATTTTTTATTTAAATAAACCCAATAAGCTTCTTCGTTTTTATTTAAATTTTAAAACAAATAAACTTTTCCTGGAACAGTATTATTTTTTCCAGTACCAACTTTAAACATACCTCCATCTAAGCAACTTACATATATATACAAATATACTCCATCTGTAGTAATAGAAGTTGTATTAAAGCTTTGTTTCTAAAATTGCTAAAACATAGATATTTTAAAACCTCCTAAATTACAAAATTAATTCATATAGTGTAAATTCTTATTATTTTCTTACAAATATTCAACTATTTTATCTAAATAAGTCAATATTTCTTAACTAATTTTTTAAAAGAATATTTTTTTTTCTTCTTCTGTTAATACATTTAAGCATTTTTTCATAATATTGTCAATGAAATCAATCTATTTTAATATATGTATATTTATTAAATACTTTTTTATAAACAAAATTAATAAATTACTAATAAATTAAAATCTCCTTTATTAAATGAAACATAAAAATATGCATAATTAACATCTAATAATAATTCAAAAATTTATTTTCTTTTAATAACATCCTATGTATTTTATAATATATTTATATTATTATCGATAACATTTTTTATTTTTTCAAAAAATTCCTAATGTACATGATCTGGTTCATTAAAAAAATATAAAAATGGCATATTTTTAACATTAATTAAAAACGATTCTAAATCAATAGGCCATTTTTAAGGATTATTACCTTTTAATTTCATAAAATTCCAACTATCTAATGCACAATTTTTAATTTTTCCCATATCATTGCTAAAGTCTGAATTATATATAATAATAATATATATAATAATAATATATATAAATATATTTATATTTTTTTATATTTTATTTATATTTATAAATATACAAATTATATATATTTATATATTTATTTTATTATAATTATTTTCTAGAATTTATTACCTTCAAATAAAACAAATGGATTTTAATTTTATTATTAAAGAGCATAATTTATTTACACTGAATTTCTCAAATAATATTCAGCTAATTGATTTTTTAGACTTTAACTAAATAAATGTAACTATTAATCTGTTTATTTTATGCTTTAATCCTTAAATTTTTCTACAACCTTTTCTTAAAAGCCAACTTTTTCATTATAGCTATCTAATGGTGTGATTAAATTCATTTATTTTATGTTAAAATTTAAAGATTTTTGGCATATTCCTTGCTATTCTTTTAAAGATTAAAAGTAAAGGAAATCAGAATCTATAGCATAATTTTATATGTTAATGAAATTTTCATCATTTTATAATATTTATGAAGGAAAATTACTCATATTTTTTTTTTTTATATATATGTATATTATTATTTATTTTATTTTAAAAAAGTTAAATATTTAATTTTTTTATTTTATTTATTTATATTTTTTCTTCTCTTTTTTATATTATTTTCTAATCTCAAATATAAATTTAAAAAAAGAATAAAATAATATTTTTAAAATTATTTATTTATATACATACATTATACATTTATAAATATTATAGATATAATGTTTTTTAAAGAATAAAAATTATTGATCAATATTATAATAAATAAATTATTATTTAAATTTATTGTATCTATAATCATTTGAAAAGCATATATAAAAAAATAAAGAGTAAAATTAACTTCTTATTAATAAATAAATATATTTTAAATTATATTATAAATATTATAATATTATTAGAATATTATGTAATTTATATTGAATTAGTTTTATAAATAGAAATTTATACAATATTAAATTATATATATATATTATTAAACTAAAATTATAAATTTAATATTTCTTTAAATATATTCAAAACTTAAATATAAAAGGAAATAATTATAAATGTATATTTATTAAAAAAATTATATTAATTTTTTTTTTAATTATTTTTAAGTAAAAATTAAAATTATATATTAAATAAATATTTTATTTATTTTTACTTTATATATAATAAAATTAAAAAACTTTTTAACATATCCTACAATCAAAATTATAAATATTAAAAAAATGGAATAAAAAGGTAACAAATATTATTAATTATAATATATATTTTTTAAATATATATATAATATTATTATAAGATTATCCTTCAATAGTAATTATTATATAAGTAGAATATTAAATTGTAGATGATTAAGATATAATGAAATTATAAATAAAAGAATTATGTTGGTAACCAATAAGCATAAATTAAAAGCAACCAATAATTGAATTATAAATCATATAAGAAAATCCAAAAAGCGAATAAGAAAATATAGTAAAAAATATTTTTTTTAAAAAAAATTATATTATTAATATATTTAAAAAATAGGATAAACAATTAGATTCTATTTTTAAGTTTTTATAGTAAAACTAAGATGAAAAAATATGTTTTATGATAACTTGTAGAAATTTTTATAAATATTTGGAATAAAAATATATAAAGTTAATAAACAATTATTAATTTTTCGATTTTTTAACATAGGCTAATTACATATTTAATATAAAAGCAGATAATATAATGGAAGTAATAGAATATTTTTCAATAAAATTAGAAATAAAAGAAATAAATTCGTAAAATTAAAAATTAGCAACTGCTGTATCTAAAATAGTATAAATAATGATAAGAACAACTATAAAATATAAATATCCTATAAACTAAATTAATTATGTATATAAAATATATTTAAATTTAAAATTATATTTATATTTATATATTATATACATATATAATTAAATTTATATACATTTATATTAATATATAATATATATTTTTATCTTTTTTTATTTGTTAATTATATTAGTAAGTAATTATACAATATTAATTTCTAATTTTTTTAAAAAATAATAAAGAAATCATACAAAAATTAATATAAAAATCTATAAAATATATTTTTAGACGATTAATTAGATTAAAAATTTTAAGATTCTGAATTAATAACTAAAAATTGTAAATATTAATATTTAAAACTTAGAGGATTGCCTTTTAATTCGCGAGAAAGAGATCTTTTTGAATTTTTAGATTTAAAATTATCAAATAAACATATAGCTTTTAGGCATGATTCTGATGGTAGATTTAGTGGTGAATGCTTTTTAAAAATAAAAGAAGATGAATTAATTCAAAAAATAAAAGAAAAACATTTGAAAAGAATGGGAAGTAGATATATAGAAATATTTTTTGCTAAGGAAAGTGATTTTTTTTTCGCCTAATAATCATAATAAATAGATAATGATTATTTATATAAATAAAATAATTTATAATAGGATGATTAGGAGATAAATTTAAATAATTTGGGAATTGTAAAGCTTAGAGGACTTCCTTTTAATGTGACTGAAAGTGAAATTTATGAATTTCTCATAGATTGTGATATTATTGATAATGGAGTTTAAAAAGTCATAGAAGGATAAAGACCAACCGGAGAAGCATATGTACTATTTAGTAGTAAAAAAGAAACAGAAAAAGCATTATTAAAGGATAAAGAAAGAATAGGAGGAAGATATATTGAAATATTTGTCTGTCATTATAAAGAATATAATAACTTTTTATAGAAAAATAAAAATGGAAGAAATAAGAAAAGTAATAGTCCGAATTTTAAAAATAAAAATAGAAAATATTTTTTTTAAAAATAATAGAATTTTTAAATTAGGAACTTTAAAGAAAGAAAGAGAAGCAAAGATGAATAAAAATAAAGTGAATTAAAATAATAAAATATATAATAATAATAAATATAATTATAATAAAAATAATAATAATAATAATAATTATAATAATAATAATAATAATAATAATAATAATAATATATAATATATTAATAATTTTAGTAATAATAATAATAATTTTCATAATAAAAATCTATAGGTTATTATAATGATTAAAATATTTAAAATTAAATATTATAAAATTTTGATTAACATTTTTTATAAAATCAATAATTTTTTTAATAATATCCTCTCAATTAGTAAAATTATAATAGTTAAAAAAAACAAAGTCATTTTATTGATAATGATTTTATTCCATTAAATTAATATTATTGATTTTAAATTATACATATTTTTTTATTATTTATTTAAATTTATAATAAATAATTTTTCTTCAAGTATTAATTTTACTATTTCAATTTATTATAGTATCAAATTATTTTTATTAATAAATTTTAAATATAAATTAATAAGAAAATTAATTTTTTTTTTATTATATATATTATTTTTTAAAAAATAATTTTTTTAAATATAATTACAAAAAAAATTTAAGTTATTTAATTTATATATAAATATATATTTTGTTATATTATTTATTTCTAAATTTCTTTTCTTTTAACTTTTTTATTGTCTTATAACCTTATTTATTTTTTTAATTAAATTATAATAAAAAGATTTACAAAAATATTTATTGTATTATTTTTAATCAAATAATAAATAAAAATGAAATAAAAGTCTAATTAAGGTTACAAAATTTTCAAAAATTTAAAATTCAAAAATGAAGAAATGGAAAAAAATTACTAAAATTTTATAGACAATTAGGTATAAATAAAAAAAAGTTAATTTTAAAAAACCAAAAATAGAAAAAATAATACATATATATATTAACTTTAGTATAAATAATAACTGTTTTAGCCAAAATAATATAACAATAAGCTAGTAATTGGAAAGATTTTTTAAATATAGGACTTTTACTATCTGCAATCATAATAACTAGATTATTACCAAGATTTGTATTTTTAATTAGTTTCATTTTTTAACTCGGAGCTACATATTCAACCATTGATTATTTAAGACCAAAACTAGAATAATCAACATCTTTTATAAATGGTTAAGTAAATAAAATATATAAACATATATTTTATTTTTAAAAAGAATGTGGGTGCTTATTATCTTCTTGAAAGTTCAAATTTTGCTTTTGAAGTTTTGGGAATTCTAATATCTTAAATAATTACTATAATAAAATTGAAAAATTTGATGATATTTTAATATTTTTAACTTATTTTTATTATGATGTTATTCATTTATTTCAAGTATATTAATTGTAAAACTTAAAGACAATCTTTTAGACTTAATTATGATAATAAATAACTTAGTTTAATTATGGACTAACATGTTACTAATGAAATTTTTATTATTTAATATAATTGTGGAAGAGTATGTTTATATGGTAAATTAATTAATTAATTAATTATTTTATATTTATTATTTAAAAAAATAAAAATAATAATAATAAAAAAAAAATTATAGATTTAAATGAAAAAGCAAAAATGTTACAAGTTCATAATACATTTGATAAATTTTAAAGTTTTTTAAATTAAATTTTAATAAATAAAGTTTAAAATAAAATAACCTAACAAAAATTTACAGTAAAAGAAACTTTAAAAAGCTATTTAATTAATAAATTAGCAAAATCAACTGAATAACTAAACACATATTAAAAAAAAATCAGTATTTAAGATTAAAACTATTAAAAAAAAGTTAAAAAAATTAAAAAAAATTAAAAAAATAAATATATATATATATAAAAAGCTTTTCGATAATATATTTAACGAATCTGAAAATTTATTTTGTGAGTAAAATTTTGAAAAATTAAATAAAAAAAAATGTATAATAAATATGACAAAAGTATATATGGATCAAATACTAATAGTATTAAGCTTTGAGCAAAACTATATCGAAAAAAAAGAACTTTAAGAAAAAAATCATGTTTATGAAAAACTCCTCGTAAACATCCATATAAATTACATATATAAATAAAAAGAAATGCTTAAGCTAATATTAGAAAAAAAATTGAATAAAGTAAAAACAATGCATATATTACATATGAATAATGTATATGCCATAAAATAATACCTTTTTGGTAAAATAAGAAGCTCTTTTTTAATAAATGCTACCGATTTTAATTTTTTTTCAACTATCGAATTACTTAAATAGCTTTTTCCTTAAATTAATATTGAAAATTAAATCTCAGATGATAAAATTCCTATAAAAAATGACGAAACATGCATTTCATATATTTTAACTTCTATATGTTCGAGTATAATTTAAAACTAAGATTTAAATAAATTCCAAAACACCGAATAAAATTCTTCAAAATTTTCTGATGTAAAATAAAACTAGTAATATATACTTCCTATTACTCCTTAAGAAAACCGAAGTCCTAAAATGGATAAATCATATACAGAAGAAGACTATAATAGTCAATAGAAATTAAAAACTAAAATTTAACAAACTAAATAAATATTAATTAATCACCTCATTAAAAAAATATTATTAAAAGAAAAATATTGAAAGAAAAAAATCAATTCATTATTATGAAAATTTTTAATTTGAAAATTTCAGTTAATTAATTTTGAATAAAAATTGTTATATTCCTTAATTAACTATAAAATAAATTCAAAAAGATAGTGAATTTTCATAAGATTATATAGAAATAACATTCAAATATTTAAGAAATAGCCAAAAAAGGAAAAGTATTTTATAAGAAGAATTCGAATTCGATAATTTAAATTTTAATAATAATAATAAATTTATAAATTAAATAGAAAATAAAATTGTAAAATAATTATTATAGAAAATTACTGCAACAGGAATTTAAATATAAACAGAAGACAAATTTTAAATTGTTACTTTTAAATTAATGACTGATCTAATAGTTAATAATTAATACAGAGAAAACAGAATACAAAGTTCTTTAAAATTACAAGATGGAGATATTTTAAACAGAAGAAGTACTAGAAATAGAACAAGTATAAATATATAATTAATTAGTACAAACTCTAATATTTACAATTATCCTCATAAATCAAGTGCTTCAAAAAAAATTTGTTAATATTTATTTGTTGTAAATGAAGATTAAAGCAATTAATAAAATATAGATAGTATTTATAAATAATAATAATAATAATAATAATAATAATAATAATAATAATAATAATATTATTACTGATATTAATGATAATGTTGATAATATAAAAAACGATTAAGATGATAATGATATCTAAAATCATAATAAAGATAATAATGATAATAATTTTAATAATTATAAGTTTTAGCTAGATCCTAAGTAAAAAATTATTTTTGATTATCTTGATTAAGTTAAATTAAGTCCTTCTAATATTGTAATTGAAGAATGTTAATAGAATACTTAATAATTATAAAATTCATTAAAATTATTTAAATGATTGAATATAAAATGATAAATAATTTTATTTTTATTATCTTTTTTATTAAAATATATTAATTCAAATATAATTTATATATTTTTATAAAAATTTTTTCTTTATTATATATTTTTAATTTTTTTATATTCAATTATTAAATTAATTATTTTATTAAATAATTTAATCTATTAAGTATTTTTAATTAATTGATAATTTTTTTATTGTATTCTTTATTATTAAATATTATTATATATTATTTAAAATTTAACTTTTTTATAAAAAACAAGAAAATGTTAAATTACGATTAAATTTTAAAATATTTATCAAATAATTTTTTTTATATTTTTTTAAAATTAAATGAACAACCAAGAAACATTTATTACTGCCTCCTTTAAAACATAATTTTCTATTCATAATTATTAAGTTTTTTTGCTTATCCTTTAGAATAGTCCAAAAATTTATCTGGAAATATATTTCCTTTGAATATTTTATTATATTATTTGAAATCAACCAGACCTTTTACATTAATATATGAATAAAAATACTTTTCACTAATCTACGTATTCATAATAGTTATATTAATAGATTTTTTATTTCTCATATCTATATATAAAACGAGATAGTTCAATTAAAATAGCATGATAGAAAGTATAAACAAGTAATCTTTTTATGCATATTTTGTTTTAATTTATTGTGAATGGAACTTAGGTTTTTATATAATATGTAAGCTAGATCTATATATGCATATAGTTACATTTAAATGTTTAGAAAATATAGTAATAATAGATACAATAAATATAATATTATCAATTGTAGGTATAATATAGACTATAATAATATGCATTTTAATAAATATCTTATATACAGATGTAAGCTTTAAATATAACAACAGCTAAATTCAATCTTTAGGAAAGTCTTAATTATTTATATATATAATAATTTTATTATAACTAATATTCCATATATACAATATTACTTTTGGAATTTATGTAACAATTCTATTATTATGCATATATGAGATATAGTAAATATACATAGAAAAAATACCAAAAAATAAATTTTAATTTTATGTTTTTAAAGATCAACTTTAATTAGCTGTTTATTGATCAGCATTTTATTTATTATAATAATCGAATCTTCTTTTAATTTAGACAAAGAACTTTTTTTAATAATATTAGTTATAATAACTTTAGTATCAGCAAGTTGCTATTAAATAACTTAAAAATAAATAACTTTGTGCTTTTAAAATTTCGATATAAAAAATCCTTCAGGTATTTTTATCGTTTAAAATATAATAAGTCTTTCTAGAAACGCATAATATTCCCATTAAGATTTCCTTTTGCTTTTTGGATATTTAAATTCTCATTAAAATGAGTGTGAATAAGAAAATTGCCCTTGCCAAAAAATACGGAAACATAATGAATTTAATAATGAAAATCTATCATATTTTTAACATTTTTAATAAAACTTTAATAATTTTTTAAATTTAATAAATTAATTTATTGAATATCATATGGAAAATACAAGCGAATAATTATTAAATAAAAAAATTGATTTAAATATTTATAATTATATATTCTAATATGTTTATTTTTTAGTTTATTATTAGTAAAGTTATTCCAAAGCATATTATGAGTTAAAAAAAATGTAAAAAAAATTACAAACTTTTCATTTTTAAATAATTATTAATTGCTTTTGTTATGCTATTTAATTAGAAATTGTCAAAGATTAAGAAAAGCTTAAATTCTCCCCAAAATTTGAAGATAAATAAAAAATTTAATAAATTGTTTAATATTCCAAAATAATTAATATAGAGGATATTGTGGAAGAAGTTTTAACTTAAATATGTAACATATTTACATAGAAGATTATTATTATGGAAAATCTAATTAAAGGTTATAATAATTACGATGATTTTAAAAAAGAATTAATACAATTACTTATTGATATTGAAAAGTTAGAAAATAAACTGAACAAATAATATTCTTATAATTTAGATAATATTTATCTGATCAAATGTATGATTATTGTAAGAAATATTTTATTAAATGATGTTATTTAGTTTAATTTATATAATAAAATTTTAAGTGAAAAAATATAAAATGAAAGGGTAGAAAAAATAATATATATATATATTTTAAAAAAATAAAAAGTAGAATGATACTGAAAAGATAAGTGTTATTAATTAAATATAAGGAAGATGTATTACAATAATTATAAAATACAATAATTATTAAAATTAAATAATCAATTATACAAAAAGAGCATCTTCTTTTTTTGGATATGACTAGGATGAATTTAAATTAAAAAAATCAGTTAATGTAATAAAATGAATACTTTTACTTAAAAAAAAATAAAAAAAGTTATTAATGCCTGCTATAATTTCAGCTAATCATGATACAATAATTTCTACTTTTGTAAAAGGTTTATAAAAACCAAAATTAATAAAAAGATATAGAAATACATTTGCATTAAATAAAGAAAAATTTATATTTCCAATAAGGATTTTTATTGATTATTTTTTTAATTACGGAAGTGAAGAATTAATGTTTTCAGGAATAATATTGAAATAAGAAAAAAAAGAATAATATATAATATTAAACAAAGGAGGTTGGATAGAAGGAATAACTAAATAATTTTATGAATTTCTAGAAGATTAAATATGGGAAAAATAAATAGATATAAACATGTTTAATTAATTAAATATACAGTTCTTTAACGAAGATATATTTGATGATATTAAAACTTGTTTATAAAAACCAAAATTAATAAAAGATATAGAAATACATTTGCATTAAATAAAGAAAATTTATATTTCCAATAAGGATTTTTATTGATTATTTTTTTAATTACGGAAGTGAAGAATTAATGTTTTCAGGAATAATATTGAAATAAGAAAAAAAGAATAATATATAATATTAAACAAAGGAGGTTGGATAGAAGGAATAACTAAATAATTTTATGAATTTCTAGAAGATTAAATATGGGAAAAATAAATAGATATAAACATGTTTAATTAATTAAATATACAGTTCTTTAACGAAGATATATTTGATGATATTAAAACTTATAAGGAATTAATAATAACATAATTTGTAGTTCCGATAAGTAAAAATAATATATATATATTAAAAATATGTTGTAAAAATTTGTAAATATAAATAAAAATAAATATATGTATAAAAATATATATTTATACATATATACATATATATATATATTTATTTAATATAAATATTTTTTATAGATATAATAGATATAATTAAAATTACCCATAGCTATAAATAATCAAACTAAAACAAAATTGCTTTCATAAATCATTAAGATATTTATTTAATTTTATTGAAAGAATAATTATACCGTTCCTATTATACTGATTAAACTGTAAAATTTATTGACATTGAACTTTTTATAGAAAAAAACGATTTAAATTACCTAAAAAATGGAAAATTAGTTTACCAAGAATATTATATTATTGAAATTGTTAAATTTTCTTTAAATAAAAACATAAAAACAACATTAAACAGTAAAATAAAAGACATAATAAATAAAGAAGAAAAATAAACCCAAATATAGCCTAAAGGTACTAAATTTGCTTATTTAATGAAATAAGCTACTGAAAATTAATTAAATATTGATGAAATTTAATAACAAAAAATAAAATAAAACACAAATTCATCTACTGTTATATAAGCTTTGAGAAAATCTATAAAATAAATTTAAGAAAAGGAGATTTAAAATTAATGTTATATATAAAATTAAAATATATGTTTAACTTATTAATAAAATAAAAACTAATAATAAGAATAATAAAAATAAGTAGGTGAAGGTGAAGGTGAAGGTGAAGAAAAAAAATAAAATAAATTGAGATCAAATTCTTTTTTCAAAAAAGCAAATACGGAAATACTAAAGAATTAACTTAAAAGAAATAAATCAGTAGAAAATAATTTATTATATAGTCCAAAAACAAACAATAAAACATTATCTTTATATTTAGGAGTATAACAAAAAAATACTAATAAAAAAATAGAATATATTGAATAATAATAATAATAATAATAATAATAATAATAATAATAATAATAATAATAATAATAACAAGATGAAATACAAGAAAAATAATAAGAATAAAGAAAAGATGAAAATTAAAAAGAATAATCAAATTCCTCATTTATATAAAATAACATTAATTAAGAATAAATATCATCATTTGCTTAAAAAATCTACGAACTTGTCTAAAACCAAGAAGATGAAGACGACTAACTATACGAAGAAGAAGATGAAGAGGATACAAATCTTATAAAAACTTCCACTTAAAATAAATTAAGTATATCTATTCATGACGTTTCTTTAACCACGCGAATTTTACTATAAGAAAATATTCTTTATTAGATAAAATAAAACAATTACATCGGTACATCAGAACTATCTACAGCTGGTCGTAAAAATTAAATCTAAATAATATCTGAAAAAATAAATGTCACAAATAATATAAAAATAATAAATAAAATCGCCAACAATAACATAAACTAATAAGGTAATGTAAACAGATATATTTCAATATGTTTTTATACTAAAATATTGTCTTTTGTTATTTATTATTGTATAATGTTGCCTATTTTATTTTCTGGGTTTAATAATTAAAAAAACGTGTTGTATTTAATGTGGTTTTCTTCTAAAATTTTAATCCCTGTGAGTTAATAAATATAAAATATTCATTTTTAAATATAGTAAAATAATAATAATATTTAATATTCTTAATTTCTTAAAAATATTTCTTAGAAAGCTTATTAAAAATACTATTTAGCCTATAATTCATTTTTTTAGGAAGAAGCAAATTATAATTTTTAAAATTAACTTAAAAATTTATAAACAGATAGAATAGTCAATACCTTTTAATAACTTCAAAGTACCTTTTTATAATTTTAATTCTCTTTTTTGAATTATTTGAGGTTATTATTAACTTATTTTTATGATTTGTAGAATTTTAATTAATTAAATTTATAAGACTATCCCAATAAATTAATTTATTAAATTATTGACCTTTCTAAAGGACTAACAGTATTAAATTAGGAAATAGAATAAGCTATTGATTCTGATATTTAGAATATAAATATGGATAATTTGATTATTTTTGGAATCTTTTCTGTAATTTCGATTATTTTATTTTTAATTCTTATTTTAAAAATTCGAAAAAATGCTTAAAAAGAAGAAAAATTACTTATGTTGATTTCCCATATTACTGAAAAAGAAGCCCTAAACGAAATCGAAATCAGCAAATTAGCAATTTAACTATTAAAATCATAAGAAGAAGAGTACTTATTTTCTGATTAGGCCAGAATAAAGAAATAAATAAATGAATAAGACAAAAATACATGCATTTTCAGTATAAACTAAAGTTAAAAAAAGAAAAATATATATCTTAGTGATAGAACTACTTACTAAAATATTAATTTTTAAACATAAAGTTATTTTGTGTTTATTCTTTTTTTTATAAGTTTAGGAATATTAATAGGAGTAATTATTTTATATTTAAAAATCAAAGAATTTTATTATATCTTTATAATAAAAATTATTATAAAAATAAGGGATATTTTTTATTATTTTAATTTATTGATTCCTATTAAACATTAATTAATTTAAACTTCAAATATTTAAAAGGTGTAAATGAATATAGTGATGTAATAACATTTTAATAAGTTATATTAAGTAATAAAATAAACTAAAACAATTTATATTCTGCCAAAGAGTTTTCTTAAATAAATGCTTTTTATTAAGAAAAAAAATAATCTTCATTTTCTTATTTTTCTGAATCTTTATAATATATTATCGATACTTAAATAAAAGATGAATACTATATCTCATAAGCCTAATAATTAATAAATAAAAGAGGAAATTGTGACAATAGTTAATTGTTTGACGACTTAGAAAGATAAGTATGTAAATCTTCATTGGACGGACTTATAAATATAGGTTTTTAAAATAGCATATCTACTATTTTATAAGAAATAAATTTGAGAGATTACGAATAGTTTACTTTAGGTGACATTTAATTATTAGTTTAGGATTAAATTTTTTTCGAAGAAAATTAAGTGTCTTTATTACATTTTAATATAATAGAAAATATAAGAAATATTTTAAATTAATATACAAATTTATACATATCATAAAATTTATCTGATATAGGAAATTTCTATATTGCACTTGGAGTTTTATATTTATTATTTTTTGAATTTGTTCATATTTATATGCAAATCAAATACTTTAATAAATTTAAATACTTATAAAGAGGTTTATTATTAATACCTTTTGAAAGAGCTTCTGAAGATGCTAATATTATTAATATGATAAAAATTTCATTAGATATAAAAATATGAAATTGAAAAAAAAAAATATATTTATATATATATATATATTTTAAACAGGTATATATATACTATTCACAAAAAAATATTAAGTTAATCTTATAAAACTTATTTTAATTTAACTTATTCTATAGGTTTTACAATATAATCAACCATCCCCAAATCCAAACACTTGACTCTTTCTTCATTATCCGAATACCCTGAACATGCTACTACTTTTAATTTCAAACTAATATCTTTTTAAGAAATAAAATCTTTAATTTATTAAAACAAACAATATCCATCAACTATAGGCATACATAAGTCCAAAAAAATTATATCGTAAATATTCTACCTATTATAGCTATTATTAGTGAAAAGACTCTTAATTAAAAAAAGAGCTTCTTCAGCATCACATACACTCTAAATTTCGACATTTTAAATAAGTTTTTCTATTTTCATTTTTAATACAGTTATATTCAAAAAAATATCATCTACAATCAAAATCCTAAATACTCTATTAAAACTAATATCATTACTTATATCAAAAAATTTGCTTTTTTACATATCTGTTTATTCTCTCAACATAATTATAGGTTAAGATTAAATATTTCCTTAAGAATCGATAGTATTTACATTATAATGAATATTTTTTTTTTACAAAAAGCTCATTTTTTTTCTTCTATATTTATTATAACTATTATAATTATTATTATTATTATTATTATTATTATTTATTATTATTTTTATTATTTTTATTTATACAAATTGATTTATCATCAAAATCATCTTCTAATTCTATATCTTTATTTACCTCTTTAATTATTGTATAAGTTCTTTATTATTTTATTCCACAATTATATACATTATTATTATTATTTTAATAATAGTTATTTTAAAGAGTTATTGAATTTCTTGAACTTCTTAATTAATCACTTTAATTTAATAAAATAAAAAAAAATTTTGTTCCTTTTCCTAGTACACTTTTAATTTATAAACCTTCCCCATTTCCTAATTTTTAAGCCAATGTATTAGAAATAATTAATCCTAATCCTACTCCCATAGGATTTAATTTATTTTAATTTTTCCCATTTATTTTTCCAAATTTTTTAAATAGTAATTTTTAATCTTCCTATGAAATTCCGATTCCTGTATCTTTTATAGACACCAAAAATTAATTTTCTTCATATAATTTTATTTTTATACTTATTTATCCTCCTTTTTTTGTAAATTTTAATGCATTAGATATTAAATTAGTTATTATTTATCTTAATCTATTTGGATCTGAAGCAATTATAACTGGTAAAATACTATCATAAATTACCTTTAACAAAATATTTTTTTAATCAGCCTATATTTTTAATAAATCTAATAATTAAAAAATTAACTCTTTTAAATTAAACTACTCTATATTTAACGAGAACTTACCGACATTAACCTATGCAATATCTAAAATATCATTAACCATAAAATTCAATTATTTAGCGCTAGTTAAGGCAGGTTTTAAATATTATAATAGATCTATTTTTTCATTTAATTACATACAAACCATTTCAATCATTGAAATTATGCAATTTAAAGGAGTTCGAAATTCATGCGAAACTTATGATAACATTTATGACTTATTTTTATTTATTAATTTTAATAATTTTATTTAATTAAAATGAGTAACATCTCTTATTAAAAATAATACACAAGCTTTTTTTTCTATAACACTAGGAACACATGTTACTTCAAAATATTTTTTTTAATACTCTAAATTTTAACTGACATCATTATTTTAATCAGAAGTATATTTTTTTCCTAATAATAAAAATATATATAGTATATATAAATATAAATATAAATATATATATATATATATATATATATATATATATTTATAATTTTAACTTTTTTTTTTATTTATTTTTGGACACGAACATATCATTTTAAATTAAGTTTAAAAAGTTTAATATTCATCTAATTTATCATATTAAATTAAATACTCAAGTTCTTCTATTATTGTTTTATATAATTCTCCTAAAGTTGCTTATTAACTTAATTTAATTTAAATACTTTCACTTATTTCATCTTCATAAACACTTTTTATTATAAAATTATTATCATCCCAATATTTACTGTTTTATTCTTAAATATCTTTTTTTTTAACCAACTATATATTTTTAGAATTTATTTTAAAATCATTGATAGATTTTATCATGTTCTATTCACTCTATTATTAACTTTACAAATTCAACATTTATTAATATTATTAATTCTAAGTTAATTTTTTTTAAGTATTTTATTAAATGTAAAATTAATTTAAAGCCCCAAATTAAGAATATGTTTTTTTTATTTGACTTATTTAAAAAGCATTTTAATTATAAGGATTAGTCTATTAGTATTACTTATTTAATTAAATTTACATCTATGGTGATATTTCTTCTTTTTTTTTATTAAAATTTAAATCTTGTTATTAAATAATATTTTTCATTTTTAGTGCTAAAGGCATATTATTATTAACTCCAATAGTTTCCTATTCATTAAGTTTAGTCATATTGTTTTTCAAAAGAAGTAATTTTTCAATTGCTAAACTTCCTTTTAGTCCTATTAGATTTTCCGCTTATTTATTAATTATATGTAATTTTTAAGAACTGGGCCCTAAAAGAATAATTCCTTCTGGCAAAAGCTAAAAGAAAGTGATATAAAATTATAGATTGGAAGGAATATTCATAATAATTTAATCTTTATTTAAATCATTCTATTTTAAATTGTTTTCGGCACCTTAATTACTTTATTAACCATATTATAAGCAACTATTACTGACATGGTTTTTTTTATTTTCATTAAATCTACTCTTGTCTCCTAATTAAGCACTTTAAAATTTACAATGAAATTTTTTCGAATAATTAGCATTTATATTTGAATCTTTACTATTTTAAGGAGAATTTGTAATTATACTCTTAGGCATAATTTTTAAATTATTGTTATTATAAAAAATATTTAACTTTTTTTCTTTATTATTTTATATCATCTAAATCTGTGTATTATATGGTTATTATAATTATTAAATAGAACATTCTTTTTTTCCTAAATTGAATCCTGGTTCTTCAATTAAATTTCCAAAAGTAATTCCTCTTAATTTCTTATTTTTTTAATTTGAATTATTTTCTTAGTTTTTTTAATTGTTTTCAATATTTTTTAAAGAAATTTATATTTTGTCTATTGTATTTATTGATTATTTATTTTATTAATCTTTTTTATCATTTTAATTTATAAAATCAGTATTATATATTTAAAATTCTTTTATAAAAATTAAAATATATACACCCAAAAACAAAATTTAAAATCTCTAAGCTAAATAAAATTATTCAAAATGTATTATTTTAAATTAATAAAAAATAAAAAAATACAAAATACTTAAATACTTCTAATATTAACTATTATAAAAAGATATATAAAATGTCTAGACTAATATAATTTAAATAATTATTATGTTTGTTTTGTAAATCATATTATCCTATTCTGATTCATAGAGATATTCAAAAAGTAAACTTATTTCAAAAATATTCAACAAAAAACAAAAAAAAATATTAATATTTTTTATAAATTTTAATTTCATAATTTATTTTTAATATTTTAAATAAACAATCTATAATATTAATAATATTAGAAAATAAGTAAATAAAATCTATAGTAGATACATTTTATTATTATGTGCTTCTAAGTAATATGAAAACTATAAGTAATCTACTATATAAACTAAGCAATAGATAAATGAGCGAAAAAAGAAAATTATATTAATTTTATTTATATTTTTAAGCCATAAGAATTAAATAGGTTTTTAGAGCATTAATTTATAAAATATTATTTTTGTTAGGATAGTAATATAATTTTTTTAAAAAGTATAATTTTATTTTTTATTTTTTATATTTATAATTAAAAATAATAATTTATTTTTATATATATATATAGTCAAAATTATGTAATAATATTAAATCTTATAAATCAATAATATTTTTATGCTTTTTAAGCAAAATAATTGTTAATTTGCTATAATATAATATATATATATATATATATATATATATATTTAAATTTATATAAATTTATATATTTATAAAAAAATTCTAACTTTATTAATTTTATAAGTCTTTTTATGACATGATTTATAAATAATAATTATTTTTATTTAAAATTTAAACTATTAAAAAGTATAAAATTTATAGAAATTGTTATTTTAAATATAAAATATAAAAGCTTTTTTATTATTTTTAAAAAAATAAAAAATAATAAAAGTAAAAAATTTATAAAAATATATTATATTCTTAATATAATCAAATAATAAAATCACATTAAATAAAATCTTAAGGAATATCGCTCTATTTAATTTATCCCTAAAAACTATATGGAAAAACCTAAAAGCTTACTTTCCCTTTATTTTCTTAAAACACTCTATTTAAAAATTTCGCTAACCCTTTTTTCGTAATTTTCTATTTTTAAATAATTTCCAAATAATGCTCTAAAACCCTAAACCCATAATTTTACTAAATAATCTTATTCCAATACATAGTAATTAAATCTTCATGATTATCCTAAGGTTTTTCTAATTTCTCTTTTAAATTTTGCAAATCTTTCTAAAATTCTTCCTCATTCCCACTTTTTAATTATTAAATAAATAAATGTAACCCTTCCTCAATAATCAAATCTACATCGGAAGCCTATTTTTTATCCCCGGATTAAATTACTGCTAAATAATCAACACAACCGATACTTAAACTCTAAACCTTTGCAATATATCCTAATGTAAGATCCGTTCGTAAATATTTATATAAAAAACTGTTCATTTTTTCTATTATAAGGCTATTATATATAATATCTTTTTCTTCTCTTTTTCCTATTTAATAAATATTCACAATATAGTTATTTTAGTCATTTTCTTGTTAATTTTTAGATTAAAAAACAAGATTTTTTCCTTTTAAATTTCCTATTTTTAAAATTATATCTTACATTTTTTCAAACTCTGTATTTATTTTGAGTTTCTCAAACATATTTTTAGTATAAGAAAGTGCTTTTTCAACCTACAAATTACCACTAAAAAGCACATCAAAATAATAGTTTTCTGAAAAAGAAATTTGATTTAATACTTTGCAATTAATTTTTGAAAACAAATTTATTTTTTCACTTAAAGGTACATAACTACTATCTAAAACTAAAAATAATTTCTCTTATAAAATATCATCGAGTACTTTTATATTATAGTTTTAATTTTCATACTCAAAAATAATTTATTCTTTTAAAACAGACAACCCTTCCTCATCATTAACTTTAAAAGATTAAATTAAATCAAAAACATTTCCAAAAACTTCCCCAAAACCATCACTCCATCCACTTATTTATAATTAAAAGCCATAAATAGTACTTTAACTTTCAATAGAAAAGTTCACTAAGTAATTATCTTCAAAAATACTATCAAAATAAGACGATAAAACTTTCGAATAAATTTCTAATTTCTATTAATTGTAAATATCATGTATATTTTTATTATTAAAAAAGTGTATTAAAAATTAAATTTTCGGCATTTTTTTTTCAATTAAATAGAATATTTTATATTTCTTATTTTATTCCAAAACTAAAGGAAAAGCAATTTTTTAAAGACATTATTTTCTAAAATTCTATTCATTATAAATATAAGGTTTTAAATCTTATTTCTCATCATATATATTTTTTTTTATTTTTTCTAATAAAAATAAATAATAAGATTTCACAAATTTCTTTCCTTCCCCGCAAACATCCACTAACGAAAATTTAGTAGGCATTTTCGAAAAATTTAATTAATAAGTGTATTTTGGACCATTTATGCTATTTAAAAGCATGTTCTTATCTTTAATTTTCCCTATTTTCGAATATTTTAAATTAAATTAAGCTACTTCTTGCTCATATTGTGAGTCTTTTATTTCAAAAAAGTCAGTTTTAAGGCCTATATAGGGTTTGAAATCGGATGTTTTGAAGATATAAATACATTTAAGTGGATTTTAGAATATTTGGAGTAATTTATATAATTATTTTTCATCAAAAGGTTCATAAATGGTTTTTTTTTATAAAATAGTATTCGATTTAGAAAATTTAAGATTATTAAGATTTTTAGCCAAATCTGAAATGTAATCTTATTAAATATTTTTTTATTCAAAATTAAATTATTAAATAGACAAAGAGTACGCATTTTCGTAATTTTTTTTCGAAATTTTAAACTTGCGGAAATACTCAAAAAAACTACTTAATAAAAATTCTATTTATAAAATTCCTTTTTACGTAAGGGAAATTTATAATTAATAAAGGTTTAAAATTTCATTTATAAGTACAAAATAAAGACTTTATATATAGTTTTCGTTTAATAAATAATAATAGTAGTCTTTTTGGAAAATACTTTGGATATAATTTATATAACTTTCTTTACAGTCTTCAAAATTAAATAAGATATTTAATTAAAAATCATCTTACAGTCCTTATATTTTATATATATTTCCATATGTTTTCTTTTTTTTTTATTATTATTAATATAGTTTTTTTTTTATTATATTACATTATTAAAAAGTTAAATTTTTTTAAAAAAATCGGAATTTTATTTATATTCTAATTCTTCGTTTTTAGAATTTTCTTAAGGTATTTTTTCGAATTCGGCTTCTTTTGTATACTCTTTTAGTTAATCAAGGGATTCTTTTCCATATAAAACGAGACTCATTTTGTTTGATTTGTAATTTTCTTTTTCAAATTATATTAATTCTTTTAATATATTATCCTTTTTATTTATTTTATTGACATTTTTATAATTTTTTATAATAAAAAAAAAAAAAAACTTTATTTAAAGTTTTATTATTTCCACAAGTAAAATTAGAAAAAAAATGATTTTAATTGGAAATAATTTAATAAAAATACAAATCAATATAATTATTATGATTAAGTGTATTCAAATATTCACTATGAATAGCATTTATTTCTTTTTCAACATTTTTTTATTTATATTTATGATCAAAAAACATATGACTAAAATAAACAAGGGCTTACTAAAATGCATTAGGATGTACATTAAAGAAGTAATTAGTATTTAAACTATCTGTGTAACTAAAATATAAATATATAAATATATTTTTATTTATTATATTATAGTTTTTTTTTTTTTTTTTCTGTTTATTTTTTTATAAACACGAATCATTTAAAACTATCAATATTTATTTTTTCTCTAATTTTATATTATATGAGTTTTATTTTATTTTAAAAAAATAATATTTGAAGACATTATATAATATATATATGTATATAAATATATATATATATTTTAAAATAATACGCGTTTGAGTTGCCTTAATTGTTGCCTAAAAAAATGTCTATTTCTCCAGGAATATTAGAATGTTTTGAAACTGAAACAAACTTCATATGTTCTAAAAAATGGGCTATACCTTATGTTTTTTTTTCATGCCAAGAACCTGCTTTTACATCTAAAGCAGCATAACTTACGTCAGTATTAGGATCACTTATTAAAAGAACTTTTAAACCGTTTTTTAACTTTTAAATTTCGTATTAATTTTCGTCTATCTATGGCTTTATAATTTCTTAATTATTTTTTATTGGGTAAATAATTAATGGGCTTTTTGCTTTCTTTTTGATTTTTGGCTTATAAGTTCTTAAGATTTTATATAAATAAATATATTTATTAATGTAAATAGAATTTTTAATATATTCATTTCTAATTTTTTAATTTTTATTTAATTTTTTTTTATAAATGTAGAGTCAAAATATTTGTAATGTAAAAAATTAAATATAATATAAGAATTATATAATGTTAACTTCATAATATATAAATCACAATAGACTATATTAAAAAACTATAAAAATTAATATTATAAAATTATTTAAAGTATTTATAAAGCATTTAACATAAAAATATGAAAAAATTAAATATTAGTGAGTAAAGCAAAATATAATAAAATATTATATTATAATATTATTTATTAACTTTTATTAATTCTTAAGTATAATATAGTTTAAACTATTATTTATTATTAATCAGTAAAATTTAAATGTATTTTTAATAAAATTATATTAATAAAACAATTAATATAGTTTATAAGTGAAAATTAAATTCTATGAAATATCGAATTATAATTTTATATAATATATAAAAACTTTAAATAGTTAATTTAAGCTAAATAATAATAAATAAACTTATAAAAATAATTAAATTAAAAAGAAAATTATAATTTTATAAAGTTTAAATAAGAATTATTTTTAATTTAATTTAAAATAAAATATATTTATTTAATATATGTTAATATATATATATATATATATATATATATATATTATTATTTTTATTTTTTCACATAAAATTCTTTAAATTAAATATTTTTTACAACTTACTTTACAAAGATAATTAAATAAATTAAAAAAAAAATAGTATATATTTAAATCTTAAAAGTTTTAAATTTTTACTTAATTATTTATTCTTATTAATAAAATAAATGATTTTTTTTTTTATAACTATATTTGATTTTTTATTTACAATAAATATTATATTTAATTTATACAAAAATATTTTTTATGTTTTTATTTATTTAAATATTATAAACATTATCATATTTTTTATTTTTTTTATATGTTTAGAAAATATTTTTTAACATAATGTTTTATTTTAAAGTTTTTTTATTTTATTAATTATAAATATTAATATTTTATTATAAATATTTTAATATTTAATTATAAAAATCCAAAAATATAAGCAATTTAAAACAAAAGTATGTTTTCGTTCAGTGAACTATTTAATGAAAAGAGATCATAATCGTAATCATAAACAAATTCAAGTTCTATAAATAATACAAGAAAAATTCAAGACTTTAATTTTCTAAATATACCTATTAAAAAATTAAATCTTTAATAAATAAAAATGTAATGTTCAAAAAAAATGGAAACATCATAATATGCGAAAAAAAAAATTAATATTCCGATATAACAAATTATTCTACTCAAAATTACATTTCAAAAAAATTTTTAAAAAATAAAAGAGCATATCTTTTTTATCAACAGAAAAAAAATAAGAAAAAAGTTAAAATTCACAAAAAAGAAAAATATTTTCTATAGAAAGTACTTAAATTTAGCAAATAAATAAGTAAATATAAACTATAATTAAGTAAATAGATAATACAGAATAAAATATTACATTGAAAAAAATTAGATATTTAATTTAATTTTACAAAGAAACCTTATAAGATATTATTTAGAATTCTAATGATAAACCTTATTTTTAAATATTAATAAAAGACATTAATAATATAAAAGAAAGATTTTAAATTTATTTAGATAAAGAGTACAAACATAACATATATACAGACTTTAAAACTATTGTGTAATTTTAAAGTTAAATAAAAAAAGGATTAAATCTATGTTTAAAAAAATTTTAATAATTATGATAGATAAAAAATAAAAAAAATAAATAAAAAGCATTAATAAATATTATTATTAATAAAATTAAAACAAAAAATTAAAAAGGAAATATAAATATGTATTTATATATTTATAATTATTTATATATTATTAGAAAAAAAAATAAACTAAATACATTTTTTTAGATATTATATAAATAAAAATTAATTTTTCTTATTTAATATATTTTAAATAATTTTTAATTTTTTCTATTATAATTATATATTTTATATAAGCTTTATAAATATATATATATATATATATTTTTTTAAATAATTAATATAATTTAAAAATAAATTTATAATATATATAAAAAAATATTTTATTATATTTTTTTAATATATATTCCATTCAATTAAATTTTTATCTATTTATTAATTTTTTTTTAATATATTATTATATATATTTATATTATTTTAATTTTATTTAAATATTTTTATGTGATTTTTTATATTATTTATTATATTAATATAGTTATTTTTACTTTATTTCTCTTTACTTATATAAATTAAATTACATAAATAGTTATATATATAATAAATATATTATAATAAAATTAATTATAAATTTATAAAAGATTTAATTATTTATTTATTTCAAATATTATATGTTTAATTTTTTAATTTTTATAGATTTAACATTTTTATCAAATTTTATTTAAATATCCATTTTTAATTAGTTTATTTTTTATAATGTAATATTTTTTTAAATATAATCATCTAATATTATTATTAAAATATTTATAAATTGATTTAAAAAATTATATCTTATTATTATAAAACTATATGCTATTTTAGTATTTATTTTTATTATATATATGTTATTATTATTATAATTTTTATTTATAATATTATAATATTTAATCATATTATCATCATTATTAAATTATTTTTATTTATATTTGATTTAATATCATTATTTAGTTTATATTTTTTTTTTTAAAAAAATAAAAAATAAATAAATGTCTTTTATACATATTTTTTTTACAATTTAAATTTCTTTTTTTATAAATATGTTAAAATAGCATAATATTCATTAAGACATATTTTATATATAATAATTTATATGTTTTTTTATTTTTTTATAATTTTTAAAATTTTAATTTATATTATTTATAATTTATTTATAATTTAGTACAAATAATATGAAATTAATACAATGTTTACCTCTAAAAATATTTTGTCCTTTGATTATTTTAAGAATTATTTTATTTTATATATTAATACAAATAATAAATAATCATTTATTATTTATGTATTTTTTTTTTCAAAGAATTAGGTAAAATAAATATTATAGCAATCATTTCAATAATTATAATTAAAGCAATTATCATATAAGAAACTGAAACATTATATGCCATGCATAATTTATATAATTTTCCACATTAATTTCTATTCATTATTAATATTGCAATATTAAATATGAAATTAACCAATAAAATAATATTTCTAATATATTTTTAATCCATTTAATAAATAAGATCATTAAAGCAATTCATAAAACATCCGAAAAACAGCAAAAAATATATTCCAGAAACAGCCAATTAAAACATTCCTAAAGCAAACGACCATTCTATTAGATTTTAGTTTTCACAAGAATCATAATGCTTTTAATCTTTAGAAAAAATTACAAAAACAACTCCTAATACACCTACTGCTAATACAGTTAATAAATATATTATTTTTTAGAATTTAAATTTTAACTCATTTAAGTATTAACATAATTAATAAACTTTTTCCTTATTTATATCTTTTTATAATTACTAGTCTATTACTTGTTAAAGTATTCCAGATTTAACAATTTGTACGAATAATTAGTCAGGGCTATGCTCTCTTTTATTATTAGGTATTTACATTTATATTTATTTTTTGATATTTGTTTATCTTTTATTTTATTAATAGTATTAAATTTTTAATTTTTTTGTTTGAAGTTTATAAAGAATAATTTTAAATTAAAAGTTGTTAAAAAAATATAAAAATTTATTATTTAGTTTATTTATAAAATTTATTTAAATTAAAAATTAACTTTATATATTTGAAATTTTTTAATATAGAATTTTTTTAAAATACATACTGTAATAAATTAAATATTTATAATAAAAATTAATTATTTATATAGTATATTTATAATAAAATAATATTAAATTATAAAAAATAAAATTAATAAAATAATTAGTTTAATATTATTATAAAAAAAAAAAATATTAATTCTTATATTATAAATTAATAAAATAAGAAAGAATACAATTTTTAAATTAAAAATTGAATTTACAGTCATATAATATTTAAATAACTTATTATATATATTTTAAAAACAATTACTATAATACAATTGATATATTTTTTTAAAAAAAAAAATTTTTAAATATATTTTAATTATTTTAAATTAATATTTTAATAGCAATAAATTTATATTTGATTAATACTAATAATATTTTCCGAAATAAATATACAATTTAATATTTATAATAAATTATTAATAATAATATAATTCATGAAAAATTTATAAACTCTTTTTAATTTTTTGTTTAAAATTAAATTTTTTATAATTAATTTTTTTATATATAAATTATATATTAGAAAATTTTTGTTTTCAATTAATATAGTAATAAAAAATTGTTAATTAATTTCTTATTTTTTATTAATTTTTTTATTTTTATATTATACTCACACATATCTATTGTATAATCTGTAATATAATCCACAGTATACATTAATTCTTAAATTTCAATATATAAAAATATTATATTTAAATTTTATAAGCTGTTTTTTTATATATTGCATATTAATAATCTTTAAAAACTATTTTATGTAAATTTTAATGGTTCACTAAGAAAATAAAAAACTAAAAATCTATCCACATACATTAGTATACAAAAAAGCACTTAATACATTAAAAAATGAAATTTCCTTAACCCGTTAATATATTTATTAGTTCATTAATAAGTTAATACAATTTTAATTATAAACTTAATACAAAACAATAAATAAATAAAAAAAATGTTAAGTTTTAATAAATATTTAGTAGTTAAGCAAAATCATAAAAATCTTAATTTTGCAAAAAAATAGTAATATTTAAAATCTTCATTAAATCAATAAAAAAATTATACAAAAAATAGTAGTAGCAATGAAAGTTAATATATAATAAATTAATATGTAATTTGTATATGCTTAATTTATAAAATCTAATTTTATTTTATTAAGATTTTGATTATATATAAAAATATTTTATTTTATTTTAGTTCATTATATATTTTATTTAATTTTATTATATTTTATTTTATAATATTTAATTTTATTTTATTTAATTATAAATTCTTTAAAATTATTATTTTTTAAAATTTTTTAATGTATTTTATTTTTAAATATAATTTATATAAATATAAATTAATTTTTTTTTGATTATTATAAAATTTTTATTTTATTAAATATAAATTATATTAAAATATTTAAATCAAACAAATATAATATTAAAAAATATATTATATATAAAAATAATTTTTATTATTAGATAAAAATATATATTATAAATACTTTTATAAAAAAATTTAAAAATATATTTTTATCAACTGAAATTTAATAGTAAAAAATATTTTTTATATATATAAATTAATTTAAATATGATTATTGGTAAAACATATTTTTAAATATAGACAAAATTTTTTTAAAAAACATTAAAATTAATATAATAATTTTATATTAAAAGATAATATATCATAGTTTAAAAATTTGTTATGTATATAAATATAATTATTATTATTATTAATATTATTATTATTATTATTATTATTATTATTATTATTATCTTTATATTTATTAATATTTTTATTTAATATTAATATAATATATTTTTATTGCTTATAATTTTTTTTTTTTATATATTATTATATATATATTTTTTATTTTATTTAATTTTCTTTTTCTATTTTATATAATTTTCTATAAATATATTTTTAATTTTATTTTTTTCTTGTTTATAATTTTAGTTTTATATTTTTATTATATTTTATTTTTATTCATTATAAGAATTTTTATTTTTATTATTTAATAAATTGTCTTGTATATATATGAAATCAATATTTTACTAATTTAAATAGAAACTAGACATATATTGTATATAAATTTTAAATATATATATTTTTTTATAAATATGAAAAATTTTTATTTTTATTTTTATTGATTTTCTTTATAAAAATAAAATAATATCAAACATAAGTTAGAATCGAATTATATTATAATATAATATAAAATTTCAAAAACAAAAACGTGTATATTTATTAACTCACTAATTAAAGAATTTTAATTTATTTTAAATATAATTTTAATGCTTATTTTAACATATAATAAAAATATTATAAATTTTTTAATTAAATTATATTTTTTTAAATTTCTTTATTTATTTTATGAAAAGAATTAATTTTTTTATTTTTAAATTAAATAAATTTATAAATAAAAATATAATACATAATTTATATTTAAAAAAAAAAACTCCGAGACCGGGAATTGAACCCGGGTCTCCTGCGTGACAGGCAGGAATACTAACCACTATACTATCTCGGATTTATATTAAATACATAAATAAATTTATAATTATTATAAAAATTAATCGAATATGATAATAAATTTATAAATATTCACTTTAAAAAATTTTTGTTTCATTTATTTTAATATTTTATTTTATTATTCATCTTTTTAAGTTTAATCTATTTAATTGTCTCAATATTTATTTATTCTAAGGTACTTAATATATATCAATGATTTTTTCAAAATAATTATTCTTCTTAGTATAACTATTATTTATTGTGTCAGAATATTTTTCAGTATTAATTTTCTTATCTAAAATATTCGTTTAAGAAAAAGATTGTGCTTATTTTGTTTATAAAATTAAAAATTAAAAATAAAAAATAAAAAATTAATAACCTTTATATTTTTAAAAAGGAGTTACACAATTAAAATTCTTAAACTAATTAACTGATAAATCACTATTTTAGTTATGAATAGATAAGGTCTTAACCATTAATTTAAACTAATCATTATAGTGAACAAAACCAACCTTATCACAAATAATTTTTATTTATTTATCTCCATTATTTTTACTTTTAAGCTACTAATGTGATTTTCCTTAATAGTTTTTTAAATTATTGAATTTTTACCAATCAAATTATTATTCAACTAAACTTTTAATTTCAATGTGTTTTCTCGTTTTCTGATTTTTTTATTTATATATATAAATATTTTTTTTTTCTCTTTAAAATATACATTAAATCTTGTTTTTATTGAATCCGAATTAAGCTATCCCTAACCAGTTAATTTTTTAGATTATAAAGAATTAAGTTTTTTTAAATACTCTAATTTCTCATTTGTATTACATGAAGAAATTATATGCAAATAGCAATTTTAACAAATTAAAGCTTATCTATCTAAAAATCCTTCATTTTCGCAATTTTTTATATAGTCATTTGATTTTAAATCTGGATGAAGTTTTCTTATAATTTTAGGAATAATATAATTTGGATCAATTTTTTATTTAATATAAATTTAATTATGATTTTATTAAACTTAACTATTTCTATTTTTTTCTCTTTCGCCTGAATGGTCGAAATTCCAACTTTTAATAATTTATTTATATGTAATTTATTGTAAACTATTTGAATTTGCTTTATATTCGCAATATTAACACTAAGAATTCAATCTAATTTCTTTACAAGCAGTGTTTAAAATTAACATTTATTAATTAATATAATCAGGAATCTTTTTTATTTTTTTTGCATAATAAAAAAATATAATAATTTAATTTATTTTATGGATATATATATTAATACGTTAGTTTCTATTTCTCTTATTCTCTAACTTCTTACAGAAGTTGATTTATTTAGAATTTTTTTTTTATTAAAAAAACGGATAGATGTACATCCTAAAAACCAAATTTTATTCTTATTATCTACTTTGAAATTATTAATCATTGAACTAATAGACATTTTATCATTTTATATATTATCTTTTATCTATTTACAGAATGCATCAATTTAATTAATTATTACAGTTCCTTTTAAGTTTGTACTTATAGCCCCACTTTTGCCTATTTCAAATGTTAAAACTCTTTAATATATATCTAAATCTAAATTATTTATATAATGTTTATTTTATAGTCTTTCAAAATAAGTCAAGTGTTAAGACCACAAGGCTTTAATAACAACTAATTTTTTATTAATAATTTTTTTTTAAAAAAAAAAAAAAAACTAAATATTACAATTAAACTCGCCTTTTGGTTATATAAATCTTTATAATAATCCAGTTCTATTAAAATCATGTGTTTCAGATACAAATTAAACTTTTTAATTTTTTATATTTATTTTATAAATTAAATATTATTTTACTAAATTTTTATTTATCAAAGTATTCATATCTTATTGAATCTGGACTTGTAGATGTTTAATAGTTTTTTGTTATCCAAACTGCATATATATTAGATTAATTTACTTTTTTAGTAAACCTGTCAATTATAAGGGATGAATAAAAATTATCTTTTGATTTTTTCTTCAATATTCCGTTATCGGAAAAATACCATTTTTGAACCTAACCTCTTTCATATATTAATGTGTCCGGAAAATTAAATTTTAAAGAGACTAAAGAAAAATATTTATTATTAACAAAAAAAATTGAAAATATATTTTTTATATAACCATTTTATTTCTATTAATTGCAACACCATAATTATTATAATAATTTTTCTACATAACCATCTTCATTTGTTAAATTTAACATTTTTTTTATATATTTATACTTATTAATGTTTAAAATTTTAAATTATATATGTATATTAAAGAAATAAAAACATAAAAAAATATTTTAAATTTTATTTCCAATACTAATCAATTAATTTTACATTAAAAATTTATTATTAATTAGATATTTTTGAATGAAAATAACAATTTTTTTATTTTATTTTTTTTAATTCAAAAAATAAAAATTTATTTATATTATTAAAAAAATAAAAAATAATAAAATATTTTGAAATATTAAAATAAACTTTCATATATGTATTTTTTTTTATCAATTAATTTTATAATTATTATATAATTTTAATTATTGATTATACTCAACATTTTTATTTATTTACTATCTTTTATTAATTATAATTTCTTCATTAATTTGTTTTTGGTATTATTCTTATATTTTTATTAGATTATTTTAAAAAAATAGAAGGTTCTTTATATTATTTATCTAACTAATATTAAAAAAACAAATTTTTAGATTAATTAATACTCAAATTAATAATTTCTTTTGGAACATCTAATTTTTTATTTTACTCCTCTTAATTTTTATATAAAAAACTTTTAATAGCCTAAATATTTATCTTTTGAAAATTTGTTTTCTTTTATAATTATTACAATGCTAAACTATCAATTTAATTTAAAGAACTACCTTTTTTTTTCTAATTTATTTATATCTACATTTATTTTTTTTGAAAATATGAAGAAGAATTATATAAATAGCATTAATTATTTTAAAATATCTATTTTTTTAGTACATCAGAAGGAGGTGAGTATAAACCATAAAAAGGTTTAAATTTTTTTTATTATTTAAAAATTAAATCCAATTATTTTAACTTAGCAGTAAAATTCGAATTTCGGAATTCATCATCTTACCATTATTTATTATAACTTGTTGAATAAGCTTAATTAGACATTTTTAGTTAAGTTTTTTTATTTTTTTCTGACTTTCCCTATCACATAATAACAACTAAGGCTATGTATTTGTATTTTATTTAGAACTAGTAGGAATAGTAAGAAATGAAGTTTAGATTTATGTATTTTTTTTATTATAAAAAGATAGTTATTATTTTAAAAAATTAGATCTCTAGAATTTATTCACATGTGTAAAATCTATTGATTATTGATTATTTATTATTTTTATATGTTTTTATTTTTATATTTCTTATTTTACTATTTAATTTGGAGAAATAATCTCTTCTTATTAATTTAAAAACGATAATTTATTAAATTAAAATAAATCTTTAATTTTGTCATTATTTTCTAATGATTTGAATTATTTTTATTTCATTTTTTGAAAATTTAATTTTATATCATAATTTGAATTTAGATTTTATTTATTCTTCTTTTATTGAGTTTATTTTTATTAAATAATATCTTATATTTAATTATTATTTACATCTGTTTTGTATATTTAATTTAATTTTTTATTTTTTTTAATTATTATTTAAGTTTAATTTGTTTTTAGTTTAGGAATTATTTTTTATTCAAAATCTCCATTTTTATTTAATAAAATCGGAAAATGTTGATATAAAATATTTAGATGTTTAAAAATATGTTAACTTTTGTTTTATTTATACATTTTTTTTAAATAAATAGTATTTATAAAATTTAAATATAGTTTCATATAATTTTATATAAAAATAATATCAATTTAAATTTTAATATTTTTATATGATATTATTTAAAAATTATTTATATATTTTTATATATTAATGTCTAATAATTTTAATAATAAATATTTTTAATACTTATAATTTTATAAATATAATATTAATATTATCTTTTATTAAAAATAAAATAAGTAAAATTTATTTTTATATAAAAAATTAATTTATATTATTATATTTTTGAATTTAACATTATATACTGGGGAATCTATATTACATGAAATTGTTTAATAACAAATACATAAACATAATTAGGTAGTTTTTATTTAAAAGAATTTAAAATTTATATAAATAAGTATAATTTTTCAAAAAACAAAAATAATATATTTATTATTAATTTAAACATTGATAATCATAAATAATATATAAAAATTAATAATATGTATTTAACTATTATAAATACATTTAAAAAATCTATTAAAATTGTTTTTTTTATTATAAACTAATATAATAATATTTTTATTATCTTTATTTTGTTTTAATTTAATAAATTTAATCATTATATTTATTAAAATAATGAAAAAACTTATTATAACTAACTAATATTTAATTTTAAATAAATTATTAATTAAATTATTATTTTAATTAATTTTTAATTTAAACTAATATAATTCTTCAAACTATTTAAAATAAATAATTTTATTTCATAAAAATAATAATGACTTTAATATTTATTTTAAATTATTTGTTAAATTAAATTTATATCAATTTGTTATAATTTTCTTTTAAAATGATAAAATATTGTCGTAATAATATTCTAAATATAAAAAATGTATATATTTTTTTTTAAATATTATTATTATTAATTAATTTAAATTATAAATAAACTTATTCTATATTAAATAATATTTATTTTTATGAATTTTTTAAATAATTCACATTCAAATATTATATTTGATAGAACTATAATTTTATTTTAATTTTAAGTCATTCATATATTGATTAAATAAACTATAAGCAATAAAAATTAATATAATCCGAATTATTAAATTATTATATATTTTGTATAACTAGTCTTTGAAATATAAATATAAAAATTATAATTTCAAAGAATAAATAATTTATATTAATTTAGACAGAAAAATTAATTTTTTAGAAGTAATTAATAAAGAATTTAATAAAAAGCAATTTATATGAATAAAGAAGAAGAAAATATATAAATACAAAATATAAGTGAAATTATTGATTTAATTATATTTGAAAGAAAAAACATTACTAATATTAATAAATTTAAAAAAAAAAAAATATTAAATTTATAAGAACTATTAATAAAATATAAATCTAGACTTTTGTTAATATATATATATATATATATATATATATATATATATATATATATATATATAAATTATAAATATATATCATAAATTATTAATTTTTTTAATTAAAAGATTATTTTTAAAGATAAGATAAATCTGTTATATTTTTGAATAATTGTTAAGCAAAAATTTTTAAATATTTTAAAGAAATTGACTAAAGTTTAAAATATTTTCAGATTAATTTTTAAATTTAAAATATTTAACATTATTCCATAATTTCTATTTTAAAATATTTTGGAATTTTATAATCTTAAAATCAATTATATATAACTTCGTTTTATTTTCCTATAAAAATATAATTTGAATCGAATAAAATTTTAAATATTTAATTTTTATATTAATTAAATTAAATAACTAATTATATAATTTTAGTTGATATAATAATCAATTTAAATATATGATATTTTTCAAAGGGAATAGTAATTATGAAATAAATATTAGAAAATAAAAAAATTACTTAAAAGATATTTACTTTAAGATTATTTAGTAATAATACCATTAATTATTAAAATATTAAATAATTTATTTGCGGTTTAATAAAATTACTAATCATTAATATATTTATATCTCAATTTTGTAGATTTTTATTTTATTATATGCTTAATTATTAAACATAATAAGATAATTATTATTTTCGATGATGCATAAATTCTATATATTGGGTAGTAATAATTATGATTACTTTAGGATATTAAGATATTGTTTACATAATATTATATTTGTAACTTTATTTAATGCTGCCTATTTGCATATATTTTTAATACTATTTAATATTTAGTATAAGAATTTAACAAAAAGAATATTGTTTTTAAATTAAAAAAAAGTATTCTTATTTCTTATATGAGAAAAGAAATATAAGTAATTATTATAAAAAAGTGTCAAAAATATTTTTAAAATATAAATTTTTAAAACGGAAAGATATAAATAATTATCTTAATGTATTATATTATTAAAATTTAATTTTTGTTCAGATTTTTTTAAAGGTTAAAAAAAAAATACATTAAATTTTTATTTTTTAACTATTAAAAAAAGGCGAAGAATATCTAATTTTTAATAATACAATATAATTAATCTAAAGAAAAAAGTATCATCTAAAATAAAAAATACTTCTCTATATAAAAATAATTTAATTTAAAATTTTCTTAAGAATCTAATAGAGCAAATATTTTAATTTTATAAAAATTATTGCAAATTTAAAAAAGTTTCAATAATTAGATTACTAAAACTATATCTATAAAATTCAATTTAAATGAATAATAAAATTATATTAAACGCTAATATTAATTATTAAATTTTCATTTTAGTTTCTTTAGATAAGTTCGATAAATATTAAAGCTCATTTGAATAAAAAATTAGATGATTAATTTATATTTTTTTTATAAATTTGAATAAAAATTATATTTTTAAATTTAATTTTTTATTTAATTTTAATATATTTATTATAAATATTATAAACTTTTTTTTTTATTTTTAAATAATTAGTTAGTTATAAAAAAAAATAAAAAAATTATCGTTTATTTTTTAATACTAATTAAATTGTTTTTTTTAATAAATATAATTTTTATTAATTTTCGTTTTTAATTAAAAAAATAAAGGGAATAAAATTTATTACAATTGTTTAAATATTAAAATAAGTGATTAATCAGAAAATTATAAATGATAACAGATGAAAATTTTTATACATAATACTCTAATTAAGAATTATTTTAGACAAAAATAAGAACTAAAAGAATATTTCCAGGATTAACTTTTAAAGCAAGCTTATTTAAAAGAAAAGATTGTATTATAGAAACCAAATATAAATTTAATTTTATTTTTTTATATGTATCTAAATTTATAAGAAGAATTAGAGGCTTAAGTTCCGCATTAAGATTTCGAGAAATGGGAATATAATAATTTAAAATTATAAATGATAAATCATCGGATTATTCATATTATTTTATTAAAAAATACTTTATAATTAATGTAAATATTTATTTTTCTAAATATATATTTTTTTTTTTACATAAAATAAAATAAAAGTTACCAAATTTTACTGATAGATTATTCAATTTTATAAAAAGTAAATAACATTTTGTAATATTTTTTACTATTTTATTAATGTTTTTTATTTGTTTTTAATTTATAGAAGAATTCAAAATATATGATTTTATTTTATCTGATTAAACAATTATAAAGCCTAACTCTTTTATAAGAATTATTTGGATTATTTTTAATTTCTTTATTATTACTCTTAATATTATATTTGTTCCTATCAAATATACTTTTGTAATATAAAATTTAGGTTTTTTAACTATTTTAATTTAAGAACTTTCTATTTTTACTTTTGGAGCTGAAATATTTCTTACTTTTTTTACAGGTTTTATTTTAATTTATACAATTTTTAATAAAATATAATATTTATTTTTTAAAAATAAAAATAACAAAAGCTATTTATAGAAAAGGGCTTATAATAACATAAAAAAAGCAAATTTTTATGAATTACATAAAAGAAAGATTTTTGTATTTTTTTTTTTTTTTTTTAAAAAAAAATACAATGTAAAAAATAGATTTGATTTAATAATATTTATTTTATTTTGTATTGGAAACAGAAATAATTTATATACAGATTTATTTATATTATTAAAAGTTTAAGACATATTTAATATTTTAAGAGAAATCGACGAGAGATTTTAGTTCAAAGGAAAAATCCAAAACATATACGAGCTTTCAAAAATAATAATTTTTATTTTAATTTTTGCACACTTTCTAGCTTGTTGTTGGCATCAAGCTGGTGTTTATAGTTTTAACTAAGGAGAATAAGAAACCTGGTTAGGTAAAACATACTAAGATCATTATAATGAAAACAATAACAAATAAATATACATTCAAAGTATGTATTGGGCAGTTGTGAGTATGATAACATTAGGTTATGGAGATATTATACCTAAAAATTAAAGTAAAAATATTATTTATCAAAAAACATAAAAATAAAATACATAAAATTTGAAGTTGAAATGGTTTTTGTTATTTTCGCTACTCTTTTAAGTTGTATTATATTTGCTTATGCAATGAATTCTATTGGGGAAATTCTTAAACAAATGGGCAGAAAAAAACTTATTCTTAAATAGTAAATGGGAATTATAAATACCTATATGAGAAAAAGGTGTTTAAATTAAGAAATATAAGTAAAAGTACGAAAATATTTTGAATATTTAAATAAAGAATAAATGGAAGATAATGAATAAAGTTCCTAATTAATTTTAAACATGCCTTAATCTTTAAAAGAAGAAGTTTTTTAAGATGTATATGGATAAATACTTAAAAGCAAAAAAATGCTAAATTTACATTTTTCGAATTAGTTTTTAATGGAATTATCTATGTAAATGAAAGAAAAAAGATATGGTCCAGAAGAAATACTGTTAAAATAAAATAATGTAAGCAAAAATTTATATTTTATTATGAAAGGTAAAGGTAAATTTATTACTTTATTTAAAAAAAAAAAAAAATTAAAAAAGTACATATAAAATGTGGAAAAAATTAAAATTAAATATTAAAAACAATGACAAAAGGAGATTTATTTAATGAAATAAATTTTTTTACTGAAAAAATAAGCGAATTTACAGCCATAACGGGAAACGTGACTAGTTTAGCTATTTTAGAAAAATGCAGTTTTTTATAAATAATAAAAAAGTTTCCAAAAGATTATGAATAATATTGTTATATGAGAGATAATATTAAACTCTATGAAAATATTTAAGGAATGGATCATTAATGTGTTGGATGTTCGAGCTATTCGCATACTTTAGAAAGCTGTTAATATGTAAATTTTGTTAGAAATAGATAAAAAATATTAGCTTATTATACTAAAAATAATTATTTTTTTAGAATAGGAATAATATTAAAAGAAAAAGATAAATTAAATCATGGAATACTTGGAAAAAATCTGATAATACATTTATTACTGTCGCTTAGCTTTTATTTTTTAATACGAAAAATTAAAAAGAGTATAACTTTTAAGAAGATAATTCAGGTTATTTTTCTTTTTTAAATAATAAAAATTAAAAATATATAAATTTTATTTAAAAAAAAAAAATTATATTAAATATTTATCCTTTTTTTTAAAAAAGATTTTGATTCTTAATAATCAGATTTAGATTTAGATTATTATTATGAAATTGATTAATAAAGTTAGAATATAGAATAAAAAAATCAAGAATAAATATAAAATCAAGAATAAAAATAGTAAAATACATTATTTTTAATAGAAATAATTTATTTTTCAAAAGAGTTTAAATAGAATTAAATAAACATTAAAAATAAACAGCATTTATAAAAAAGATAAAAATTAAGGAGCAACTTAATAACAAAAAAATTATAAAAAATAAAATAGTTAAAAATATAATTAAGAAGAGTAATTTAGTATAAATAAATCGGTTAAATTTTAAGATATTCAAAGTATTTTGAAATAAAAATAAAGCAATAAAGATAATAATACAATTGAAGAATATGAAAAACGTAATCATTAATAAGAAGTAAATTAAGAAAAAAATATATATTTTGAAGAAAAAATAAATTAAATAAAAAAAATAATAAATAATGATGATAAAAATAATAATAAAAATGATAAAAATAATATTAATAATAATGATATAAATAATAATAATAATAATAATAATAATAATAATAATAATAATAATAATAATTAAATTAATGATTAAAATTTGCTTAAAATTTAACATTTAGATGATGCATTTTCTTTAGATTATTTATAAAATAATGTTTTTATCAAATAAAGAATTATTTTTCCCTAGTTTTAAGTAACTCCGAATTCTAAAAATGAAAGTTCAAATAGAATTAATTCTGAAATCAAGAAAAATAATCTAGAATAATAAGATTTTAGTTCTTTTTTATAAAATAAGAGTACATCATAAATTCCTCAATTATCTAAAAAAAATACTTTTTAAGAATAATCGACTTAATAGGAAACATTTTAATTTTTATATAATGAAAATGATATTTTTATTCTTAATTTTGATAAAGCTAAAGAATTTGAAAAGTATTTTCCTTTTAATAATTTTAGAATCGTTATTTATAAATGTAATAATTAAAGGAAAAGAAATGTATTTTATAGAAAACTTGTGTTTAAAAGAAAAAATTGTTTAATAAAAAAATAATAAAAAAGAATATCATACTTATTTATTTGATTTTTAACTAGAAAAGAACTTCTTAAAATTGTACATTTATTAAAATAAACATATAATAAAAGATGTATATATAATTTTTATTTTATATTTATTACTCTATTATTATTATATCAAATTAAAATAAAAATTAAATAAAAGAAATTATATTAAATAATAATAATAAAATATTTATAATAAAAATTAAATAAAAAAATAATTAAAAAAAAAAAATGGGTCCTAAAAAAATATAACTATAATAAAAGAATAATTTAATATTAAATAAATAATATAATTATAAATCAACATCATTTATTCCTTAAATAGTATTTTAAAAAGATAAAAATAATAATTTTCCAAAACTAGTTAGATAACCAAAATAAAAATAAAATCTTTCAATACCGAAATTTTCAACAGAAGAAAATATTAAAATGGTATAAAAAGGTATTTTTTATATGTTTTATATAAAACATAAATAATAGAATTTAAACAAAATAAATTATTTTATAAAAAAAGTTTATACTCCAAATTAATCATAAAAATATAATAAATCAATCAAAAAAAGCATTTCTTAAAAAAGTACTAGAAAACTTACAAATTAATCATCATATTCAAATAATAATGAAAAATCAATATTAAATAGAAGTAATAGTTCGAGAATATCGGCAAAATAAACTGTAAGAATTATAAATGATACAAGCTTTTCCAGTGATAAAAAGTATTTTTTTTTTAAAAAAAAATATAAAATGGAGAATAAATTTTTAATTTTTTTTCATTTTTAATTTATTAAACTAATATATTTTTTTTTAGAAAAGAAAATTTAAGTAATCTTAAAAAATTAGTAAATTATAATTTGTATAAGAGCCAAAATTCAGTGGTAATAGATATTTTAGTTTATAAAATAATAAAAAATATAAAATAAAAAAGTAAACTAGGTAAAAATATTATGATTAAAACAGATAAAATTAAATTTCAAAGCATTATTAAGAAAATAAATAAAAACCATTATTATAATAAGCTAAGGAGCTTTCTAAAAATAGTAATATTAGACTTTTTCCTCAACCCAAAATTTCAAAATTTCCTTAATTAGTTGAAATAAATGGCAATTCAATTAATATAAAATAATGTTAACCAGTAAGACAAATAACAAATTAATCTTAAAGCTAATAAAATAATAAATTTAATTTTGTATAAAAAATAAAATAAAATAAAATAAAATAAATATATATATATAAAAAATAAAAATAGCAATTTAAAATTGGTAATAAATCAGTAGCAATAAAAAATAATAAGATTATAAAATAAGATGAGTAACCAAGATACGCATATAAAAAAAGTAAATAAAAAACATATAGACTTAACTAAAGTAAAGTGTAAATAAAGAAAAAAAAGATAAAAAACAAAATTG